TACAGCCTGACAAAGCTGCTGATGGGAAGAAAGGCGAGAGCGTTTCACATTCTCTCTCACCGCTCTCTCCCTGACGATCACACACGTGTTTAGGCGATTCACTTTCAATTAGCCAGGTCACGCTGTCAAGTGATGGTGGTGGCGCGGGGGGGGGGGGGGGGCGGAAGGGGAGAGATATCAAAGAATCATAGAGCTTTATTATTAATAATAATAATCCTTGCATTTGATATCGCGCCTTATCAGGTCGTTGAGATGTCTCAAAGCGTTTCACAGGATACACAGGTAAAGTGGAGTGACCATATATTTTGTGGGCAGCCAATTCCGCACAGCAGTGTCCCACAAACAGTCGTGGAATGAGCGGAGGGATTATAAAACCCCCATAAAGCGATCTTCCAATCCACTAACAACCGCTAATCCAATTTGTTGCTGGGTAAACGGAGGTGTGTATGTGTAGAGTAAGGAAACTTGTCAAAGGTTTCGCCCTGACCCGCCTGGGAATCGAACCCAGTTCCTCTCCCTTGTGAAGCGAGTGCTCCAACCACTGAGCGACAGGAACTCCACACGAAGGGAGGGTGGGAAAGAAATTCCAGCGCTTCCCACCCTCAATTACACGGCCTTTTTCTCTCTCTCTCTCTCTCCTCATCCACCTCCCTGCACAAAACAAATGTTCCCCTCAGATCCGAGCATTGAGGGTTTGGCGGGCGGGGAGGTGGGGGTGTCAGAGGAAGGTAAAGAGAAGTCCCTTTGCCAAGTGGGGTTAAGGAGTGTGTCGGGTGGAGGCTGGGATCCACACACGGCTTATAACTGTGAGTGGAATCCGCTTGCACCCTCACATCAAAGGGAATCGCTGCTAATCTCCTGCTTACAGACCTCCTGCAAGTTAACCTCATCAGTGGAGCTCAGATACTCCGGCTCACAGGCAGGCCTGCCAACCGCACAGCCACTGGGGCTTAGCCACGAGAGAGAATCCCTGATTGCTGGCATCTTCATCTCCCTCCCTCGTTTCTCTATCTCCCCCTCCCTCTTCTTTCCCAAACCTTAGGCAAGTTTCCTTACTCCACACGCACACGCCTCTGTTTACCCAGCAGTAAGTAGGAACCCTGTTGTCAGTCGGTCGGCAGATCGCTTTTCAGGGGTAATAAAATCCTGATCTATCACAATTAGGGATAGATGGGGAGGTTATCCCAATCTAAGCATTCAACAACAACAAATTCAATTTGCATCGGGAGGATGTCCCAGTGCCCTGGACAGTCAAGGATTTGGACCCGAACTGGGGGTGGGGATCAGGTGGAGGGAGGGTAGGGGTAGGAGGGTGGCCGAAGGCGCAGTCAAAGAGGAGGGTCTTGAGATGGGCCTTGAAGGAGGCAAGGGAGGGAGCGAGGTGAAAGGGCTGTGGGATAAGAGTTCCAAAGGCTTGACCGCTGATGGTGGGGTGGGTTGGGCAGGATGAGGGTGGGGGACAAGGAGCAGGCCAGAGCCTACCGAGCGCACCCCAAGACACCCCCACCCCACGAAACGTTGGGGACTTTGAACAGGTCAAGTCTTAGCGGACTCTCCAACGCAGTATGGTGGTGGGGGTCCTAAGTTGCTGGACAGTCAGGGTATTTTGGACCCATGTGGGAGGGGCATGTGCGCTCTAAAACACGATGAGCCACGCTCTTTCTCTCTCTCCGTCGCTGCTGGTTGCCGAACTCCTCTCTGTAAACTCTGTGAGCCTTTGCTTACTCTAAATAGGTCAGTTTACCATCTCATTACTCACTCACTGCGAACATCCAACCTGTGCAAATGTCACCCGGCTTCCCTGACACCCTCCCCAGCCAGAGGCCGGCCCGGGAAAACCTCCCCGCATAAAATCACAGGGGCAGGAGGATGCCATTCAGCCCATCCAGCCTGCTCTCCTCTGTCTTTATTGGCAGATCGCTTTCCAGGGATAATAATCCCTCCAATAATAATATGATCACTCAGTCCACGACTGTTTGTGGGGACGCTGCTGTGCACAGTTGGCTGCCGCATTTCACCCACAAAATATACGGTCAATTCACGTCACAGTATATTCTGTGAAACTGTGGGTCTCAACAACTGTATCAAATGCAAATATTATTATTATTAATAAGGTGATCTCTCTTTCCCTCCCTCCCTCATCCTCACTCTCTCCACCCCCTCCCCCTAGTATCCCTCTTTCTCCCCGTCTTTTTTCCTCCTTCCTCTCTCTCCCCGCCCCCAGCTTTGTATCTCTGTCCTCTCTCCGTTTCTCTCTCGCTCTCCCCGCCACCCCGTATCCATCTCCATCTCCCCTTCCTCTTTCCCCCTTTGTTTCTCTGATTTTCTCTTACTCTCCCCTCTCTCTGTCTCCCCCTCGCTCTCTCTCTTTCCCCTCCTCCCCCACACACACACTGCTGCTCTGCCAGGCTTTTGCAAGTGCTCCCTTGCGGCCCTGGATTAGCAGCTGTGCTGGGTAGAAAGGAACACGCTCCACAGGTGACTGTGTTCGATTCCCAGCTCCTACTGACTGTGTGTGTAGTGAGGCCGGCAGGAGAACAGTGGTGACGAGGCTGACTACAGCACCTCACGTCGTGAGCTTTCATCCCCTCCATGTGCTGTGCATTAACACACTCTCACTCTCTCTCAGCGTGTCTCTCTCCCTGTCTCTCAGCACCCCCACCCCCACCCCGAGTTACTCACAATAAATAATAATAATCCTTGCATTTGATATAGCGCCTCATCACGTCTCAAAGCACTTCACAGGATACACTGTAAAGCAATTTGACTGTATATTTTGTGGGCGAAATGCGATAGTCAATTGGAAGGGATTTATTACCCCCGGAAAGCGATCCAACAATCGACTAACAAACAACCGGGTTCCTACTTGCCTACAGTTTCTCCCAGACCTGCCCACAGGGAATTGAACCCGGGTCCTCTCAGCTTGCGAGGCGATGGGGTGGGGGGCGGGGGGAAAGAGCAGGGGAATGGGTTTTTAGGAGTCGAGAGCTCAAGTGTGGAGGGCTTGGGGGAGGTGGGGGGAGAGAGAGGTAGCGAGCACCAGTGTAGGGTGGACGGACTGAATGGCCTCCTTCTCTGTCAAAATGTTGACGCGATACAATTCACACGCCTTTCACGTCTGTCCACACAGGTAGGGATGAGTCCAACTGCAGAGTAAGAGGTGCCATGTGATGAGGGCTGTAATTGAGAGCAGAGTGTGGGGAGGGGAAGGAGTCAGTGGAGACTTGGCAAGATCCCAGCAGGATTTGGTAGGGGCGGAGGAGAGGGAGGAGGAAAGGAAGGCAAGGATTTGTTTGACAGTGTCTGTGTGTATGTGCGCGGTGTCAGCCAGTGCAGAGACTTCGCTTACCGGATGGGAGCTAGCTGGGTTCTTTAAAAATAACCAGAAGAATGTATTTTTGTGCAAATCAGGACACTGCAGGGCAACATGAAGGTGAAAGCGGGGCTGTGGAGCGGGGTGTGAACCAGGGCAGCACTGGCAAGCCAATCACAGGCCTGCTCCACATCCGGTCCTCAACTCAACTCCCCACCAGCACAGGGACAGGTATATACAGCGACACACCCTACAGGCACAGTGACAGGTACACATACCTACACTCACCCTACAGTCACACACCTATAGTCACACACTGACAGTCATAGTGACAGATAATTAATAATAATAATTCTTGCATCTGATATAGCGCCTTATCACGTCTTCGGGATGTCTTAAAAGCGCTTCACAGGATACACTATAAAGTGAGTTGACACACCCACACACCTAGTCACGGGGACAAGCGCACACCCCCACACGCACAAATATATAACATGTGCAAATGCACATACGCAGGCGTGTGAAAATACACGCACGCAAGCGCACACACACACACACACGTTTAAACATGTGTCCAGCGGGAGGCTGCTGGTGTGTGCTGGGCAGTGGGGATTTTGAGACTGATGTCAGTGCCCGCACTGCCCCTGCCCACTGGGGAGCTAGCAGCTAAACAGCACAGGCCGGGCAAGGCAGAGCAGGGAGCCTGGCACCTTCCCTGAGGGGCTGTGCAGCCCACAGCAGTCAGCGAGCAATAGCAGTGAGAGCAGAGCCACTGCCCGTGTCGGGGAGGAGAGGCGATGGCGGGTAGAACAGAGACGCTTTGCTGCCCCCTGGAGACCGCACTGTGGCGGTGCGCGTGAACAGCACATCACAGTCACCAGAGGCAACGGACACGGAAGGAATTTAAAGCACAAATTACTGCGGGTTAAGAGAGTACAGCCATTTCACACACAGCACATCACAGCGAGGCAGCCACGACCCCATTCACCAGCAGTAAGAGACTCTCAGACGCTGGGAGAGGCAAAACACAACAAACAACAACGCGTCTGTTCAATACAGCGCCTTATCATGTGGTCACAATGTCTCGAAGCGTTCGGTGGGTATTTTACTGTCGAGTACAGAGGCTGTGTGTGTTTTGCAGGCAAACATGGCAGTGAATTTGCACACAGCAGTGTCCCGCAAACACTCGTGGATTGAGTGAGGGATTATTATTAGCAATCAACTATCAACCACGTTCCTATTTACTGCTCGGTAAAGAGGCAGCGTGTGGAGTGAGGAAACTTGCCTAAGGTTTCACCCTGCCCCGCCCGGGAATTAAACTCGGGTCCTCTCACTAGCGAGGCGAGCGCGCTAACCATTACGCTACAGGACACCACGGGAGTGCCTGGCATTACTGCGTAAGAATTCTCTCTCAAGAAAATAAAAATGTCTTCACCTCTTTCGTTGCTCCTGTTTTACGAGAGGGCAGAGCGAGTGAGAGAGGGAGGAAGGAAGGGGACGAGGGAGTGAGAGAAGGAGCGTGTGAAGCATGCTCTCCTCTTGCAGGCCCTCTGATAATTCACGCCGTCTCCCTTTGCCTAATCTCCATAGCCATAGCCTGAGCCTCTGTGCGATAAAATGCAACGGTTCCTGGTAAGAAAGCTGTGACTAAAGAGGGACAAAATAAAAATATTCACTCCGAAACATATCACATAAAAGTGTGTGTTTTTTTAATTTAACGTGCCACGTTTTTGCGATAAGCGAAAACCTAAATAAGAATAAATCGCAGGGTTTAAATAACAAGAATCCCAGCCCCGCCCTGCCTGCCCGCTGCTGGGAACAGACAGGCAAGCGCAGCACTTCAGAATTAGGAGCTACAAATGCCTGTCGATCGCCAGGCTGCATTGGCAGGGCAGCGGGTAGGGCAACGAGCACACAGAGCAGCAGCGCACAGGGCAACAGCACGAACTTCAATAGGTTATGGGACGGTCGTGGTTGGATCTGAGATAATATTTAGACACTGCTGATTAGATTGGTTGAGAGTTAAGCGCTCTGAGACTCTGCCCCGCGTGAATGCAAGTTGTTGTTGTTGTTGTGCAGGGCAGTAGTATTGCTGACGTCAAGGCTTGTCTCTGTCCGTCATACCAGGGATTTGACCAGCTCCACTCTCTCCTCATACATGCGGTGAAAGGCTCTGGCCAGGCTGTGGAAGGGAGTTTCGTAATTCTCCATTTCTTTCTGAAGAGAACACACAGGCATGCAACAACAAACAACGTTTGTACAGCGCCTTTCACCTCAGGAGGCCGTCTCAAAGCGCTTCACACCACACGCTGTAAAGTGCACTCACTACATAGCTGTAGGCAGCCCAGAAACACATAGCAAGAGCCCCACAAACAGCCGTAAAACTATCGAACTACCTATTTTATCTAACAGGGATTATTGGCAATAGAGCATGCAGTAAGCCTTGAGGCAAGCGTTGAAGGAGGGGAGGGAGGGAGGGTGAGAGGGAGGCAGGGAGAGAGAGAAGGAGAGCGAGAAGGAGCCCGTCAGTGAGACAGAGAGCAGGTTCAGTGTGGATGAAAGTCCAGCCACAGATGATGGGTGAGTTAGGTGCTGCAATGGGGGAAACCAGACTTGTACGTGGATCTGTGTACTTACTGCCGAGGTCTCGAAGTACTCCAAGCCCTGACTGGCTGCCCACTCCTCGGCCTCCTTGTACTCCACTGTGCGCCTGGCGGCCAGGTCTGTCTTGTTCCCCACGAGGACCGCTACAAAGCAATGACATTACAGGAGTTTATCCTCTGCTCAGTGGGCTCTGGGCTGCCCCATGTCCCCTGCCTTGCCTGCCCACCATCGGCAGTTGGGTCTTCAGTCTCTCTGCCCCCACCCTTCGGAACTCCATCCCGAAGACCCTCTACCTCGCCCGCTCTCCCTTGCCTCCTTCAAGGCAAGTCTCAAGATCTTCCTCTTTGACCCCGCCTTCGGTCACCCTCCTAACTCCACCCTCCCTGCCCTCCACCCCCCCTGAACCCAACCACCAGATTGGATCCAAACCCTTAACTGTCCAGTACCTTGGGACGTCTTCCCGATGTGAAAGCTGCTGTGTAAATCTAATTAGTTGTTGTCGAGTCTTCCCCGAACCCCGCGCTCTCCCCCTACCCACACTCTCCCATCCCCTTCTCCCTCGTATCTGCAGTGACAGGACACTGACCTGGGAGCTGCCCCCCTGGGGCCTGGGCTCGGGCTCGCTCCAACCACTTGGAGCAGCTGTTGAAGGACACCTCGTTGGTAATGTCGTACACAAGGCACAGAGCCCCCGAGTTCTCCCACTGACAACACAATACAAGCCAGTCACACACCGAGGCCAACCTCGCTTACTAGCAACGACAGAAAGAATTTGTATTTCTGGGGTACTTTTGACGTATCAAAACAATTCATATAATAACAATTCACCCAACAACACACAACAAGAGCCCCACAAACAGCCATAAAACTATCGAACTACCTATTTTATCTAAGGGGGATTGATGGCAGGAGAGCATGGGATAAGCCTTGAGGCATGCTTTAAAGGAGGGAAGGGAGGGAAGGAGAGCGTCAGTGAGACAGAGAGCAGGTTCAATGTGGATGAAAGTCCAGCCAAAGATGGTGGGTGAGTTGGATGCAGTAGTGATGGAGATGAGACTTGACATGATTCTGTGTACTTATTACCGATATCTATAACAATTTGCCCACAAACACACAGTCGATTCACTTTACAGCATATCCTGTGAAGGGCTTTGGGACGTCTCGACAATGTGATAAGGCGCTGTATCAAATGCCAGGATTACAAGAATAATAATCCTTGACTTTAATATAGCGTATTATCACGTCTTCGAGACATCTCAAAGCGCTTCACACAATATGCTATAAAGTGAATTGAATGTATAGTTTGTGGGTGAAACACATCAGCCAATTGCGCACAGCAGCGTCCCACAAACAGTCATTGATTGAGTGACCAATTATTAGCATTTTTTAAAAAAGGGGCTATTACCCCCGGAAAAGCGATCTGCCAATCTACTGACAATCGGGTTTCTGCGGTGCGGTATCAAAACACTTTATACAATAATAATAATTGCACTTGATAATTGTATAAATGTGTATGGTACTGTACCTGCTTTGCCACCATATCATAGAAGATTTCCTTCCCTGAAGAATCCAATAAGAATAGTTCCTGTAAAGTTGGAGAGAAACACAAGGTTCAGTATCTAGGGGTTGTGTGGGATGATAATAATAATAATCCTTGCATTTGATATAGCACCTGATCAAGTCATTGAGACAGACGTCTCAAAGTGCTTCACATGATATACTGTAAAGTGGAGTGACTGTGTATGTTGTGGGCGAAACGCAACAGCAAATGCGCACAGCAGTGTCTCCACAAACAACAACGAGATTACATTTGCATAGCGCCTTTCACGTCGGGAGGACGTCCCGAGGCGCTGACAAATAGGGATGCCCAACAACAACAGCTTGTGTTTATACAGCGCCCTTCACGGGGGGTAGCGTCGCGGAGCGCTCAGGTTAGCTCCAGGCCTGACGTTGTGAGCTGGTTAACGTGGGCGTCTTGCACTCACCACACTGTCGTTGGTGTCTGGGATGGAAACCGATTTGACAAAGACTTCCACTCCTGTGGTCTGTGAAGTGTAAAGATAGTGCATGTTTCTTAATGCTTCCGTTACCTCCTCTCTCCCCCCCCCCCCCCCCCACCCACCCACCACCACACTCTTCTCGCTTTCCCCTACCAGGCACGTACCAGGGTGTAATTCTTGGGGAAGTGAGCGCTCTCACTCCGGAACACTTGTGCCAGGGCGCTTTTCCCAACAGCGGGATCTCCTGGGGAAACAAACAAGAAGATGGGGGCAGCAGCACTGTGCGGTGTGGGCGGTGGTGGGGGGGTGGGGGAAAGAGTACAGGCCAACGCTGGGAGCAATGTCACTCAGAAGGTGATACCAATAGTATCGACAATGCAACGGAAAGCACAACAGTGCGGTGGACAATGCGACAGACAACGATAATAATAATCCTCGCGTACGATACGGCGCCTTATCACAACGTCTCAAAGCGCTTCACCGTAAAGTGAACTGACTGTATATTTTGTGACACTGCCCCCCCTCCCACTCCACCCCCTCCAAACGTGCGGGGGGGGGGGGGAGGGAGGAGAGGTGGGGTTCGAACCCACGACCCCCACCAAACCCAACGCCTCGGGAGGCGAGAGCGCGACCCGACCGGCACGAAACGCAAAGAGTATTATTGTCTCTTTAATCTTATCTTCGGCGTTAAAACCCCGGTCTCCGCGTCAACACGGCCGCTCACCTGCCACGATACACTTAGCCCTCAGCTTGACCATGTCTGCACGGGTCACTGCTCTCTGGTTAGACGAGTCAACACTTCAACCCCCCCCCCACACAGCGCCACCCCCGTCTGTCTATCCCTGGGTCACTGCTCGCGGGTTAGGCCGGTCAACGTATAACCAGCCGCGGAGGGTAACCGCACGCTCTGGTCGCTGCTCGTTCGTGAGGCGGGTGGACACACCGTCAGCCACAGCCACAGCCCCAGTCAGTCCCTGCTCACTAGTTATGTTAGTTAACACCTAACCAGCCCGAGACCCACACAACCAGCCCCAGCCCCCGCCTGCCCAAGGCTCGTCATGCAGGCAATGTGGCAGAGCTCCGGCCTGTCCCTGACTAGTTAACACACAACCAGCCCCAGCCTGTCCCTGGTTACTGGCTGACTAGTTAGACTAGTTAACACATTAACCACACACACACACACAGCCCCAGTCAGCTCCTGTCTGTCCCCCTGGTTACTGCCTCCCTAGCAACGCCGACTTCTCCCCCCCCCCCCCGGGCGCCCTCCTCTCCTCCACGCCCATTGGCCATCACGCCCGTCGCTCATACAATCCTTGCTGGCCATTGGTCCCTCGCCCCCTTGCCCCGCCCCCGCTCGCCCGCCCAACCGCCAACCCGGGGTCCTCAGTTTGAAAATGTAGGTGGCCAGGTCAGGCGCCTGTGAGTGGGTGGGGGAGCAGCTCACTTTTATTTTTATTTTTATTACTACGAGCACTAAACCGGATTACGGGTGGGATTTGTTTTTGATTGCGGCCGTTTCCGTTTCTTTCCGCCGATGGCCCCCCACAAACCGTCCGCAATCGGGCACGTCGCCCGGACACCCAACGGGCACAGCACCACACGTCCGACGTGGTCAGCGTTGGCCGGAGAAGAAAAAAAGGCGTCAAAAACAACGAGGAGGATAGTTCGGTCACTTCGGTCCGCGGCCGCCGCGCGGGGCAGGTCGCCGGGCGCAACCGGCCGCTGGCGCTTGGCCCGCGAGACACACAGTCACTACGCTTTACAGCGGATCCTGGGAAGCACTTCGAGACGCCTCGAGGACGCGATAAGCCGCCGGGTTCAAACGCCGGAGATTATCATCGCCGCTATCACGATAACTTCCACCCGAACGATGACCGGAAGTTTCGCGCCGCGCCTCGAGCCCCCCCCCCTGTCGCTCAGCGAGCGGTCAGCGGGCTCGTCGCTCCTCGCGGGGGGGGCGCGAGAGACCCCGGGTTCCGATCCCCGGCCGGTCAGGGCGAGACCCCGGGCACGTGTCCTTACTCCACCCACACACACGCCCACACGCCCGACAGTAAATAATCCCTCAAGCACGAGATAAAATAAATAATAAATCGGGTCACTTCAACCCGCGACTCGTTTGCGGGGTCGCTGCCGTTGCCCAATCGGCCGCCGGGTTTCGCCCTCCCCCAAATACAGTCACTACGCTTTACTGTGTACATTGTGCGAAGCACCTTTGAGACACCTCGATCAGGCGCTGCATCAAAACGCACGGCGAGACCTCTCCAAGGTGCTTCACCGGACACACTGTAAAGTGGAGTGACTTGTGCATGACAAGTAATATTATCGAATGCAAGTATTATTACTGCCTTAACCGTCAAACCCTTGTCGCCAGCGACACACTAACCCACTGTCCCGAAGCAATAAGGAACTATAAAAATCAGGTTTGAACAGAGAAAAACCCAAGGCAGTGCTGCAGCTCTCTTGAAGCAGCCACGCAACCTCCCACCCTGCAGCACTGTAGCATTGAACAGGCAAAAATAAAATGCCCCCCCACCCCCCCCACACTCCTGGGGGTGGGCAGCCGACGACGTTTAATTCTATTCACGAAGCTGCTTTACCCTCGTATCGTTTCGGCCGCAAAAATAAACCGATCCGCATTTGTAACGCATACCGCGAAACACTTTTTGAGACGCCTCGACAACACGATAAGACGCTACACCACATTCAGTTACTACTGTGTCTGTAATCATCTTCAGAGGCCAATGCCAACGCATGTCAAGAGCTTAACCCTGCTGTTGTGGTTGTGTGTGTGTGCGTGTGTGTGTGTGTGGTGGGGGGGGGGGGGGTAGAAGTACTTAGGCACTCAAGTCTTGTGTCCATTTGAGACCTGGGGGAAAACTCTTGCAAGCGGAGAAACTCGATTGCAAAAAGCACCCAATTGTTCCCAGGTCTGTTATTGCACTGATTCACACTCGACTGAACAGGCAATCAGAAAGATTGTACACGCACAATATCACACACAGATGAATTCGATCCGCGCAGCAAAACAAATCGAGCTTCGGAAGGGAATTCTCAAGCGAGGTCCCGTCTCAGCCAGAGATTGATGGAAACGGTTAAGCCTCGACAGTCGGGATTTACTTCCAAGCAATAAAAGGAAATTGCTTCTAACTACATTGGTTGTGCAGCTAACAACTGGGCTCCCCCAAGCCATGGTTCTCCCCAACCCACGCCTAATAATGTCCGTAATTAGGCAAGCAAAATGCATGCCTCTAGAGTGCGCGTTCCCTCCCAACAATCCTTTTACAGGAATATCAATCAACTGCCACGTTTGCCCACAAAACATAGTCAATTCACCTCACAGTATACTCCGTGAAGCGCTTTGAGACATCTCAAAGACGTGATAATGCGCTGTATCAAATGCAAGTATTATTATTTCTATGTGCAGGCGGGATGCATGGAATTCTCAGTTGGGTTTGGATGCTCAATCCACCAGCGATTATTATTATTATTATTATTATTATTAAGCACAGTGATGGGTTTCCACACGCGTTAAGACATTGGGCTGACCAAAATAAAATAGAAGCAACCCATTGGCGCCTGACTTTGTCACACCCATCCGCTGCACTATTGGTAAGTGGACAAGATGGCCACACTGAGTTCTTAAAAGAAATTTATTAAGATGGTCACAACAACGCTGAACATCGTCAGGTGGGCAGGGGGCTCTGGATGCCAGCCTATGCCGTCTCCTCTTTGGCAATACGATCCTTCTTGAGTGGCCCCTGTCAAGCAAAAGAGAGAGAATCAGTCAGGGGGTGTGCGAGGAGGGGAGAGGGCTCGCCAAGTGCTGGGAATGAGCTACCGGGTTCCCTTTCAAACAACAACAAATTGCACTCGTACAGCGCCTTTCATGCCGGGAAGACGCCCCCGGGTGCTGATGTCACACGCCCGTCGAGAGCAACGGGCGCATGTACAAAGCTATAATTAAACCACAAACAACAACTTGCACTTACACAGTGCCCCTCACGTAGGGTAAGATTATAAACCACAATCGGGACATGTGGGCATAAAGGTTACATCGGGATAACAATAAAGAATAACTGACACACCCAACAGGTACCCCCCCCCCCCCCCATTCATCCATTTCAGACTACTCCCCAGCTCAACATCAATAATGTCAGTCAGTCACTCACCATGAACGCCTTCTTCTCTTCGATAGTCTGGAAACGCCCGTGACCGAACTTCGACGAGGTGTCGATGAATTTCAGGTCGATCTTCTCCAGGGCACGTCGACTAGACTGTACCAGCAGAGACTGCGTGCGAGTGTGAGAGAGGGAGAGAGAAAACACCTCAAGGTCAACTAAGAGACAACTAATTTAAGGCACAGATGTACCTCACTACCTATAATAATAATAATAATAATAATAATCCTTGCATTTGATATAGCGCTTTTCACGTCGGGAGGACGTCCCAAAGCGCTTCACAGAATATACTGTAAAGTGAATTGACTGTATATTTGTGGGCGAACGCGGCAGCCAATTGCGCACGAGCAATGTCCCACAAAACAGTCGTAGATTGAAGATGACCAATTTATTATTGTTTGGGGTTTTGGAGGGATTATTATTAGGCGTGTGGAGTAAGGAAACTTGCCCAAGGTTTCGCCCTGCCTGGAATTGAACCCAGGTGTCTTGCTTGCAAAGCAAGTGCTCTAACCACTGAGCCACAGGACTCCACAAACCTACCGGCTTGAGTATGGGTTGCGGAATGAAAAATTTCCGGCCCGCAATTCAGCCACGGACAGTTGAGCACATATTTTATGCGAGTCTCGAAGCAAAAGCCCGGAACTGCAGTAAATGTCTCTGTGACCCATTCGATCAGTCGTTCAATTATCCAGCTTGTGTAACAGGTTTCTGTAGGCTGGCCACTCTCGACTTTTTTTAATATAATGGGAGGCATCAAAGCGGAACACGTCACAAGTAAAGGCAGAGAGAGCACTCAAACCCAGTCAGGTTCAATTGTGCTGCAATTAATGGCTCACCTCAACCCACTCCATCATCTCAAAAGAGCTTCTCCCTATGGTTCACCGCTCACTGAACCCTTGCAAACTGTGTGCGTGTTCCCTTCAGATGGTGTCTCGACGCCCACACCTTCATTCCTCTATCAACCACTGGGCTCCCAGCAATCTATCGAAACGCCTTGCTCTAGCTAAAGCTGCCTGTGGTAACCAGCTCCCCATCTTGTACCAAATTCTTCCCCCTCAGACTGCTGAGGTAACCAAGGTGGGAGCTCGCCCGCCTCTGTACAGCCTGACAGGTAGGTGACTAGGCACTGTAACTAACAGGCCAATAACAGCTCAGAGGCATTCTCAGAAGGAAGGCAACATGGTGTAACTCCTCATCAATGTCGGGTGTCGTTTACCAACACATAATCCATGTGATCATCATTGAATGCTCCAGTCTGTGTGCGTGTATGAGGGGAGAGAAACTGCACTGTGTGGCAATCACACTACATTTTTTCTCCAGCACCATTTGCCCCACCACCACCACCTCAAAACGAGAAATGGCACGCAAAACGATTTCAATCTAGCTCCGGCCAGTTTAACTCTACTCCAAGCTGCTCTCTCTCTCTTTTGTGGCAAATCGTCTTCACTCTTCTGCTTCCCCCCCCACCATCCGATGAAGCCAGTGCCCATTGAAACCCTGCTCCTTGAACAGCGACTTCATCCAGCACTGATCAATAAGCTTGGAGGTGAACCTGCCCTCATCTCAGGCCTCCAAAGTCAAACCTTGATTGATAGCAAAGCCATTAAGCACTGACCAGAAGAATGAGGTGTGGTGTTTACATGACAGAAAGACCAGTGTGCAACAACTCACTGGAAACACCCACACACACACCCTGCCCATTGTAACTGGCTGATGAGAGTGTGTAGCGTAATGGGAGGACATGCGCTCTGGACACAACGGGTGGGGGAGGGAGGAGAGAAAGATTGTTACCTTGCGGAGAGCGAGCACCCGCTTCTTGGTGCCAACGACGCAGCCTTTCATCATCAGGAAATCATTGGTTACTTCACCGTAGTGAGGGAAGCCACCCTGGGGAAGAGAAACACCAGTTAGCACAAGCCAAGCCCACCCAGTAGTCAGGTCATCTTCAACAGCAATAGCTCGCATTTACACAGCTTCCCCTCGCACAGGGTAGTGTCCCAGAGCGCTCGACAGTGGTGAAGCACGACGCACACACCAGTTATATCTCTTGGCTTGTGATCAGTGGACACCCATCCCAACCAAACCACAACCATGGTCTCACACAATACCAGATCCCCAACGAAACACAAGCAACGAGGCACAACCCACTGCTAGCCTGGCATCCATTGCCTGTGGTGAACCCAGAGACCACCCTCACCCCCACCAGGCCTTGCCAACACTTTGCCCCGTTCCCTACTCACCAGGGGGTTGATGCTCTTGTCAGTCAAGTCGTATTCAGTGGAGGCGTTGTTCTTCACCACCTTGCCCTCCTTGTTGTGGTAACCCATACCAACTCGGTATACCTAGCGGCAGAGGATCGATATTGGGAATTATTACACATGACCTTTACAAAGTGCAGGTTACGCCTCAGCCAGAGTACTGTGTCCAATTCTGGGCCCCTCACTTCAGGAAGGGTGTCAGGGCCTTGGAGAGGACGCAGAGAAGATTTACAAGAATGGTACCAGAGATGGAGACTACAATTCTGTGGAGACACTAGAGGGATTGGGATTGTTCTTCTTCGAGCAGAGAAGTTTGAGGGGAGATTTAATAGAGGTGTTCAACATTATGAGGGGTTTTGGTAAGAGTAGAGAGGGAGAATCGGTTTCCTCTGGCGGGTGGGTCGGTAACCAGGGCACACAGATTTAAAGACAATTGGCCAAAGGAGCAGAGGGGAAGCAAAAATGAAAAGCAAGAATGAATTTTTTTTCTTTTTCTTTTACAGGGAGAGTTGTTACGGTCTGGAACTCACTGCCTGAAAGGCTGGTGGAAGCAGAGTCAATGGTAGCTTTCAAAAGGAAATTGGATAGGGACTTGAAAAGGAATAATGTGCAGAGTGGGGTAAGAGCGAGGAAGTGGGACTAGTTGGGCAGCTCTTTCAAAGAGCCGGCACACGCACGATGGGCCGAATGACTCCTTCTGTGCTGTAGGACTGTAAGATTCTACGTGCCGCCAGGGATCAAACGCACGAGAGAGTGCGTCCCCGACTGCAGAAGCCCTGGCCTCACCTTCTTGTTGATCTCGGTACGGTGGTGGTAACCCTTCTGACCGGCGCGGGCCACAGAGAAGGCCACGCGAGCGGGATGCCAGGCACCGATACAGGCCACCTTCCGCAGGCCCTTATGTGTCTTTCTGGGCAGCTTCTTGGTGTGCCAGCGGCTTGTTACACCTGAGGTGTGGAGAGAGAGAGAGAGAGAGAGGAGAGCATTAAACACCAGACATTAAACACCAGACGCATCACCAGCAGCAGTCGGCAGAGACGTTCTCAGAAGGAAGGCAACATGGAACAGATCCTCATTACTGTCGGGTTTTGTTATTCCATGGGATCATCACAGAACGAGATAAAGATTGCCGGGGGGGGGGAGGGGGGGAGGACATGTACATGCATGCTCTCCAGAGAGCACGCTACACTGAGATGGAACACACAAGCAATCCCCAGCCAGGTGCTCAGCTCAGCCACAGCAACTCGTAATTACACAGAGCCCTTCACGAAGGGTAGCATCCCAGAGCGCTTGACAGTGGTGGAGCATGACCCCGAGCCAGGGAGGGCGGGAAAGAGGTGACCATAGGCACGATCGAAGAGGTAGTTCTTCAGGCACGATCTGAAGGTAGGGGAGGGGGCAAGGCGGAGGGATTGAGGGAGAGAGTTCCAGATTTTCTGGACCTCATGGCTACCATTGGTAGAACAGAGGGCACGAGGGTCAAGCAGGAGGCCTGACAGAGCCAGTCGAGCGGAGGCAGCGGGTAGTGGATCAAGCGGGTCGGAGATAGGGAGGTGCCGGGGCGTGAAGGGATCTGAAGACGATTGAGAGGATCTTGAAATCGAACGGTCATCCCTTCAGGAAAGGAGACGGACTGGACCTGCAAACTACTGACTACCAGGACAAGAGGGAGGAGTAGGGGACTCACCCTTGAAGCCATGGCCCTTCGTGACTCCGATGACGTCGATCATCTCGTCCTGGCCGAACACGGTGTTCACCGCCACCTGCTGCTCCAGCTTCTCTCTGGCCCAGTCGATCTTCTCAGCGATGGTGCCTCCATTAACCTGGATCTCCATAATGTGCGACTTCTTCTGACGCAGGGGCAGAAGGCGCATCTGAGAGAGAGAGAGAGAGAGAGAGAGAGAGGAGGAAACAGGTTACAAACACTGGGCAGACTCAACAGCCAAGACACGGATGGGATATTAATAATGATGATAATCTTTGCAATGTGATACAGCACCTTATCACATCTTGGGAGATGTCTCAAAGCGCTTCACTGAATATACCCTAAAGTGTAGTGACTGTGTATTGCGCGAGCGAGATGCGGCAGCCAATTGCGCACAGCAGTGTCCCAGGCTGAGAGGGAGGGAGGTGACCGTAACCACAATCAAAATGGAAGGTCTTTAAGTGGGATTTGAAGGTGGGGAGGGAGGAGGCAAGGCAGAGGGATCGAGGGAGAGAGTGTTACCTGTGTGTGGGCGAGCACGCGGATGACCTGGCAGTATTTCTTCATGCTGGCAAAGTCTTTCTCCAGCTGCTTCTTGCCCTCCTCGTCCTGCCATTTCTTACAGTACTTGGTGAAGGCCTTCTTCTTGGACTTGTACCTTTACCGGGAGACACAAGGGAAAAGCGATGTGCCCCTTCATCACATGGGCATGTGAGCGGAAGGAGATCACAGCGAATAGGCTCATTGCTGGCATCTAAGGACATTTTCCTCCAGCAAAGTGAGCCGTGAGCTCATCAGCCACAGGCCGAGAGGAGCTGCCGGTGGTTGCATCCAGGTTAACAATTTTCGCACAAAATATAAACCATCAGAACAAACAAACTTTGTAAGGATTTGGGCAGCGGTTTATCTGTCAAACTCAGGGCCTTCTGCACTTCGCCAAATGCCGGCAGAGTTTGACAGATCTCCCCCTGCACACACATCGCAAATTGCTCAGTCAGGCTTGTATTACATCAGATGTCAGATAAATGTGCTCTCGCCCTCACAATGTCACGCTCACTTTCTTTCGGACTCACTGCGTTGTGTCTCTTTCTCTCTCTTCTGTCACCCTGTGTGTGTGTATGCGCACGTGTCTCTCTCTCTCGCCTTGGTACCTTCTGACACGAGAGGCGCTTTACAATGTAATTTTGCTGTCGTTATGCGCGTCTCTCACACACAGTCTGTGTGTGTGTCTCTCTCACATCATGGGTGTCTCTGAGCCCATTAACCAACAGCCTCACTGTAACCCCTTGCATTGAGAGCTCTTGACCTGATATTGCGAACGCTGCCTGGGGAATGCGTGTTCAGACACTGCTCCGCATACCCACCAGTTCTTGTAGAAACGCCTCTTGCACTCGTCACTGATGTGCTCGGCGAAGACGGTTTTGAAGGTGCGGAGGCCGCGGGGGGTCTCCACGTAGCCCACGAGCCCGACGATCACCATCGGGGGCGTCTCAATAACTGTCACCGCCTCCACCACCTCCTTCTTGTTCACCTCTGCGAGGAAACAAGGACAAGGTCTCAATGTTACACTCAGCCCGAGGAAGGGGGAGGGAGCAGCTACTGAGCCCAACCCACGTAATCCATCCCTCCCCACCCAGCCCCCTGGTGGTACAGGAGGAGGCCATTCAGTCCCTCAAGCCTGTTCCGCCTTTCTATAAGATCATGGCTGATCTGTACCTCAACTCACAATTACCCGCTCTTGCTCCTTAAGACCCTGTCCTAACAAATATCTGTCCCACCTTGGGATATACCAGCATTGCACTACAGTCAGCAAGCTCGACAATCAGCAAAAACCACCGTTGGTGGCTGTTTATGACCGCCCGTCGAGGCAATATCATCACGTGTAGTTAGCAATGTGCACCTGGGAACACCTGACATAGACCACACACCTCAGGACAAACATGAACACAAATGGAGCTACACCTGAACAGCAGAGGAGCTCGCTGCGATCGCTCAGAGCCACCGGTCACGTCACCACTACACACATACACCTTACTGTAAGGCGCAAAGATGTTTATAGATTGTGTGGCATGTAGGAATGATACATTAGCAAGTTAACTAGTTTTGACAGCTAAGTAGAGACAGACCCCCATTATTCTCTTCCTCTCGTCCCAGAGCGCTCGACAGTGGCAGAGGACAGTGGGTGGTACGGTCGAAAGGAAGGTCAAAGATGGGTTAGGAAAGAAGGAGCAAGGCGTTTATAAGTACATCTTATAAACTCTCACCGGTGTGTAAGTACAACGTACACTCGTGTAGTGCCTTTCACACAGACCCCAAAAAACCTTCACTTACTGGACCCAGGTCTGTCGACCTCACGAACAATGTGGGTCATTCCCGCCTTGTATCCCAGGAACGCCGTCAGGTGGATGGGCTTGCTGGGGTCATCCTTGGGGAAGCTCTTGACCTTGCCCCTGTGCCTGCGGCATCTCTTGCGGGGCAGGAAGCCCAGGGATCCGTGACGGGGAGCTGAGAACTTGCGGTGGGACTGCGGAGAAGAAAGACCGGAAAGTCAACAAGACCGCACTGTAGAGCGAGAGCGTCGCGATCCAATATAACAATCCTTGCATTTGACATAACCCCTTATCACATCACCAAGACGTCTCAACGCGCTCTACAGGATATACGGTATAGTGTAGTGACTGTGCCTTTTCGTAGGTAAACACGGCAGCCGGTAACGTGCTGCAAACGGTCACGGTGCTCGTGACTGATTTACACTGAAGTGGGGGTTTGACCTGGACATAGAGAGAGAAACTCCCTTCTGTTTGAATAGCGTCACGGGATCTTTTAACGGGATCCACGTGGACAGGCACAGACGGGGGTGGGGGTGAGGTTTAACGCCTTATCCGAAGCACGGCGGCTTCAGCAACGCATCGCACCCCCAGCTCTGCATTGGAGTGTCAGCCTAGACTGTACGTATATGGGCTCCAAGTCCCGACGTGGGGGCTTGAACCCACACTTTCCTGACTCAAAAGAGGCCAGAGTGTGACCGACAGAGCCGGGCTGACACATGAAACACTTGCAAGCCAAGAGGCGAGCTCAGCGGTCTGCAAAGCTTACAGAGTGCTTAAAAGTTTAAACCTCACCCGCACGCACCGTCGCACACGTTCCCACTCCCCCCCCCCCCCCCGCCTCCAAACCCCCAATTCATTGATTCACCTATAAGCCGTGGTACTGAAGTGAGAGACCGGAGTTCAATTCCAGGCAGAGGGCGAAACCTCGGGCAAGTTTCCTTACTCCACACAGAGCCTAATAATAATCCCTCCAAAGCCCAAAACAATAATAAATTGGGTCATTTTCAGTCTACGACTGTTTGTGGGACATTGCTGTGCGCAATTGGCTGCCGCGTTCGCCCACAAATATACAGTCAACTCACTTTACAGTGTGTTCTGTGAAGCGCTTTGGGACGTCCTCCCGACGTGAAAAGCGCTATATCAAATGCGAGGATTATTATTATTATTACTTGGGCTCAAAACATTTACCGAGAGAGAGAGCGCGCGAGAGAGAGAGAGAAAGAAAGTAACTTAACGGCGAGCTGGGCGCCAAAGTTGGGAAGGTCGCTGCGCGGGAGCCGACAAAAATCTGGAGTCACTACGCGCGCCGCCACCGCCGACGACGACTCCTGGGAAGCGCACGGGGACGCCTCCGGGGCGTCAAATCAGTGCCACGGCAGCCGGACAGCCAGACCAGACCCCCGGCTGCCCGCCCAGGGCCGGCCATGTGCTGCTGCTGTCACGAGAGGAGTCCATTTTGGATTCACATCAGCACACATCCCACCCCCACACAGACCCCCCCTCTCTCTCTCACGTCTGAATATATCCCTTCCCTGTGGAGTCCTGTAGCTCAGTGGTTAGAGCACTCGCTTTGCAAGTGAGAGACCGGAGTTCAATTCCAGGCAGAGGGCGAAACCTTGGGCAAGTTTCCTTACTCCACACAGAGCCTAATAATAATCCTCCAAAACCAAAAACAATAATAAATTGGTCATTTTCAATCTACGACTGTTTGTGGGACATTGCTGTGCGCAATTGGCTGCCGCGTTCGCCCACAAATATACAGTCAATTCACTTTACAGTGTGTTCTGTGAAGCGCTTTGGGACGTCCTATCCCGACGTGAAAAGCGCTATATCAAATGCGAGGATTATATTAGTATATTATATTAGTATTATTATAAAACTCCCCAATGTGGAGCCGAGGGTCAGAGGGGGAACCCACACCGACGTGACGGTCGGGCGCCACCGCTCGGGATGGCCGAGATTCAGCGCGGATTGCACTCGGCCTCCATTTTGTGCAGAGGCGGAGGCGCGGGGGGTGGGGGAGGGGGAGGGGGAGCGACGGCCGCCATTACCGACGGGACCGAGAAGCGCCTCCATTTTTTTTAAAAAAAACCCCGTTTTCATCGGCCGATCGACCGACCGGAACGTGAGGCCGCGCGAAAAAAAAAAAAAATCGGCGGGGGCGCGCCCGCGTCGACCGACCGACCGACCGGCGGCCGAAAGCGGCCTCGGGCTGTCGGGTATCGCCGCGCGCTCACCATCTCGTCAAGATGTCCGGCCCGAGAGAGGGAGCTGCCGCTCGCCGCCGCCTTTTATACCCTCCTTCCCCGCCCTCTCCTCGTGCGTCACTTCCTGAGCGCCCGCGGCCCGCCCCCCCCCCCAGCTCGGCTTCAGCAGGCCCCCCCCGGTCACGTGGTCGCCGGTCCCGTGGGACCACTGCCACTCGCCCCGTACCCGGTATAACGCATAATCGCTCACGCCAGACAGCGTCCGGTCACAGCCGCACCACCAAACCAACCCGCACCCAACAATTCATTAATCAATCAATCGATCGATCGATTAATGGTCCCCGGCCCGATTTTTGACGCAGGAGCGGTTTTTTTTCCCCGCGTCTGTTCGACGTCTCGCAGCGCTTCGCGGAATAAGAACTGTAAAGTGAATTGACCGTATATACTACTACTACTACTACTAATAATAATAATAATCCTCGCGTTTGATATAGCGCCTCATCACGTCTTCGAGACGTCTCAAAGCGCTTCGCAGGATGTACTGTAAAGTGAAGTGACTGTGTATTTTGTGGGTGGAAAGTGGCAGCCGATTGTGCTAATTGCACAGTGTCCCACAAACAGTCACGATTGAGTGACCAAACAATGATTATTATTTTATAATTATAATTTTTTTGGAGGGATTATTATCCCTGAAAAAGTGATCGCCAAATGACTAGCAATCAGGTTTTGCCCTGCCCAGTAATAAAATCCAGGTCCTCTCGCTTACGAGGCGAGTGCTCTAAACACTACACTACAGGACTCAATTATTACAGTACGTCACCCTATGCAATAACATATAATAAACAAACAATAGAAACATGTTTATAGATAAGAACATACGTATATTGCCGTCATTATGATATGATATGATATTACGGTGTGTCAGCCTGACTCAGTGGTAGCTCTCACCTCTGAGTCAGAAGATTGTGGGTCGGAACTTTGAATCACACAGTCTAAGCTGATGCTCCGATCCAGCGCTGTGGGGGGTGGTGGGGGGGTGAGTGTTGCATTATTAGAAGTGCCGTCCTTCAGATGAGATGTTAAGCCGAGGTCCTGTCTGCTTGTTCAGGTGGACGTTAAAGATCTCCTGCGGCTCTATTGGAAAAGAGAAGGGAGTTTGCCTCTCTCTCCCGGCGTCCTGGCCAACCATCTCTCAAATAAAATCTGTCACTCACTCTATAGCTGTTTGTGGGACATTGCTATTCAACGACAACCACAAAAAAAATCCAGAATTATAAATATATTTTGACATATATGTTTTGGATGTTTACACCATAATTTATTATCAAGTACCATAATATGTGATACTTAAGCACAACTTGTTCAATTTTGTTAAAATATAAAAACCCTCAAATACAGAATTATATTTAGTCATTTTAATAAAATAACTAAATATAATTCTCTATTTGAGGGGTTTTATATAAAAAATACAGTTTGGAATACATTTTATATAAAACGTCCGGCAATATATTAGTTGCAATTTGCAGTATAAGTATACATTGTTTAGCAATTTGCAATATATTAGATATAACAACAACAAAATTACATTTGTACAGCACCTTTCACGTCGGGAGGATGTTCAAAGGCACTGGACAGTCAGTGTTTTGGACCTTATATGATAAAGCACAATATCAAATGCAAAGATTATTATTATTATACATTGGTTAGCAATTTGCAATCCGGCAACAAAATGTACAGTCAGTTTACATTCACAGTCTATCCTGTGAAGTGCTTTGAGACGTCTCGAAGACACCATAAAGCACTGTATCAAATGCGAGGATTTTATTACTATTATATTCTTATCATTTTTGTACAAATCGCAAATTCAAAGCAATGCAATATTCTTTATTTCCCCCTCCTTTTTGCATGTTGCTTGCGAGCTGTGTTTTAGTCATTCAACTGTGCTTTAAACTGTGGCTGACTGACTGAAGTGAGACACACACCCACACACACACACATATATATATACACACACATACACATTGTTGTACCAGAGCATTGCAATTCCCATTGCCTTGCACTAGGGACAGATTGATAGAGAGAGAGAGAGAGAGACAGAGAGAGAAGAGAGGCAGAATAACAGCAGCAGCAGGAAGATGGAGACAGCTTATGGTGCAGGGAGAGCTGGGGGAGCTTTTGATCCTATCACCTTCATTAAACAGCCCCAGAGCATTGTGAGGGCTGTGTGTTGGGTGAGTATTTATTTTCCTAGGGAGGGAATTCAACGAAATCTGTTGAGAGAAAGAGGGAGAGGTGGTGGTGGTGGGGGGGGGAATGAGTGTGTGGTGGGAGAAAAGAGATGGATTTGGAGAGGGAGGCAGAGAGATGGCTTGCAATGCCTTGTATTGGAAGAAGGTCCAATAGACACGGAGATAGAGAGAGACTGAGCAATGTCATAGCAGTCATTCCACTTAATGCAATGGTAACCCCACCATTGTTCAGCTCCTGCTGTTTGCAGGTTGATTTGCAAGTTGACTTTCAATTCTATCCTTTTTTGGGGGGTCTTCACCTTTATCTCTACCTCCTCCCCTCCCTTCCTTATTTTTTACTCTAGGGAGAGAGAGAGAGAGAAAGAAAGGGGGAAGGAGGGTTTAAATCTCAGACATACGAGAGAGATAGAGAGAGATAGAGAAGATGGGAAGAGAGAGAAAAAAGGAGAGATAAGGTGGAGAGAGGGAGAAAGAAAGGTGGGGAGAAGGAGGAAAGGGGGAAGAGAGATAGAAAAGGGAGAGAGAAAGAGAGAAGGGGGTAAGAGAGGAGGAGGGGGTGAGAGGGGGAAAAAAGGGGGACAGAGGAGAGAGAGAAAAGGGGGGGGGTGAGGGGGTTAAAATCTCCTCCACACACTGTGTCTTGTGTATATAAAAACAATCCTGAGGAAGGTGTTGTGTCAATCGACATGTTCGCAATTTGTGTAGGAATCTCTCTGACCTTGGTCCCCATACACAAGAGAGAGAGAGAAAGATGTGTCTGTTTGGTTCAATGAATGTTCTTGTTCTGGGGAGAGAGATATGGAGAGAGGGGGAGGGTGGGGGGGAATAATCAAGGGTGCAAGGGATCCTTCTCAAGACTGTGTATGGGTTATTATTATTAATATTATCTATTCATTAACAAAATCTACAATCATTACACGTTACAGTATATCCCGTGAAGCGCTTTGAGATGTCTCGGCGATGTGTTAAAGCGTTATATCAAATGCAAGAATTATTATTATTATTGATGTGTAGGGAAAGGGGAAGTGAGAGGGTGAGGGTAGGGAGCGAGACAGAGAGACGGGATGTGTTTTTCTTGGGAGGGGGGGGGGGGCGCGGAAGATTTCTACGTAGACATGAGTGAGTCACGTTTCTCTCCACAATAAGGCTGTGGGGATTAGCTGGTGAGATTGATTGGCAATGAAGGGTGGAAGGACATGCCTGCCAGTGGGCAGGTGCGAGAGAGAGACACACACACACACAGAGGCACACACAGATAGAGACACACACAGAGGCACACACAGATAGAGAGGCACACACAGATAGAGAGAGACACACACAGATAGAGAGACAAACACACACACAGACCACACAGATAGAGACCCATACACACATAGAGACACACACACACAGAGACACACACACACACACACAGAGACACACACACAGATAGAGGGAGACACACACAGATAGAGACACAGATAGACAATGACAGAGGGAGACACAGAGAGAGGGTGAGAAAGTGGGTACAGAGGTGCTCTGATTCCTCCCCAACTCCATCCCCCACTCCCCCCGAAACTTTCAGACAGTGTATAATATGAGCTTTTTGTCTGGTTTGCAAAAGTGGTTTAATTTTCGGTGAGTGGGTGAGGTTAGGCGTAGATGGGGGTGTGTGGGGTGGGGTGACAGGTTGGCGAGACAGGTGGGCAATGGCGTGCCATTGAAATGCCCAATACAGATTTGGGGAAGTAATGATTTGGGCATTCTCCCCTCTCTCTTCCTCTCTCACTCTATCCCCTCCTCTCTCATTTCCCCCTTCTCTCCGTTCTCTTTTCCGATAGCAGGAAAGGTCTTGTGCATGTCCTTCCCTAATGGGATGGTTGATGAGATGGTAACTTGGGCTGTCCCTCAAGACCCATCTCAAGACCCTCCTCTTTGATTGTGCCTTCGATCACCCTTCTATCTGCCCCCCTCCCCTCCACCCTTCCCGGTCCAGATCCCAAGCTCGGGTCCGAAACTCTGATTGTCCAGCGCCTTGGGACATCCTCCCAACGTGAAAGGCGCTATACAAATGTAATGTTGTTGTTGTTCTGGGTTTCGCCACACCAGAGGGAAGTAGCTCCAATGCTTATAGGCCTGTTGAGGGGGGGTGGGGGGGGAGAGAGAGTGAGAAAAGGGGGAGAGGGAGAGAAAAAGGATGGATAGAGACAGGTAGGGAGGGAGAGAAAGAGAGAGAAGGAAGAGAGGAGAAGGGACAGAGATTGGGGGTGTGGAGAGAGAGAGACAGAGCGAGAGATAAGGGATGGAGGAGAGAGAGAAGGGATGGAGGAGAGAGAGGGGAAGAGGCAGAGAAGCAAGGGCAAGGGAGAGAGAAAGAGGGAGAAAACGAGAGAGGCTGAGAGAGATGTAAAACAAATGTTTGTCCCAGGAGGGGGCTAAGACAGACAGGTCATGAGATGCTTTCGAACCCAAGGTCATCCATCATGTGAGAGCGAGTGAGGCTAATGGCTCGGCCGGGCGTGTAGTACAATAACAGCAGGAACCTTTCTTGTTCTCCCTTTCTCCCTCACTCGCTCTCTCTGACATTTACCCAGCGGCTTTCACGTCGGGAGGACGGCCCAAGGCGCTGGGCTGGTCAGTTAGGGACTTGGACCCGGGGTGGGTGGGTGGGGTGAGCCTGACAGGGAGGCGATTTGGGGGTAATGGGGGGGCAAAGGATGGGGGGGGGGGGAGATGCTGATTCATGCATCTTGACCACCCGTGTAGTTGCTTAGCAACACTTGGTACCGATGTCGTCACATCCCCAGAGCCTGAACTTCCATCTCATCTCATCCCGTCATCAACAACAACACATCACATTTATTTTTATATATATATATATATATATATATAGAGCGTCTTCAGTCCCTGTAGCTCGGTGGTTCGAGCCAGAGGACCCGGGTTCGATTCCCGGGCAGGACAGGTCAGGGCGAAACCTTTGGCAAGTGTCCTTACTCCACACGCACTCGCAGGCAGATACACGCGGACACACGCAGACACGCGCGCAGACGGCCGCTCGCTGTGTGTGGGGCCGTCGCTTGGGCGCAATCGGCTGCCGCGTTTCGCCCGCAAAACACACACAGTCACTCTGCACTGCACTGTGCGTCCTGTGCAGCGCTTTGAGACGTCTCGACGACGTGATCAGGCGCTGTGTCAAATCAAATACAAGGTTTATTTTTATTATTATTATTATCTATTACAAATCTTGCGATGCGCTTTGAGGGGTCTGGACCGGGAGTGACTGCGGGGAGGCGAGGGGGTTTGAGGTGTGTGTCACGAGGGAAGATCGTTTGGGGGGGGGGGGGGGGTGGGGTATGGGGGAGGAGGGAGGAAGCGAGCGTTGGAGAAATGGACTGGAGCCGTGAATAAGAGTTAGTCTTGTGATTTCTGCAACGCCGTTCAGAAGACAATGTGGTCACAGTGTTAGCGAAGCATCAATGGCTATGGGCACATGACCTGCCTTCCATCTCTCCCCCCACCACTCCTCCCTTTCCTCCCCATCCTCCCCCCCCCACAAAAAAAAAACCCAGGAGCCACGAATGAAAGGCAGGCATTGAAGCAAATATCTCCCCCCGCCCCACCACGTCCCGACACGTGACCTTCCAGATTGTTCCTCGTCCCCGAAAGAAAAAGAGGTTTGCCTCATGATCAGCCGGAGGCCGGTAACATGATCAGCCCCGGAGATGCTGGAAGCAGGAAGTGACCTTATCGTAATAATAAAAATAATAACAATAACCCTTGGCCTTGGACCCGGCGCCTGATCACGTCTTCGAGACGTCTCAAAGCGCTTCTCAGGACACGCCGTAAAGTGTAGTGACCGCGCGTGTCCTGTGGACGAAGCGCGGCAGCCAATTGCGCCCCCAGCGACGTCCCCACAAACAATCGCGGATCGAGTGACCACATTATTATTATCATATATTTATTTGAAGGGATTATTAGCCCAGAAAAGCGATCCGCCAATCGACTAACAAACAGGTTCCTACTTAATAACCCTAAACAGAGCCTCGCAAGCGAGAGGACCCGGGCGGGCCAGGATGAAACATTGGCCAAGTTACCTTACACCCCCCCCCCCCCCAAACACACACACACACACACACGCACGGACGGCTCTGTTTAGGGTTAGGGTTGTTAAGTAGAAACCCGGTTGTTAGTCGATTAACGGATCTCTTTTCTGTGGGTAATTTGTGTGCGCGAGTGAGTGTGTCCCATTTGGGGATAATAATCCTTTGACACAGCCGTCTTATCACTCCACAGGATACACTGCAAAGTGGAGTGACTGTGTATTCTGTGGGCAAACCATAATCATAATAATTATATTACTATTACATCCCCCCCCCACCACCCCCAACAGCTCTTCTCTATCGTGGTGTTTGGGAGTATCGCTAACGAGGGCTACGTAAACCGCCCGAATGAGGTGGAACAACACTGTATCTTCAACCGGAACCCCAGTGCGTGTGGCTACGGGGTGGGGGTTGGGGTTCTAGCCTTCCTGGCCAGCACAGCCTTCCTCGCCCTCGACGCCTACTTCCCCCAGATCAGCAGCGTCAAGGACCGCAAGAAGGTGGTCCTGGCTGACATCGGCTTCTCTGGTCAGTGCAGCTGGGGGCGCGGGGGGGGGGGGGGGTGGGTGGGTGGGAAGGTTGGGTGTTGTGGGGAGCGACGGGGAGGGCATGTGGAGGGGGTCTGGTTTCAGGTGGTGTCGGGGTTGGAGTTTGGGGGGTTGTGGGCTAGTGGTGTTGGGTTGGGGATTGGGAGGGGGCAGGTGGTGGGGGGTTGCGGTTGACGCAGGATGGGGTGGGGACAGGGATAAGGGTGTTTGCGGTGGTGGGGGGGGGGGGAGAGAGGGAGGGGAGGTTGTGGGAAAGGATTTGCTACTTTTAAAGACCGGACCCAAAAATGTGACTTATTTTCTCTCTCTCCCCCTCTTCTTCTTTATCTTCCTCTGCCCCTTCTCGCCCCCCCCCCACCCCTCCGCCTGCCCCACCCCCTCCCCCCACAGCTTCCTGGTCCTTCCTGTGGTTTGTTGGCTTCTGTTTCCTCACTAACCAGTGGCAGGCGGCTAAGCTGGAGGACAATCCCCTGAGGGAGGGGGCGGACGCTGCCAGAGCTGCCATCACCTTCTGCTTCTTCTCCATCTTTAGCTGGGTGAGTGCTTCCTCCCCCTCTCCCTTCCCCGCTCGCTCCCTTCCTTCCACGTGCTCCGCCCTCCGTCTCACTTCCTTCTTCTCACGGTCCTTTCCTCCCTCTGGTTCCCATTTTCTCCCTCTCTCAGAATATACTGTAAAGTGCAGTGACTGTACATTTTGTGGGCGAAACACGGCGGCCGATTGTGCAGTGGTGTCCCTCAAACAGTCATGGATTGAGTGACCAATTCTTTTTTTAGTGGATTATTACCCCTGGAAAAGCGATCCGCCATTCGACAAATAACCGGGTTCCTACTTACTGCTGGTAAACAGAGGCGCGTGGGGGGGGCGCGTGTGTGTGTTTGGACTAAAGAAACTTGCCTAAGGTTAAGCCTCGTTCCACCCGGAAATCGAACCCGGGTCCTCTCACTTGCGAGGCGAGTGCTCTAACCACTGAGCTACAGGGACTCCGCGTCGTTATTTCACGTCGTAAGGACATCCCAAAGCGCTGGGAGTTCAACAACAACTTGCGCACACGCACACACACACACACACGCACCCTTCAGGCCGGACGGCATCTCGGAACGCTTTCAGTGCGTTAACGCGCGATATTTCATGTGCCACACCCGTGTTTAACGTGCGCTGTGTGCGTGTTTTGCTACCTGTACATCACCTGTGTCTCTCTCCCCCCACCCCCCACCCCTCTCCCCCTCCTCTCCGCAGGGCTACCTGGTGATATTTTCCATGGACCGTTTGAAAGATATAACTTTCGTTGAGGAATACAATAAACTGTTTCCTGCTCAGGAGACCCCGCCTCTCGCCTAAGCCAAGACCTCACTCCCCCCCCCTCCTTCTCCCCCCCCACCCTCCCTCCCCACCATCGCCAAAATTGGGGTGGGGGAGGGGTGCAAATGACCTCCAGTGACTATTGACTGTGCCCATTCCATCGTGCTGCAGTTCCAGATTCCAGCCACCAGGCAGCGCCAGTGCGGAGGCTTCTGTCTAACCACACGGTCGCCCCCTGGTGGAGGGAGATGGCATAACACGTGGCCCAAACCGACCTGACCCCGGGCACCATTGCCCTCTCTGCTCCGTACTAACCCAATCCTCTCCCACATTGGCTGCCGCACACCCCCTCCTCCTCACCCCCAAAACAAACCCACGGCATCGGTCGCTGAGTACCAGCTCTCTCTCCCCCTCGCTCGCTCTCTCTCTCTCGCTTGCTCTATCCCCACCACGTCCCCCTATCTTCTCACTGTTCGCTCTACCGCCCCCCACCCCACAAGCCCCCCCCAAACACACAGACAGACACACGCATGGGCAAGAGGTCACACAGACAGACACACGCATGGGGCAAGAGGTCACACAGACAGACACACGCATGGGGCAAGAGGTGATCGTTGAGAGCGTGACCTGCCTTAACATAGCTCTAACTAACCCGCTTCCTCCCTCTGCTCCCCAGTCTCAATCAGTGCCAATATAACACAACTAATGCACGGTGTCCTCTGTTTTGTTCTGGTCTCTCTTCTCTTTCCCTCCTTCCCTCTCTCCTTCCTTCCTTCCTTCCTTCCTTCCTTCCCTCTCTCCCGCCTTCCCTCTCCCTCCCTCCTTCCCCCTCTCTCTCTCTCTATCTCTTTTCCTCTCTCCATTCCCCTCTACCCTGCCGCCTCTATGCCCCTCACTCCCTCCTCCCCTTCTTCCTATCTATCCTCTCTCTCCCTCCCTCTCTTGCTCTCACCCTTCCTCTCTCTCTCACTCTCCCTCCCTCCCTCTCTCCTCGTTCCCCACACGTGCCCCCCCCACCCCACCCCACACAGGCGGCTCAGGCCTTCCTGGGCTACAGGAGATACCTGCTGGGAGCCGACTCCGCACTCTTCTCTCAAGACTACACCGACCCCAGCCAGGACACCTCGGTCCCTTATGCCCCTTACGTCTCGGGGGACGAGATAGAGACGTCCACCGCCTACCAGCAACCTCCGTCCACGGAACCCTACAATGCCAATCAAGAAGGCTACCAGACTCAGAACTACTGAGAGAGACCGACCCATCAACCGGCCCAACTCATCCACCCAGCCGGCCATCAACCAACCAACCAACCAACCAACCAACTGGGTGAGACAGAGAGAGAGGCAGAACGAGAGAGAGAGTGAGAGGAGAAGGAGTGAGTGTCTGGGGGGGTGGGAAGAGATTCATGTGTACATACCCATTTTACTAGGCCAATGTTTCTTTAAAAGAAAGACTGTAGCAATGGGCTGACCCTAGCCCCCTCCCCCTAAACTCAACCCCATCCCAACTCAACCCCAACCCAACCCAACCCCATCCCAACTCAACCCCAACCCAACCCAACCCCAACCCAACTCTACCCACCCATTCCATCTCCCAGAGACCACCATGCATTACAGTGTCTCATACACCGAGAAAGGATTCTCAAGGCAGACACACACACATGGTAGGTTCCCCCATTTTCCTCCGCCCCCTCCCCTCCCCATTCCTGGGGTCCCAGGTTCGGGCCCTTTCTCTCTCCCTCCCTCGCTCACTCCCTCTCTCCCACGTAAAATGGTGCAAATTTTGTTTTAAAAGTTTGATTCTGTGTGTTTTGTTTTGGTTCATATATATATAAATATATATATATATAGATATACATAAAAAATATACATATTATATATACTGCGATAATTGGGAAGAGTTTGAAGGATGGTGAAAGGTTTCAGGGTCTGTCTCCCTCGTGCAGCTCCGTCAGGGGCCTGTCCCGTGTGTGTGTGTGTGTGTGTGCCTCATGCAGCTCCACCAGAGGACTATCTGTGTAGTATTTCTGCGTGTGGTTTGCATGTACGTGTCTTCATGTGTGTTTGTGTGTGCGTGTGCTTACATGCGTCCACGTTTTCATACCTGTTTACATGTGTGCATGTGTTTACACGTGTGTTGACACAAGTGTGCGTTTACCTGGGTGCGCGGACTTGCACATAGGCATGTACGCACGAGTGTTTACATGCGCACCCGCGTTTACATGCATGTGAGCTCGTGTTTACATACGTGTTAACACGTGAGCTCGGGGAAAAGCCACTTCGATAGCTCTTACATACAGCACATGAAATGCAAATGACAACAATTTGACCATTAAGAGCTAAGTGCACTCTTACTCCCCGCACTCCTCACCCCCTCCCCATATTACAGGGAGTGTTTGCGTGTGTATGTTGGGGAGGAGAGAGAGTGGGGTTCACAACCTACATTGAGCCCCATTTTTGTTGGTGTGGGGGGAAGGGGGGGTGGGTAACGCCATTCAGAATGGGATTGGGTGGGAAGGGGAGAAAATCTAAGCACAAATAATAGCAAGTTATTTTTATTTTGTTACACAAAAAAGGCTAAGCACAGAGAGAGAGGGGATTGGGGATCTTTCACAAACTCGAGGGGGATATCGACAGCGCGATAACTTAAGTGGTTAGTGACAAGTTAAGCTGGGGGTGAGTTACTGGGAGTTTATTACTCGCAGTTACTAAACGGATCTTGACGAGTTCTTGGGAGGGCAGATGACGGCTCCAATTTTTTTTTGGTGGTGGGGCGGGGGGGGGTGGGGAAGGAAGGGGAGTGGGCAGAAAGGGTTGAAGTCCCATGAAATTAGCTCCCCCTCACCTCCAATAGTTAGCCTGTGGGGCGGTGGGGGGAGACAGAGAGAGAGAGAGAGAGAAAGAGGGACAGAGAATCAAATTACTCCTTAAACAGGAACTCTCGCGTGATGTTCAAAACAGGGCACCAGCCCATTTTGTATTGATGTGACACCCTCCCCACATACACACCCACACAAACACACACGCGCTTGTGTGTGACAAGGTTTACCCCCACCTCTCTCGCTTGTCGCCAATGCCTTGCTTCCCCAACACCAGCGGAGAGGATTATCATCTCGCTGTATCTCCTCGGTTCTACCTGGTATTGTGTGTTAACAGGAAGGATGGACCGAGTTACAAAAGCTTTACACTGTGTATAAATCTGTCTTCACGTTGTTGTATTGTGTGTGCGTGTGAGTGTGAGATGTGGAGTCAGAGGATAGGGGGTCACTTGTCTCTAATTTCGGCCACAGCGACTTTCAGGTCTTGACCCAAAGCACCTGGGGATACCGGGGGTTACGGACAATATCGAGTCGTGTAGCTCAGTGGTTAGAGCACTCGCCTCGCAAGCGAGAGGACCCGAGTTTGACTCCTGGGCAGACAGGGTGAAACCTTCGGCAAGTTTCCTTTCTACACACACACACACACACACACGCACGCGCCTCTGTTTACTTAGCAGGAAGTAGGAGCCCGCTTGTTAGTCGATTGGCGGATCGGTTTTCCCGGGGAGTTATAATCCTTTAAAAATATACACATATAATAATAATTTGGTCACTCAATCCACGACTGTTTGTGGGACACTGCTGTGCGCAATTGGCCACCTTTTGCCCACAAAATATAGTCACTGCACTTCACAGGATATCCTGTGAAGCGCTTCGAGACGTCTCAAAGACCCGATAAGACGCTGTGTCAAATGCAAGGGTTGTTATGGTGTGGCTGTGCGCTTGGGGAGAGAGCGAGAGTGAGAGAGGAGGGGGTGGAGGGGAAAGCGAGAGGGTGTCTCTGTGAGGTGATGTTCGTTGCTAGTTTGTTAGCCGCTAGTTGGTTGTGCAGTGTCTTCTTCTGTACATAGGTTTCCAGTCATTAGGCTTTAAGGTTTATCAGCCGAAGTACAGTAATTGTTCGCTGTTGTTTGTTCGGTTTCGCGAGAAAAAGATCTTTTTTTTAAAAAAACACAACATATATATATGAAAAAAATTGTTGTTCAGCCAAACTTGAGAGTAAAGTGGTGTGTGTGGGTGGTTGGTGGGGGGGTGGGCGGTAGAGAGAGAGGGTCTGTTAACTCCTGTAGGTGAACAAGGGTCGATTGTTAGTCAAAGGACTGAGGCACGGCTCGGGACGGACAGAAACACCTGTTCATTTAGAATTGGAGGGTGACATTTTGTGAATTTGTCTTGTTGTTCCTATATCTTGACTCTTTCCCCCTCCCACCGCCCCTCGGAACCTCTCGCCTGCGCTTTCGCGTTCAATGGGGAGGGGGGGGGGGGTTGATAACGTGATACGTGGATGGGGGGGGGTAGGGGGGAGAGGTATAAAGTGATACGTGAGGGAGGGGGAGGTAGATTGGGAAACGTCCCCTCACTGAAGGAAGGCATAACCTCAATTTGACGCGCACGAGCCGAAAGCTCCGCACTGTCTCAGCCTTAAGACCGTTCTGGTCTCCGAACCTAACCTAACATTCCACAAACCGAGAGACACGAACAGAGTCGCAGAGAGACGGTGCCATCTCGCATTTAACGGTTAAAAAAAATGGGCCCCGCGGGGTGAGACCGGGTGGAATTTCTGGCCTTCGGTGGCTCTCGATGCCTGGACGTGAACAGGAGCCTTAACCTTCCCGCTATTCTCCCTTCTCCCACTCCCCTCCCACACACACACACACAAACACGCACACCTCCCTCTTCTGTGTGTGGTGATGATGCTGCCTGTGTTTTTTTTAATATATATATATAGTATATAAAACGTCCTGCGTTAAACACACACCGTTACCATTTGCCTGTTACACCCCACCCCGGGTGCGGAAAGCAACCTGCCCCCCCCCCCCCCCACCAGGCTAGGGTCCTGTCTCAGTCGGCTGTCTCTAGCCAGACCACCCCCCCCCCCCCCTTCTCTCCCCTCGCCCCCTCCTCATGGACAGACCCCCCTCGTGGACAGATACAAGCAGTCGCCACACCTTTATATTGTGAAAGTTCCCACACGTGAGGATCCCTGTGCAATGTATTCACACTGAATCCATGAGGTCGTACAACCCTTAACGGCATTTCATTGTACTTTCTATATCGTTGTGACTGTGTATTTCCTCCTCCTACAATGCAGTACTTTTTGGTGTTCGTTTTGACAGATATCGGTGACTATTTATCTGTAAAACTGTGGTTCTCAATAAAGATCTTTCAAGTAGGTACAATTGTGTTGGGTTTGGGGCTGTGATTATCCTGTAGCTCAGTGGTTCGATCACTCGCAGGCGAGAGGACCTGGGTTCGATTCCCGGGTGGGGTCAGGGCAAAACCTTAGGCAAGTTTCCTTACTCTACACACACACGCACACACCTCTGTTTACAGTAAGTAAAGTAGTAAGTAGGAACCCGGTTGTTGGTCGATTGGTGGATCGCTTTTTCGGGGGTAATAATCCCTTCAAAACAAACAATAATGTAGTCACTAAATCCGCGACCGGGACACTGCTGCGTGCAATTGACTGCTGCGTTTCGGCCACAAAAGATGCAGTCACTACACTTCACAGTGTATTCTCCCCTCCCCGAGAGAAACTCGTTTACATTGCTGTTTGCGGGAATTGCCTACCGGGTTGGCGCCCGAAATACACGGTCACTGCACTCAACAGCAAGTTCCCGCGAAGCATCCGAGCCATCGCGAGTGCCGTAAAGCACTTTGGCTGACATCGAGAGTAAAATTCACGCTCCCGAAAGAGGGGCCTAACAAACAGGGCCGCCCCACACAAACAACAACTTGCATTGACGCAGTGGCCTTCGTTCGGGGCAGAGTCTCGGAGCGCTTGACATGAGAGAGAGAGACACACACACACAGAGAGTCCCAATACTTGCTCTGACTGCCTGGGTGTCCCTGTTCAACGATTGGAATCACGAGGAGAGAGCGAGCACGACTCGAGGCCAATTCTGCGGAGGAAAGGTCCGTTTGCCGATATTTATTTGGCTCAGCGAAGCCTTCAGTTCGGATACAACACAAGAGACACAGACCACCCTCACAGATACTCTTCCTCCTCTCCCCCCCCCCCTCCCGCCCCCAACCAACTATCACACAGGTCCACAGCCTCCTTCCCCCTCCGTCCACATCAGCACTCAGCACGAGCGCGCTGAGAGCTGGCCAACCCAGAGAGCATTCGGACTCGGGACTTAGGTTTTCCCCCCTCCCCCACCGTCTGCCCGCCCTGTTTGGGGGGGTGGGTCGGAAGGGGTGGGGGGTTGGGGGCAGGAAGTGGTTGCTCCAGAGACCTACGCAGCATCGTCGTCGTCATCGTCGTCGTCTTCGTCATCATCGTCATCCTCCTCGGAGCTGAACGTGCCGTCGGGAAGGCTGTACACCCGGATCACTTGCTGCGGGGAGAAGGGAACGGAAGAGAGGTTACCTTGAGGTTACAGACGGGGGGGTGGGGGTGTTGAGTGGAAAGCTGTTAAGAGAGCAGCACAGGCACAATGTGTGTGAGAGGGGGGTGGGGAGAAAGAGGAGACTGAGGAGGGCAAAGAAAGAGGGTACAGAGAGAAAAATGGAGGAGGGCAGGGATAGAGAGAAAAAGAGGTGGAGGAAAAGAGAGGAGGTGGTGAGAGGGACAGGTGCGGAGAGAGAGAAAGTGAGAGAGGAGGGGGTGAGAGGGGCCTTAAAGAGGAAGGGAGGCGGGGTGACAGAAAGATAGTGAGATAGGAGGGGCTGTGAGAGAGAAAGGGTGAGAGAGGAAGAGGGGGGGGGTTGAGGGTGAGAGAGGAAAGGAGGGGAGTTGAGGGTGAGAGAGAGAAGGAGGGGGGTTGAGGGTGAGAGAGAGAAGCAGGTACCTTGTTGGGGTCTTTCAGGATGAGGTATTTGCCCTCGTCCAGCTTCATACAGATGTCTATGACACAGCGCAGGATGCCCCAGGCGTTCTCCATGCTCAGGTTGATCTGGCTGGCAAACTCGTTGGGTTTGAACTGCTGTGTGCCCAGGATCACGTGACGAGAGGAGTCCTTGATGTGGAAGCGAGAGACATACCTGCACAACGACAGGACACAGCTCAGACCTATCAGGCTGCCCAGGGCCCCCCCACCCCAACCTCCGCACCCCCACCCTACTCACCCCACCGAGCGAGAGAGGGAGCCCTTCACCCGGAGACGAGACTGCCCTGAACCCCAGCCCCCCCCCACCCGCTCCCAAGTCCAGCCCTCGACCCATGGAGTCAGGCGCTTCAATTACATTTCGATTTGCAAGCTCCCAATCATCTGTGCTGTTTTCGCTGGGTACCCTCCAGCAGACTCCCCCGCACCGCCCTCCTCTCCCCCAGCAATGCACACTCGGGGATCTCCCCCCAAAAGGTTGGACCACCCTTAACTAACAACAACAGCAGCAGCGCCCTTCACGTGGGGTAGCGTCCCGGAGCGCTTCACAGTGGCGGAGAGGGAGAGGGGGAGAGGGAGGTAAGGTGACTGTCAGCGCAATCCAAAAGGTCTTTAGGCGGGATTTGAAGGTGGGGAGCGAGGGGGCAAGGCGGAGGGATTGAGGGAGAGAGTTCCAGAGTTTCGGGGCGCAGCGGTTGAAGGCGCGGCGATGGGTTTCCCGTGTGCTGGCTTGCTCACCCGAGTTTGAGGTACTCGGAGCCGGCGAGGAGGGCACAGCATGTCCAGCGAGCCAGCTTGTAGCTGTTGTTCTTCAGCTCTGTGGCCAGCACGGCTCCTCTCTGCGAGTCCAGCTTCTGACGCCAGTCCACTCCGTTACAGTACTGCGGTCGCAACACACACAAGCGTTACTTCTCACTCACAAAATACAGTCACTACACTTTACAGTGCATCCCATGAAGCGCTCTTGAGACGTCGCGAAGACGCGATAAGGCGCTGTGTCAAACTGGTGCTTAGATGGGAGCAGACAGCACAGGATCACACACAAGTCAGCCTGTGTCCCTTGGGTAGTTTTTCTCCCCTCCCTCCCCCCCCCCCACCCCCCCTCACTCACCCTGGAGTCCCACTCGTTCAGCGTCTTGACGTTGATGAAGGAGACTTCTCCATTAGCTCCGGTCATGACCCCATCGTGCTCACACCTGACAATCAGGTCGATGTCCTCGCCCAGCTTCCAGCGTCGGTATCTGCCGCAGAGAGAGAGACACACACACACAGTGAGTGAGTGAGTGAGTGAGTGAATGAGTGCGAGAGCGAGCGAGCAACGGAGGGAGGACACCTCTCCCCAGCCTCCGCACTCGCTCTCCAAAGGCACTCACTTCCCAGGGAGAGGGGAGGGGTCAGGGGAGAGGGAGACTCTGTCTTGCCCTGAGTCTCAGCTCCATACAGGTGGACAGGGGGGGAGGGAGGACAGACAGACAGATCGACACAGACAGGAGTAACCAGGTAGACACTCACCTGTAGCCAACCGAGGCCACCTCGTTCTTGTCCACATCGTCCTCCACGAAGGGGTTTGGGTTTGGAAAACGGTATTTGTCACCACCCTGAGGAGCCAAACAGCTTCATTAGCATCTCACACCCCGACCAGGCTGCCCTGGGCACCCCAACATTTAACACCATGCCCTGCTATATACACACGCGGACACCCCAATCTCTCAACACACTCCGCAGGGGATTCCAGCCAATACAACTCACACTCACACAGCGTCTCTCATGTAGGGTTAGGACGTCTCAAAGCCCTCGCTTTGCTGGGCATCCGGGCTCTGGGGCTGAAAAGGTGACCCAAAGCGCGGTCAAACAGCCAAGTTTTGAGACTTGCCTTGAACGAGGGTGGGAGGGAGGGAGGGAGGGAGGGAACGGAGCCGGGGTAGAATGACTGAAAGTTTGGCCGCCAATGGTGGAGCAGACTGGGCCGGGCAGGTGGGTATGTGTGGGTGTGTGTGTGCGCCCACTGCGAGAAGGGAGCTAACTGAGCCGGGATGGGTTGATGTGGTAAATTTCCACTTACGTCGGCGGCGGAGCCTTTCCTGACCATCTTGAGGCACTGCTGGGAGAAGTTGTGGTTGATGTAGGTGGCCTCCATGGCCAGGTTCCGGGGGGAGTTGAAGGAGTTGCCTTCGTCCTGGGGCGGTTCGTTGGCGGTCTCGCTCACCGTCAGCAGGTCTGAGGGCGGCGAGAGGGACAGTCAGGCCTCACAACAAGGGGATCGAGGGAAATGGGGCAAAGGCGGGTAATTGGAGCTGAGGTTCAGAACAGCCGTGATCTTATAGAATGGCGGAACAGGCTTGAGGGGCCGAATGGCCTCCTCCTGTTCCTACGATCCCAGTCAAATGCTTACCGAAGTCGGAGTGATCCCGCTTGTCGAAGAAAAGCTTGGAGCCAACGCGCTGCACGATGATGTCCCAGGAATAGACAGACCTGGTGCAGCACATCAGGGTGGCCAAGATGGCGTCCGTGGCGAACACGTTCCCTTGAGACTTGGCCAACTGCACGGACACAAAACAGCCGCTCAAGTCAGTCGATTCGGAGAGAAGGGTCACACACAGCGACGTAACCCACCACAAGCACGTTCACAGCAGAGAAAGACCTTCTTCCAGTTTTCTTTTTTGGACAAACAAGCAGTGCTCTCTCTCTCTCTCCCTCCCCCCCGCCCAGCCCCAAACCCCCACCCCCCCCATCTCAGCACTGCGCTCAAAAACCCTGACCGATTGGGGGAGCGGGGAGGGGGAGGCGGGGGTTTGAACTCTCAACCCTCTGCCCCAGACCCCAGCACCCTCCCTGAGCCCTGGGTTAAGCCCCCGTTGGGAGGCTGGCTTGGCGGGCTGTGCTGTGCCGGCCCGGCTCACCTTACGGATGACGGGATCGTCGGTGGTGGTGACCGTGTGGAAAATCCTCTTAATGCTCTTCAGCGTCCTCTCGTTCCTGGTGGTGACCCGGTCAAAGGCCTTGTCGTAGAACTCCAGGGCCCCACAGCTCTCTCTGCAGGTACAGCAACCAGCGGTCAGTGACCTAACCACAACCCAGACACAACCCCAACCAGCGCCCCACAGCTCTCTCTGCACGCTCAGCAACCAGGGGTCAGGAGCCCACCTCCTCTCCCCCTCCCGCCCCGCCACCACTCACACTTACATGTCACTAGGTTCGGCCACTTCCATGTATCTCATCTTCATCAGCCGGGGGAAGTCCATCTCCTCCTTCACCTCCCAGTCGCTCCGCACTTCAACAGAGGAGTCGCGGGGCTTCAGCTGTGAGGAGAGCGCGTCAGTCAGTGACAGTGGCAGCCACAAGCAACCGCGTCGCGATATCGTCGTCGCACCCGCCAATACGCGTTGACCCATCGCAGGAAGTGCCCGCACGCAAGTGCCACACGTGCCCGAAAGGGTGGTTACCCAACCCCCGTGCACGGTTGCAGCACCGCACCCAACTCGTCTCTGGGAAAAGGCTCGGAACAACAAGAGCATTGTATTTACGCAGCACCCCTCACACAGGGCAGAGTCCCAGAGCGCTTGACGGTGGCAGAGCACCACCCACCCCGAGCCGGGGGGAGGTGACCGTAGGCGCCGTCGAAGAGGAAGGTGATCTGAAGATGTGGAAGGAAGGGGCAAGTTTTATAAGCACAAGCGAGAGAGAGAAGGGGGGGAAACCCACCTGCGATTTCTGGTCCCACTTTTGCCGCACGCCAAACTGCTTCTGAAATTTCTTCTGCAGACGCAAGCGATCCCTGTGGGCAGGTAGGAGAACATCAAACGAGGACCGAAATTCAGACTCATTCTCCCCCCACCCCCTCCCACACACACACACACACACAAAGAGAGGAGTGTTTGGCGTCTCCAAGGCGCTGTTCTTGCTTCCACTGTTCGTCATGTTTGGAAGTCAACAACAACAAATGACATTTTACGTAGCGCATTTCACGTCGGGAGGACGTCCCAAGGCTCCGGACAGTCAGGGATTTTGACCCGAGCTGTGGTTTGGGAACAGGAGGGGTGGAGGGAGGGTAGTTAGTGGTGGTGGTGGGGGGGGTGACTGAATGTGCAGTCGAAGAGGAAGATCTTGGGATGGGCCTTGAAAGAGGCCGGGGAGGGGCTGAGGTGGAGGGACTGCGGGATGGAGTTCCAGAGATCAGCGCCGGAGCGGGCAATCTCTCAGGCTCTCGGCTCAGCCTCTCGCTGGCCTGTCTTGCTCGCTCGCTCTCTCGCTCACCTCTCCTTCTGCTTGGCGCTCTTGGGAAGTGTCTGCATGTTAAACTGCAGCAGCTGCCTCCGGTCTTTCTCCCGTCGCATGTTCCTCTGCTGCAGGGGGGCAAAGGAGGAGAGCGGGTCAGGTCAATTCAGTGTCAACGGAAGCCGAGCGAGAAGGTCCCTCTGTGTCCTCGCTGCTCTGTGCTTGTCCGGTTGACGTTTACCTGAGCAAACCTCATCCTGTTCCTCTGGTACGCGCTCTTCTGTGTGCGGGCCGTGTCCACCAGCTGGAAGCTCGTCTCGTCCTCTCGTGGAAGTAGGCGTACTGGCTGCCGCCACCAAACTGAGAGGAATATTTATCTGCGGAGGGTGGGGGGGGAGGAAAGAGAGAGATTCACGATCAGTTACAGCAGTGAAAACAGGCTCATGATCTTCGGGTCAGACAATTGTGGGCTCAACGACCCGTGTCTGTGTTGTGGGCACAAAGTCTAGGCCAGTGCTCCAGCTTGGTTGTTGGGCGGGTTTGTGTGTAAGATCACAGTACTTACTGGTGTACCGCTTGTCTTGATAAGTGGCTCCTGTCCAGTCAGCAACCTGGAAAATATTGGAGGAAACAAATTGAAGATGGAAAGCAATCTCCAGTTAAGGTCAAACCAATTGGGTCAAATCCCCCCCGTTCCATCTTGCTGCAACAATTTGTGTTTACACAGCGCCCCTCACACAGGGTAGCGTCCCAGAGCGCTTGACAGGGGCGGAGCACGATGCTGAGCCGGGGGGAGTTGACCGTAGGCCCAGTCAAGAGACGCAACCTGAAGATAGGGATGGAGGGGGCAAGGTGGAGGGATAGAGGAAGAGTGTTCCAGAGCTTTGGGGAGTAGTGAATCCATGCATTCGGTCACTTTCCTGCCCGTACCCTCCCTGCCCTCCTGATTCCCAACCCCCAGGTCCAAATCCCTGACAGTCTAGTCCATCCAACGCCTTGGGACATCCTCCCGACGTGAAAGGCACCGTGTAAATTCATTTAATGCGGCTGTTGTTACAATCGTACAGCTATGTTTGACGACACCACCCGGCTGGGAGCGGACCCACTGGAGGAGAGAAGCCAAAGGAAAGCGAGTGAGGGCGGGTGTGTGGGATTACCAAGAAGGGGTTAAACCGCGCCCTGTGCGTGTCCCTTACCTTTCCCAGCCGGTCACCCTTGCTGAAAGGCTGGTACGGCATGTCCTTGAACTGTTCCGGCACGGCACACGGGCCCCATCCGAAGGGATTGTCCTGGATGATGGGGGTCAGGAACCGCGCCATCTCCCCAACCTGCAACACAGGCCAAGAGCGGGTTTAGAGAAGGACACAGCAGAGCAGAGACCGCCAGAGCCAGCAGCACCCTACCCAGCAGGGGCTGAGAGTTGCATAAGAACATAAGGATTGGCTTGGGAAAAGAAGACCAAGGTCCATCTCGTTCGCCTTCCATCATCCTGGCAGTCGCTTGACATGTCGTGTCCCAAACTGCATATGAGCATCGAAGCATTGTCTCCCTGGAGGGACACACCCTGGATACTTAATTCCGGAAAGTAATAGGCACAGGTTGCAAGAGCCAAGGCTCGGGGGAGCCCAGTGTGTGCGTTGGGAGTAACTGCTGGAGTCTAACCAGCTGGAACCACATAGCTTGCCTTGATATCACTGCCTGTCCAAGCTTTCCCGCTGCTTGTCCAGCAAGGACCACCTTACCCATTAGGGCTTTGGCTGCGGGGTTAACAGGAGCCAAGTGGGAGGATTCCCTGCCCCAAGTGACCGGTCGGCCCTTCCAGGTCCTGCCGATGAGCCGGGCCGGGCTGCGCCGTCATGCGGCCCCTCCTGGCTCAGGAAATCAGCCTTTTATGTGGGATTGTGGAGGCGGCCGGAAAACGCCCACCGGTCTGACCCAGTGGTGACTTGCCTGACCGATCGGGCTCACACCGGCGGTCAAACCGAGCCCTCGAGCAAGGGAGCAGAACTGTGGGGTGAGAAGCCCGAGAAAAACGACAACAACAACAACAACAACAACCCTGGCATTTATTACGGCGCCTCATCACGTCTCAGAGCCCTTCGCAGGATACGCCGTAAAGCGTAGTGACTGTGCGCTTTGTGGGCGAATGTGGCCGTATTGACGTGGGCAGAGCCACGTCTCCGCAAACAGCCGTGAGGAACGAACCAGCGATCGGGGGTTTGAGCCCCACATCGGGACTTAAGTCTAATCTGATGCTCCAATGCAGCGCTGGGGGTGGGGTGGGGGGGGGGGGGTGGGGTGGGGGGGGTGTTACATTGTCATTGGGGAGAAAGTGGGGGGAGGGGGTGGGGAGGGCAATGGGGGGTGTGGGGGAGGGGGGCAATGGGGGGTGGGGAGAGCAATGGGGGGGGGTTATGGGGGAGGCAATGGGGGGGGGGGCAATGGGGGGGTGGGCTATGGGGGGCAATGGGGGGGTGGGCTATGGGGGCAATGGGGGGTGGGCTATGGGGGGGGTGGGCTATGGGGGGGCAATGGGGGGGTGGCTATGGGGGGCAATGGGGGGGTGGGCTATGGGGGGCAATGGGGGGGGTGGGCTATGGGGGTAATGGAGGGGTGGGGGGCAGTGGGGGGGGGGGAGGGGGGGACAAGGCTCCACAGGTTACCACAGGCCCCACATTCCCGGGGAACCCTCTCGGCGGCTCCGTCTGAGGTGGAAACCGCACGACGCAAAACACGAGTCATCCGAGTCAACACAGACACTAACGGTAACGGTGTCCCCCCCCCGGGGACCCCCCCTCCCCCCGGGGTTCCCGCTGTGCTGATTTACCTGCGTTTTGCCCCCGAATTCGGCGGATGGCGACGGATTACAAAAACCCGAGAGCGCGAGAGAGAGAGAGAGAGAGAGCGCGAGAGAGAGGGGACGGGGACGGCGCCTCACTGCCGCCAAACCGCACTCTCGCGACACTGTCGCAAAAGGGCGGGGGCTGCGTTTCTAAAACGCCCCCCGAAACGCTGCTGTTCGGTCTCTCACCGACCGAACCGGCGAGGAAGCAACTCGGGAAAGCCGCTCCCGCCGCCCGTTCCGAAACCGGCCCTCTCTTTCTGGGGTGGGAGGGGGGGGAAACTTCAACCGACTTGCTTTACGGCAGTGGGGCAGCCACGGTGGCCCCAGTTCTTGCAGGGCCGACAAGGAGCTGACGAAGGGGTGGCAAGATGGGGCTTGGCGCCTGTCTCCATCACCTCCCCCCCCCACTGGGCTTGGAGGACTGACATCATGGCATCTTTTTCTCTCTCTCTCTCATTTCAGCGCTGCCCCAGCTCCAGGTGCAAAAACGCACAGTCACTACACTAACACTACACTACACACCACTTCGCGGTGCAGTCCTGCGAAGCGCTTTGAAGGCGGTCTCTCCCGATGCGAAAGGCGCCGTGTGTCACTAATGATAATAATAATAATAATAATCCTTGCATTTCTCAAGCAAGTTTATTTTTATTATTATTTATTATTATTTATTATTATTAAGTTTATTATTTCTCAAGCGACTTCAGTCGTTCCTCCCCCCCCTCCCCCCATCCACCCCCCTTCCTGCCCTCCACCCCTCCTGATCCCAAACCCCAGCTCGGGTCCAAATCCCTGACTGTCCAGCGCCTTGGGTCGTATTCCAAAGACAAACGGAAAAGTCATGATATTTTTCCAACCGTGACACATCTGCAGCGAGAATTATTATTATTATTATTATTACATTATTAGTGATCAATAATCACGTGAACCTTACAATCTGACGCCTCCATCCCGTGGTCGGGACGTCCGAGAGCGCCTCACAGGGTTTTACCGTGACTTGCGGAGACTGTGTGAATTTCGCGGGTGATGCATACGTAGAAACGCGAGAAAAAAATAGCCCAGAGAACCATCGAGGTGCCGGCTCTCGAGGGTAAATTTACAATTGTCACGTTGATTGAACGTTTTGATAGCACCCATCAGCTGGGGAAAATTTACTCCATTTGCAATCCTCCCCCAAGACCACTAGATGGTATTTTACCTTAATTTCGGGTTTCAAACAGTTCACCCCGGGCACATCGTAATAATAATAATAATAGTAATAATCCTTGCATTTGTTGTAGCACCTTATCATGTCATTCAGACACCCAAAGCCCTTCACAGGATATTTTGTAAAAAAAAAATCGATCAGCCGGGTGTCTGACACATGTGGGAAACCCAAACCAAACAGAGAATTCCACGCATCCCACCGACACACGTAAATCCCTGAGAAAGACTGTTCAAATGGAATGCGCTCTCTCTCTCTTTCTCCCTGTTGGGACACATCCCGCTTACCTAATTCCGTACAATATTAGGCAAAGGTTGGCAAGAGCCAAGGCTCTCACTGAAACTAACGTCAACTGAGAGTTGTCCCCCACCCCACCCCAGACTGAGGAGTGGCGTGTGGTGACTATGTGTTTTGTGGGTCATCTTAAACATTAAGACAAAAACAGCCTCACAGACTGAGTGAGATTCGGGATGAAATTTCAAGCCGTTTTATTATTATTATTATCTAACAATCCGCCCAGCAGTTATTAAAAAATAGACATATTTATACTGTACATATGGAAAATATTTCATTGACAAATGCTCTGACTTCTGAGAAGGCAGGACTCAGTTTTAAAAGTTATCATTCCCTCTTTCTCCTCTACCGATCGCCCCATCATTCTTTCCTTACCCTCTCCCCCTCCCATTCCCCATCATTCCCGCTCTATCCCCTCTCTCCCCCTCCTCAGTCTCTTGTTTCACCCCATCCTATTTTGTTCAACAAAGTTCCGGTCCCTCTGACATGGGAGATAGAGCAGAACAGGTGTTTGTGTGAGTGTGTGGGGGTGCACTGGGGTGCACCGGGGTGCACTGGGGTGTGTACATGTGTGAGCGAGAATATGCATCACTTCCACCTCAGTCTAAAAACAATCATAAAACAAACCCCATACGAAACAGACACTGAGAAACATCACAGAGAACTGAAGGTGGGATAATATTTTAAGGATGGGGGGCGGGGAAGAGAGGGGAGGGTCTCTTGTTTCACCCCTTTGTTGCCCTACAACTGCGCCCCCCACCCAAGACATTTCATAGTCATTCCCCACCCCCAACACACACACTCTCCCCATGATCTCTCCTCCTCTCAGGAGACGGTACATTTTTCCTTCTTCTTGGACTTGGTGGTGGTTGTGCTGCCTTCTCTGCTTAGAGCTCGGTGTCTGTTCTCATCTGGGGAGGGAGGGAGGGAGGGAGGGAGAGAGGGAGATACAGAGAGAGAGAGAGAGAATATGAGAGTGAGCAAGAGAGAGAGAGAATGTGTGTGTGTGTGTGAGAGAAAGACAGAGGGAGATGAACAAGTGAGAAAGTGAGAGAGAGACAAGTGACATGAGCAGTGCTGATAGAGTGTGAGCAGTGCTGATAGAGAGTGTGAGCAGTGCTGAGAGAGTGTGTGAGCAGTGCTGAGAGAGAGTGTGAGCAATGCTGAGAGAGCGTGAGCAGTACTGAGAGAGTGTGAGCAATGCTGAGAGTGAGTGTGAGCAGCGCTGAGAGAGAGTATGAGCAGCGCTGAGAGAGAGTGTGAGCAATACTGAGAGAGAGTGTGAGCTGTGCTGAGAGAGAGTGTGAGCAGTGCTGAGAGAGAGTATGAGCAGTGCTGAGAGTGTGAGCAGTGCTGAGAGAGTGTGAGCAATGTTGAGAGTGAGTGTGAGCAATGCTGAGAGTGTGAGCAGTGCTGAAAGAGAGAGAGTGTGAGCATTGCTGAGAGAGAGAGAGAGAGAGAGAGAGAGCCCCTGCGTGGGCCGGTACCTGGATTCTTTGCATCCTCCTTGCCCTCCTCTTTGGCCCGCTTTTGTTTCCTGGTGCTCTTCCTGGCTGGGTTGGTGTTGGGGGCCGGCCTGGCTCCGGGTCCCCTGGAGATCACAATGTCCGTGAAGGGGTCCGGCTCGGGCTCCTCGAGGCCCTTGACGTCGTAGCGTTGCAGCCAATCCATGATAGTCTGGTTCCTCTTCTCTTCGTCGTCCGTCTCCTTCTTGCTGCGAGTCAGTGTGCTCCCCCGGCGCTCCCTGGTCAGTACGCTGTTCTCGGGCTTCAGCTCCAGCCCCCCAGGCCCCAGCTCGCCGGTCGAGGAGGACCTGTTGGAGATCACCAACTGGTACTTTGGGTTGTAGAGCTTCCTCTTGAGGTGGTCTGAGTGAGGGGGGGAGTTGCTTGCTCTGGGGAGGGCCTGGAAGTGGGAGAAGCCCTTCTGGATGCCCAGCCTGACGTGCAGGTCAACGGGGGCCGAATCTGCATACAGCTCGCGGAACAGAGTGTCAAAGCTCTCCACCGCCTGTCCTGTCAGCATGGTCACCACACAGCGGTGCAGACGCCAGTAACTCCAGGTGTAACTAGAAAGCGAAAGAGAGAGACAGCGAGAGAGAGAGAGGAGAGAGAGAGAGAGACAGCGAGAGAGAAACACAGAGACACAGAGAGAGGGAGAGAGAGGGGGAGAATCATCATAATAATCCTTGCATTTGATACAGAGCCTTATCACGTCGTCGAGACGTCTCAAAGCACTTCACAGAATAAACTGTAGAGTGAATTGACTTTTGTGGGCAAAACACGGCAGCCAGTTGCGCACAGCAGGGTCCCCACGAACAGTCGTGGATTGAAGTGACCACATTATTATTAATTTTTTTTTGTGGAGGGATTGTTAGCCCCGGAAAAGTAATCTGCCGATCGACTAACAAGCGGGTTCCTACTTACTGCTGGTAAACAGAGGCGTGTGCACGTGTGTGTGCGCGTGTGTGTGTGTGTGTGGAGTCAGGAAACTTGCCCAACGATTCATCTACCTGGGAATCGAACCCAGGTCCTCTGGCTTGCGAGGGCGAGCTCTCTAACCACCGAGATACAGGGACTCCACAAGTCGTGGAGAGCGTTGGAGAGAGTAGTGGTTAGCTCGCTCGACTGTGCAGGTACCTGTAAGAGCCGGACACGACTTTGTCACCGTCCACGAAGATGAACTTGTGGGCGAGATCTCCCCTCACCTGCCCCGAGCTCAGCCCCAGCCCCAGGCCAGATATTGAGCGCACTCTCAGCTTCTGTAATGCAGTATAGCACAGTGTCAGCAGGAAATGCCACTCAGCTCTCACACCAACACTCTCGCTCACATTCTCACTCTCACCTTCCCGCTAACCCTCTCCCCCTCTCACTCTTGCACTCGCACTCTCTCTCTGGCTCACATTCTCTCTCTCTCTTCTCTCTCTCTCTCTCGCTCACTCACTCACTCACTCACACTCACTCTCCCGGGCGCACTCATTCCCTCTTACACTCTCACACTCCCTCTCGCACGCTCACCCTTCTCACTCACACTTTCTCTCCCTTACTCTTACGCTCTCTCACACACTCTCTCTCCCCGCCATCCTCCCCCACCCACTCTCTCACTCCCTGTCTCTGAGCTGTCACCCTCTCTCCCACTCTCTCTCTCCCTCCCTCCCTCCACCTCTCGCTCTCTGTCACTCACTCGGATTAGCAGGTGGTTGAGCTGGAGTGAGCAGCACATGTGTAGAAAGCCGTCCAGGCTGCTGTGCTGGAGGATGATGTAAACAGGAATCAACCGTTTGTAACTGGCTTCCAGCAGGTCCTGGAATATGTTCACGTCCGTCAGGTCATCCATGACCAGGGCGATCATCTGCACACACAACAGATGGACATGTCAGTGACACGCGACACAGACACGTCAGTAACACACAACACACAGCCGTGTCAGTGACACACACACATATACACACATACATAGTCACACACACATACCATATACATATGCACAAACTCAGACACACGCACACTACGTACACACATACCACACACACAGACATACGCACACAAGAAAGGACAGTGATTTGCATGTTAAATCTAAGGGGAATTTGGGAAGGGTGTGGGAGAGAGTGAGGAATGAGATGGAGACTCATGTCAAATATAAACACCGTCACGGACTGGTTGGGCCAAGTGGCCTCTTAACACAAACTCAGGGAAAATGGGATTAGTCTCGTGTCACATAGGAATTCCCTGCCTTGAGCTGTCTACCAGTCAGAGTGTGACACAGGCCCAGGTAATGTTGCACAAGAGAATTCAATGTGTGAAAGGAAGTTTTACCCACACGAATGAGATGGGTGGGAGGGAGGGAGGGAGGGAAAAGATGTCTCACAAACTGCAGCGAGTAAATAACACACATTATTGTCGTAAGAGTCAACCTTCACTGGAGAACAAAAGGAAAAGGAGAGAGAAAAAAACTGGCCAGACAACAAATCACGTAAAGGGACACCACCTTCCCATGTGCTTAGAGCCTTTGACAAACGTGTACTTGTTTGGGGAGGAGGCGGCTCTGTATATTCCTGGCACTGGCAAATACTCAGAGATGCTGAAGCGAGATTCCCGTCCGGGAAGACATTAACGTTGCCCTCTGTCATTCATGGCCAGCCTCAAGACCTTCCTCTTCAATCATGACCTCAGTTATCCCCTGTCCCTACCCGTCCCCTCCTTGCCCTCTACCCATCTATTGACTCCAACCCGCAGCTCGAGTGCAAACCCGTCTCGCGCCTTGGGACGTCCTCCCGACGTGAAAGGCGTTATGAAGTGCAGTTTGTTTTTGAACCCACAACCTTCTGCCTCAAGAGGTGAGAGCTCTAACCGTAACAGCCTGACACACCACTGACACACCACTGACACATCAGCCAGAGTTAAATAAAATAATAACAAATGACGTTTACACGGCGCCTTTCACATCTGGAGGATGTCCCAAGTCCCTGGACAGTCGGGCATTTGGACCTGAGCTGGGGGTTGGGATCAGGAGGGGTGGAGGGAGGGCAAGGAGGGTGGGATGTAGGAGGGTGACTGAAGGCCTGGTTGAAGAAGAGATGGGCCTTGAAGGAGACAAGGGTGGGGGCCAAGGTGAAGGAACTGGGGGATGGAGTTTCAAAGGGTGCCCACAATCCTGTCTCGGTGAAGATGGACATACGTGTTTCCTGGCCTCACCTTGCTGGCCCCCTGGATGAGGTTGCGGATGATCTCCTTGATGAAGGGCTCCCCGTATTTGGGAGGGTGAGTGTGCACGGCCACTCGGGTCACCCCCCGGTAGGCCACGCTATCCAACCAGCCCAGGTCCAGCATGGGGATGGGTGTGTCGCTCTTCTCCGGCCAGTAGGTCAACGATCCATCCTCCACCTCGCCCCCGTCGCCCTCCTTGCCCTCCCCGTACCGCTGCCACCTCTTGCGGATCTTCTTGGCCTCTTTGGGGGAGATAAAATGCTTGCTTTCCTTCAACACCTCCTTCAAGTCACTCTCTCCCTCCTCTACCACCAACTTCTCCACAGCCAATCTCTGCTGCTCGCTGTAGAAATAATCTGCTCTCGACTCGCTGATCTTTTTGTTAACGTAACTGTCCTCCAAACAGGCGAGTTGGGAGTCCCCCATGTCCTTGAGCTCACAACGTTCCTCTGTCTCTCTCTCTCTCCCCCTCCCTTCCCCCCAGCTAGATCTTTAGTCCTACCTGGCTGATGTGATGCAACAAAATAAAGAAAAGTAAGCCGTAGCCAGAGACGAGAGTCGGAGCCAAAGCTAAAGAGCAACGTAAAGCTGGCGATTGATCCAGTTTGCAGTCATCAAGGTCGGATCCAAAAGCCAAAATAAACTTCCTTATTACTTCTCTGCCTAAGGTGTTCCCATCAGGTGGAGCTGAGCTCTGTGTCTCTCCTATTAAAAGCTTTCCTTTTCGTTCCAACTTCACTCCAAGGACTGGATTGGAGATAGTGTTGTCTCCTCCCCCTCTCCTGTCTTCTCCCTCCCTCCTGTGCCATTCCACCCTGTTGACTCTTAAAAGATAAGGAAACTTCGCAATTGAAGGCAGAGTTCAAAATACACCTCATCCACCATATCCCTCCCAGGGCTATGTTTCGGTTTCTCTTGTGCGGTGTGAAGGTTGATTGTAGGGGGGGGGGTGGAATTATGATACCCCTTATCGGAATAATTATACCCCTTATTCAGCCGCCGCAAGCCTTGTCCTCTGGTTCTACTGTTCGGTACAAGATAAAACAGCTTACTACGATCTACGTTATCTAGTCCCTTCAGAATCTTAAAGACCACAATCATACAATAATAATCCTTGCACTTGATATAGCTCCTTATCACGTTCTTTGAGACGTCTCGAAGCACTTCACGGAATATACTGTTAAGTGATTTGGCTGTGTATTTAGTGGGCGAAACACAGCAGGCAATTGCGTACAGCAGCGTCCCACAACCAGTCGTGGATTGAGTGACCAAATAATTCTTTTTTTAAAAAAATAAGAGCTTGGTTGAATAACGATAATATTTGACACAGGGCCTTCCTTATCACGTCATTGAGAAGTCTCAAAGCACTTCAGAAAAACACTTGTCACGACACAGAAAAGTGTTGTGACCGTGTGGGCAAAATGTCTCACCCGAAGCACGGCATCTCTGACAACACAGCATACCCCCTCAGCACTGTACTGTGTCAGCGTAGACTGTACGAGTTCCAAGTCCCTGCTGTGGGTGGGGGGGGGGCTTGAACCCACAACCTCAGAGGTGAGAGCGTAACCGATGTGAGCCAGGCTGCCACGCACGGCCTGTTTGTTCCCGGTAACAGATGACGTATGCTGTTGACCTATATGTTTTGCCTGTTCTGAGCCGGTTCATTGTCAAGAGCAACCAAACCCGTCTGACCGGGCTTTCTGGTGAAGGCACGCAGGTGCTTTTTGGGAGAAAAATGTAGCAGTGACTGATGTCAACCCAAGATTTATTTATTTTGGTCGGTGATAATTAGTTTCAGCGTCTGTAGAGCTAACATAAATCTTGCATTGGATACACCATCAATCATCATAATATTATCTTAATGATAATCGTTGCATTTGATAAGAGCGCCTTATCGCATTGTGGAGACGTCACAAAGCACTTCCCATGATAGACTGTAACGTGTAGTGACTTTGTATTTTGTGGGCGAAACGCGGCAGCCAATGTACACAGCAGTGACATGTTAACCTCTGGGGCTGGGCTAAAACCCCCCATTTATACCTGTGTAAGCTCCTAGTTTATATTACAATCACACCACCTCTCCCCCCTCTCACACACTCACACACATACACACAAAAATACCCACACAATTCTGCAGTTTCGTCTTGATTTAGAAGCCAGCTGCTTCTCAATAACAGCACAACATGGGCAGGATGTGGAGGTGACATGATTTTTTTTATTTAAGAGGCTCTTTTGTGTGTGTTTGTGTGGGGGGGGTGGGGGAGGTGCAATATATAGAAAAGAAAGAGGATAGGATAAGGGGAGGATGGGGACAGGGAGGATAAAGGGTGAGACTGGAGGATTGAGAAAGGATGGAGGAAGGGTGGGAGGGGAGGAGAAGGTGAGTGGAGGGGAGGGCAGGGTTGTGGTAGGGGCAAATCAGAGGGGCTTCTTCATCCAGGTCTGGCAGCAGAGAAGCAATCCTTGGCCATCAGTCCATCGAGACAAGTATGACCCCAGCCCTCACCCACCACCCCCCTGTTGACCATAACACTGGCATCTCAAATAGGTCCCAATCATCTTCCAATTTGGCGGCAAGGGCATGGGTGAGTTACTACGAGCTCACAAGGAGCTCACAAGTCACAAGTTTGGGACAGACAAGAGTCAAGAGAGAGAGAGAGAGAGAGAGAGAGAGAGAAAAAAAGATACGAACTGTTGTAGGAATTTCTGGACGAAAAAAAGACCAAGGTCCATTCAGTTCACCTTCCACCATCCTGGAAGCTCTCAGGTTCTGCACTCAGCCATCGTGGTGTCAACCCCAACCAGACAATCCATCCAACATTCAATATGTTTGTGCCCGGACTGCTCCATTATTTTGGGGTTGAGGGCGTGGGGGAGGGGGAAGTTGCTTTGGGAATGTGGACGGATGGACAGTTACGGTTTGAAGGGCATCACGTAGTTACTGGGGAACAGGCCCACCTGCCCTCGCAGACACCCCTTCCACCACGAGGGGTCCGGCTGATCCACCAGCTCAATCACGTCTCCCATCCGGAACCCCAACTCGTCGTTCATCTCAGCCACAAAGTCAAACAGGGCCCGTACCTGCCTTACCTGCCAACAGCAAACCAAGGGACAACTCGTGTTTATATAACAACAATAATAATCCTTGCATTTGATATAGCGCCTTTTCACTTCTTCGAGACGTCTAACTCTGTAACTCTGGAACACTCTCCCTCAATCCCTCCGCCTTGACCCCCCCCTCTTTCAAGTCCCGCCTGAAAAACCTTCCTCTTCGACCGTGCTTACGGCCACCTCCCCCCTCTCCCTGGCTCGGAGTCAGGCTCCGCCACTGTTAAGCGCTCTGAGATGCTATCCTGCGCTGAGGGCATTATATAAATGCAAGTTGTTGTTGTTTATACTGTAAAGTGAATTGACTGTACGTAGTCTTGATCCGTCGAGAGGTAGGCACAGAAGAACTTCAAATCACACGATTCAATGTGTTTCTGGCACTTGCCGGTAAGTGTGCGTTGTGTGGCGACGGGTCAGGGCGAAACGTTGTCTTGACCCGTCACCGCATGCGACTCACCGGCTATATTGAATTTCGCAATTCCAGACTCCCTCCCTGCCCCTGTTCAAAGCCCGTCTCAAGGTGCACCTCTTTGACCCACTTTTGGTCATCTCTCCCTCTGCACTCCTCTTTCCCCCCTACCCCCCTCCTTTTCCAGAACTGCGGGGTTAAGACTGAACTTCGGATTCCCCCTCCCCAACCCCCCCCACGCACACATACTCGCACACACAACCATCTCGTCTGGTCTCCATCTCAAACTACGCCCTGAACACTGAGACCGGGAATAATTTGTGGATTGAAAAACACTGACACTCACAGGCATTGGTGGGCATTCGCTGAGCTTCCGGAAGGCTGGCTGGGCCTCGGCCATGGCCGCGAGAGGGGGGCCGTAGGGGTGTCGCTGCGTTGGGGCCTCGCTGGCGGACGGATGCGGGCTGTAGCGATTCCTCTGCATTGGTGCATCATTGACTCCCGCATGCGGATTGTATGGGTGCCGCTGCATTGGAACCTCGTTGGCTGGTGCATGCAGCTTGAACGTTTGCCGCTGCATTGGTGCATCATTGGCTGTCGCGTGTGGGTTGAATGGCTGCCGCTGCATTGGGGCCTCACTGTAAGATGGCCTCTGCATCGGAGCCTCATTGTAAGATGGCCTCTGCATCGGAGCCTCGTTGTAAGCTTGCCTCTGCATCGGAGCCTCATTGTAAGCTTGCCTCTGCATTGGAGCCTCATTGTAAGCTTGCCTCTGCATTGGAGCATCTATATGCGCCTGTCTCTGCAGTGGCTTGAGCATGAGAGTTGGGGGTGGGGTGAAGCTGCTTTTCTTGAAGTTAGCGGCTGGGTCAGTGAATCCCGGGCCTGCTGTGCTGGGGGACGCCATCATTGACGCACCGTAACCGCCCTGAAAACAATAATAATTCCTTGTCAAATTCTCTTTTTGGAGCCCCCTTGCGTAACGGTTAGAGCGCTCGCCTCGCAAGCGAGAGGACCCGGGTTCGATTCCTGGGCGGCTCAGGGCGAGTTTCCTTAAGCCACGCATATACACACAGCGCTGTTTACTAGCAGTAAGCAGGAACCCGGTTCTTAGTCGATTGTCAGATCGCTTTCCAAGGGTAGTAATCCCTTCAAGTAAAAATGATTTGGTCACTCAATCCACCACTGTTTGTGGAACACTGCTGTGCGCAATTGGCTGCCGTGTTTCACCCACAAAATATACATCACTCCACTTTACGCTTTGACCGCCTTGAGACGTCTCAAAGACGTGATGAGGCGCTATATCAAATGCAGGAATTATAATTATAATTTCCCCGTGAATCTCTCTTGCTCTGTTTCTCTCTCGGCGATGTTAAATATTTTCCCCCCACCCCACCTCGGCCGGATTGCTGCCGGTATTTTTTTCCAAACTGGAAAAAATGTGTCACAAGAAATAGTTATTTGCCTGGAGACACTCTCAGTAACACAAAACAGGTTACAACAGTACAGACAAGTCAGCATCAGTGCTTGGCTGAGCTGTTCCCTGTCTGGCTTAATCCTGCTGTTTCCCTCATGGTTCATCAAGTCAGGACAAGACCCAGTGGCGAGAGAACTACCGGCCTGAGCCAAGTTACGTAACTGATTCAAGGAGGGGGCTGGGGAATAATTAGCGTTGGATCAGAGGGTATTTAAGGAGGATTGTTGCTCTCCGCGCCCCCCCCACACCCCCCACACTCACTTGTAGAACCTACAGAGCAGAGAGAGCAGACCCCGTACTCAGCCCATCAGCCCAATTTGAACTCAAGCCCAACGGGTTGACCAAGACAGCCTGGGGTGTGCCCTGAGCTCAACCAACGCCCGTCTGCTTCAGGGCTTTGTCAGATGACCTTACTCCAGGGAGTGGGCAGGCTTTCAGCCACTTGGCACCCCTTCTCTGCAGCTCTAAACCCAGGATCCACCGACCCACTCCCTCCCTCTTTCAAGGTACGATTCAAAAACTTACCTCACTTACTCTCAACATATCTCTCCCCCCAACCCTTGGCTCTTGCCAACCTGTGCCTAATACTTTCTTGAATTAGGTTAGCAGATGCTTCTCTCCAGAGAGCCAAAGAGAGAGATAGAGAGTGCGCATTCCATTCCCATAAACATCTTGGGAAGTTATCTGTGTGGGACGCTTGTTTTGGTTTGGAGATCCTTTAAGTACGGCAATGGGTTTCCGCACGTCACACACCCGGCTAACCCTCACCCCCCCACCCAAAATATTTTTCCCTTCCCTCTCAGCTACGAGGGAGAGCGGCCAAAACTGTCAAGCACTCTGGGACGTCCTTCTTTAGATAAAAAGATCTCAGCCGTTCAAGTGTAAGTTTAACCTGGTGAAGCGGGCTGCATTGTCAGGAGGGGCAGTGGGGTGAAGTGCAGAGGTCTTTGGGGAGCTGTTTGTTGTCAAGCGCTCCGAGATGCTGCCCCGCGTGAAGGGCGCTATGTAAACACAAGTTGTTGTTGTCGGCCCTCTGTGTCTCTCGCTCTCACCTTGCTCTCACTGCTGCCGTCTCGCAGGTAGATCTGGCTGCTCTTGGAGATGGAGGTTTGCCTGTAGTAATCCACCAGGCTGTTCAGGGAGCTGAACTTCTCCGACCACAGGAAATAGTGACCCTTCCCGTCACGCAGAACCTTAAAATGCTGCACGTCTTCTTCGTGTCTGTGGAGAAACAAGAGGGTCCTGTCAGCCTGGTGGGGGTGGAGGGGCGATTGTACGTGCACCCCTCACGGACGGATGTGTATCAGCCCAGCTCAGTGTGCGTCAGTCTAATGTAGCGGGGGGGGGGGGGGGTTTGCATTGTCAGAGACTCCGTCCTTCAGATGAGACGTTAAACTGAACTCCCGTCTCCCTGTTCAGGTGGACGTTAAAGATCTCACGTGGCACTATTCGAAAGGACCAGGGTGTTTCTCTCTCCTGGTGGCCTGGCTGACAATCACCCAAAATAAAATTGGCCATTCAATCCACGCCTGTTCGTGGGACGCTGCTGTGTGCAAACTGGCTGCTGCATTTCGGCCTCAAAATACACAGTCAATTGACTTTACAGTGTATCCTGTGAAGCACTTTGAGATGAGGCGCTATATCGAATGCAATATATTGCGGAGTGTGATGGAAAGTGAGCGATTGACTAAGCCACAGATTGACTAATTCTGAGAATCAGCCAGTTTCTGATTACTGCTCAGAGATCCCTGCTGGATGCAGTGACCCGGGAGGTAGTGAGAGGGAGGCAGAGTAGTGGGGGGGCCTGGGGGGTGGGGGGGGCGGGTGGGGAAAGGGGTTGCGGACATCAGCTTACCTGACGGAGAGGGAAAATTCATTCTTCGCGCTCTGACTGGTCCGGATGAGGAAAGAGCCAAGATCTTGTTCCATCAACGTCGCCTCCGATTCGGCTCGTGAGAGGTTGCCCCGGAACCAGCTGTGTGCAATGATAATAATTACATAATTATAACAATCCTTTGCAGTTACAGTTTCACGTCAGGAGGATGTCTCAAAGCGCTACACAGCATTCACTATAAAGTATAGTGACTGTGTGTTTTGCGGGTGAGCGCGACAGCCCAATTTGCGCACAATTTCCGTACCTGGGGGATTTCATTTCGATGTAGTTCTTGGGAACGTAGCCTTCATCCCCCAGCAGCTCTGCTTTGTACCAGTCGTCTTCTGTGCTAAGAACCTGCCGTCAAACACACACATGCACAGGGTCAGCGAGTGTTCACAGGCACAACAACAACTTCAACACAATTACATGTGTATCGCGCCTTTCATGTCGGGAGGACGTCGCAAGGTGCTGGACAATCAGTGTTTTGGACTCGAGCTGGGGGTCGGGATCGGGGATGGTGGAGGGAGGGTGGGGGGAAGAAGTGTGACCAAAGACACAGTTGAAGAGGAGGGTCTTGAGACAGGTCTTGAAGGAGGCAAGTGAGGAGGCGAGGCGGAGAGCCTGAAGGATGGAGTTCCAGAGAGTAGGGGCAGAGTAGCTGAAGGCCCGTCCGCCAACGGTGGGGCATGTGAGGCGGGGGCCATGAAACAGGCTGGAGCCCATTGAGCGGGGGAGCGGGCAGGTTGGTAGGGGGTTGGAAGGTCACAGAGGTAGGAGGGAGCAAGGCCATGGAGGGGCTTTGAAGGTGAGGACCAGGATCTTGAATTGTATCCTCTGTGTAACGGGAACCCCACTGGTCACTGCATCAGCGTGTGTCTGCCTGTCTGTGTCTGTGAGCGTGCGAGTGTGTGAGTGTGTCTGTGTGAATGAGCGTGTCTATGCCTGTGTGTGTGAGCCCGTGTATGTGTGAGCGTATGCGAGTACGGTTGTGTGTATGTATCATCCTCTCACACTCGCTGTCTGACGACACGGTTTCTAAAGTGGGACATTGTAAGCTTGTCACAGTACTCTAACCACGGCCTCACTAACGATTTTTACACACATAGACACACAGCAGACACCCACATAAGTGTTCCATGTATATGTAGGGTACACATCTGGAACTCGGTCTATTTGTTAGACCCGGGTGACACACACACAAGAATAGAGATAAATAGTCAGACACACACACACGATAGAGACAGACAGACAGACAGACACACACACACATAATAGAGACAAACACACAAACGCAGATAGACGTACACACACGATAGACAGACACACACACACACACACAGAGTCACACACACACAATAGACACAGACACACACACACACACAGATAGACACACAGACACAACGATAGAGACAGGCAGACACACAGATAGACACATACGCGATAGAGACACAGACACACAGATAATAATTCTTATCTCTATTTGTTTCAGCGCGTTTCATATTGGGAGGACACCCCGGAGCACTTCAAGGAATTTACTGTACAGTGGAGGAACTGTGTGTTTTGTGGACGAAAACACGCGTACGCACACACACACACACATAAGCACACACATACTGACAGATAAGCACACACACACAGATAAGCACACACACACACAGATAAGCATGCACACACAGACACGCGCACACACATACATATACACACACCCATGCACACGTACACACACACAGTTAAATGCTGTGCCTTGGCTGTGAAAAAAATAATAATCCTTGCATTTGACGATACAGCGCCTTATCGTCTCAAAGCGCTTCAAAGAATTCACTGTAAAGTGGAGTGACTGTATTTTGTGAGTGAAACTCGACATGCCAATTGCACACAGAAAAGCCACCAATTTGCCACGAGATGTTACTCCCCATGTCTGATTGGCTGTGGTGCAGGCTGCCCGCTTCCTCTCAGTGCACCTGGGTTTGCGGAGATCTCTCTCGCTCTCTCTCACTGCTCGCTCGCTCGCTCGCTGTCTCTCAGCCCCTCTGTTTCCTGGCTCCATCTGATAGCGCTCTGCTACCAGGGCCATGAGAACACAGCAATCTCTCCCTCTTATCTCAGCCACCATCTGTGCAGAGCAGCAGTAGTGGAAGCCTGGGGAGGGAGGAGTGAGGGGAAGGGAGGAGGCAGGGTGCGAGGGAGGAGGGGGGGGGGTGTGGGGGCGAGCGAGGGAGGAAGAGAGGGGGCGAGGGGCTTGTGGCACAGCACTCAAGTTGCAGGGGAGTGGGGGAATTCAAGCCCCATGTGGGGGCTTTTGAGCTCAGAGTCTTGACTATACTGGAGGAGGAGTGTGTGTGTGTGAATGAGTGTGAGTATGTGAATGAATGTGTGTGTGTGTGTGAATGAGTGTGAGAGTGTGTGAATGAGTGTGAGAGTGTGTGTGTGTGAATGAGTGTCAGTGTGTGTGTGTGAATGAGTGTGACAGTGTGTGTGTGGGGTGGGGGCTGCATTATTGTTCTGAAAACCAAACTGCTCCCTCCCTCGCCTGTTCAGGCGAATGTTAAAGATCCCCCCTCAGCGCTGTCATGGAAAAAGACGAGAGTTTCTCTCTCTCTGTCCCCCCAGAGTGCTGGCCGACTATTCCCCTGCTCCAGAAGGAAAAAAACCTTCCCGGGTGTTTGCGAGGACGTTATGGTGTGCAAATTGGCTGCTGGTTTGGCCTACAAAACACAAACACTACAGCACAATACAAACTTACATTCATACATTACAACCTTCACGTCAGGAGGACTCCCAAAGCTTGAAAACCCGAACTGAGTGGGGGAGTGGGGTGGGTTGGGAAATGGGGTTAGATGACCGAACGAAAGTGCGGTCGAAAAGGTAGCTTCCGAGGCTCCGACTTTACAGTGAAACCCTGTGAAGCGCTTTGAGATATCCTCCCCACAGTGTTGAAGGTGCTGTATAAACCTGAGGGGTATTTGGCTGTGCCTTGCAATTAGCAGGAGCCTTAGTGAGTGTGTGTGCACCATTTCCTGCTCATAAGGTTACCTTCACCCCGTTGCAATATTTTTTTTGGGGTCAGCGCAATGCGAGATCTCTCTAAAACTTTGCAGCTCAGCTCCTGCGGGTTTGACAGGAATCAGTCACCTTGGGGTAAGCGGTCAGAACCCCGGGCGGGTGGGGGGGTGGGGGGGGGGGAGAGAACGTGGGGTGCGGAAGGTGGGAACGGCTGCTTTTGCAGGACTTGCGGAGGTGACTGCATGAGTTGCAAAAAGCAATGGGTTTAAAGCGAAGACATGGCAATCGCTGGTGGAGTCTAGAGGGCGGAGGCCTGGGGAAGGGAGGGGGGAAGAGACGGGGCATAGATGCCTCTGCGTTCCTACCCAAGGTCCACATGCCCCCACCTTCCAAGGGAGCGATGGTGGTGGGCAGGGCATTGGATTGCAACCAAACACCCGAGACTCCTCCAGTTCTAAATAACCCCTTACATTTGATACAGAGCCATCCCAACCAGTTGACTTAACATTAACTCCCCATGGAGTCCTGTAGTATAGTGGTTAGCGCGCTCACATCGCAAGCGAGGGGTCCTGGGTTCTCAACCATTTGTGGGACACTGCTGAGTGCAATTGGCTTCCGCGTTTTGCCCACAAAATACACAGTCGCTACACTTTACAATATATCCAGTGAAGCTCTTTGAGGCGTCTCGAGACCCGTGATAAGACCCTATATCAAATGCAAGGATTATTATAACTATTCTTGACAGCATCGCAAGCTCAGGACAGGGAAAGGAGAAGCATTTGATACAGCGCCTTTCAGGTCGGGAGGACGTCCCCAAAGTGCCTTACAGAACACACTGTGAAGCAGGGTGACGAGGGCGAACATGGAACATCGACATCCCCACAAACAGCACAATGTGCCTTTTTGAAACGTACGTGCAACGATGGCTTTGCACATAGATGACGGTGAGGGTGAGTAGGGAGAATGCGATGTGGTGGACTGGAGGGAGGTTACGCGAACCAGGTAGTTATTTGGGGAAGACAATGATTGTGTGTATGTGTGTCAGAGAGAGAGAGAGAGAGAGAGAGTGAGCTTATTTATGTTCAGGTTGTAAACTGTGTTCAAACCGTCTTTTCCTCCCCTGTGTTCCTCCTTGTAGACCTCAGACTGTGCAAAACATCTCAGCTCTATAAACCTTCTTCGCTTTTCACCCACAAAATACAGTCAATTCCACTTCACAGTATATCCTATAAAGCGCTTTAAGATGTTTCGGCAACGTGATAAGGCGCTGTATCAGATGCAAGGATTATTATAGATTATTCTTAATCACAGAATGGCAGGCTAAATGAATCCTAAAGGAATATAAGCGCTCCGAGCAACACTACCCCATGTGAAGCGAGCTATAATAATTCAAGATTCGCCCCAAAATACACAGTTGCTCCAATTTACAGTATATTCTGTGAAGCGCTTTGAGACATCTTGATGATGTGATAAAGCGCTACCTCAAATGCAAGGATTATTATTATGATAATAAAGATGCTGTTATATTGGACGGCGAGGATGGGAGTGTTGAGACCCGGTAAGTGATGTGATAGGTAAAAGGTCCAGCGGCACAGTCGGAAAAAGATAAGGGACTTTCTTCCCGGTCTCCTAGCCGACAATCCCCTTTCATCCCTTTCTGCTCGCCAACAAACAATCACTACGCTTCACCCAAAACACTTCGACAACATGATAAGGCAGGTGCAACACCAAACGCAAGGACTATTACTATTATACTTATTATTAATCGCTGCAGCCTTATTTGTGGAAATTCGCTTACAAATACACAGTCACGGCCCTTGACGCCAACTCCCTGCGAAGCGTTTGAGACTCGAAGACCCTGGGTCCCGATCAACAATCCTCACCCTCCTCAAAAAAAAATAAACTGGAGCATTTGTTCACTTCCTGCGACAGCTCTTCGTGCGAATGTTGCTGCGTGCAAATTGGCCGCCATGTTCACCTTAACATTAGTTTAACCTGAAGCACTTTGAGATAATAATAATAATCCTTGTATTTGATACAGCGCCCTATAACATCATTGAGACGCCTGGAATATACTGTAAAGTGTACTGACTGTGGGCTTTGTGAGCGAACCAGCAGTGTCCCACAAGCAGTCATGGAGTGAGCGACCAATATTATTCGGGGCATTGTTGGCCAGGACATTGGGAGAGAGAGAAACTGCCTTCTCTTTTCCAATATTGCCAAGGGATCTTCAACGTTCACCTGAACAGGCAGACCGGGAGTGAGATTTAGCGTCTCAACCAAAGGACGGCACCACAGACAATGCATCACCCCACCCCATTGGAGTGTCAGTTCAAGTGATTTCAAGTCCCGACGTGAACACACAACCTTCTGACTTAGAAGCGAAGGCGCTGGATGTTTCAAAGTTCCGCATCAAACACAGAATCTGTCAGTGCTATTAAGCCACAAGATGGTTTGGTTTCTGTAAAGAAGAAACTGGCTTCTAAATTGAGACTGAATTCAGATTCCCTCCCTCTTTCTTAGGATCACAAGATCATTTCAGAGAAAGGAGGCCCCTTCCGCCCCGCCAACGATCCCTCCTCCTAACACTTTGCAACTGCTAAACCTGGTCCTCTTGTCCTCCTCAGCAGCCCCCCACCCCCGCCTTTGTAGTTTTTGGAAGCTGGTTAGTATGACACTAAAAAAACCTTCAATAAACCAACTTCCCGGAGCGTAATCTAGGCCTAACACTGAGGTAGCCTAGCCCAGCAATTGGATGTCAGTGACTTTTAGCATAAGCGTACGTGGATGTACGCACGTCAGCTTGGCTCAGTCGGTAGCACTCTTGCCTTCGCGTCAGAAGGTTGTAGGTTCAAGCCCCACATCGAGACTTGAACTCATATAGATCAAAGCTGACACTCCAATGCAGTGCTGGGAAGGGGAGAACTGCATTGTCAGAGGCACCATCCTTTGGATGAGATGTTAAACCGAGCACCACCTGTCTATACCCTGTTCAGGAGGACACTAAAGATCTCATGGTACTACTCGAAAAGAGAAGGGAGTTTGTCTCTCCCTGTGTCTCGCTTGCAGTGAAATCCCACGCAGCACTTTGAAATGTCCTCCTGATGTGAAAATGCGCTGTATCAAATGCAAGGTTTCTTCTGGAAACTGCTGTGGTTGAGTAGTGCTGGAGTAGTGCTGGAGTCGTGTTGGCAAGGAAACTGCGGTTCCAATATGTCAGTCGCCATTAATAGCCAACTTCACCTTTAGACAGCCCAAAGCCATAGGACAGAGGTCTGAAGGTCAAGTTTGGGACAGACACCAGAAAGTCCTTTGAGATATTGATTAAGAAACAGCTCGACAGCTTAATGGGGAAGACGGTTAGGCATAGATTATAATCATTTGACCGTGCAGCCAATTTAAGCACAGCAACATCCCACAAGTAGCCATGGAATGAGCAAGTGATTTATCTGAGGATTTGTCAGCTGGGGTATAGGGAGACAGAAACTCCCTTCTCTTTTACAACAGCACCGCGGGAGATCTTTAACATTCGCCCGAACATCCGGGGAGTGAGGTTTAACGTCTCATCCGAAGGACAGGGTCTCCAACAACGTGGTGCTCTCTCCCCCTCAGCACTGCACTGGAGCGTCAGCCTGGAATGTGAGTTCAAAGACCCCAATGTGGGGCTTAAACCCACAACCTTCTGACTGAGAAGCAAAAGCACTACCAACTGAGCCAAGCTGACACATAATTAATAATAATTCAACGGATTTACTTCCCTCTCCTCCCCCCCCCCCCCCCCCCCCACCCCATTTTAGAAATCAGGTGAGGGGGCGAATTAGTGGGGGAAAGAGCGTGTGCATTCCGTTGCAGACAAAGGGAAATTTCCATGTTAAGTTCCACGCATACGTGGAGCAATGTGATGGGTTTCCACGCGTATCAGATGGCTGACCCCCCAAAAAAATCCGCGCACGGCAATGTCCCACAAAGAGATATTTTATCTGGGAGATTGTCATTTATGATACCAACTGAGAGAGAAATCCTTTCTCTTTTTGAATACAAAGCAATATTAATACAAAGCAATATTAACACAACTTACAATTAATTACACACAGCGTCTTTCATGTCAGGAGGATGTCTCAAAACGCTACACAGTGCTGGGTGGCTGAGCCCCTGAGCTGGGAGTGGGAAGGGGGAGACCGAAGAGGTGTTGGTAGAGGAGGAGGGGAAAAGATGACCGAAAGTGCAGTCAAAGAGGTCTGAAGGATCAGCTACCTGCTTAAAGACATCAAATGGGTCTGGAGGAGCATTTGTTCCTATGAAACCCCATTAGCTCAGGTTTGTGACTGGATCCTAGGCTGAGCCCCTTTATCATCTCTCTCAGGCTGAGCTTCAGTTAGCCCAGGGGGAGTAAGGAAGGGGGGTGAGATGGGGAGGCAGCGGATGAGGCTGCTGTTGGCTTTATTGCCTCTTGAGTTTGGGAAAGGCAGGGGGGAATAAACAGAGAAATCAGCTTCAGAGAAAATAGAGCAAACATCAAGACGTCTCAAAGTACTTCACAAGATTTTAGTGTACACTGTAGTGACTGTAGGCGAAAGCGACAGCCAACTCGAGTACAGTGACAAAGTGAACGAGCGATTTTGAAAGATAGGTGGTGGGGGGTGTGTGTGATGGGTTTCGACCAACAAAATACACAGTCCCTTCACTTTACAGTTTATTCTGTGAAGCACTTTAAGGCATCTTGAAGACGTGATAAGGCGCTATATCAAATGCAAGGATTATTATTATTGTCGGCCAGTGTTTCACCAGGGGAGAGAACAAAAACTCTCTTCTCTTTTCCCACATCGCTGTGGGGGATCTTTTGTCTACCCGAAAACAACACAAAAGGGGATAAGGGGGCTTGGTTTAACATCTTGTTTGAAAGGCGATACCTCTGACAATGCTGCGCTCCCCCAACACCCACCGGCACGGCGCTGGAGCACCAGCCTCGACCATGAGAGCTTGAATCCACTGAGAGAGACACACACACACACTCACTCACTACACTTTAGGGTGAATCCTGGGAAGCATTCTTGAGAAGACGTGCTCCCGACGCAGATCAACAAGCTAGGGCCGCTTGTTGAACGCGAGGTGAAAGTGTCTAAGGAGAAGAACTCTCAGCTTACCTTCAATGTATCTCCCTTTCTGAAGCTCAGCTCGTCCTCACCGGCTCCATTGAATTCGTACTTGCCCACGGCCTCCATTCGCCAATCCCTCAGTGCACCTGCTGAGAAGGGACTGGCACGTCCTTCAAAACAGTGACCCTAGGGAGTGAGTGAGTGAGTCAGAGAGTGAGTGAGCAAGAGAGAGAGAGCGAGCGTGGTGAGGGAGGGAAGCCAGCGAATGTGGGAAACGGAGTGGAGCAGATTAAGAGAGGAACGGGGTGGGGGGAGTACGAGGGGAGGAAAAGCGACAACAGGTTGGGGGGAAAATTACTTTTGTGCGCTTTTTTTTAACAAAACGCTACAGCAATGAGCTGAGACGCAGTGGTGAGAGCAGAAGCTACCTTGCGGGTGTCCAACCACCGAAAAGAGGAGGTGAATAGAGAGAAGCTCCTCCTTTCCTCTCCGCTATGTGCAGCTCAGCTGGAAGTGAAGCAATTGTGCACCATCCTGCAGCAACCACACAGCCGTTTTCAGTGACGGGGGGATAGGGGGGGCCATGGGGGCAGGGGCGGAGGTGAAAGATACCATCCCGTGCAACTACTCCACTCTAAACTTTTTTTTAACCCCTTAAGAATAAGTCGCTTTTTACATTGCTGCAGAGATTCCTAGCGTGTGTTCGCAGTACACAGGGGGTCTGTTTAGACCATGTCTGTGCTGGTGTTCCCTCCACACACACCCACACACACACCACACACACACACACACACACAGAGGAGCTCTCCACTCTAATCCCATTTCCTCGCTCTTTCCTCCTATCATGTCTGTGCTGGTGCAGGCTCCCCCTCACACTGGAGCTCTCTAATCCCAAATGTGGTCAAATCCACGAGAGAGGAGAGAATAGAGACGTACGTGAGGGGGAATGAGGATGGCACAAGATTTATGTGGAGCAAACACAGGTACTGACAAACACAGGAAGATAGGAACAGGAGTCGGCCAAACCTGTTCTGCCAATCTACGAGATCATGGCTGATCATATAGAATAGCGGAAGAGCGTGTTACCACTCTGTACAGTCTACATAATTCTATATGAATTATGCTGCCGTGTGAATTTCAATTTTTGCAAAGGTTCAGTTCCAGATTTTACTGTACCGCCACAATTTCCTGTTAGTTAATACTCACAGAATGTCAATGTACATCATCAAAGGGAAGGGAAGCAACTCTGCAGTTCAGAGTTTCAATCCCCCCCACCACACTCGTCTTTACTCCCCCCACACCACACCCCCCCACTCTTCTGCTCACTCCATCCGCTCCACTCCATACACACACCGCACACACCTATCTTATCAATAATAATAAAGAATTATTATCTCCGGAAAATGATCCGCCAATTGACTAACAACCGGGTTCTTTCTTACTGCTAGGTAAACAGAGGCATATGGCGTAAGGAACCTTGCCTAAGATTTCGGCCTGCCCGGGAATCGAACCCAGGTCCTCTCGTTTATGAGGCGACTGCTACAGAACTCCATGAAAATGGTTAGACAGCATTTGAGAAATCAAGACTTGAGATGACACAAGGGTTTGGGCTGGTGATTTAGAGTGAATTGGAGCATTGGTCCTGAGATCCACAGGATCAGTTTGGGTGAAGAAAACCCTTTGGCCCATCTGATCTCATCACTCCAGAACACCCGACCCAACCCGTCACCCCATCACAGCTCCTTTTCAAACGAGTCCCAGCTTCCTCGCCTCAAACAATTCTTCCTGATCACCCCAATTCCTATTCCATATAAGCCTCCGGGCAAACAATATTTCCTGGTGTCTGCCCTGAAATTGCTCTTTGCAAACCCATGCCCTGTTTCTCTGCTGTTCAGCAGATCTGAAAGTAAAAGACGGCAGGCAGGCTTGTTCAGATACAGAATGCTCGGTTGGGTGTCGTGGTTGAGGCAAGTTCTGTATCGGTTTGTCATCTCAGACACAAAATGCAGTGAGTTGCACAGAATGTTACAGCACAGAAGCAGGCCTTTCAGTCCAACCAGCCCCCGACAGTCTTTATCTTCTGCACAAGCTTCCTCTCCACCTCTCTTCCCTTCCTTCTCGGGTAAACATCAACTTTCCTCTTAAATATGCTGACACTTTCTGATTCAACCACAGTTTCCTTTCAGCGAGTTCCACATTCCTAACACTCTCTGCTTAATGAGGTTCCCACCAAACTCCATTTTTGATGTTGCACACAGCATGAAGTGAATGAAGGGTTTATCTGGAGGGATTGTCAGCTGAGACACTCGGAGAGAAAAACTCCCTTCTCTCTTCAAAAAGTGGGATCAATATCTGTCTCAAAAGGCGCAGACAGGCCCTTGGTTTAACGTCTCATCTTAAGGACGGCATCGCCGACAATGCAAAGCTCCCTCTGCACCACAGTGAACTGCCAACCTAGACCGATGGGTCTCAAGCAAAGTTTTCGAGTGACCTCAGTGTGCAACCACCAACACTTGCTCCACACACACTGTTCCTCCACCCCACGCAGAGGGGGGGCGATTGTGGCTGCACAATGGCCCATAGTGGCCGCATTTGAGAAACGCTGGCCTAGACTGACTCAAGAGGCGAGACTGAGCCAGGCTGATACATTTACGGCCTCTCACTTTTGGTCTCACCAACTCATGGAAACATTTCATCAAAGCGCACCTTATCAAATCAAATCCTTCCATAATCTTAAAACACCTCTATTTGGTCTCCTCTTCATCTAATCACCAGAGATTAAACCTCTAGCCTGTAATCTGTCCAATTCTTCTTGATAGCGGTGCGTACTTGTAACATACCTCGTAAAATCGATGCTCATCTCCCTCCCTCCGATACCCTTCCTGTAACCAGAACTGCACACAGTCCTCGTGTACTTAACACCCTAAAAAAAGAGAGTAATATGTAAGTGGGGCTGAAGAGATTTCAGGAGACACCACAGTCACCATACAACAACTTGCATTTACACAGCGCCCATCTAAGCGGGTTAGTCCAGAGGGAGTCAGGCACGGTGGAACGAATGGACAACACGGCGCCTTTCGCGTCAGGAGGACGTCTCGAAGCGCTTCACAGGCTCGACCGCCAAGTGTAGTGACTGACCTGCCGCACTTGTCAATTTCCCACAGAAAAACCACCAGAGCTTTTCGAAAAGACCAACGGGGAACGGTGGGGGGAAAAGAAAGAGAGGGCAGATGGGACAGGAACGGGACAGATTTGACTGGGCGGAGCTCTTTCCGAGAGGGACGGTGGGGCCTAATGGCCTCTTCAAGACCATTTCTGCCCATTTCTGTGGGTGTCAACAACAACAACAACCATTGCTGTCGGCCATGGATTTGGACTCGGGTCACACCGTTGGACCGTGAGCCTCGGAGGGAGTCCGACCACCCTCGCCTCCTCGGGGGATGGAGGGGAGTGAAGGGGGAAGATGCTCTGGTCACCGTGTGGCCCCTTCATTGGTGTCCATCTGGTCAACGCCAACCTGGACAGTCAGTCCAGTCAGGCCATCGAACTGTCAACTGAACACCTCAGCCCTCGAAGCTGATTGGTGGAGTGAGCTGTCAATCCTGCGTAACACCCGGATATCCTGCAGCTGATTGGCCAAAAATCTGTGTCCCGCCTCCTCCCCCCTCCAACGGTCGCTGAGCCCCCGCCCCCCCCACCCGCCCCCAAAGGCGCGTCTCGTGCGGCGACCGTTAATCAAGCGGAAGCTGGTAGGACAGAGAGGCTGTCAATCAAAGGGAGACGCGCGATCAGATTGGCTACGATCGAGCTAAGTCCCGCCTCCCACCACGATCATGCAGCGAAGGGTGGGCAAGGCGGGGTGTGTGGGTGGAGGCGTTTGATTGACAGCCCCGTCAAGGGCGGAGTCCCACCCCCGCCTCGCCATTGATCGGCGAGGCTGTCCGTCAAGTGGGACCGCGACGCGGATTGGTCATCGAGTCGGCGTTAGTCCCGCCTTCGGCGGCGGTGCGCGCTGACGTAAGGACGCACGGGGGGGTGGGGAAGTGGGTGGGGCGAGAGCGAGCGGTTTGATTGACAGTCGAGGCCTGCCGGGCGAGCGGGAAGGTAAGGCGGTGAGTGGGTCAACGGTTGTCGAACGGTAAACGGTTCATTCAGCGAGGAAACCGCCAAACCGGGCCGGGCCCCGCCGTTTCCGTCACGTTCGGCGCCGCGGAGACGCGCAGGGGAGCGACGGTCGCTCTCCTTCCGCCTCACCCCCTCGCCCGCCCCCGGGAAGGCCTCAGGCCTCGGGCTTTCCTGCGAGCTCAGGCCGGAGTCGGCGAGGGGGGAAGGGAAGGGAGCGGGGTGGCAATTCGAGGCCCTCTCCCCTCAGGGGATCGATGGGCGGACTTGACTTGCCCCGTGCGGCCTTGTCACGTCCAAGTGGCCGCCGATGTCACCGATGTGACTGCCTTTAAATCCCCACCCACCCCAACAGGAAACAGCAGCCACCCCTTCGGTGCAGGGACCCCCCCCCCTCCCTCCCTCCCTCCCCCGAACCATCTCAAGGACAAGCCCTCGGAGAGAGGCACTTTGAGGCAGAAACCTTATCGCGTCTTTGAGGCGGCGCAGAGCGCTTCGAGGGCGTCGCGCGTCGACCGTGTGGGACCGTATCTCGTGGGCGGAACGCAACAGCCGATGACGCACAGCGACGGACCCCCCCCCCCCCCCCACGTGTAGGGTCGTGGATCGAGTTGTCCCATAATTATTATTGTTCTTATTAGGACTTTTTGTTTAAGGGGTTGTCTTCGATCGGCGCGGCCTCCAGAAGCGGTTGCTCCCCGAGGAATCCGCCGCCCTGTTTTCGTGGTGTTTTTGCCCGGTGTTTGGATCCCTCCTCCCTCCCTCCCAACTGTGCTTTTCCATTTCTGCGTTTGGCCGATTTTAAGGAGAGCGATAAATAATTGCAGCGCCTCAGTCCCCCGCTCAGGTGTGCGCTTTGCCTCGGTTAAACGCTCCCGGGTGAAGGGCGCTCTGTAAACCCGAGTGATTGTCTTTTCGATGTGATGGTAAGGCTTGGGTATTTGACGCAGAGCCTCGTCACTTCGGGAGGATGTCTCGAAGGCGCTTCACAGGATTTCAGACTGAAGTGCAGTGGTTATGTGTTGTAGGCAAAGGCAGCAGCCAGTTTACACGCAGCGATGTCCCCCGCAATCAGCAAGAAAGCGAATAGCTATTTTTATCTTGAGGGATTTTAGGACCAGTACACAGGGAGAGAGAGAAACTCGCTTCTCTTCCCGACAGCACCACAGCGGATCTTTAACGTCTGCCTGAACAAGGCGCAGGCGGGGAGCTCGGTTTAATGTCTCATCCGAAGGATAGCATCTTTGTTAATGAGGCGCTTCCCCCCCTCCTCCCCATTGCACTGGAGTGTCAGCCTAGACTGAGCTCAAAGTCTCGATGTGGGTCTGACTCACAGATGAGAGGGCTGCCAACTCATCCAGGCTGACGTAAATGCCTTGACTAAACTGAAGTTTCAATTTGCTGTCTAAAAAATGTTGCCAGTAACTTGCATGAATTGCACTGCCTTAGGAAAGGTTGTGGGATGTTAGTCACTCGTAAGGTTTCAGATGATGGCTTGAGCCGTAAGTCGACGATAAATCATGATACTTAAACTTAATCTAAACTAACCTGAGAGTTCCACGCATCCCACCTGCAAAATCTGGAATGTGCACTCTTTCACTGTAGAGACACATCCTGCTTACCTATTCCTGGAGATTATTAGGCACAGGTTGGCGAGAGCCAAGGATGACCCCAGAGTTTGCTTCGTGATAAATGCTAGGGTCTAACCAGCTAAAACCGCATAGTTTGTCATTGGGAGCATTGCCTGACAAGCTTCCTGCTGCTTGTCCATCCAGGATCACAATATCTGCTAGGGCTTTGGCTTGCAGGGTTAACAGCAGCATCCTGGCCTGAGCATCGTGTCCCAATAACCTGTTCAAGTCATTAAGTACCCGCTGTGTAAAGAGATAATTTCTGGTGCCCTAAATTTGCCCTTCACATACCTTAACCTGTGCCAATATGTTCTGCTGCCTTGTCATATCTGAAGCTGCTGCTTGGATTTACTTTCTCAATCCCTTTTAGCACCTTATACTGTCTACTCCTCTACAAGGTTCCCTTTGAGATGTCCATTTTCCAAGGATAAGTCATATATCTGTTTCTCACTGAGAAGAGAATGAAGGCAGCTATGTTTATTTTAATCGCACTGTAGAATGCCTCACACAGAGGCACTGATATTGGCAGTGTTGCAGCTCTCTGTGAGACATTTTGATGCAACATTTCAAGCTGCTGTGACTTAGTATTTGGCTGAGTGAAGGGCACTCTCAAAATGGCACCTTCCTGACTCGGGGTACCCTCGCTCTAATCTAACCAGCGTTTCAATATGAAGCCACACCTCGGCTCAACACCATTCTCCATGTTGTGTGAATGGAGTTGGCTTCAATGAAAAGAATGTGAGTTTTCTGGCGGAGTAACTCAAATAACAGTCGCTGAACTGGAGAGAAAATAATCCTCGCCTTTGACATAGTGATTGGACTGTAATGCTTAAGTCATCTTGGAGTACTTCACAAGCTTTCTCTAAAGTGAATTGACTGTATTTGTGGCCAAACCCCCCAAAAATGGCAAGAGCAAAGACGCCTGATATTCAAGTGTCTCTTCTGGCTACTATTATCGGTCGATTGAGGCGAGAAAAAAAGCCAGAGTTGCACTCGCTTTATGACTTGTGGAGGCACAGAATGAGACCCAGGAAAGCCCAGTGTGTCTAAACGTGAGGGCTGCAGTGTTGAATATATTTAGGTCTGAATCCTAAAGAGTTCTGACTGACTTTTGCATTCGGCTTGGCTTGAGCTGTGCAATAATAATAATAATAATGCTTGCATTTGATAGAACCTTATCATGTGGTCACAAACGTCTCAAAGCGCTTTGGTACATCCTGTAAAGCGGTGTGACTTGTGTAGGAGACAGAGAGGATAGGCAATGACAGTGCTCGGGTCCGGGGTGGGCAGGGTTATGTTTTGGGGCTGGAGCTTGTTGTTTTTGGATGGAGAAGTTGAGCAAAACTGCAGCCGTGCTAACCTGTCAGTGACGTTCTTGTTACAGGCAGTGACCGCACATCATGCGGCGGCGGAGGAACTCTGGTCAGAGCAGAGGAGAGCAGCCGCGTGACAAAAACCGCACCGTCGAGGCAACATGTAGCTTGACCGAGCGAGGAGGACGATAAAAGAGCACTTTCCTCGGGGGGAAATAGTTGCCGGTTCGATGCTCTGACCAACGAGGAGGATCCCTTAAGGAAAAGGCATCATGACGTCCTCATCGCTTCGGCGACAGATGAAAAACATTGTGAACAATTACTCGGAGGCCGAGATCAAAGTGCGGGAGGCCACCTCCAATGATCCCTGGGGGCCCTCCAGCTCACTGATGGCCGAGATCTCGGACCTGACATACAACGTGGTGGCATTCTCCGAGATCATGAGCATGATCTGGAAGCGGCTGAACGACCACGGCAAGAACTGGCGACACGTGTACAAAGCCCTGATGCTCATGGACTACCTGATCAAGACGGGTTCGGAACGCGTGGCCCAACAGTGCAAGGAGAACATCTTTGCCATCCAGACACTCAAGGACTTTCAGTACATCGACAGGGACGGAAGGGATCAGGGTAAGAACGTAAGAATTTGCTAGGTGAAGGAAGAACTAAGGTCCATCTAGTTCACCTTCCACCATCCTGGCTGTCGCTTGACATCGTTGTATCCCAAACTACATACTGTAACCCGAGATATTGTGGAGTCCTGTAGCAGAGTGGTTAGAGCACTCGCCTCCAAGCGAGAGGACCTGGGTTCGATTCCCGGGCAGGACCAGGTGAAATATTGGCCAAGTTTCCTTACTCCATGCACACACACCCCTGTTTACCTAACAGCAGGTAGGAGCCGGTTGTTAATCGATTGGCAGATCGCTTTTCTGTGGAGAATAATCTTTCCCTTTACAGTCGATTCACTTTACAATGTATTCTGTGAAGCACTTTGAGACATCTTGAAGACTTGATAAGGCGCTATATCAAATGCAAGGATTATTATTATTTGAAAAAGTGTAGTGACTGTGTTTCTGTATTCAAACGCGGCAGTTAATTTGGTGCAGAACAAGATACCATATCTGATTTATTGAGATTGCTGTTAACCAGGAGACTGGGGCAAAGCTCTCTTCTCTCTGTTTTTAATCGCATTGTGAGATCTTTAACATCCTCTCCAGATGGGAGCTCAGATTTTAAAGTCTGATCTGAAGGATAGTTTCTCTGACAGTGCAGCACTCTCCCAGTATTGCACTGGACTGTGAGCTCAGTGATCCTGACTTAGGGCTGGAACCCACCAAGTTATAGTTCTGAGGGAGGGAGGGGTGCCAATTCAGCCAGGCTTGACACCTACTTAGTTTTTGATCTACAAATATCTCTTTAAGAGCGTGAAAACATTTAGCAGGTCTCAAAGGTGTCCATGCCTGAAAAAATCCCCGCAGTTTCTGGTGAAGAGGAAAAAAAAGTACACAAGTTTTGATTATCGACCGATAAAGATTGGGGCTATTCTCAACGGCTGGAAAGTCCTAATTGCTGGAGTTCAGAGCCCTACAGACGGGCATAGAGAATGTGGGTGAGGGGATACGGGTTGAAGAAAAGATTGAGGCCATCATGATCAAATTTTTTGCTGAGCGCTTGTGGCTGGGCTCACACAGAGTGACCACTTGGGACGAGGTGCCACGTTTTAATCGGACTTCGGTGCTTTGAGGAGCAACCAAAACAATAAAAAAAAATTCGACTACCATCTTTAGATTGTTAGAACTTTTTCAGATCAGAAGAGTTGTCGATTGGACCCATGATTTCCTACTGTTAAAAGATTTTAAAAAAGGGTGTGCTTAACACCGTTCAGTTCTAATTAAACCCGTTCTGTCGTGCACTTCGAGACGTTTCTTCACAAGAGACGCGGTGTCAATTTTAACTTGCTGTAGAGAGAATCGTGGATGCCTGTGGTGGGTGTGGTTGCTTACAAAGTTCTGGTCTGATCAGTTAGAGGAAGACGCGTCAGAAATAAATGGTGTCGTATTAGCAGCCCGACTTTTAAGAGCCTGAGATTTTAAGACTGAGGGCAAATAAAAGTGTTCTCACAATATTAATAATCCTGGCATTTGATACAGCGCCTTATCACGTCTTCGAGACGTCTCAAAGCGCTTCACAGAATATACTGTAAAGTGAATTGACTGTACTTTGTGGGCGAAAGGTGGCAGCCGATTGCGCACAGCAGTGTCCCACAATCAGTCGTGGATTGAGTGACCAAATTATCATTATTTTGGAACGGATTATCACGCGTGAAAAAGCAATCCGCCAGTCGAATAACCACCGGGTTCCTACTTGTTAGATAAACAGAGGCGTGTGTATGGAGTAAGGAAACTTGCCCAACATTTCATCCCGCCCGGGAATCGAACCCGGATCCTCTCGCTTACAAGGCGAGTGTGCTAAATGCTGAGCTACTCCACTCTTGCTGGTGATTGGGAGGTACAAGTATCAGGTCAGCAATGGTGGTGAGGCCAGTGACCACAGCGGTCACCGATCATCTGCATAAGCTTTGTTTTGGTGTTGGCGACTCACACCAATGCTTCAGAATCTTTATAAAAAGAAATTACGAGCTGTGTGAGTGAAACTGTGCTGAGATCTAGCAGCCCTGTCTTGTTGGTCTGTCTGAACACACCGCATCATCCATATCAGGAAATGTCTGACTAGCTACTGAGTCTCGCCCAAAGAACCAGTGCGGGGAGGAGGGGAGAGGAAGGGAGACTACCAAAACATATTTCGTAGAATTTCACAGCACAGAAGGAGGCCTCTCAGCCTTTGCGCCTCTCTGTGAAAGAGCTCTCCATTCACTTCCACTTCTTTGCTCTCCTCCCACCCCCACCGCACACACACGCACACACTCCCCCTCCCCCTCCCCCGCCCCACACACGCAGATGCACCCCTTTGTATTTTTCTTTTTAAAATATTAGTCCAATTCCCTTTTAAAAATCTGTTACGGATTCTGTTTCAGACTCCGTTTTTGGTTTCCTCGGTATTCTGTGTCCTAATAACTATCCTTTGTATGAATAAAAATGACACTTCCTTTTATTTCGGTGACTATCTTACATTTATGCCCTGAAATGACTGACTCACCACTCACGGGAACTAGCTTCTTCCTGTTGAAGGGGGCGGGGAAATCAACCAACAACAACTTGCATTTATATAGACAGATGGTGCCTGTCGGGCAGGTTAGCATCTCGTAGCGCCACGATGGATCCTACAGCTGATTATTATCGGATGTGGAGTGTGGGAACATTGGATGAGTTTTGACTGTTAAGTGCTGGGTTATCGGGAAGTTTACTTGAGTTCGAGAGAGACATTTGCAGCGAAAGCAGGCAGAGAGAGAGAGAGAGAGAGAGAGAGGTGTGTGATCTCAAGGCCGTGGTGGTTGGTACATGAAGCTACCTGTTTAACCTGGCTGGGTTGTCCTGTGGTCGATCTTGCCGCACATCCCTGTCTGTCGGTGAGTTGATTTTCCTCGGAATTCTTGTTGAGGTGCGGTGCCTCTCTTCCCCAGGATTAGCTTCGCCTTGTTTTATTGTCAGCCGCCTCAGACACGCAAGTGACAGCTTCTCGGTGGCAGAAAACAACAATTTAGTTTCTGTTGTGTCAGCGGTTTTCACAGTCTCTATTGAAGGCTGAAGCCCTCTTTATCTCGAGGTTCTGTGGCCTACATCTCCAGGTCTATAGTTGACCACGTCCTTTGTCGAGTGACCGCGGTCACAGTAAACCAATGGTGTGACGGGGCAGCTTTATTGTGTCTCTGAGATGTCTCAAAATACACCGTCAAGTTAGTTAACTGTATGTTTTGTGGGCGAAACGCGGCGACCAATTGCGCACAGCAGCGTCCCCACAAAGAGTCGTGGATCATAACCAAATTATTTTTACTTGGCTGCCGGGGGCCGGGCGCCTATCAGATGCGTGCATTATTATTTATTATTATTATTGTTCTTTCTTCCCTGAGCAGGCATCAACGTGAGGGAGAAGTCCAAGCAGCTGATCGCCCTGCTGAAAGATGACGAGAGGTTGCGTGTGGAGCGCAGCCACGCGCTCAAGACGAAGGAGCGGATGTCCAGCGTGACCACAGCGGTCGGCAGCAACAACCAGATCATGTTTGGCCGGGGTTCCAGCCACCCCAACCTGTCCACCAGCCAGTCAGACGAGTGCGGCAAAGTGGGCGGCTCGCCGGCCTCCTACCACGGCTGTAAGTGCGCCCGGGACGTTTTCGAACGCGTTGATTTTTAAAATCCCTTCACTCCCTGGCATCTCCCTACCCGTCCCGACCCGCTTACTCGCAACCCACAATCCGTTCGGCTGGCTCTGGCCTCCTGCACGTTCCTCGTGCCCTCCGTTCCACCATTGGGTGGGGGGGGGGCTATGCTTTTAGCCACTACGCCCTGCAACTCTGGATCACTTTTCCTCTATCCCTCTGCCTTGCCCCTTCCTTCCCCATCTTCAGGCTGCATCTGAAGACCTTCCTCTTCGCCGGCCACCTCCCCTCCCCCCGGCCTCTTGCGGTGCTGTAACGGCCTGATTCTGGGGAGATGAAGACGCTAGATGTGGCGAGGATTGTGTTGCTCTGATTATGATTACCGCACTGTTTCCCTCTCGCCAGCGACTTCCCCGAAGATCTCCTCGGAGCTGGAGCAGACGAGGCCGCAGACGAGCGGGGAGGAGGAGCTGCAGCTACAGTTGGCGCTAGCCATGAGCCGCGAGGAGGCCGATCAGGTGCCCGCCCGAGGAGGGGGCAATATCGAGGGCTTGCCCAGGGAGCTGGTGGGTTTGTCTGCCTCCCCGTCCACATTCCCTGTCCCTGTCCCATCAGGACGCGGTGCATGTTTGAGAAGAGAGAAAATAGACGCAAAATAATAATAATACTAATAATCCTTAGATTTGATACAGCGCCTTATCATGTTGTTGATGTGTCTCAAAGCGCTTCACAGAATACATTGTAAAGTGGAGTGACTTGTGTTTTGTGGGTGAAACTTGGCAGCCAATTGCACACAGCAGTATCCCACAAACAGTCGTCGATTGAGTGACCTAATTATTATTTTGTTAAGGGATTTTTTTACCCCCAGGAAGCAATCCCTCAATCAATTAACAACCAACCTACTGCTGGGTAAACAGAGGTGTGTGTGTGGAGTAAGGAAACTTGCCCAACGTCTCGCCTGTCCCGGCCGGGTATCGAACCTGAGTCCTCTCGCTTGCGAGGCGAGTGTTCTAACCACTACTCTACGGGGCTCCACGTAACTGACCGGGTGTCACGTCAGTCAGTGGGACGCTGCCCGCTTTCGGGGAAACTGTTCTGTCCCTCGTATCCTATCAGAAACTTCTCCTCAAGTTGGTTAAGGCCAACGACGACTCTTTGTGGATCAGTGCTTCGTATTACACTTCACTTAACGGCTCGGCCTCTTTACGACGTGGCCACACAAAGCGTTTGACCCCAGAATGGTGGCTGCCCAGTGTAACCAGAGCGCACACACTCGCTCTCTCTCTCGCTTTCCCCCACACAGATTTTCAAAGGTGCCCCCACTACCAGCCAGCAGAGGAGTGTCGCGTTGACACTGGGTGTGCAGGTAAGGCTGACCATTACCTGGATTGAGAGAGTAAACTCCGCGCTCACAGGACAGAGGCGGATGACTGACGGGCTTTCCAACCTCTCCGCAACTGAGCCCGGAAGAAAGATTGATCACGCTTGTTTTTTTTTCTGGGTTCAAGACCCACGTCCGGACGTGAGCTCACAGTCTACGCTACCTCAATCCCTCCCTCCGCCTTTCCCTCTCCTTTGCCCATCTCTCACCTGAAGACCAACCCACTGACAGTCACCCGCTTCCCCGAACCCCCCCCCCCGCCCGCCCCCCCACACACCCTGCTCGGTGTTGTACTACACCACTATTAAGCGCTCTGAGATGCGTGTATGTGAAGGGCACTGAGTTGCAGTGTCTGTCAAGGGAGGGAGGGGAAAGTGTGGGAGGGGTGGTGGGGAAAGGAGAGAGGACCGATGTTTTACGCCATATGTTGCTATGCGCAGGGGGACAGGCGACGCCGGGGAGATGACTTACGGCTGCAGCTGGCGATGGAGGAAAGCCGACAAAAACTACAGATATCCACAGCCGAGCCTCAGGGAGCGGAGGTAAAGCCGGGAACTGGCCTCACAGGGAATGTGATCGCTCAATCCATGGCTGTGTGTTGTGGGTCACTGCTGTGCGCAATTGGCTGCCGCAGAACATACAGTCAATCCACTTTGTAGACTCTCCTGTGAAGCGCTTTGAGACGTCGCGGCGACGCGATCCAGCGCTGTATCAAATGCAGGGATTATTGTTATTTTGTGCGTCACTATGGCGAGATCCATCACAGTGCACTGTCTGCTCCTTTCCACAGCCTTCTCTGCTGGACCTGACGGACTCCTCGCCGTCTGCCCTGACACAGAAAGCCGACCCCTGGGGAACGCCCTTCCCATCAGCAGCAGCAGCTCCGGCCGCCAAGCCTGACCCCTGGGCTGCCGTGTCCGGTCCGGCCCCCACCTCCGACCCTTGGAAGCAAATGGGTAAATCGTCCCGGCGTAGTGCAGGGTGTTGGGTGGTTCCCAGCGACTCAGTCAGTTGACGTGTAGCAGACGTGGCTTGGGTGGTTAGAGCACTCGCCTCGCAAGCGAGAGGACCTGGGTTCGATTCCCGGACAGACAAGTTTCCTTATTCCACATACTCGCATGCCTCTGCTTACCTAGTAGTAAGTAAGGAACCGGACAGTTAGTTGATTGGCGAATCACTTTGCGGGGGTAATAAGTCCTCCCCCCCCCCCCAAAAAAAAAAATTGGTCACTCAATGGCTGCCGTGTTTCACCCACAAAATATAGTCACTCTGAGGCGTTGGCCTACACGAAGGAGTGAGTTATTGTTGTCGTGTTTGTCCCAAGTCACAAGCCTTGTTCTCCCGCCCTCTCGCAGCAGGCTCCAGGCTGGCCGCCGCCTCTGACCCATGGGGAGCCGAACCCCAACAGAAGACCACCGACCCCTGGGCCTCGGTGACACCAGCCCCCAGTAGAGATCCCTGGGCCCCGGCCTCTCCCACCTCAGGTACTGTTTCTCGTTGAAGTGGAGTCCTGTAGCTCAGTGGTTAGAGCACTCGTCTCGCAAGCAAGAGGAACCGGGTTCGATTCCCAAAAAGTTAGACAAGTTCCTTTACTCCATACACCCACACACACACACACACACACACACACACACGCCTGTTTACCTCGCGGTGTGCAGGAACCTGGTTGTTGATTGGCAGATCACTTTCCGGGGGTAATAAAAAAAATTCACTCAATCCACGTCTGTTTGTGGGGGACGCCGCTGTGCGCAACTGTCGGCCGCGTTTCGCCCACAAAACACACAGTCACTCCACTTTACCAGGTATCCCGCGAGGCGCTTTGCGAGATGTCTCAAAGACGTGATAGGGCGCTTTATCAAATGCAAGGGTTGTTATTGTGCTGTGCTTGAGGGGTGTTGAAGGGAGCTGGGGACCAATCTCTCTCTCTCTCTCTCCCTTCCTCTTCACAGTGGCCTCTCCTTTCCAATTGTTCAGCGCGACGGACACCACGGTGACAGATGACTTCTCAGCGTTCAGCGCTTTGAGAGGCTCCCCGAAGAAGCCGGAGGGTCAGGGAGCAGGTGAGTTTTGACTCTTAACAAGTCCTGGTTCGGCCAGAGCTCCGCGCTTGCCGAGGGGAAGTTTATCCCTGAAGGTCTCAACAACAACAACAACAATAAATGACATTTCCACGGTGCCTCTCACGTCAGGAGAACGTCCCGAGGCGATGGGACAGTCAGGGATTTGGATCCAAACTGGGGATTGGGATGAGGAGGTTTTCAGGCAGTGGGGGGGGGTTGGTTAGGAGGGTGATCAGATGGCGCGGTTGACGAAGAGGCAAGGCGCAGGGCAGGGAAAGCGAGGGCAGGAGGGTGACCGATGGCGTTAGGGTTAGGTAAGAGGCTGATTGTTTACTGTGACTCTGGACTCCGCAGGTGGCAGATTTGAGGCGTTATCCGATGGGCTGACCACTCCGCCCGGCCGCACTGCCAGCCCCGACATGTTTGACATGTCCCGCATGTCCAGCAGCGTGGAGCCCACCCCTAAACACCAGCCGGCCTTGGCCGCACACAAAAACCCCGAAGCTTTCCTCGGGCCCAACGCCTCGCTCGTCAACCTGGACACCCTGGTCACCCGCACCCCACAGCCCAACCTCAACACTAACCCCTTCCTCGCACAGGGTGAGCGGAACGTTTGGTGTTCGGGGGGGAGATGGGGTGTGGGTTAGCAGCCGGTGGTGGTGGCGGCGAGGGGGAAACGGGGAGGGGGCAAAGGGGTGCGAGGGTGGGCGGAAGGAGAGAGGGAAGGAGAGGGAGGGAGGGAAGGGGGTGGCGGGAGGGAATGGGAGAGAGGGTGAGGTTTGGGAAGGAGAGTCGGTTTGCTTTATCGGTTCGTGCCGTTCTCTTGTGATTCCCACGGCCAAAGCCCGAAGACCTGTCCACTTCCTCCTGCCCGAGGGTTAGCTCGTCTGTATTTGTTACAGCAATAATCTTTATATAGTGCCAAGCTCAGTGGGTTTGCATCTCTCTCACTTTCTCTCTTTTTTTCCCCCTCTCTCTCTCCCCCCCCCCAACCCCCTTCCTCTTCTATCCCCCTCTCCCTCTCGCCCTCTCTCTCCCCCTCCGCTCCTAACCGTACTCCCTCTTCCCCCCCCATCCCTCTCGCCCTCTCTCCCCACCATCTCTCTCCCCCTCCTCTCCCTCCCCCTCCTCTCCCTCCCTCGCTCCCTGTTCCCCCCCCCCACCCCCTCTCTCCCTCTCCCCCCCCTCTCTCTCTCTCTCTCCCGCAGGTGTGTCGGCCGCCACAGCCAACCCGTTCCACAGCTCGCAGCCCGCGGTACCCGCCTGTGGTGGGCCCGTGTCCCAGACCCCGTTCGGGCCGGTGGCTCCGGTCAGTGCCAGCCCCGCCCCCTTTGCGGGGGTGCCGGGGGGCGGGGGCCCGATGATGGTGGGCGGGGCCCAGGTGGTGGGTGGGCCGGTGATGCCAATGCCGCTGAGCTCTGCCATGACAGGCCCCGCCTATGTGGCCATGGTGACCCCACCCCCTCCCACAGGACCGCCTCCCAGGTCCACCAATCCCTTTTTATTATGATGCCCAAACCCGGGGCCGATTCAACTCACGTCCAAACCTAAACTCAGCGACGATGGAGTCTTCTGTTTTGCCGTCCGGGATTTAGCCCAAACCCCCCGCCCCCCACCACGAGCCTCACCCACAGCTCTCCCCTCGTGACGGCGCAGCTTGGTGTTGGTGGGGGCTGGGGGTGGGAGGTAGACGGGGAGGGGAAGGGGTGGGGGCAGAGAGAGAGAGAGAGAATAGAAAGGGCAAGGCAACAGCAAACAAGGCACAGATCTGTTTGTTCCCGTGAAGGTTTGGGGTTGGGGGTGTGTAAGGATCTCTGAAAGCGACTGTGGTTGTGATGTGGCCTCATTGTGGTATAAAATGTCCCTGTTTCTTGTGCATCCTTCTCTTCCTCTTCGCTTTCTGCCCCCCCCCCCGAAACTCCCCCGAAACTCCCCCACCCCTCCCCACCCGCCCTCCCCACGCTCCCAGCACCACGTAGGTTTGTTTTTGTTGAGCAGCCCTCTCCGACTATCACGTTAGAGGATTCCCCCCCATGTCATCGCTGCCCTGAGCCGCTTTTTAGCCCAGTTCTGAACCACCTAGAGTTGTAGAGGTGAGGAAAACGGGAGAGCAAATCATACCGGAGTTCCCGTAGTGTAGTGGTTAGCGCACACACCTCACGAGTGAGAGGACCTGGTTGTGAGTCGATTGGCGGATCTCTCTTGTGGGGGTAATAATCTCTTCCAACAAAATAATATTAGTTTGGTCATTCATGCCACGACTGTTGTGGGGACACTGCTGTGCGCACTTGGCTGCTGAGCTTCACCCACGTAACACACAGTCACTCCACTTTACAGTGTATCCTGTGAAGCGCTTTGAGACGTCTCAACGACGTGATAAGGCGCTGCATCAAATGCGAGGATTATTATTGGTCCAGGCATTACATCTCATCCTGAATCCACTCCCAGTTCTTTGTGTACGTGTGGCTTGACATCACCGTGCTTTCTACCAAGCTGTGAAATCTCATAATATATATATATATTGTGTTTAGGAACAAAAAGGTATGTCTCTCACTATCCCGAAAGAATTTAAGGTACTCGTGATAAAGGGAACGCCGTGGGCTGCCGAGCAATCAGTGTAGTACACACTACCCTATCTCAGCAACGTGTGTGCGCAGTTGGCTGCCGCGTTTCGCCCGCAAAACATACAGTCAATTCACTTTACAGTATATCCTGTGAAGCGCTTTTGAGACGTCTCGAAGACGTGATCAGGCGCTGTATCAAATGCGAGGATTATTGTTGTTATTAACTTACTGTGGACTCGTCTTTCAGTCTCTGATTTCAGTATTAAAATAGAGTGTTTTTTTAAAAAAAAATATATATATAGTTCGGGTAAACCACGCAAAGTGTTGTAAGCTGTATTTATGTTTTTACCAGACACTACTACACATGAGTTTACAAGTTTTTTTTAGTGTTAATGTTTACTGGCTGAATTGCTTGGAATCTGCCACTCTACTCCACCATTATCCCCAGAGGGGCTTTTTTTTAATCAACCCCCTTCCCCCCCCCCCCCCCCCCCCCCGCGTGTGTGTGAGTGAGTTTGTGCGCGTGTGCATCTTTGTGTGTTAAGTGTAAGTGAGTGTTAAGCCCTCTGGGATGCCAGCGTGCGCGAGGGGTGCTGTGTAAATGCAAGTCGTCGTCGTGTGTGTGTGGGGTGTGTGTGTGTGTGTGTGTCTGTTTTTGAGTGTGTTTGTGTCTGTGAGTGTGGGTATGTGTCTGCTTTTGAGTGCGTCCGTGTGAGTGCGCGTGTGCACGTGTTAACCTTAGCGTTCTTTTTTTACACCCACTGGTCCCATCGTGCTCACTGCTGTTTGTCGGGGTCCGATCTCGTTCGTGTGTGTGTGAGAGACAGACAACAAGTGAGTTGAACCTCAGGCCCTAAAATTCCACCTGATCTCTGGCGGGCAGCGAGACACGTTCTGTATTAGAATTTTTGTGGCGAGACCCCTCCCCACCCCCCACCCCACCCCCCACCCAACATCCGATTAAATGGGATCAACGCAGCAATTTCTAATTGTTGAAGGATGCGCGGGGTGGGGGGGGTGGGGGGGGTGGGGAGCGTTTAGGAATGAGAGAAAGGGAACCGAATTAACCTGCAGATCCCCGCTTGACCTGGCGTGGTGTTTTCAATGCGATTCACGTAGACTAAACGGAAGAAACTTAAGGCCGGCCGGGCGCAGTTGGCTTGCCGCGTTCCGCCCACAAGGAGCACAGTCACCACACTTCACGGCACGTCCTGCGAAGCGCTTTTGAGACAAGCGCTCGAACCCGTGACGAGGCGCTATTTCGAATGCGAGGCTTGTTAATAGATTAATAATGTTAAATCTCCTCTGCCCACTTGGGATCCGTTGCCATTTTAGTCTGTAACCGGGGCTTGCGGGAGCCGCTGTGTGTTATGTTGCAGTGTTGTTGTGCTTGTGCTCTCTTCACGTTCATACTGTACTGCGCATGAAAGGATCTCAGATCAGAACCGCGCGATTTCTATCAAAGGAAATCCTCCCCGTTTACAGACTTTATCTCTAGTTTTCTTTCTCTCGTCATCTCGCAGAGCCTGGTATAATTTTTTTTTTTCCCCCTCTTCTTCTCTCGCTCACGCCCACGTGTTTGCATTTGCAGCGACTCTTGTGTCTGTGAGTTGAGGCGATCGCTTTGAAAATGTGGTCTGTGCGTGTGTGCTTGTGCGCGCGTTTGCTCCTTTCCAATTCAGTATTATGGTTTGTTGCAAATCTTAACAGTGCGCAGAGGGGACCTCGTGACCCGACACGTATTCTTTCAGGAGAGAAGAGAAAAGGGCATTGCGCATTTTGATGGGAGATTTAAGGTGTTTCTTCAGAGACTCAGTGAATTAGGAGGGTCAGGTCATTTGGAGTCTTGCAGCTTAGAGGTTAGAGCACTCGCCTCACAAGCGAGAAGACCTGGGTTCGTTAAGTTTCCTTATTCCACACACACACACACACACACCTGTGTTTACCTTGCGATGAGTAGGAACCCGGTTGATTGGCAGATCGACTTTCCTGGGGTAATAATCCCTTCCAAAAACAAAATAATGATTTGATCACTCAATCCATGACTGTTTGTGGGACTCTCCTGTGCTGCTGGGTTTCTCCCACAAAAAGTACAGTCAATTAACTTCACATATTCTGTGAAGTGTTTTCAAACGTCTCGAAGACGTGATAAGGTGTTATATCAAATGCAAGATTATTATCATTATTATTTCCCGCTGCCAACAGTTGTAAGAAGCTTTGGGTTTGGGTGGAACACAGGCTGACACGTTACTGTAACAGCAGCACAGACACCAGTGAGTGACCGGGCAGCTGAGCTCCATCCTGCGAGCTGGAGGTTTACGCAAACAATAAGGGAAAGAAAAGCACTTTGCGAATGGGACAAACCGCGGCCAAACGCAGACCCCGACCCCCAATTTTTTTAAAAAAATATAAAAAAAACTAAACCCTTAGTGCAGATTCAGTTAGCCGTCTGAAGGATTGATTTCAGTAGTGCATCATATGCATTTATTAATTTATTATTCCTAAGAATTAAATGTCTTGTATAAAGCTATTTATCCTGCTGTAGTGAGTCTCGGAGCTGGTGGAAGAGGAGGGTGGGGATTGGGGTGGTGGGAGAAAGGAATGGGGAGGTGAGAAGCAGAAGGTGAGGTGGATTCTCGGGTCTGGTTGTTTCAGGTTTTCGCTCTCTCCGCATCCATCTGTCCCCGTGTGTCCCGTCCTCCTCGCTCCCCTGCTATTTACTTGGACGATACTGTATGTATTTTGGGAAGAAATGTTTGCCAATATCGTTAGTGATGCTGTACATTGTACTTAAATGTTTTCGTACCGCCGTCAAACCCTGAACACGAATCGCAAACGAGAACTGTGGCGAACCTTTGGTTGGGTGTCTGGAGTCCAGTTTGCTGGAGAGAGTGGAAGGCAGTGGGCAGCAGTATTCATCTCACAGTATTAGCGTCAAAGATAGTATTAGCCTCACAGGTCAAAAGAACTTGCTTTTAATAGTTCTGTCACTTCAGGAATCCCAAAGCTGTTTGGGCTCTTCCATTCCCTCGACAAACACTCGTCTTCCCTCCGCCCTCTCCTCCCGCCACACAAACCCGTTCGCCAACGTCAGGTCAGGCACTCCGGCAGCTATCGGATGAGACGGTCACTGGCCAGAGTTTTATAACACGTAGAAATATGATGACGGGGGTATGGGGCAGCAGCCAGACAGACACCTGTGCTCGCATCAAGAGCAAGACACTGGACTCTGAATTACTTGGCAATGTGATTAGTCCTGTAGCATAATGGTTAGAGCACTTGCCTCACAAGCGAGAGGATCCGGGTTCGATTCCTAGACAGGGAGAAACGTTGGGCAAGTTTTCTTACTCCACACACACACGCGCGCGACTCTGTTTTCCAGCAGTAAGTAGGAACCCGGTTGTTAGTCGATTGGTGGATCGCTTTTCCAGCGGTGATAAACCCTTCAAAGAAATAGTCAATTCACTTTACAGTATATGCTGCAAAGCGCTTTGAGGTGTCGGGAAGACATAATAAGGTGCCATATCAAATGCAGGGATTATTATTATTTGAAGTGCTGCCGGTGTCTGGGCTCAGCCACGTTCCTGAAGGAACACAAGGCTTTCAGAGGTAACAGAGTCAGGTAGTTCCCGGCAAAGAAGGGGAATTTAAAACAGGGCAAACCGGGCTGGTCAGCTGTTTAGAAAATAATTAAATAGATGACTACACTTCTGGGAACACTGCAGCTAAACCTTCGTTACAGCTCTCACTAACATTTGCTGTAGATATCAAACCTGTTTTGTTCTTTTTAAAAAAAAAACACAAGTTTAAAACCACTTTGGCTGCATTAACTGTACCCACAGAAAATTAAAGTATTGTGAATCTGTCACAAGCTTCGAGTGTGTGTTCTCTTCACACCAGCAGTAACGGACAGCCCTGCGACCACCATGTATGGGTTGTAGTTTTTTTTTGGGGGGTTGGGGGGGGGGGGAAATTGGGGGCGACAGAGAGAATCTCGGAGTGAAATGTCTTTCTTCCCTTCACCCACCGATGACAGGATGGATTCAGTGAGAAACAATTTTCACTCTTCTCAACCCACCTCCGTTGGGTGTTGTGGCTCCTTTTTGCTTTGGAAGTGAAGTTTGAATTGCATAAACATTCTCCGCACGGACTCATTTCCTGCCCTCCCCCCAAAGAATGGAATTCTAAAAGCCAAACAGCGCTCTGTGACACCGAGCTCTGCGATATTCGCTGGTTAGACTCCAGCAATTACCCCAACGCACACTCTGGGGTTCACCCCCCCCCCCCCCCAGCCTCGGCTCTCGTCAACCTGCACCTAATACTCGGGAATTAGGTAAGGATGAATGCATTTCTCCGAGGAGAGGAGAGAGAGAGAGAGAGAGCGTATTCCATTCCAACAATCTCGTCCCCGGGGTTTGCACGTGTGGGTGGGATCCATGGAATTCTCAGCTTGGTTTGGAGGCTCTTAAGCAACGGCGATGTGGGTTTCCGCGCGTGTGTCAGACACCCGGTCGACCCCACCCAAAAAAAACTTGTCGCGTTTCAACTTATTAAATTACTTGTGGGTTAAAAAGCAAGAAACTTAAAAAAAAAAACATTGAAATAACTTGCATTTATCAGTGCCAATTAAAAATCAGGATCACATTGTTACAGTCTTTTTATATATATATTTTTAAAAAAAAACACAGATGCACAAAATGCAAACAGGCACCTTTAACAGTCACAAAATGTATTATCGGGTGATAAAGTTTTAAAACGTATTTCCTCCCCCCCCCCCCCCCCACTTCAAAAAAAAAAGTTCTTCTTTGATAAAAATAATGTCCACATGACTTCCTGATCTTGGACACTTCCATCATTGTTTCCTGTGATGTGGTTCGCTTCGCTGCGGGCACTCAACCGTGTATCTTAACAGCCGTTTGCTGGAGTCAGAGCAGCTCCTTGCGATTTCACTTTGTGCCGCTGTCCTCCTCTCCGTCTCCCTCCGCCACCTCCCTTTGGCTGAAAGGAAACCAGAACAAGAGAGAGAGAGAGAGAGAAGTTATGGAGGATTTTTATACACGTACCCACACACACAAAGCCAGAGGTGCCATAGACACTTGGATGTGGGTATAAACCCCTTTGGAAGTAAGAGAGAGAGATTGCGGGTGTTTATTAAGGTGGTACAGCAATTGGATATCAAGTGCACACCCATCTCGTCTGAATCAGTTTCAGTTCCTTTTCTGTTAAGTTTGGGTAAACTTCCTGTTGGGAAGTTAAGTTAATACCAAAGTAAGAAAGTCCTCACTGACTCTTACACCATCTGGAAGCTGCCGTGGAAATAGTAAGGGCATTGGTCATTGCAAGAGGGAAGAAGAGAGAGAGAAAAAGTCCTCCCGTCCCCAAACGTACCGGTTTCTGCGAGTGTCAGACACTCGGCTGATCCAAAAAGTATAAAACTAAAAGCTGATTCAGACGTGTAGTTCTAATGCCTATTTTTCCCAGGTTTCCAAACCGCTGAACTCACACCACAAGTCTAACTACAATCGCGACTGCAGTGGATCCGGGCTTATTCACTACCTTGTTTTCTTTAGCATCGCGGTTCAGTTTATCCTCCTCTGAAGTTGTCTGCGAAAGCGTGCGATGAGAGAGAGAGAGAGAGAGCAGAGAGACGGGTTGAGCGCGCGCAAGAGAGAGAGAGAGAGAGAGGGCGACCTCGTGAGACGAGGAGATCCTCGAGAAGCACAGCGAGAGGGGACGTCAGGCTGAACAAATCCATCTCCAGAAAAAAAAAACTCACCGCACGGCAGCCAAGTGGCTGAAGGTCCACCTTACACTGAGCGACTGATCACCACCAGGATGCCAGTGTCCAGTGTAGTGACCAGAGAGGCGACTCCCAACTCCTCATCGCCACCTAGTGACCCAGGTTGTAAAGTACACCCGCCCGCGTGCACACACACACACAGGCGCGCGCGCACACACGCACACCCCTTAACGGTAGAGGAACGAACATCTAAAGGGCTTGGGGAGCGAGTGGAAGAGCGGACTCGGTCCGTCAGCGTTGGGCTCGTTGGCAACGTGTCTGCCCTGTGACCTCCGGGGACTCTGCGCCTCGAAACCTTTTACCTGCATTTGCGTTTGGCTGAGACTGTGAGTTGCCGGTGTCTGCCCAGAGGAGCCAGCCGCGTCCTCGAGGCCGGAGCCGGTGACCGGGAGCGAGGCCGGAGTCGCCGGAGAGGCTTCCCGCCCCAGGACGCCTTTCTTGGTCGACTGCATTTTCAGCTGCAGCGGTTTTGTGTTAGACGGCGACGTGTTTGTGGTCTGTATTAGCTATTTATACAGAGGAGGAGGAGAATAATAAGAAGAGAAACGACACAACACACGAAGGGGTTATTAAAAAAAACTGACAAGTTTAAACAAGCAGCGCAATACGTTCTCGTGAAGAGCAGGAATTCTATGTCCCGGTGTTGGGAATGTTTGAACCCAGAGAACGTTCATAATACTAACAATCCTCGCATTTGATGCAGCGCCTTCTCACGTCGAGACATCTCAAAGCGCTTCCCTGAATACACTGTAAAGTGGAGTGGCTGCGGGTTTTGAGAGCGAAAGAGTTAGCGAGACAGAGAGGGAGTGTGTGTGTGAGAGAGAGCGCGAGTCGTCTCAAAGGATATACTGCAATGTGGAGTGACTGCATGTTTTGTGGGTGAAACGCCTTTGGTTTGCGGCCCCTTTTCCGGACGGTTCGATGAGCTCCCGCTGTCTCACGGTGGTAACAAACATCTTGCTTCCGCACCTTTACCTTAGTGATGGTTCCCACGGCCTTTGTGCGACCCTCTCGGAACACCAGCCTCTGCTCAGCGTGGAGGTACTCGGGGGTTTTGATGAAGCGGAAGTGAACGGTGGCCTTGTCCCCGGTCCTCAGACAGTCTTTGCTCATGGACAGGATGGTGGCCGTCTGCCGGATACTGCCACAGTGCACTGCCCGATGGACAAACAGCTATGTCAGCGGCTCTCCTCTCACACACACACATACACCCGACAACAACACCCCCTCACGCAGGGCAAATGTCCCAGAGCGCCTGGAAGTGGCGGAGCACGTCGCCGAGCCGCTGGGGGTGTAGGTGGGAGGTGACCAGGGGCACAGATCAAAGAGGAAGACTTCAAGCGGGGTTTGAAGGAGAGAGTTCCAGAGGTTCGGGATGTCGTGGCAGACGCTGGGGAAGCCTGCAACACGCCTGAGATGCGTAAACAATAAGCAGAGGCGCGTGGAGTTAGGAAACGTTAGGAAGCTCTAACCACTGAACTACAGGACTCCACCCTCCAATGGGAGGGTTTCCATCTCTTGCTCCCTTACCCATGGCCTGGTAGCGAGGGCTGATCGTGGTCGGGTGGTGTAGCACCAGGATTTCGCCCTCAAATTCCCAGGAAGCCTGCGGGTTCAGCTTGGGAGACACCATCACCATCCCCTTGCGGATGGACGATCGTTTGATCTGAAAGAAAGTGGGGGTGAGGGGGGAAGGGGGGGGGGGGAAGAGAAAACAAGAGAGATGAAAGAAAACGAGTTTTAAAGGAATCGGCCTCAGACCTGTTGAGGTCGGGATCATTTATGATAATAATCATAATAATAATCCTTGCATTTCACGCGTCTCATGAAAAACTCTCAAAGCCCTTCACAGCGCATTGCTGTACATTTGCTGCCAAACTGCACACACGGCAACGGCAAAGCAAGGAACCTGGAGGAATTTTTTGTCCAGGACACCCCGAGAAATCTCCGTTAGCAACCAGCTAATGGGATCTATAATGTCCACCTGAACAGGCGGGTGGGCTCTCAATTTAACGTCGCAGTGGAAAGACAACATCTTTCTCCCTTTCCCCTCCCTCCCTCCCACCCAGGGGTTGACCGAAGATGCGGTCGTAGAGGAAGGTCTGGAGATGGGCCATGAAGGCGGCAAGGTAGGGAGCAAGGTGGGGGATGGAGGTCCGGAGGGTGGGGGCAGAGAGGCTGAAGGCCTGACCGCTGATGGTGGGGTGATGTGGAGCAGGCTGGAACCCGCTGAGCGGAGGGAGCGGACAGGTCAGTATGGAGACATTGAGCCATTTTGTTTCTAGCCACATCACCTTCTTGAGCGCAAAGGAGGCCGTCTGCCCCCCGCGGACCTCTCGCACCGGCATGCGTTTCCTGTGGATGGACTTGACCGCGATCGGCAGGAAGTTTCCCAACGGGTCCGGCCCCAGCAACAGCATGTCGTTCAGCCGGATCAGTCCTCGGAGGGTCGTGCCCGACACTACAGTGCCAACACCCTGCCGGGAGAGGGCAAACGTCAGCCAGCGCACACTCACTCACAGGTCAGTCAGCACACCCGCACAGCCACCCACACAGCAGCGGGTACACACACACATACACACAGCACCCCATACACACCCCCCCCCCATATACACGCACAACACCCCATATACATAAACACACACACACACAGTGAATCACAATACTCAAAGCTCTTCCCAAACGCCTTTACTGCCAAGTGCTTCTGAGCCGAACAGTAGAAACTCCCATCTATTACGCCAGTGGTTGTGAGATCACGAACAGCAGAGAGGAGGGGACGTGAGTTCACTCGTGCAGGGTGGGTGGGTAGCTGGATGTGTGGGGGGGAGGGGGGGGGAGAAGAGTGTGTGACTGCACTCTGAGCTCAGAGCCTGGACGTGGGGGTCTTGAAGCCTGGTGAGTCACCGAGTTCACGCACAACAGTCACTACACCTTTGCAGTTTAACCCCGTGAAGCGCGCGGAGACAGCGAGCCTGTACTCACAGGCACAGAGTACGTGTCGTCGATCTGAAACTCGGCCGGCTCGTCCTCTTTGAAGCTGGTGCGCGGCGACAGGAGGTTGAGGAACATCTTGAGCAGCTCCAGGTTCTCCCCCGTCACGTTGGAGATCTGAAAAATTGGGCACATCCTGAGGAGAGGAAAAGGGAACGGACATAAGAGAAACTCAGGTCCACAGAGCACAAAGCACATCAACGACACACAGCGGCAATCTGCGGTGGGGGGTGGGGGATGGGGGCTCTCTCTCTCTCTCTCTGCTGGCACTCCGCAGCGCTCTGAGTCACTATCGTGGAGTCCAGTGGCTCAGTGGTTAGGGCGCTCACCTCGAAAGTGAGAGGATCGGGGTTCGATTCCCGGGCAGGGTGAAATGTTAGGCAAGTTTCCTTACCCCACACACGCGCCTCTCTATTCCTACAACTACAACATTTATACAGCGCCCTTCATGCCGGGGTAGCATCCCTAGCAGTGAGTAGGAATCCGGTTGTTGGTCGATTGGCGGATCGCTTTTCCAGGGGTAATAATCCCTTCAAAAAATAAATAATAATAATGATTTGGTACACTCCATCCACGACTGGTTATGGGACGCTGCTGTGCCCAACTGGCTACTGCGTTTCGCCCACAAAATACCCAGTCACTACACTTTATATAATATTGTGTGAAGAGCTTTGCGATGTCTCGGAAGACGTGATAAGATGCTTTATGCCAAATCATTATTGTTCTGTGAAAAGGGGCAGTTTGCAAATGCAAGTTTGTTCTTTGCAACCCGAGTGTCACACCATCACGGCATTATCCCCCAACAGCAGGAAAGAGCGGCTTCGGTGGAGACGAGAGCAGAGGAACCGGGGCCCGTTTTTAACCACAGTGAAACCCGCTGGGAGCAAACCAGATCAGAGATGGTCAAACCAGCCAGGCGTGTTATTCAGGTAAATAAGGGAAACTATTTCCAGCCGCGGCGAAACAATAACTCGCAACGTCAATTCAAGGTCACAACCCCAACAGAAAAATAGGGTGAGGTCGGCAGATTTATTTTATTAAGCGCAGGGTTACGAGGCGGTGGAATTTCCCCGACCCAAAGAAGTACGGGTTGACACAGATTCGACGATCGCTCTTAAAACGTTTCGCCGACAAAAACTCACACTCGTTGCACTTCACAGCGTATCCTGTGTAGCGCTTTGAGGCATTCTCCCCAAGTGGTATCAAATAATAATCCGCGCGTTTGATATAGAGCCTTATCGTTGGAGACGTCTCAAAGCACTACACACAATATACAACAACGAGTTGCACTTTAGATATAGTGCCCTCCTCACAGGGCAGCATCTCAGAGCGCTTAAATACACTGTATTTGATATATACTGTTTTTACACACACTTTACATATACTGTAAAGTGTAGTGACTGTGTGCCTTGGGGGCGAAACGCAGGGATTCTTCTTTTTGAAACAGAATGGGACAAATATTGGAAAAGGAAAAAGTACGAGAAAGGGAAATCAGGGAGCGGGGCGGTGGGGAATGGTGGTGACACCCCCTGCCCCCCGCCCACCCCGCCGACTCTTATATGAAGACCAGCTACTCGAGCAGGGTTCTGGAGTGCGACGGTGGAAGCTTCTCCCAGGAGGGAGGGAGGGGCAACAGAGATTAAAAAGGGCTTTCAGGAGATGGGAGAAGACAAACACAACACAAGCTCCCCACCGCCCCCACCCCCCCATCCCCCCCCAGCTCAAGGTGAAGTCTGCTTACCGTTCTGAGCTGAAGTTTGAAGCCGTTACAATGACATCATCGTTGTTCTGGACCAGGACGGGGATTTTCCTGCAGCCCGGGGACTTCAGTAACCGTTGCAACAGCTTCAGGGTCTCTGCGTGAACAACACAGCGAGTCAGACTGGACGCACGCGCGCACCCTCATTCCCGGGCTGTGACCCCTTCAGATCGGGCCTCGAGGATTTCCTTACGGATCGTGGACTCGCTCGCAGCGCCACCTGGAAGCCGGTCACGCTCACCGCCGTCCCGAATGACGCCTTCAAACGCACACCTGGCAAAGTCACGGGTCAGGAAAACAGACTGGTTTGCCGCGTCAGGTTATTGTCGTTCAACTCGCACTGGTTTGAGCCACGATTGGGTTAAAGACCGACACGTGACACAGCGCAGAGGTACCGGGTGACACAAGTGGAACTGGAGTCAGCAGAACCCGAAATAATAATAATAGTTGCATTCGATACAGCGTCTTATCAGGTCTCAAAGCGTGTCACAGGATGTACTGTAACATGAATTGGTTGTATATTTGTGCGCGAAACCCGGCAGCTAATCACGCACAGCAGCGTCCCACAAACAGTCGTGGACTGAGTGCCCAAATTCCACTCCCTACCGGAAAAGCGATCCACCAATCGACTAACAACCGGAAAGGAGTCAATTGCAGCCGGGAGGGGTGAGGAGGGTGCGGATAAACAAGGGAATAAAAGAACTCGTTGCTCCACTTTCTTACCCTGCAAGATGTTGGCCGGACACATGTCGATCTTTGTCACCACAACAAACACGGGGACGTTAAGTGCCAGAGCCAGCCCCAGGTGCTCTTTCGTCATGCCCACAATCCCAGCATTGCTGCCCACCTTAAAAGCAAACATCAGCGAGGTTACATTAACCTGAGAATGTGTGAACGCACACAGTGGTAAAAAAAACAAATGGGAGTGATGGAGGCGCAATAACAATTTTCCTCCAATCAAGATTTCCTCAGTTGCAGTGGATCAAATTATTGTGTGGGATTTAGCAGAAACCCTGCGGAGGTTTCACAATCGACAAGCTGAAACTTAATGTAATTGTCATGTCACGCTGGTCTCTTAACAAAAAGCAAAGATAAGCGGGCACTTTCAATGGACAGTAAAGCAATAAGTCCTGCATTTGATACAGTGCCTGATAGCCACAAGAGTTTAAATTGTGCCCTTCTTGAAGGATTACATCCAAGAGTACTGGCTATAAAGTGGTGGCATTGGATCCTGAGCAAGGGAGAAGAGGGGAGATGAGCATAGATGCGATCAAAGAGGAAGGTTTCCCGGTGGGATTTAAAGACAAACCCCCTCCCCAGCTTGGGTGCAAACCCTTAATGGTCCAGCATCTTGGGATGTCCTTCCAATACAAAAGGACTTGAGGTACAGATCAGCCACGATCTGATAAAATGGCGGAACAGAAACGCGGGGCTGAATGGTCTACTCCTGTTCCTAGTGGGCTGCTCTCGGACCTCGCTACAGAGCAGCGGGCGGGAGCCTGGCCCAGTCGCTCACCATCAGCATGCAGAAGTCAGGCAGGTGGCCTGTCATCCCGAACACGGTGGTTTTCAGGTACTTCTCGTGCCCGGCCAGGTCGATGAAGGTGATGACTTTGGTGGATTTCTCGCAGATCTTGGTCCAGTCCAGGCCTCCCCCGTGACTGTCTGGCTTGTTAACCACGTCTCCGCTGCTGTCGAACCCCAGGATGTCGTTGCCCACGCTGCTCGTGCGCCCAGACTCCACCTCGTGTTTGTGCCGGAAAAGCTTCTGCCGGGCGAAGCCGCGACCGTTGTCCAGCTCTCCATGTGTCAGCACCCCCAGCAGCGTGCTCTTGCCGGCGTCCACGTTCCCCACCACGGCTACCCTGCAGCCGGGGGAAAAGGAGGCATTTAATCCCAGACACCACCGTGAGCGTAATCCACCCGAGAGATTCTAGTGACCAGTCTCATGATCAGCAACAGACGATTTGCACCCGAGCTGGAGGTTGGGGCCAAGAGGGATGGAGGGCAGTGGTAGGAGGGTGACCGAAGGCAAGGTCGAAGAGGAAGGTCTTGAGACTGGCCATGAAGGAGGCAAGGGAGGGAGTGAGGCGAAGGGACTGTGGGATGGAGTTCCAGAGGGTGGGGGCAGAGTGGCTGAAGGCCTGACCGATGATGGTGGAGCGGGCAAGTATGGAGGCTTGTTAGGGAGTGGACTTCATTGAGGCTGGATCGAGGGAATCGTTCAAAGGAGGACTGGGTTAAAAACATTAAGGGATGTGAGGGAAAGAACAATTAGTTTTTACTGGAGTACAGAAGGAACAGACCTTCACGAGAGGAGAACATCGGCAACAAGAAGAGAAACAGTTGTTGATTTAGGCTGCAGAAAAAAAAGTTAACTTTGTGAGAGAGATACTGAATTGAAACGAGACGTTTCTCCACACCAGCTGCGTACCGGACCTCCAGGAAGTCGTTCTCTCCCACCCGCTTGCGGGCCAGGTAGTCGCGGACCCTGCCCCCCACCTCCGGGTGTTCTCGTAGGAAGATCAGATCACAGTTGATCTGCTCGGCCAAGCTCTTCACCGTGGCCACGGAAGCTTCTAGGTCCTCCTCGTTCAAACCGTATTCCTTACCGTCTGCAACCAGAGGATCACATGGGAGTTCAGTTAGTGGTTTCCACTGACTGTGTGGATCAAAGAAACATAGGACCAGCAGGAGGCCATTCAGCCCCTCAAGCCTGTTCCGTCATTCTATTAGATTGTGGCTGATCTGTACCTCAATTCCAATTACCCACCTTTGCCCCATATCCCTTGATACCTGAACCGGAAATACCCCCCCCCCACCTCCCAGCCAGGAACGGAAGGAGGGAAATATTTCATTCTGTGGTTAATTTATTCCTGTCACTTAAACCAAGAGAACATCGGGTGCTCATTGCTTAAACAACAACGTTTAACACAGTCCCAGCCAGCCAACTAAAGTCAAGGGCCTGATCATCCCAAGCCCAGCCCAGTCATCATCCCTGGGATCCTGGTTCATGGCCAGCTCATTCAATTGCTCCCAGCGACATTACCTGTAGTCATTCCATCGTGGGAGCCGCCAGGGATCAAAAAGTACAACCTGTTCCCCCAACATCCCTCCGCCCACTAATTAAGTTCATAACTCTTTACCCGATCCTTGGCCAATGACATAGATGGTCTCCCCGCACCCCTCGTCCATCCGCTCTCTCAGCTGCTTCAGCAAACAGTCGTACTGCTCCGAGCTCGGACTCACCAGCACCATCTAAACCGGAGACACAGAGAGAGGGAGAGAGGAGCAACTTCTCCTCAACAACTTGCATTTATATAGCGCCCTTCACGTGGGGCAGCGCCTCTGAGCGCTTGACTGTGGGGTAGGGTCTCAGAACGAGACTGCCTAAAAGCACCTTCACTCAATCAGTCCAGAGAGAGAGTATTCCTACAGTCACAGCCACGTTTCACTCTAGTCCGGAGCCAAGCTTATGCAAAGTGCCTCCTTTGAGCAGTCAAGCTGTCAGGTATCACTGTTTGAGCACTTCTGATGCACTTGAATCTTTCAGCCTGCTGGGGCTGGCCTCCGATGATCAAGGCAGAGTCATTCAAAAGGAGAGCTGGATCAGCATCAGAGCAGTGAAACATCAAAGAGCATCAGGGAAAGAGCAGAGAAGTGGGATTAATTAAAAAAAGCGCGGGAGAACAAACGGACACGAGAGCCCGAACGGCTTCCTTCTGGACCGAAAATGTCAGATTGCAATCCTTTCACGGGGATCAAAAACAAACCACCTTCAGTTGAAATCCACTTTCAGCTTTTACTAAACGTGTAATTTTAACAATATAATTCAAAAATGGAACCAATTTCCCTCTCCTCAACCCCCCCCCCACCACCAACCACAGACACACACACACAAAGAGCAAACTAAGCCGCCCCATGTGTGTGATAATTGTGAAAGATCCTGACTTGCTGACGATCACAGTGCTGGTCCCTGGCAAATGGTGTGGACCCCGGCCAACGCTGACATTGCAGTTAGGCAAATGACTTCTAATCTCCGCGGGCGATCGCACAAGATCGTTTCCACAACAAGTTATATTCCACTGCGGTACAGCCATTCGAAAATCTTTAAAAAATTCCCATTGCTAAAAAAAAAAGAGAGAATCGTTTGTGGGACACTGCCGGACTATTGATCTGGTTCACCGACAGCCTGTGATACAGTGAGGGTTATTGATCAGGTTCATTGTCAGTCTATAATAATCTGCGACTATTGATCTTGTTCCCTATTAAGACAGTGATTGATACATTGAGGAATACTGATCTGGCGCTCTGTCAGACTGTCATACCCTGAGGGTTATTGATCAGGTTCGCTGTGAGTCTATAATACCCCGCGATTATTGATCAGGTTCAGCGTCAGTCTGTAACACCCTGTAATTATTGATCTTGTCGACGGTGAGACTGTGAGTCCCCGGGGATATCGATCAGGTCGACTCAAGACAGCAAATACCATCGATCCGGCTCTGTCGAGCGTGTAATACGCTTGAGGATTATCGATCCGATTGTCGATCAGGCAGTAATAGGGTGATGTTACCGATCTGGTGGACTATCGATCTATTTGTGTGTGTGTGTGTGTGTGTGTGTGGGGTGTGTGTGTGTGGGGGGTGTGTGTGTGTGTGTGTGTGGTATGTGTGTGTGGGGGGGGTGTGTGTGTGTGTGTGGTATGTGTGTGTGTGTGGGTGTGTGTGTGTGGGGGGGGGGGTGTGTGTGTGTGGGGGGGGGGGGGGTGTGTGTGGTATGTGTGTGTGTGTGTGGGGGTGTGTGTGTGTGTGTGGGGGTGTGTGTGTGTGTGTGTGTGGGGGGGGTGTGTGTGTGTGGGGTGTGTGTGTGTGGGGGGTGTGTGGGGGGTGTGTGTGTGTGGGGGGGTATGTTTGTGTGTGTGGGGGTATGTGTGTGTGTGTGGGGGTGTGTTTGTGTGTGTGGGGGGGGGGTGTGTGGTATGTGTGTGTGTGTGTGGGTGTGTGTGTGTGTCAGTGTGTGTGGGGGGTGTGTGTGTGTGGGTGTGTGTGTGGGGGGTGTGGGGGGTGTGTGTGTGGGGGGGGTATGGGGGGGGGGGAGAGGGGGACCAGACCCCCCCGCAGTGTCGGATCACTCACCTTGGACGTCAGGTCCGTCTCCTGCTCCCCGTTCAGACTCTCGGCTCCCGCGCTGTCCAGGTCGGGGCCGAAGATGCTCGGCAGCGCCAGCGGGTCGGGGAGGGGGCTGGGGGCGCGCTGGGCTGAGCCCGGGGGCGGAGCCGTGGCTTGGGCCGAACAGGCGGGACCGACCGAGGCCGGTCTGAAGCCCGGGGCTGGAGTCGGCTCGGTAACGGCCGGCGCCGACATCCCTCCCGACCTCCAACCCCTTCCCCCCCCGAACCCAACCCCACCCCTTGTGTTTTCTTTTGTGTGTGTGTGTGTGTGTGTGTGTGAGGGGGGGGTCCGGGATGGGGAGAGGGGGGAGAGCGGCGGGAAAGGTCCTGGTGTTTCCCGCCCCCCCGATTAAAAGATAAATAATATAATATAATAACTTAAATCACCGCAGTCTCGGGCGGATTAACCGTTAGAGAGAGAGAGAGAGGGGGAGAGGAGGCGCCGCCGCCGATGTTTACGTCGCCGACCCGAGCCCTATTGAGGGTGACACCGGCCGCCACGGACCCACTTCCGGTCCCGTTAAAACCGCCGTCAAACCCCCACTCCCCCCTTCGCCGCGCGAGTCCACCCGGTCTTTCTCTCGGCCGATCGACGTCAACCACCCGCCGCGTCGAACCGAGCCCTCAGAAACCGTTTTGGTTTTTTTTTCCTGTCGGTTTTGGCGGCGGCGGCTTTTTTTTTATATCCCCCCTCCCCGCCACTCGCCGCCCGCCCTCCGGCCCGGCCGTTTCGTGGTCAACCCAACGTGCTGCGCTGGGCGTGGTCGGCGAGCTTCGGCCAATCGGGGGTTCGCCTTGCCCTCGATTGACACCTCGTCCGCCAATCGAGGCGCGGCAGGGGCGGAGGGAGGGGCGGGAGCTGCTGCGCGCGGAGGGAGGCGGGGCCGGGGGGCGAGGCATCAAGTTTGGTTGAGAAGGCGCGGCCTGTGATCGGCGTGCGCTTCGGCCAATCCGCGCGTCACTCGTCGGGGATGGACCAATCGGCGCGGGCTGGAGGCGGGAGCTGCGCCCCCACCCGGAGCTGTCAATCAATCCCCAGTTGACTCCTGATGCAACTCCGGGTGTTTGTGGTGCAAAACCTTTACACTTCATTCAATACACCACCGATGACCTTTTGCACAAGACTATCCTCTTTCATCAATGCAATTGAGGGTGTCTTTATTTCGTTCCCTGTTGCTGATGAAACTTTCATGCAATTTATGTCTTCTGCTGCAACTCCTTTGCAATTCATTTCAGTGCGGTCACTCGATCCACGACTGTTTGCGGGACGTAGCTGTGCGCACTTGGCTGACACGTTTCGCCCCCAAAATATACAGTCACTGCACTTGATGGTATATTCCGTGAAGCGCTTTAGAGACGTCTCGAAGACGCATCTCAAATCCCTCCTCTTCGGCCATGCCTTCGGCCACCCTCCCTGCCCTCCACTCTCCCCGATCCCGACTCCCAGCACGAGTCCAAATCCCTGACTGTCCAGCGCCTTGGGACATCCTCCCGACGGGAAAGGCGCCGTGTAAATGTCATTTTGTAATGTATTGGGGTGTCTCTGAAGCGCTTCACAGAATATACCGTAAAGTGGAATGACTCTATATTTTGTGGGCGAGGTTGTAAACGGGGAAGGGGTGATTTGGTGCCTGTGGTGGGGGGGTGGGGTGGGAGGGGTGGGGGTGGAGAGAGGAGAACGGTGTAGTGACTGTACATGGAGGGCTGATGATGTCAACGTGGGATATTGGTAGGGTTGGAGGGGTGACGTCAGGCAGGATGACGTGAGCGCAGCGCAGGAGGGGGGGCGGGAGGCCGGTGACGTCGGGTGGTGGCGTGACGTACAGCGCAGGTGGGTGGCGTAAAGCGCGGGTGGGTGACGTAGAGCACGGGTGGGTGACGTAGAGCACGGGTGGCCGCGGGCAGCGCTGGGCTTCTCCTCGGTCTCGCTCTTCGCTGTGTGTGTGAGGCGGCCTTTCCAGAAGCTTCGACCGCGGGCTTCCCCTCCTCTGTTCAGTCGCAAGTTGTAGGTGTGGGGAGGGAGTCAGGGAGGGGGGTAAGAGGCCGTTGGGGAGGGGGAGAGAAGGGGGAAGGTAGTGAGTGGAGCAGAGCGGCCCTGGGGCGTGGGCCTAGCCTGAGGCTGTGTGTGTGAGAGAGGGAGTGAAGGAGAGATAGAGGGAGGGAAGGAGAGAGGGTGAAGGAGAAAGAGAAGGAACCAGAGAGAAAGGGAAGAGAAGGGAGAGGGAGGGAAGGAGAGAGAGAGGGGGGAGGAGAGAGGGAAGGGGGGGGTGAAGGAGAAAGAGAAGGAACGAGAGAGAGAGAGTAAGGGAAGAGAAGGGAGAGGGGGGGAAGGAGAGAGGGGGGAAGGAAAGAGAGAGTGGGGGGGGGAGAGAGAGGGGGAGGGAAGGAGAGAGAGGGGGGAGGCAAGGAGAGAAAGAGGGAGGGAAGGAGAGAGAGGGGGGAGGCAAGGAGAGAGAGGGGGGGAGGGAAGGAGAGAAAGAGGGAGGGAAGGAGAGAGAGGGGAGGAGGGAAGGAGAGAAGGGGAGGGAAGGAGGAGAGAGGGGAGGAGGGAAGTAGAGAGGGGAGGGGAAGGAGAGAGAGGGGGGGAGGGAAGGAGAGAAAGAGAGAGGGGAAGGAGAGAAAGAGAGAGGGGAAGGAGAGAGAGAGAGGAAGGAGGGAAGAAGAGAGAGAGAGGGAGGGAAGGAGAGAGAGGGGGAGGGAATGAATCTTGTTTACTTGCTCTGAGCTCCTGGTACAGGAGGAATCAGCGTTGGAGCCTGACAGGAGGATAGGGGTGGAGGTTGGGAATTGGCTGTAAACTTGCGAGCAACATGGCTGTGAGAAGCTTTCATCCCCAGCCACTGGACACCTTCCTCTCTCCCACTGAAGCCATGTGAAGCTGTCTGTCTTGAGGTTTGAGGCAACCAGCTGGGATGGGAATGAAGATCAGCATCAGCCTGGACCCAGACTCGCTGTCGTAGGGACTGGACAGACTGGGGAGGTTTTTTTCCTCTCACACACGATGACATTTATCCCCTTTTTTTCTCCACCAGCCCCATCAACGCTTCCACCTCCTCCTTCTCCTACGTTTTCTCTCTCGCTCGCCTTCACACACCCCCCCCACCCCCACCTTTCTGAGAAAAGAAAAACAAACCAACGAAAAATGGGAGCCTGCTGCTGGAACCTCTGAACCATCATGGTCTTAAATAACAAGGACTTTTGCTTCACTTTGAGAAAAGATTCTCTTTGAAAGGATTCTGGTCGGTCGGTCTCTTTCTGCCTCGACTGGATTCGGTCACATTTCATTTCCTTTCATTGTAAAACACCTGGACAGTGCGTTGATGCAATCTTTGGAGGTATTTGAAGTGGACATTCTGCGGTGTCTCTTTTGTTGACTGTGTGTTTGTATATAGATATATATTATATATATATTTTTGAGCCTTTGATGCAACGTGCACAGCTACTGAATCCTCTGGCGCAGAATTCTTGACATGAATACTGTTTTTGGTGCCTGCCAAGTGGAATTAAATTGAAGCGGAGCGTTTTCTGCTGTGGCTTTTTTAAATTTCCACCACGTTTCCAGACAATAAGCTGCAAAAAAAAAACAATGAGCTGTGTTCCCTGGAAAGGAGACAAGTTGAAATTGGAGTCTGATTTTCAGCCTCCCCTTCTGATATACCACGAGAAGCAGAGGAGAGAGCTGTGTGCACTTCACGCCCTCAACAACGTGTTCCAGGATGGGAGAGCGTTCACCCGGGAGACCTTGCAGGAGATTTTCCAAAGGTAAAGTACCTGACTTGAGAGAAATATAGTGCAGGTTGCATTTTGTCAGCTTGGTTCAGTTGGTAGCGCTCTCGCCTCTGGGTCAGAAGGTTGCGGGTCAAAGCTCCACTTTGGGTCTTGAGGCCATAGTCCAGGCTGACGCTCCAACACGGTACCAGGTAGAGCACTGAATTTTCGAAGACGCCGTCCTTCAAATGAGGCCCAAGCGACTTGTTCAGCCGGTCGCTAAGCATCTCATGGCGCAATTTCCCAAAGTGTCCCGGCCAACTATCCTGCAGATAAAATTGGCCATTCGCTTCATGGGCTGTTTGTGGGATGTTGTGGTGTGCAAATTGGCTGCCGCGGCTCCTGACAAATACACAGACACTTTGCCTTGCAGTAAATCCCGTGAAGCGCTTTGAGACGCAAGGCATTGTTTCGTATGCAAGCATTATTATGGCCGTTTGTGGGACTTCGCTGTGCACAAAATGGCTGGCTTGTTTGCCTACAAAGAACTGTCACTACACTAGACTGTAATTACCTATGAAGCTCTTTGGGATCTTTTGACGTTTTAGCCATTGTATGAAATGTCCGTTCATGTTTTTCTAAATTATAGGTAGAACTTAAGTTAACCATTTTGGTTAGTACAGGGGATTTTTTCACCAAATCCTTTTATTAGTGTAAAAGCCGCCCAAGCTTCTGTTTTTATCAAAATCAATGTTAGGAGAATGGGAGTCCTGGAAAACTATATATGTCTGTGTTAGCTTGAGGTACATTAATATTTCAGCGTGATTTTTTTAATTATTTAGATATGTTTACATCTCGTGTGTGTGAATAATTTGTGGGGCTTTTGTCTGCGGAAACCAGCAGTGTTTTGATTCAACCATTGCATGCACGAATATCCAGTGAGTGACATTGGCGCTGAATTCACCCGGTGTCCACCCGCAAACACAACCCTCCAGCAGGAATAGTGGGAAGGCTCAATGTTGTGTGTCCACGCGCCACTGATGTTGCCTCTTACCTGAATGAAAATGTTTAGCTTACACAGTCACTACATTTGACAGCAGTTGTCTATGAAGTGTTATGAGACGCTCAGGAGCTATATGAAATGGAAGGATTGTCATAAATGAACAGATCAAAACAAATCCTGCATATGTACGTATGGTTTCCATTTGCCCGCTATGGAGTACGTGCGCACACACACACACACTCTTTCTCTCTCTCTCTCCAATTGCCGTGACATTAAACATTTGTGCAACTGACAGTTTTTTTTTTTCCCCCCACCCCCACCTCCCCGGCCTTCTCTATTTCAATTGCTTTTCTCTTTCTTGCCCACGTGAGCTCCCGCAACGTGTTAGAACGCTGAGCTCGTATCACAAGTGGAGCTTGGCAAACAGAGCGATGCAGTGGTGTGGTTCCACCTTTTCTCAGTTCCTGTCGCTCCCACAAAGTTGCCTAATCGCTGAGCTGTTCTGGAACACCCTGCCTTGTTGATTAGGTCATTGCAACAACAACAACTTGCAGGGTAATGTCCTAGAGTGCTTGACAGTGGCGGAGCACGCACAGCGCCACTCGCTAACCCCCACCCTACAGGACTTGTGAATATATTGAATGAGCTGTATCAGACCCGCCCGGCCTGAGCTGTCTCCAGCATGTGGTGAGCCAGTGCTGTCTGTCTTCATCGCTCGCTTCTCTGCCATTGGCTGGCGGGCCTTCAGCCTCTCTGCACCCACCCTCTGGAACTCCATCCCACAGTCCCTCCGCCTCGCCCTGTCCCTTGTCTCCTTCAAGGCCCATCTCAAGACCCTCCTCTTCGACTGGGCCTTCGGTCAGCCTCCTACCTCTATCCTCCCCTCCTGATCCCAACCCCCAGCTTGGCTGCGGATCCCTGACTGTCCAGCGCTTTGGGACGTCCTCCTGACGTGTAAATGTAACTTCTTGTTGTTGCTGCTGCCCAGGCTGTCCCCGAACACTATGGTCACCCCGCACAAGAAGAGCATGCTGGGAACGGGCAACTACGATGTCAACGTGATCATGGCCGCGCTGCAGACGAAGGGCTACGAAGCCGTTTGGTGGGACAAGCGAAGGTAATCACGTGGCCTTCAACCATCTCCCCCCCCCCCCCCCCCCCGCCACCCCCCGTTACTACCTCCACCTCCCGTTGGCTTGACTCGGTCACTCTTCACCTCCGGGTGATGATCGGGGTTGAGGTACAGAGATTGTTGGTTCAAGCACTCCCCCCCTCAATAGTAATAATAATCCTTGCAATTGACACAGCGCCTTATCACGTCTTCGAGACGTCTCAAAGCGCTTCACAGGACACACTGTAAAGTGAATTAACTGACTATTTTGTGGTCCCAGCACATTGAGCACACTGTTCAGGCTCTCTCTCCCTGTGGAAGAAATGGAGGTGGGGGTGGTGGGGGGGCCTCTGCTTGTTCAAAAATGTCCTTTGGGCGAGACGTTAAACCCCAGAAATGTATGACTTGTTTGGCCCATTATTTTGTGTTGGAGTTTGTTCCTCCAAGACGTCTTTCCTAATCCCTGCTCTTTCCCACCCCCACTTTCCCCCCCACCCCCCAATACCTGTCCTTGACTTGTGCTTGTCCAATTCTTTTTTAAATGCCTCTCCCCACAATCATCTGTGCTCTAACCGCTGGCAAAACAGCCCATTCTAACCGCCCTCTGGGAATACAAGTTCTTCCAAACCTCTCCTTTTTACTCCCCTACTCCCAATTCAAGCCTGTTCATCCTCAAACCGAGGGAAAAGGGATCAGAGATATCAAACACAATTGGTTGCCACGTTACGCCCACAAAATGTATCGTCAATTCACTTTACAGTCTATTCTGTGGTTTGAGATATCACAAAGGCGCTGTATCAAATGCAAGGATTATTTTTAAACCAAGTGTTATGTGGAATTCTGTGTTCCCTGAGCTCCCTCCCTCCCTCTCGCTCCATATTACCAGCTGACTCAGCCACTGTTTCCTGAGTTCATCTCAACACAGTGTGAGCCAAAGCTATGATGAGTCAACTGTAAAAGTAATTACCGTGTGTGGGTGGGTGAGAAAAGGTAGGACTGTCGAGCGCTCGCTGGCACGTCAGGGGTTAAAACAGCTTGGTTTTTTTTTAAACGTTAAAAAAAATTGAGTCCGGATTAATTCCCTCTTATTATCTCTCTCCCGGTTGGGCTTATTAAAAAGCTTAATTTGCAGGGAATGCAAAATGCTCAATGGGAATTGGTTTGGAAAAGGCCACTGAGCTCGACTGTGCGAGGCAGTCACGCAAATGTCAGTTTGTAGTCATTAACCCGAGGGACGTGGCTGCTTGTTCGGTTTTGCTTGCACGGTCCGGCTCATTGCTGCTTTGTAGACAGCTCCCCCGTCCCCACCTGACATTGCATTGCTCATCATTTGCATAAAGGGAACTAAAGCCCACAGAATTCCTCGTGGTCTCAGGCTGCGAGGCCGTTCTTGCCTCCGGGATATTTAGGACGACGCACAATGGTGGAAAAATCTTCAATCGGCTCTCGATTCGGAAGGAAGCCAGTATTATATAATGGCTGCTGCGTTACCCTACAAATACAGTTGTTACAGTAATTACCGTGAGGATATTTTGAGATAAGGTACTAATGCAATGTTCAAAAATTCACCAACAAAATGATAGTCAATTCACTTTACATTTTATTCTGTGAAGCGCTTTGCGACGTCTCGAAGACTTGATAAGGCGCTATATCAAATGCAAGGATTATTATTGTAAGACTATATGTGCTTAGTTTACATTTCTGTTCTCCTGCAGAGATTTCACTGTGCAAACCCCTCCCCTCTCCCACCCGCGAGCAATGGAAGCAAAGATTCTTTCAAAATGATTTCATTTCCAGCAAAATTTCAATTCCTCCCCTTTACAGCTGTGATGTGCCCTGACAGCCGATGCTAATGCCCATTATTTCTGGCTCTTTGAATCCCCCTCCCCCACCCCCCATTAATCAGAGAGCCACAAGAGATGCCACAGTCACAGCAGGGCACATCTGTACTGTAGAAGATGTAGGCAAGTGTAATCTGCCTCGACATCTGTGTCTGTGTGTGTTGTATACATTGGGTTAGTGACTGTGTGTGCGGACGCTGCTGTGCGCAATTGGCTGCCGCTTTTCGCCCACAATATATATAGGCAACTCTCTTTACCGTATATTCTGTGAAGCGCTTTGAGACGTCTCGAAGACGTGATAAGGCTCTGTATCAAATGCCAGGATTATTATAATAGTGCAGTCGATGGTATAACCTCCCTTGCACCTTTGGGAAGCTGAGATATTATATTATATTGTTGACTGCTGTGTCCTAATCCCTGTTGTTCCTGTTGCAGAGACGTTAACACTATTGCTCTTTCGAATGTGATGGGTTTCATTATGAACATCCCGTCCAGCCTGTGTTGGGGTCCGGTGAAACTCCCCCTCAAGCGGCAGCACTGGATCTGCGTGCGGGAAGTGGGAGGTATCTACTACAACTTGGACTCCAAGCTGAAAGTGCCGGAGCAGATCGGGAGCAAGGACGAGCTCAGGTTAATTGACTGGGGGGGTGGGTGGAGTGGGAATTAAAGGGGAAGTGAGAAAAAAATACATCATCCTTAACACAGAGAGTGGTGGGAATCTCAGCCATTATTAACAATAACAATGATCCTTGCCTTTGAAATAGAGTCTTATCGCATCTTCACGCGTCTCAAAACACTTCACAGAATATACTAACATATGTGTTAATATATTAACCAGAATCAAAGCAAAAATTGTTTACAAATGTAAAGATTGATGTTTGAAGGTGAGGAATATTAAAGGGTAAGGGGGAGCGAATGGGACGAGATTTGATGCTTTATTGTGAGTGGTGGAATTAAAGGGTAGGTGAGAGATAAAAATACACCATCCTTTACACAGAGTGTGGTGGGAAACTGGTGCTCTTAGCCATTAACCAGAGTCAAAGCAAAATCTGTGATTTTACTGTGGGGGTGGAATTCAAGGGGAAGTGAGACAAACAAGATTTTAAAGCTGATCATTTTGTTTTCCTCTCTCTCTCTCTCTCTGCAGAAAGTTTCTGAAACACCAGTTAAGGGGGAAGAACTGTGAACTCCTATTAGTGGTAACTGAGGAGGTTGAGGTGCAACAGAGCTGGAGAACAGGTGGCTGACATTACTAAGCTCTGTCTAGCTCTGAACCTGACAGACAGACACACAGAGGGACAGGACACCCTCACAATCTCCTGATTCCAGAAGACTCTCTTTATTATAGTGCGCTAGTCTTTTTTTTTACTACGTCTGGATCTCTCTTCAATGGCCTGGATGACTTAACAGAGGATTCTACAAGAAGGGCTGGTTTCACAATCTGGAAAAGGAAGGAAGAAAGAAAAAAAAAATGATCAGCGTGTGTAAATATTACTTGTTCGTGGCGAGAGGGACATAAGCCGCATGGAGTTGTTTGTCGATTGCCGATTGGGAATGAAAGGTGTAGGATAAGTACTTGACAAAGATTTACACCCAGAAATACTTATTTGTGTTGGGGTGGGTGGGAGAGAAAAGAGAGAATGTGGGTCTCTTTTTTTATATACATATATATATATCAAAAAACAAGCAATGTCAGAAATGTTGAGGTGAGCACATGAGAGTGAGAGAGAGAGAGGGGCCAGAACCAAAGTTAATCCAATACTTTGAACACAGTGACGCACAACTTCGCAAAAGATTCTAATGAAACGTTTTGCTCTGGGATTGGGAGCTGTCCAGTCTCTTTATGTTTCCCGCCCTCTCATTTTCTTTCTCTCTCTCTCTCTCCCCCCACCCCCCCCCAAGCCCATCGCTCCCTCCCCTCCTTGTTCTTTCTCTTGTTTCTAACCCTCACTACCACACAACCCCCAATTCAGCAATGGCTCGTAAACACTTACCCAAGATTTACACTCACCATAACACTATGGAGAGGGAAGGGAGGGCTGGGTGGGTGAGTTGGTGTGTCAAGTACAGTTGTTCCTACCCAGCAGTGGCACTGCTTCGGATTGAGTATTTGGCTACCTGCTTTTCCTCCTTCCCCCCCCCCCCCCCCCCAGTTGCCAGGTACTAATGTTTCCAAAGCTGTTGCCAATCTGGTTGCAATGAAATTCAGAGGGGGGTAAGTTGGAAATTGCAGATATTGGCTCCAAAGTACATTGGGAGTGTGGTTTCCCCTCCTAATCTGGTTGGTATTACTCCCTTTTGGTTTCCTCTTTAACTGTCCGTTAGAAAGCACCACATGTTAAACTGTAATGTTTAGCGGTGGGGGTGTTATATAAAAGGTCTGCTCCTGTTGAGCGGGTGAGATGTTCAGAGTTTGTCGCTGAAGTCTATCGGGATTTACGTTTGATAGGTTAAAGTTTGTTAACGTTGCTGGTTCCTTCACTCTTGTTCAGTTTGGGGAATGTGTGCGTGTGTGTATGTGTGGGGTGGGGTTGGGAAATCAAATAGCTGAGTACTTGATCACCAGCTCAAAAGATGCTCTGTGCGGTGGTGGGTTTGGGCTACAGCCAATGGGGTTTCCCCAATGTAAAGCCCTTGTTTGATACTTGACATGAGATGCTTCGAAATTCACTAACTGTATCACCAACGATTGTGCCTTCAATGTACACCCTCTTCCCCGTTCCACCTGTGTTTATTTTGAAACGTTAAACTGTTGTGTTTTGAGAAAGCCTCCATATTGTGTGTGTGTGTGTGTGTGTGTTTCCCTCTCTCTCTGTGTCCGAAGAGCCCTTTCTTATTCATCAACAACGATTAATAAAGGCATGGTCTGACCGTGAGCATGTTCTGGCCCTTTGGCTGCTGTTGCTGTCTCGAGCAGTTTGGACACTTTATGAGCGATCAGGTTGTTTGCTGGGGAGAAAATTCCACAGATCCCACATTTTGGAAGTGGGGAACTGGAGAAGACACGTGACGAGGGGATTCTAAACACATTTCCGAATGACAAAATATTTCCGCTGTCAGTCGCTGTTTCCATCTCTCTCTATCTCTTCCCCCTCGCTTTATCTCTCTCGCTTTGTCTTACATGAGGATCTATAGTTGTAGAAACCCAGCACGAAAACATTTCAGTGAGTCACCGAGTCTTGTGAAATACCTTGGCACTCTTCAAAACTGACCTTTTTATGCTAACCTTTCTGTGTGTGTGTGTCTCTGTCTCTCTCTCTCTCTCTCAAAACCAGGAAAAAGCCATGTAATATACTATTGTGCAATGTTTTATTTGTTGGGTCCTTTTTGATCGACTTATTTCGGGAAGGTTTTAGGGCCAGGTGGAGGGAGGGCGGTTAGAGGTCCTGAGTGGGAGCAGTTAATGTACACTGAGATAATTGCGCGAGAGAGCAAAAGTAGGGGAGAGAATTGAGTGGAGAATGTCACACACACACCTTTAATTAATCGAAGTTGAGGAGTGGTTGGGAGACTCAACTAGTGGCTATGTTATCGTGTGTATACGCGCACACTTGAGAAAGAAAATGGAAACCGTATCACTTCATTCTACGCGGTGCCCAAAAAGTCCTGTGTGCCACCATGTTTTGTTTTCTACGGTGCACTGACCCAAACACTGAAACTGGAAGAATGTTGATGATAATTGTATTTAGAAGTTACTTTATTGTATTCAGTACAAGTGTTTAACTGTATTTAGACGTCTAGAAGATCGGGGGGTGTGTGCGTGCGTGTGTGTGAGAGCCCCATCATTTTCGTGGGAGATAATGATCTGTCGCCATGATATCTTCTGTCACGTGGACGGACGGAGTGAGAGACGAGGAAGGTTCTGGTATCAGACATTGTTCCACTCAATTCGCCTGGAAAAATTCATCGTCAGAAAAAAACCCCGGGGCGGTGTGGGGTGGGGTTGGTAGCAGGTCTTCGGGAACACCCCCTGTACTCAATCCAGAGCTGGGTTCGATCCAAGATAAGGTCAAACAGACACGTTGATATCTCAGTATTGTACGTCGCACTTTGCTCTTTTCTTTCCCAGTCCCCTCTGCGTAAGGTGTGGACGGTGACAGTTAATGTTGAACACTATATGTTTGGGTGATAATTGTGAGGATTTTTTTTTAAAAAATTGATGTTCAGGGCCACAGAAATAAATTATGGGTTTCTAACCGACACCTCCAAACCTTTCCTCGACCATTTGTTTTATTTGCATATATATATATATAGATATATAGCTGTTTAGTGTAATTGAAGGGGGTGGAGGAATCCTTCCATCGCCATGTTTTACTACCAAACTGCTAATTGTTTTTTTTTGGGGGGGGCCTTGATATGTATTATAAAAGAAGTTCTGAGCGTGTTTCGGGAAAAAATAGTCGCAATTAAACTTCTCTGGACAACGGATGTGTTGCCGTGTTCCTCTCAGTATTGTCCTACCACAGGGGAGGTTCCACCACAGCAAAGGAGGTCAGGAGACGCTCAGGATACCGAGGAGTTTTACGAAGGTAAATAAATGGGAAGGAACTGTTGGGTTGGTAGCAAGGGGCGTATAAGTTTGAAATTGTCGTATTTTTTCTTAAAACAAAGATGGGGACCAACCTCCTTTAGTGCAGCGGTTAGAGCACTCGCCTCACAAGCGAGAGGACCCGGGTCCGATGGGGCAAAACCTAAGGTACGTTTCCTGACTTCGCACACCTGTGTTTACCTCGCAGTCAGTCAATTGGCAGATCGTTAAAAAAAAAGTCACTCAATCCACGACGGTTTATGGGACACTGCTGCGCGCAATTGGCTGCCGTGTTTCACCCACAAGGTATACAGTCGATTCACTTTGCAGTGTGTTCTGTGAAGCGCTTTGGGATGTCCACCCGACGTGAAAAGCGCTATATCAAATGCAAGGATTATTATATTCTGTGGAGTGGGATTAAAGGGCCTGCTAGAAAAGTTAAGCTCAATTTTTTTTCTTCTTACGGAATTACTAAAGATGTGCTTTTTTAAAAAAATCAACGGTGCGGCATTTTTTTTAAAAGAAAAAAGTACAGTCAAAAACTTAATTTTTTTTTTCCCCCCTGGGTTGAAAAGGAGAGGAAGTGCACTCGGGGAAAGAAAGATGCTTCGTCAGCTAACTGGCAGCGAAGCGAGACTGCGGATTTACACAGTGGCTGTAACTGCCGTCAATGTCGCTATATTCCCAGGCAACTCCGCAAATCAAACGATGTTTTAAGCGGGTTGGATGGAGGATTTATCTGCAGGATACAGGGAGGATGCAATACAACAGGAGCTTGTGAGTAACCATGTGAGGGCTTTTCTTTTTTTTTTGGTGGTGTTCATTGCAGCGCTGGGGACGCACTGAATTGTCGGAGGTGCCGCTCTTCGGGTGAGGTGTTAACCCTGATCCCGTCTGCCCGTGCAGGTGGACGTTCAAGACCCCGCGGTGCTGTTCGAAAAGAGAAGGGAGTTTCTCTCTTCGGGTATCCTGGCCGACGAGCTCCCAAATAAAAAGTTGCTCACTCGCTCCGTGGCTGTTTGTGGGACACTGCGGTACGCGAATTCACCCACAAAATCCAGTCCCCGGGAGCGCTTCGAATCATCTCGACGGCGCGATAAGGCGCCGTATTAGAAACGACAATGATTATTATTATTATCTTATATTCTCTTGGAATTATATCCTTGGCTTCTCGAGCTGTCTGGAACCCATTCCTCCCAAACCCGAAGAGTACAATTTTAACCGGATTAATAAAATAAATCATTGCTAATAAACTATTATTGACTGGCGGGCGCTCTTGGGCGCCACGTGTGCAGGTGCTGTACACGCATGTCAGTTCTGCCTTATCTCAGCCGTCACTGAGAAACCTTTGCCTGTAACTGGAAATGTGTCACAACGTAATGGGATGACTCAGTCCTGAGCTGAAGCTTCTTGTAATCCAGTGGTGACCTTCTGGGCAATGGTGAATCAACTGCGATTGAGCAACTTTCAGCGCCTGGAGCTCAGTATCGCCTGTCCAGTGGGCTGACAATCACCAGACGCATCCTTGAGACGACCTTAGAAGGAGCAGATGATGAGTTGCTGATGACTCGTGACTTAGAATCACACAGCACAGAAGAGGAGGCCATTCGGCCCATCGAGCCTGCGCCGGCCCTTAGGAGAGAGCTTTCCGAATGCTCCGTGCGGACGGCGGAGGCTGAAAGCTCGGCTGACGGTGGCCAATTGGTGGGCTTGAAGCAGGCGGAAGGGGAGGGTGGGCTTTGAGGAGGTGGCAGAGGCCGGGTGGGGCAAGACCACGGAAGAGGGGCTTTGAAGGCAAAAGAGAGAGAGAGAGAGAGAGCGCAGTCTGTCTGTGTTTGGTGTAAACGCGGGTCGATGGCCGGAGTGAGGTGATGAAGGAGATAATAATCGTTGCGTTTGATGCAGCGCCTCATCAGGTCTCTGAGACGTCTCGAAGCGCTTATAATAATAATATACTGTATATTTTGTGGGCAAAACGTACCTAACGTTCTCTTCCCCGAACCCGACCCCGACCCCAATCCCAACCCCGACCCCAACCCCGACTCCGCCTGGGAATCAAACCCCGGTCCTCGTGCTCGCGAGGCGAGCGCTCTAACCACTGACCATTAATAATAATAATAATTCCCACGGGTGGGGTGGGGGGGGGGGGGGGGTAAGTGCTGGTGAGGGGTGGGGGGGGGGGGGGGGGGAGAGGGAATCCCCCAAACCTCACTTGGCAACATTGTAACAAAACTGTTGCCGTTTAAAGGGCAAGGAAACCCCAGAGGCGGGTGCACGCTGGAGGCGCGTGTGAGAGAGAGAGAGAGAGAGAGAGGACATGCGCCCATTGCACAGTGAGAGGGAGAGTGGGGGGGAGGGGGGGAGGGGGGGACGCGCATTACAGAGGGGGAGGGGGGGGGGGAGGCCTCGGGGACGCGCAGGTGAAAATGTTGCGCAGGAAGAAAGCTGTGGGAGTGCGGGTGAGGGCTGCGTATGGAGCTGTCAGCAATAGGGGAGCAAGTGTTTGCTGTGGAGAACATCAGGAAGAAACGCATTAGGAAGGTACGGCATATGGGGGGAGAGAGAGAGAGTGTCTGTGTGTGTGTATATATATATAGAGAAAGAATGTATACTCTGTGTATATGTGTATATATAGAGAGAGAGAGAATATGTGTGTGTGTATATAGAGAGGAAGAATCTATAGAGGGTATATATAGAGAGAGTGTATACTGTATGTGTCTGTGTATGTATATATATAGAGAAAATATGTGTGTATATATATAGAGAGAATATATATATATAGAGGGTGTGTGTGTATATATATATATATATAGAGAGAGAGAGAATATGTGTGTGTGTATATGTATGATATATATATAGAGAGAATATATATATAGAGGGTGTGTATATATATGGAGAGAGAATATGTGTGTGTGTATATATATATAGAGAGAGAATATATATATATATAGGCTGTGTATATATATATATAGAGAGAGAATATGTGTGTGTATATATATATATATATATAGAGAATATATATATAGAGGGTGTGTGTGTGTATATATAGAGAGAGAATATATATATAGGGTGTGTGTGTATATATATGGAGAGAGAATATGTGTGTGTGTATATATATATATAGAGAGAGATAATATATATAGGCTGTGTATATATATATAGAGAGAGAGAGGGAGAATATGTGTGTGTGTATATATATATATATATAAAGAGAGGAAGAATGTATAGAGGGTATATATAGAGAGATCGAGAATGTATACTGTGTGTATATTATATATATATATAGAGAGAGAATATATATATTTAGAGGGTGTGTGTGTATATGTATAAAGAGAGAGAAAGGATATATATACGCACAGAGAGAGAATGTATATATCTAGAGAGAGATTATGAGAGAATTATACATGTATAGTAAGATGGAGAGAGCATACTGTGTGTGTGTGTGTACACATATATATTGTATAATGTGTATATATGTATATATATATCGAGAGAGAGAGAGAGAGGTTGTGGCTATAGATGGGAATTTGCAAAGGCCTTGAAAAAACTTTTCAATGTGCATTTATTGATTTAAAATATATTACTATTTAATTTTTATCATGAATAAATAAATTCCATGTGCAGTGAAGTGAGTACCGGTTGGCTTTGCAAGGAGAAATTAAATTAAACGGACAATTTAGTGAGACATTAAAGCTCCCCCATGTAAGGGTGCTGTGTTTTTGTTTGGAACACTTCACTGGTATTATTGCTGGTTTTGTTCATCGGTTTCTCGGTAGCAATGAATCAATGGTGCAAAAAAAACGTGTGTGTTGCAAGTGTCAGAGATTGATGCAATGTAGTGCATTGCAGGAAAGAGAAAGGAGGGGGTGATCATTTTTGCAAATCCTTTTTACACATCGACACGTGTGTGTGTGTGTGTGTGTGTGTTTTATTTTTAAAATCTCTGTCATAATGAATTAACCATTATTTTTCTTATTGCCTCTGTGTCTTGAAGGATGAGTGTGTCAGCCATTGGGATAGATCGATAGATAGATAGAGAGAGGGAGAGAGAGAGAGGCAAATGGTAGCAATTTAACATGTGGATGCAGTGTGTGTGTGTCAATTTAAAATTTTAAATATTTTATTTAAAATAATAAATCTTGTTTTTTTTTGCAAAAAAATTGCAATAGAAAATTCTTGGTTTAAGGCCTCAAACGTTCCTATGAATTTAAGTGGGGAGGGTTATTTAAACAAGGCAATAGAATTAACGCTCTGTAAATGAATCCAACCACCCCACCCACCTCCTTTCTTCCTTCTCTTATACCCCACCCCCTTCCCCACACACCCACTCCCCTCCTCAAAGATTGCAATGATATTAAATGGACAATTTAATGGGACATTAAAGCCATGCTTTCAGCCACTGTGCCCTGTGACTCTGCCTCAATCCCTCTTCACATCACACCTGAAAACCTTCCTCTTCGACCGTACCTACGGTCACCTCCCCCATCTCTCTCTCTCTCTCTCTCTCTTCCCGGCTCCGTGTCAGGCTCCGCCACTGTTGAGCGCTCAGTGACCACTGCCCCATGTGAAGGGCGCTGTGTAAATGTAAATGCAAATGTTGTCATTGTTGGTCAACATTAGTTAAACCAATTCAGATAGGCAACCCCCCCCCCCCCCACCACACCCACCCCAATCCCTGTTTATGTGTCATTATTGCTGGTTGCCATGGCGGCTTTTTGTGTGTATGCGTGTGCGGAGCTTTGATCGTGCAGATTAATACCAATAATTGTTTTTACCTTAAAAAAAAACCACGCACTCTCTTCAAAAGAGAGCGTTGGAATTCCACTGGAACCCAAATGCTTTGAGCATTCTCATAAGCCATGGACGGAGGGAGGGAGGGATGGGGAGTGAAGAGTAGAATGGTTGTTGGGATGGGTTTTTTTTTGGGTGGGAGGCGGGGGGGGGGGAAGGCAATTAATTCGGGGTGGAGAATCTCCTTGCCTCGACGATTAACTTTCGAGACGCTTCCTTTTTCGTGTTGCTTTTTCGTGGCATATGGACTGTGAGGTCAAAGTACTGAAGTTGGCTCTTGGAATCCAGCAACAACAACAACTTGCATTTAGGTGGCGCCCCTCACGTGGAATTTATTATTATTATTATTATCAGCCTCGCCGAGGTGGGAGCTCAACCAACTGAGCCAAAGCAGGTGGTTGGCAAGTTCAGAAAGTATTGCAAGTGTCAAGGTTTCCCTCTCACCCCTCCCTCCCTCCCTTTCTCTCTCTCTCTCTCCTCCCCCCTCGAGGAAAGCCTGTGTAGCGCCATGTCCAGGGAGGATTGTTTTTTTCGGGTTTCACGTGCTTGTTATGGTTGAGGACTTGTTTTGTTTCTGTGCACTCAGCGAATCGTTCTGGGGCTCGCAGGCAGGTAAACAGGAGGAAACTGACCTCCGGCTCCTGCTAAACCCTCACAATCAAATGAGGGTCGAGGGGAGTAATAGTAATAATGATCCTTGCATTTGATAGAGCGCCTTATGACGTCTTCTCAGGACAATGAGCCATGTTGTGCCCAGAGCAGGGGAGAAATTGGGTCAGGCTGTATGTGGCAATGGTTATAAATAACTGGATACACAGAATATAGGGCGGTCGGGAAACACTTGCATCCAAGCGGGCGCCTGAATCCCGCCCGGTCTCAGCCTGTCTTCGGCGGACGTCGCTGCTGCATTTTGGTCGCTCGACAAACACACTCAAATTCGCTCCAGTTTCCGGTAAAGCACTTGGAGACGCTCGCCATCCCGATGCAGGGCACAACATCGGACGTGAAGCGAGACTTAACGAAAATGGCCCTGAAGGGAGAAACGAGGATAATAATAATCCTGGCATTTGATGCAGCGTCTGATCACGTCGTCGAGACGTCTCAAAGCGCTTCACAGGATATACCGTAAAGTGAATTGACTGTGGATTTTTGTGTAGGCGACTGTTTGTGGGGAAACCGCTGTACGCAATTGGCTGCCGAGTTTCGCCCACAAAATACACAGTGAATTCACTCTACAGTATAATCTGTGAGGCATTTTGAGACGTCATGTGAATAAGGCGCTGTATCAAATGCAAAGATTATTATTGTGGCTCGATCCTCAATCGCTGGCCTCAGCCTTTACCGAGTGGGGAGGGGACGAGGGGTTGAGCTGGTGGTGGGGGGGGGGAAGAGCCTTGATACCAAAGCTTCTGTTGCCCTGAAGTCAAAGCACTTCTTGTGTGATCTCATGTGAACCAGTTTCTTTGTGTTTGTTTTTAGGGCAGAGTGGAGTACCTTGTGAAGTGGAAAGGATGGCCCCCAAAGTAAGTACAGTCGGCCCAAATCTCAACCGTTTTCCCCCTCTCCCAACCTCCGCTGTTTGCCAATGTGTCTCTGTGTCTGTCTGTCTGTGTCTGTGTGTGTATGTGTTTGTGTCTCTCTTTCTCTGTGTCTGTCTGTCTCTTAGTTTCACCGACCCACTGTCTCAGATGTACCGCCAGACCCCCAGCTCGGGTGCAAATCCCTGACTGTCCAGCACCTTGGGACGTCCTCCCGATGTGAAAGGCGCCGTGTAAATGTAACCTGTTGTTGTTGTTGGGTTTGGTTACCTGGCCAGGTGCTGCAACTCTAGGACAGAGCGGCCAGGAAAGACCCAGGCTTGACACCAGGCCTCGGCTCAAATTAGGAATAAATGGGGCTTTAAGATTGGCCTGGAGGGTGGGAGGTTAGGTGTTGGCCACTGACCCTGTGTGTGGGTGGGTGGGTGGGTGGAGGGGGGTGTGATGAGGGGAGAAGGGAATGCTGGTACTGACATGGTGTATGTATGTGTGTGTATGTTGAGGGGGATGTTGGACACTTACTGTATGTGGTTGGGTGGGGGGCGCTGTGTTGGGCACTGACCCGCTGTGGTACCCACTCTCTCGCTGTCTATGCCCACAGGTACAGCACTTGGGAACCCGAGGAGCACATTTTGGACCCCCGATTAGTCATGGCCTATGAAGAGAAGTAAGGACTCTCCTCTCGCTTTGATGTCCTGTCGGTGTTTCTCTTCACCACCCGCTCGGAGGGAGGGAAATTGGGAACAAATGGGGCATTAAGAAAGGCGGTTGGCGAGAGCCAAGGCTTGGGGGGGAGCCCATGTGTATGTTGGGGTAACTGCTGGAGTCAAACCAGCTAAAACCACAGCTTGGCCATTGAAAGCGCTGTCTGGCCAAGCTTTCCCGCGGCTAGGACCACCCTCCTTGTTAGTTAGGGCTTTGGTTGCAGGATTAACAGGAGCTGTGGGGGAGGATTCCCGGCCCACAGTGACTGGTCGGCCCTTCCAGGTCCTGCCGATAAGCCAGGACGGGCTGTGCTGCCATCAGCAGTGAGTGCCCTGGGACACTGCGGCCCCTCCTGGCTCAGGAACCGGGGGCTCGAGACCGGCACAGAGTGGGGGGGGGGCTCCATTCTGACATTCCGTTACCAGGCACGTGACCTTGGGGCCAGTTCAGCTCCAAGGAGACCTCACTTAAAACCGCATAGCTTGCCATTGAGAGCACTGTCCAGCTGGGACCACCCTCCCCGTTGGGGCTTTGACGGGTGGTGTTAACAGGAGCTTTTCTTAATCTTTCTTTTCTTTGTTTCCGACAGGGAGCAGCGAGACCGTGCGCTGGGATACAGGAAACGTGGCCCCAAACCAAAGCGCTTTCTATTGCAGGTAAAGCCTTGGAGACGTGGGCACCCAACACTGCACAACACCAGCCAAAGGGGCTACAGCCACCTTCACCATACACCAGGCTCCTGGTCAGTCCGCCCTGGCACTCCAGCCCAGTGCAGTGCTGGGGGTGGGCGACCGGGGTTGGAGCGACTGAGAGGCGAGAGTCTTGCCACTGCGCCAAACTGACCCGCGCATTATCGATTGGCTGCCGCCTTTCGCCCCACACGGCCCCCATTCCCTCCACTTCACAGCGTATCCCGCGAAGCGCTTTGGGAGGTCTCAATGGCGTGAATAACGACAACAACGTGTATTTACAAAAGCGCCCTTTTCACGGGGCAGCATCTCGGAGCACTCACGCACAAATACAATTAATAATAATAATTATGGCATTTGATATAGCGCCTCATCGTGTCTTCGAGACATCTCAAAGCTCTAATATATAAATATTATATAAATTATATATATAAAACTGCTACCCCCCCACCACCCCGTGAAGGGCACTATGTAAATGCAAATTGTTGCTGTATTTAATCCCTCTTTTTCCGGTTGTCTTTTCCCAGCGGATTTATGGGATGGATTTGCGGAGCGCAGACAAGCTGAAGGAGAAGGGGAAGCTCCACCTGTCCTTGTCCAGGAGGTTTGAGGGGAGCTCGGCCCAGCGGGAGCTTGGGGACAACGGGAAGCGCATTCACTTCTCCCTGGGCGCCAACAGCCGCAAACACAAGTACTTCAAGCTGGACAAACCCAAGGCCACAAGGGCGGCCATCTTTGCCGCAGCGGCAGCCAGCGCCAAGGGCCGGGCCAGCGAGTTCTCCCAGGCGGAATCCCGGCGGGAGCTGACCGAGCCAGCGGACAAATTCCAGGACTCCGAGTTCGAGGACGAGGAGGCCGGGAGCGAGAGTTTCCCCGAGACAATGCAAGGTGTGTCGGTCGGGGTGGGGGGTGGGAGGGGGTACGGTCAACCCGGAATTTTCTTGGGGACCAAAGGCGCCAAAAGCCAGTTCCCGCCCGCGCACCGCGCTTTGAGCCGTCTCGAGGACCGAAAGGGCCTTCCATCAAATGCAAGGATTGTTAGTAATGATTAATAATCAATTATTATTCTATTTATATATGACTTTCACACCTGTGGATTCACATTGCACACAAAATACACAAGTCACTACGTTTTACAGTATATCCTGTGAAGCACTTTGGGACGTGACTGTATCAAGTGCAAGGATTATAATATTATTATTATTCTATATTCCTACTTGTATATCCTGCTTGTCCCTCGAGCCCTCCGCTCCTCCGTTGGAGGCCGCGCTTTCAGCAGCTACGCCCCGAAACTCTGTCGCACTCTCGCTCAATCCCTCCGCCTTGCCCCTCTCTCCCCTTCCTCAAGACCCGCCTGAAAACCTTCCCATTCGACTGAGCTTACCGTCACCTCCCCCCCTCCCAGTCGCAGTCAGGCTCCGACACTGTTAAGCGCTCTGAGACGCTATCCTGTGTGGAGGGCACTGTATAAGTGTAAGTTGTTGTTGTATTACTGACATGCGTCTGTTTTTTCTGCCCTTTTTTCCTTCTTTCTTTACCCCTTCCCCCCATCTCCCCCCCAACTCACAGACGCCTCATCCCCGGTGCGACCGCCTGTCTCCATGCCCCCCGGTTGGAATCCCTCTCTGCCGTTGGGCGATGTCACTGTGACTGACGTCACCGCCAACTCCTTGACCGTGACCTTCCGGGAGGCATTGGTGGCCGAAGGATTTTTTAGGGATCGGAATTCCAAGTGCTAACCGAAAACCAGAGCGAAATAAGTCGCGTAAATCATAATAGTGAATGTTTTCTTCCCCCCCCCCCCCACCCACCCCCCCCACCACCACCTCATCCCACCCCCTCTCCACAAAAAAAGTTCTGGGTTCATAACCAGCTAATGTGTATTGAGGAACAGGGCTGTTTACAGTCTGACCCGCTCTGTATGTGCGGCGCGTGTGTGTGTGCGTGTGTGTGTGGTGCCTGTGCAGTGTGCGGTGTGTGTGGTGTCCACGTGCGGTGTGTGTGTGGTGTGGTATAGTGTGTGTCTGTGGCCTGTCTGTGCATGTCTGTGTGTGCGTGTGCCTGTGTGGGTGTGTGTCGGTGTGCGTGTGTCCGCAGGGAGCAACAAAACAAATACTATTGTTGGAATGGATTTGGTTGTGCGTGTGCCTATATTGCCGGGAAAGTATTTAACACCTGTTCCCGCTCCTTGCTTCCCAACAGCTAGAGATTTCCTTCTGCGCTCTCATCGGGAACGCTAGTTTTTCTTTTAGCCGTGTAGCAAAGCGGGGTGTGGGTGTTGGGGTTGGGGGACGAGGAGTTTGGATGAAGGTATCGGGGATGGTGGGGGGGGGGGGCGGGTGTATGTGTTTTGAAATGGAGGAGGGATGCAGTTGGCGTTTTTTTGCGGGAGAAACGGGAAAAGAAGATTCCGACGCTGGGTTTTTTGCACGTGTTGCACGAAGCGAAATGTATTTGCACAAAAAACAAAAGAGGTCCTTTGCAATAGCTTTGATGGGTAGCGAGTGTGCGGCCGTGAGCCTTCACACCGGTGTCACTGCACCCACCGTCTTTCAGTAGGGAGTGAGACGGGGAGGGGAGAGGGAAGGAACAGGGACGGTTTAACGATGGGGAATGTAAATGCCAAGCTCCGGTTATATAAGCACAATACAGTGCCCTGGTCGCCCACCTTAACCTATCTTAGACAGAGAGGAGGGACCCGGGTTGGATTCCCGGGCGGGAGGGCGGGCGGGCGGGTCAGGGCGAAACCTTAGGCGTTTCCTTATTCCACACACAAGAGGGAATTGGTTAACCGGATAGATCTCTGCAGGGTCAGTCACAGCGGGGCTCGGGTGTTGTTGGGGGCGGGGGGGGAGTGAAAGGAAGGCCGGTGGGGACTCATTGGAATCGAGGTTCAGATCAGTCATGATCTAATAGAACGCGGAACAGGCTCGAGGGGCTGAATGGCCTCCTCCCGTTCCTAGGCTCCTATGACTGCCTGGATCGGTCTGTCAAAGAGCCAGCCCAGGTACGGTGTGTCAAATGGCCCTATTCTATGCTGCCAACAACATCCCTACGTTCTTCTAGAGGTTAGTCCATTTGCCAAGTCGTTTTTTTAAATGAAAGTTTTGTATTTTTTTTTCCTTATGAACTGAATTTTTTTTGAGAAGGTTCGATTTGACACAAAACGGGTGGCAATGAAAGGCAGGTGGAGAAGGGGCCTGGGTTCGATTCACGGGCGGGACAGGGCGAAAAACCTTCGGCAAGTTTCTTTACCCCACACGCACGCCTCTGGTTGCCGAACAGTCAGTAGGAACCCGGTCGTTAGTCGATTGGCGGATCGCTTTCCGGGGGTAATAATCCCCGACGACGTGATCAGGCGCTGTATCGAATGCGAGGATTATTAGTGTTGTTATTAAGAGAGGAGGTGGGAGAGAAGGAGAGAGAAAGAGTGAGTGAAAGGGATGTGAGAGAGAGAGAGAATGAATCAGACAGAAAGGGAGCGTGAGCGAGCACCCAGAGTATTGCCGTGTCTCCAGTCAGCTGATGGACCTGCGATCCCGCTTTGCCCTTTCACACACACACACACTCACCCCGAGGCAGGTTTCCTAATGAAAGGTGCGGGTGGGGGGGTGTGTGTGGGGGTGGGTGGGGAGGAGGTTGCTGTCACGCCAGGGGAGGTTCGATGAATGAACGCGAGTGAGTTGAGTTTTCACCGACTTTCTGAGTGTCTTTTGAACGATATGCAGTAAATCTCCGTGACTGTGCACGGTCACAGCTGGAGCGGGCGATTCCCTTTTTTTTGGCGGGGTGGGGGGGAGCGAGGGAGACCCGACTCAAGAAGCTCAGACTTTGTTTGTTTTCCTCTCTTAATTGAGAGGGACCTTCCTTCCCCGTTACCCAGCGGCAAGCGAAGGAACCCACTTGTTAGCCGATTGTCGGATCGCTTTCCGAGCAGTAACAATCCCTTCAAAAAGAAATAATAATCGTTTGATCACACGCTCCACGGCTGCTTGTGGGGGACGCTGCTGCGCGCAATTGGCTGCCGCGTTTCGCCCACAAAACACACAGTCACTCCACTTTTACAATCTATTCTGTGAAGCGCTTTGAGGCGTCTCAACAATGTGCAGAGGCGCTCCATCAAAATGCAAGGATTATTATTATTATTATTCCCCCACCCTCCATTGCCAATCCCATTGGGGCTTGGTGTCTGCCTTAACGCGGAGTCCTGTAGCGTAATGGTCAGCACCCTCGCCTGGCGAGAGGCGAGAGGACCCGGGTTCGATTCCCCGAGCCTCCCTCAGTCTGAGCTCCTTCTCTCCAGGTCTTTGCTGTGACTGCGCACCTCTGTGAACAATGTTTGCACTTGAGAACGGCGGGTAATTTGCACCGAATTGCTTGCGGGGGGGGGCAGGGGGGCGGCGGTGTGGTGGGTGGGGGGGGGGGTGCAGGGGTGGGTTGGTAAATGAACGCTGAATGTAGGAAACGTTTTCTTTTTGCAACCGAGAGCGAAGAAGGTCTATTTTTGTAGAGCGTTGCAGCAGAGCAGGTATAAATATGTATATAAGGCAGTCAGGGTGTTTCACTGGGAACAGTACAGGGTATCCCCACAGCCCTGTTACCCCCCCACCTCCGCCCCCCGTTACAAAACAGTGACAGGAGAAGCTCGTGGGCTAAGCAGAGCCGTCGCTCCCCATATTTTGGGAGGTTTGTAATGTGGCAGACAAGGCCCGGAGTGATTTTCGGCAGACGGATGGCTGACCGGATTCAGGTGGGGTCAGTTTTGGCTGCGTCACTGATCCCAGTTCCACATCGAAGCCAATTTTTTCCTTTATTTTTTTTTTAAAAAAGTCTTTACGTTAACTATTAGTATTTTTTTTCTAAAAAAAGTGTATGTTATAAATATATATATATATATATCTATATAGGTATATTTATGTGCGCGAGTGTGATAGGCTTATGCGTTTTGTTGATTCATTTTAATGCTTTCCTTGATGGTGGGTCAAGGCACCACATCAAACCGCTCCTAGGAGCAGGAAGAGGCCATTCAGCCCCTCGAGACTGTTCCAGCATTCCAAGCGCTACCCTGCCCTGCCTGAAATGCATGTTGTTGTTGTTGTGCAGACTAGAAGGTGGCTAACTTGGGTTGCAATTCTCCTCAGAGCCCCCACCCCCCCCCAATTGGAGAAACGGCAATGTGGAGCGAGAAAGAAGGGGGGGAGGGGGGGGGGGTTGGGGGGATAGTGGGAATTGTGAGCAGAGGAAGTCAGCCAGTGCTTCCTGCTCCATTTCCAGAGGGTTGGATGTCACAAAATTCCTTGTGTTCTTAGCCTAAAGTACATTCACCCCCCCACCCCCCACACTCTTTCCCCCCCCCCACGCCTGCTCGGTCACACACAGTTGGTACAAAGCTGCCGGCCTCCCTGTTGTGTTGTGTGATGACTTTCACCGAGGAGCTCTGCCAAATACGATGTGATGTGAAGCTGATCGCATTGTTTCCCTGGAGCCCAGTTGATCACAAGCCTTGTTATCTGCTCTCCCCACCCCCTCCCGCCCTCCCCCACACCACCCGCTCGGGCAAGGTCACAGCGACCCACACACTCCGCTACTTTGGCTTGGGTTGGATTTGGCTTGGGTTGGATTTGGCTTGGGTTGGATTTGGCTTGGGTTGGATTTGGCTTGGGTTGGATTTGGCTTGGGTTGGATTTGGCTTGGGTTGGATTTGGGTTGGATTTGGCTTGGGTTGGATTTGGGTTGGATTTGGCTTGGGTTGGGTTGAGCTGTCACCCACCCACTCACTCTTGCCTTGTCTTAAAAAGAAAGTTTCATTCCCGGGGTCTTCTGGAATTCCTCGTGGTCTTAGCCCGAAGGATGAAGGACCGAATGGAATTTCCAACAGAAGTTAATGTGAGCGGAATCTGTCTCGGGGAGGGTGGGGGGGGGGCTGTTCAATGTGGGGGGGTAGGGGGGGAGGAACAGGACAGTGTTAAATCTCCCCCGTTCCCCCGTGTTTCAAAGGGCAATGCCTCTGCTCGCTCAGGCCACCAGAATGACTCACTCGGATACTTGGTATTTTTGCACAGTCCTCCGCGCCTTCTGGGTGGGGTGGGGGGGGGGGGTGGGAGTTGGGGATGAGGGGTTGGAAGAGAGGTAAGAAAGCACCCACTCTCTGTCTGTCGGGGCACTGGAGGTGATTATATGCTGCTGAATTTGGATGCCTTTGGCAGGGTAGAGAGGGGGGCAAATCCAGTCATTTCTTTTGGCCAGAATATTAATTATTTTGAAATATACAGATTCTATAATGTAATATACAAATATATCTATAAATCGTATATAAAGTCAGTAATATGGTGTGGTGGTGGTGGGGGTGGGGGGGTGGGGAGGGCTATTGTGTTTGAAACCCCTTATGTTGAGTATTTATGCCTTTAATCACAGGTTGAATCCAAAATGTCAGAAGTTTGATGCACTTTGAGATTATATATTATGAACCCCATTTCCCTCTCACCTCCCCCATCCCCAGTACGGAGCAATTATTCCCCCTTTCCCTTCTTGTCCTCTTCCCCCCCCCCAAAAAAAAGCGATGAACAGTGACTTGTGTTTTGGGGTGAATTGGGAAAGCAGTGCATTTGTGTGGGGAGGAAGGGGAGGGGACTTTAACCCATAAAATTCTGCCCTGGAGGTGAGAGTGCTGCCAAGTGAGCCAAGCTGCTTTGGGGGGGGGTGGTGGAGTGAGGGGGGGGGGGTCATTCCAAGCGCTCTAATGCGCTATCCTGCGTGAAGGGCAGGACAGCATCTCAGAGTGCTTTGTGGAATCCGGTAGCTCAGTGGTTAGAGCACTCGCCTCGCGAGCGAGAGGACCCGGTTCGATTCCCGCGCAGGGCGAAACCTTAGGCAAGTTTCCCCGCTGCATACGCACACACGCCTCTGTTTACCTATCAGTCAGGAGGAACCCGGTTGCTAGTCAATTGACGGATCCCTTTCCGGCGGTGGTAATCCCCCCCCCCCACCAAAAAAATAATAATTTGGTCACTCAATCTGCGACCGTTTGTGGGACGCTGCTGTGCGCAGTTTGCTGCCGTGTTTCGCCCACACAGTGTATAGTCAATTCACTTGACAAGTATATCCTGTGAAGCGCTTTGAGGCATCTCTCGGATGTAATATAAAAAGGCGCTATATCAAATGCAAGGATTATTATTATTGTAAAGGGCGCTATACGAATGCAAGTTGTTACTGCAAAGAGATACGATTGGGAAGGCATTTGGCTTTGTGGGTGTCCAGCCAACACACAGAACAGAACAACTCCCAGCGATTATTGCCCACCATCACCTGATTTCTTTGTGATATAATGTACATTATAAAAATTCTTTTGCTTTTTTTTCTTGGAGTGGGGGGAGGTGAATTGGGTTGTGGGTCTGTCCTGTGATGTGTTACGGACCCTGATGGCGTGTGTACATGCGTGTGTGTGTATCCTCGTTGCGTGATATTCACTCCAAAGTATCCGTTATAGTGTCATATGTGAATTGCAAACGTGCTGAGGAATAATGTGAAGTCGATTTTACTGGTATGTTTTCATGCCTCAATTTGTATTTAGCTGATATTCAGACCCAGTTTTTAATTTCTTTATCGATGTGGGATAGAGCGAGAGAGAGAGAGAGAGAGTCTGAAATAATATACTCCCCTGGTGTCCAAGGAATCCCATCCAATGGGAGTACCTATGGCTTGGGTTCCTCTGGTCAGTAAATGGGGGCAGATGGATTGGCTTGGGAGGAGAAGCGAAGTTAGATGGGTGTGCGTGTTTTTTGTGGGAGGTGGGGGGCTGCAAGTGGAGTCTTATTGTGGCAATTGATTTTTTTTTTTTTGGGGGGGTGCGGGGGAGAGAGGGAGTTGGGGATGGTTTTTCAATGGTTCTGAGATACCAGGTTGGTTCCTCTCTCTTTTTCTCTCTCTCTCCCTCTCTCTCGTCACCCCTCAGTAGGCATATGAGGGATGGTTTGTGCCTGATTGATTTCCAGGCCCTTGCACTGAAGCCTACATACACATATAAACCACAAACTCATTGAGTCCATATTTTTGCTGTTAGGATTACTGTGTGGTGTGCGGCTTAACTAAGTCTTTGCTCTCCATGTCTGTCACTATCACTGTCTCTCGGTTCCGAATTTCACGTCCCTATATTCAGAGTGTCGGAAAAAGGAGCAGTTACTATTTTTTAAAAAAAAGAAAAAAATATATATATATCTATATCTCTATCTATCTCATCAGGGTGAGAAAAGTGTATTGATTATTCGTGCTTCGAAACGTGATTTCTTTCTTATTTTTAAGATACTGACTGTATATACAGATATATTAACGGGGGCTGGGGGGCGGGGGGTGGTGGGTGGGGGGGACAAGAGCGTTGGAAAGCGTGGGATGGGAACTGAGTTGGGATCAGGAATCCACACTCCACCTCAGTTCCCAAAACCTTCCAAAGGGATTCAATTTGGACACCGGTCCATGGAGTCCCACTCCCGTGATTTTTAGACTTTAACGATCGATAGTCATGTGTTTTGTAGTTTAACAGTGACTGTGTTCTGTAACAGCCATGTTCTATTGGCCGACCTGCTACCCCACCCTCCCTCTCCACCCAAATAAATACACAAGTCAATTCACTTAACAGTGTCTATCCTGCGAAGGCGTCTCGAAGACGTGATACGGCGCTGTGTCACAAGCAAAGATTATTGGGGGACGCTGCTGTGCGCAGTTGGCTGCTTGGTTGCGCCCACGAAATACACGGTTCACTCCACTTGACAATATATATCCTGTGATGCTCCTTGAGACGTCTCTCAACGCCGTGATAAAGCGCTGTATCAAATGCAAGGATTATTATTATGATTGCGATGAATCCCAAATTGCTGTGGGATTTCAGCCGATGTTCCTTACTTGTGTTTAATTCCATCTTCTCGTTCTCGGTCTCTCTTTCTCTCTCTCTGTATCGCTCGCTCTCTTCTCCCGACAGTGAGGAAGAACTCTTTTGTCTTCCAAGCTGCCCTGTGTTTATTGTTTCAGCATGTACCTGTAGAGAATGCGGTCGGTCGGTCGATTCTGTCACTAATGTCTTCAATACATTGGAAGGTGCTTGCTCTTACAAGGAAGGAGTTTTGCTTTGTTAATTGTTGGGGTGTGTGTGTGGGCGCGAGGGAGGGGGGAATTGGGGGGTTTGCTCGAGTCCTGTGGGATGGGACCATCAAACCTCCACCCCACTGCCGTCTTCCACAGGCGACCCAGCTGCACATTGAATCACTCACTCACTCACTCACTCACTCACTCACCGACCGTGCCTGGGATCTGTCTTGTCCACTTTACTGGGGAACCCATTGGTGCCAATAATGAACCACTCCATCTGAAGTCATTGGCTTTGTCGATGGTTACAGGGTGAGGCGAAGGAGACGGGCATCAGTAAAGCTGCCTTGTGCCGTCAATGCCTTGGCACGGCTTCAAGGGGTTGAGCTCAGAGGAAAGATTTTGATAGTTATTCCACACGAAAGGAGGCATCGAGCACACATTGCTGCTTACATCCTCCACCCCCTACCCCCCACCCCAAATTCCCTCACAAAGCTTCCCTTTCCCTTACCAGTCACCTCGGTCCTCGCTAGGCTCCTCTCCCTGTCCTCCCAGTGGATTGACTTCTAGGTCTTCAATCTCGCCGACAAATCCCTCCCTACCTCTGGGATGTTCTCCATCCAGCCTCAATCTTCCACCCCGTACCCCAACCTCTTCCGCGGGAATAATCTTGACGGACGGTGAGAATGAAAGCACGCCCCCCCCCCACCAGACCTGCCGGCAACTCTGACTGACTGTGAAGGAATGCTGCCTGCGTTTCAGCATTAACACGTGAAGATCTCGACAGAGGGCCACACAATGAGCAACGACATCTCGGTGAACATAACAGGTAACGCTTGTTCGACAGTGATACGACGACGACTTGCATTGAGGCAGTGCCCTTCACACGGGGCAGCGTCTTGCTTAACAGTGGCGGAGCTTGGTTGTGAGCTGGGGAGAGAGGGGGGAGGTGACCACAGGCGCGGTCAGAGAGGAAGGTCTTCAGGCGCGACCCGAAGATGGGGCCAGGAGATGGGAAGGCGGAGGGAGGGAAGGCTGCTGTATAAATACAAGTTGTTGTGGATGAACCATTCTCTGATGTAAATGCCACTTCAGTCCTGAATGGGGTTAGACTTGTCCTCAGTCCAGTGTCGAACGCCGGGAGGGAAACAAAATGACGTAAACGCGAGTGACTCTGGACAACTGAGCTGTGTGTGGCTGTGACGTGATAATCGGGACGGGAATCATTCCCAAATAAAATCCCGTCCTGTGCTTTTGAAGCACTTTGTTGCATTCGTCGCTCGTAAGTTTATTTTCCCCTTTTTTTAAAACACTTGACTTGGAGGGTTCTCACCCCCTGGACCAACGAGTCTATCCCGCTGTGTGCCAACAGACATCTTCGCTTGGGCCAAGGAAGATTCCAGTGAGTGAGTGAGTGAGAGAGAGAACGCCATTTGTAATAATTAATAATAATAATCCTTTTGATACGGCGCCTTGCGTTGGGAAGACATCTCAAAAGCGCTTTTGCGGGCTACCAGAATGGCCGGACAGGCTCGAGGGGCTGAACGGCTGAACCCCCCCTGTTCCTGTGTTCCGAGAATTTTAAAGTGTAGTGACTTTTTTTTTGACAGCCAATTCTGCACCCGGGGGCGACTTGCGAAGGCAAACGGCCGTAAAAGGGGAGTCGGCCGGAGCCTTAAGCCGGAGGGAGGACTGTCGGTCGGTCAAGACGTGAGGAGTCCAATTTTCCAATTGGGGCCTCGGGGTGGGGGGGAGAGAGCGAACCCGCGAAGCCCCCCCCAAACCCCTACCCGCTCCCCCCCAACCCCCACCCGCCCCCTCTGACTCGGAGGCGGGAGCGCTGTCGAACTGCAACCAAACCCCAAAACCCGCGGCCGCGAAGGGGGGAAACCACTTTTATGCTTTCGTTATTCTATTTGAATTTAATAATTCAATTGATTTTTTTTTCTTTGCGTTTTTCGTGACGGTCGGTCGGTCGGGGAGGGGTGGGGTGGGTGGATGGGTGGACTCGAACCTCTTCCTCCCGCGCCCGACCTCTCTCTCTGCGCCGGAGACCCAGCGCTTAACCCGCTGAGCCACCGACCCTTTTTTCCACGTCTGGTCGCGCGGCGGTGACGGTGCGGAGGGGGTGGAGCGAGAGGAGGAGGAGGGAGGGAGGAGCCAGAAGGCATCACGTGGGCGCTCCCCCCCCCCCCCCCACGGAAAACCCCGCCCCTCCTGCTCCTCCGGGACCGTGGTTACGGCGCGATCACGTGCGCCGAGGGGGCGCGAGAAGGAGGGGGGGGCGGGGCGCGGTGACGTTGGCGGGAGGGGGGAAGGCTCCGCGCCTGCGCGCTGGGGGCGAGTGCGGGGCTCGAGCTAAGATGGAGCTTTCGGCGGTTGGAGAGCGGGTGTTCGCGGCGGAGTCCATCATCAAGCGGCGCGTCAGGAAGGTGCGTCGGCGGCGGCGTCGGCGGCGGTCTGAAATCGTGGCAACCGCCCGGTCCCGTAGCACGGGCAACGCGGCACGGAGTGCATCGATGCACCGGGCGCCGCCGCCTCCCGCTTTTGCATTTGCGGCCGGTGACCGGGGCTTCGGGGATGATTTTTTTTTGTGTGTGTGTGTGTGGTGTGTGGGGTTGGGGGGGGGGGCGTCGGGGGGGGTCTCTCTCTCTCTCTCTCTCTCACACACACTCACTCTCTCTCCCTCTCCCTCCCTTTTTGCCAGGGCCGCATCGAGTATCTGGTCAAATGGAAAGGATGGGCGATCAAGTAAGTGGTCGTCAGATTCTCACCCTCTCCCCCCCTCCCCCCTCTCTCCCCCCCTCCCCCCTCTCTCCCCCCCACCCCCCCTTCCCCCTCTCTCCCCCCCATTCCCCCCCTCCCCCCTCCCCCCCTCCCCCCTCTCTCCCCCCTCTCTCCCCCCCCCCTCTCCCCCCCCTCTTCCCCCCTCTCTTCCCCCCCCTCTCTCCCCCTCTCCCCCCTCTCTCCCCCCCCTCTCTCCCTCCCATTCCCCCCTCTCTCCCCCCTCTCTCCCCCCCCCTCTCTCCCCCCCCCTCTCTCCCTCCCATTCCCCCCCTCTCTCCCCCTCTCTCCCCCCTCTCTCCCCCCCCTCTTTCCCCCAAAGAAAAATAACAGAGGCAAAAAGGCGGCCCCTGTAATGTAACGGTTACCCCCCTCCGAAAAAAATCAATTATAATTGTGTGTCTGTCTCTGTCTCTATCTGTGTCTGTGTGTGTGTCTCTGTCTGTCTCTGTGTCTGTGTGTCTGTGTCTCTGTCTGTGTGTCTCTGTCTGTGTGTGCGTGTCTGTCTCTATCTGTGTCTGTCTCTATCTGTGTCTGTCTATCTGTGTGTGTGTGTCTGTGTCTGTGTGTGTCTCTGTGTGTGTGTGTCTGTCTATCTGTGTGTGTGTGTCTCTGTGTGTGTGTTTGTCTCTGTGTGTGTGTGTCTGTGGCTTTTTTGCATTCAAGTTATCCTCGTGTGTAATTTTTTAAAAAAAAGAAATATTTTGCATTCAATTGATTCAATCTCTCTCTCTCTTGTTGTTGTTGTTGTGTGTCCTGTTATAAGGTACAGCACCTGGGAGCCAGAGGAGAACATTTTGGATGCAAGATTGATCGCTGCTTTTGAGCAAAGGCAAGAGTTAAAAGTGTCTTTATTTAAGATGTTTTTCTTCCCCCTTAGGATCCATTTTGGATTTGATTTATTTTATTTCAATGGCTGTTTTTTTTTTGCAAATGAAAATCTTCTCCTTCCTCCTTTTCCCTCCCTTCCCATCGCCATCGTTGCACCTTCCTTCTCCTGTGCCTTTTGCAAAGAAAAATGTCTTCTGGTGGCAATCCAAATTCCTCCCCTAACCACCCCGCCTCCCCCCCCCCCCCCCACCACCGCAGCCAACACTACTAACTCCACCATCGCTACCAAAAAAATAATGATTAATGTTGTATTTGCCTTTCTTGCAGAGAGAGGGAGAGAGAGTTATATGGACCCAAGAAAAGAGGGCCCAAACCTAAAACCTTCCTCTTGAAAGTGAGTGCGGAGTATTGTGTGTGTAGGGGCGGGAGGGCGGTGTGTAGGATATATTCATCGTAATAATAATAATAGTGAGATGTCGAGACGATGTGAAAAGCGCTATATCAAATGCAAGGATTATTATTTATTGGACTCCTTGCATTTGATATAGCGCCTTAAAGCGCTCTGAGACACCGTCCGGCGTGGAGGGCGCTATATAAATCCAAGTTGTTGTTATCACGCCATCGTTCATTATAGCGATCCTATGTAAACGAATATTACATTGTGTAAATTCTTCCATTTGACACGGCGTCTCATCATGTCTCGAAAACGTGACAAGGCTCTATATCCAATGCAAGGATTATTCTTATTGTTAGCATCACGGGAGGACATATCAAAGCGCTTCGCAGGATTTTGCTGTAAAGTGTAGTGACTGTGCATTTTTTTGCAGGGAGACCGCTCTAGCCGATTTGCGCACAGCTATGTACCCGCAAACAAACACGAAGCGAGTTTCACTACACTTAAAAATTCCCGTGAAGTGCTTTGGGACATCCCCTCAACTGTGTTAAGTCAAGGGCAAGGATTATACGATACAACATGCATTTATATAGGATCGCTGCGCCATAATAATTCCTACGTGCAGTTCAGGTGAATGCTAGATGTAGGGTTGTGATGCGGGAAGCAAAGCTGTGTGTATTTTCGCAATGCAGTATTTCCTAGTCCTGTTGGTAATGGGTCCGGATAGGATTACAGCTGTGGTTTAGACATCGTGTGTCGTGTGAGGTTACTCACTGTGTCAGCCCGCAAACCCGCTCAATTCTGTGAATTGGTGTCCTGTAGCTTAGTGGTTAGAGCACTCGCCCCGCAATCGAGAGGACCTGGGTTCGATTCCCGGGTGGGGGGGGTGCGAAACGCTGAGCACGTTGCCTTACTCCACACACGTACGCGCCTCTGTTTAACAGTAAGTAGGAACCCGCTTGTTAACCGCTTGGTGAAGATCGCTAATAATCCCTCCACACAAAAAAAGTGGGCACTCAATCCGTGATAGTCTGTGGGACGTCGCTGGGCGCAATCGGCTGCCGCGTTTCGACCCCCCTCCCCCCCAAAAAAACCACACGGTCACTACACTTTACAATGTATCCTGTGAAGCACTTTTGAGACGTCTCGACCACGTTGTAAGGCACTGGGTCAAACGCCAGGATGATTATCATTATTTCGAATGATTGTAATGGTTTGTTTCGGTCGCTGTTTGCCAGGCCCGGGCACAAGCCGAAGCCCTGAGAATCGGCGAGATGCACTTTTCGGTCAAGCCGGGGTCCGGTTCGGGGCCCCCCGGCCTGTCGCCCTACAAGCTGAAGAAGGACCTCCGCAGGTGCTACCGCACGTCCAGGCGGACACTGCCTCGCTCCGAGCCCCCCCAGCAACCGGGGCTGAGCGGTCACAGTCACGCTCATGGTCTCGGGCACGGCCATGGGCACGGGAGGCCGGCGATGCCGATTCCCGAGACCGTGCGCATCATCAACCGCAAGGTGGAGCCGCGCAAACGCAAGCGCAATCGCATCATCCTCAACCTGAAGGTGATCGACAAGGGGGGCAAGAGCAAAATCCCCTCCCGCAACCGGGTCATTGGCAAGAGTAAGAAGTTCAGCGACAGCGTCTTGCGGACCCAAATCCGCCACATGAAGTTCAACCACTTCCCCCTCTTCGATAAGTCGGCGCGGATGCCCACCGCCTCCCTCGGCTCCAGCTCTGAGGGGGTTGGGGGTGGGAGGAAGCCGGAGACCGCGCTGGGGGGCAACGACCCCGGCCCCTCGTGCGCCAAGCCCCCCGCTCGCGACCTGCCCCTTCCGTCTGACCCGCTGCCCCCCTATCTCAGCGGAGCCCCCCGTTACGGCAACAACCTGGTCTCCGCCAAAGCTGCCATCGCGGCCACGCCCGACCGGGCCTCGACCTGCCGCCGAGACCCCCCCTCGCCTAACCCCTCCCTGCCCCCCGGGGAGTCTCTGAGCCCCGCTGTGCCCGACTGGCGCGAGGCAGAGGCCCTGGATCTGTCCATCCCCCCTGAGTCCGCGGCCGGTCGTCGTTCCCCACCGCCCGGCTCCCGCAGCCCCCCCTCTGACCCCGAGCAGGAGGTGTCGGACTGGAGGCCGGAGATGTCCCCCTGCTCCAACGTGGTGGTGACGGACGTGACCACAAACCTCCTGACCGTCACCATCAAGGAGTTCTGCAACGCCAACGACTTTGTCAAACCGGCCAATGGGAATAAATAATTCCTCGCTCCCCCCCCCCCCTCCCCAGCCTAGGGGATCGTTGGGGGTGGGGGGGGAGTTTAGCTCAATTGGCTTGGGAACCACAAAGCCCCTTCCTTCCTTCCTCCCTCCCTCCCCCGCCCACCACCAACCCTCTCCCTTTGGTTGGCTGTTCGCTGTCTTCATTAGGATTCGCCATTACCTTTTTTTTTTGCATGGAACCTCATCAGGGAAGGAGGGAGGGAGCCAACGTCCTCTATAAGTAGGATGTCCGGGCACTGATTGATCGATTGACTGACCCTCTCTCCCTCCCTCCCTCCCTCCCTGCCTTGTTCTATCTCTCAGAGAAATTGAAATTGCGCTTTCCCCGTTTCCCCGGCTGATGGGATTGGATTAATATGATTTGCACTGGGGACCAAGTCTCGCTTTCTTTCCCCTCCCACCCTACCCCAAACCATCATGGCTCTTAACACTGCCCGGCATTAAGATGCCAAATCACCCCCACCCCCCCCCCCCACCCCACCCCATCTCTCTCACCCAACACCACCCACAGGCACAGCCGATGGAGGGGGGGGAAATGCGTTTAACGCTTTCAAAACCAAAGCCGTGGTCACACGATCGGTTTACGCGGCTCTTTAATCTTTCTTTTTTTCCCCCCTTCTCTCTCTCGCTCCGTTTGTCCCCTTTCTTGGGGGGGGGGGGGGGCAGATGAGAGTGGATCGGGTTGGGGTGGGAGGCGAGTGGGTGAGGAAAAGGGGGTAATAAGAGGGGTGAGTAAATGGGGGGGGAGGTAAGTGGACCGAAGACACGGTCAAGGTGGGGTAGGTACCTGCAACAGGGGAAGGGGGGGAAATTCTGACAACATAACCTGGCTCTCGGGAACCTGTTAACCCCTGAGATTTTGGCCGGTCGGAGCAGATGCCCCCCATTGTCAGTTCTGAACTTGGTGACGGTCACTTTATCTTTATTGGGGGGGGGGGGGGAGCCAATATCCCCCTGGGGTTGCCCTATGTTTTTTATTCGCTCGGTTCCACTTTTTCAACCGACTTTAAACAAAGAAAGAGAGGAGAGAACAGAGAGAGATGGAAGGAAAGAAATAGAGAGAAAGGAAGCGAGAGAAGGAAGACAGGCGGGTGGAGGGGGTGGGGAGCTGGGGAGGAAAAATATTCCCAAATTTTTTTTGACAGCTCTTACTATTACGTTTAGTGCAAATTAGGTAGTATATTGGACAGAAAGCTTAAAGCACTTCCAAGTCAAGTGTTTGTGAGCCTCTGGGATGGATCATAGGAACAGGTAGAGGCCATTCAGCCCCTCGAGCCTGTTACGCCATTCTATTAGATCATGGCTGATCTGGACCTCAAGAGTGATGAGGTCTCACACACACAGAATTTGTAGGAATGACGTGGTGAGGGTGGTGGCATTGATCGATCAACTGATCGATCCATAGCAAGGCAGGAGGGAGCCTTACCTGGAGGCAGTAGTCTGAACAACTCGAAGCGCTTCACAGACCGTGTAGTGACTGTTTTGTGCAGATTGACTCCACAAAGTGTGAACGGTCAGTTTTATCTGCAGTGGGTGGGAGGGGGGGGGAAGAGTTGTCGATTGTACGCGCAGGGAGTGGTGGGGAGATGCGGATAGAGAGAGAGAGAGAACTTCCCAGTGAGATGGTAAGATTTGTTTGGTCGAGTTGACATTTGTGATTGTTACTGTGATCACCGAATGGTTGGGGTTATTGTTCGTCTGCCCATTCGTCCGTCCGTCTTACGTTCCTCCTCAAAGCCTTTCGTACACTCGCGCGCGTGCGCGCGTGCACACACACACACATCAAGCTCACAAAACCTCCCAGCTCATGCACATACATGCCTGGCAAGAGTTGGTTGACGTGACGTTGTCAGCGCTGTGTGTGTGTGCGTGTGCGCACGGATACTCATAAGCTAGAGATTGAAGGGCGAGGATAGATTTTTTAAAAATTTTTTGCTCTTGATTTATTTGCACATGTATAAATAAATAAAAATGACTATAAGCTAACACAGATTAAGTGTAAGGCCCCGTCCGTCCATCCGTCCGTGTGCGGCGAGAGGGAGGTGGGATAACGTGCCAATTGGGGGGTGGTTGGGGAATGAATGGCAGAGTTTGAATACTAATGAATACACAGACTAGATGGAAATCCTTATGTTCTTGGTAGAGATGCAGACAGTTGAGTTGCCTCTTATTGATGATGATAATAATTAATAGTCTTTGCATTTGATATTTAGTCTTATTTGTGGAATCCTGCAGCTCAGTGGTTAGAGCACTCGCCTCGCAAGCGAGAGGACCTGGGTTTGATTCCCGGGCAGGGCTAAAACCTTGGGCAAGTTTCCTTACTCCACCCACACGTCTCTGTGTACCCAGCAGGCAGTGGGAACCTGGTTGTTAGTCGACTGGGGAATCGCTTTTCTGGGAGTAACTTCAATTTAAAAAAAAAGTAACAGTAATTTGATCACTCGGTCCACGACTGTGTGCGGGACGCTGCTGTGCACAATTGGCTGCCGCTTTTCTCCCACACAATATACGGTCGATTCACTTTACAGCGTATCCTTTGAAGCGCTTTGAGACGTTGTGATGTGAGTGATAAGGCGCTGTATCAAATGCAAGGATTATTATCGCCTTCTTGGGTGCTATAAATTTTTATGGACCTTTCCCTGATTTTGCTCGTGCCCCCGAAAGGTGAGTAGAAAGGTGACTTTGCTCCGACAGAAGATGGTTTAACAGAGGAGCTTTTTATAGAGTGTTGTGAGTGAGTTTTCTTAAACTCCCTCTCTTCTCCCTGCCCACACCCTCCGAGCTGCGTGGGCAAAAGCACCCTCTTCCCCCCCCCCCACCCCCACCCCCTGGTGATAGGAACTAAGTTGGTTTTAAGTGTAGCGTTCATAACTTAAGAGTCAACAAATTGTACGTTGGTGTTGGAATTGTTTTTTTTCTCCAATATATATATATTATAAATATAAATAATAATACTGCATTTAAAATCAAACATTTAAAAACCGTATTAAACAAAAAAAAAGTAAAAATAAGTAAGTGAGGGACGATTGGGGAGGGGTGGGGGGTGACGGAGCGAGTGGAATTGTTTGGTTTGTGTTATATTCCAATTGTCGTGGTTCTGGTTCTGTGTTTGGAGACTAGTTGTTTGAGAAATGGCCTCAATGTCTTGCTGTTTGGTGAGCGAGAGGGGGAAGGGGAGAGAGGGGAAACGAGGTGGGGAGGGGTAAGGGGAGTGGAGAGGGGAACGAGGGAGGAGAAGTAAATGGGGGAAAATAGGGGAAAACTAATGGAGTCAGTGGGGAAGGAAGAAGAGGAAACGGAGAAGGGGGAAGGAGAGAGGGAAACGGGGGCAGGGGAGGAGCGCTGAGTGATGTCAAGTGCAAACCTCGCGTCCCTCTTCAAGTGATTTTTGTCTTTGACGTTTATTATTTACCTGTCCGTCAGGTGAGGTGAGGAGTGGTGTGACTGGGTATATGTTGTTGACTGCAGTGACTGTGTTTGTAGGTAGTAATAACAATAATAATCCTTGCATTTGATACAACGCCTTATCACGTCTTCGAGATGTCTCAGATCGCTTCACAGAATGCACTGTAAACCGTAGTGACTGTGTTTTGTGTGCAGAAGGTATAACCTAGAGTGAAGGGTGCGAGAGAATAGGAAATGTGTATTTGTATTCATGTCTCTTTCCTTACCCCCCCCCCCCAATTGTTTATAAAACACTTTTCTCACCCATCCACCGACAGTAATCTGTCTCTTTTCCTTTCGCACCCTTTCCCCTGCCCCCCCCACCCCGTAAGACTTGCCACAGCTTGCACTTTGTTTAATGTCCCATGCAAAGCAGAATTGGTGTGTAGAGTTAGCAGCAGTTTATAGCACTTGCATATAAATATATATGTATATACACACACACACACACACATGGTCCTTTGCTCTTATCCCAATCCTTGGCACCGTTGGGTTGGGGCAATACATTCCAGCACTTTTTTGTGTGTGTGGTAGGGCAGGAGGGTGGGGAAGAAATGTTCAGAGGGTTTCCCTCTTTCCCCTTCTCTCTCCCCCTCTTGACATTGTCTGGGGGAGGTGAGAGAGAGGGAGAGCGGGATTGATTGATTGACTGACTGACTGACTGGGTCTCTTATTTTAGGTAGAGTAGGAATTGATGTGGAAAAGCTGGTAGATGCAACCGTTTTTTTTTCTCTCTCTCCGTGAAACGGACCGTAACGGTTTGAAGAGTGGGTTAAGAAAGCTCTCCCTCCGCTCACGTCTGCTATTGTCTCTGTCCGGTCAGACAGATGAGAGCATGTTTTCATTGCGTCTTTCCAATGGAGTACAGTCTAGTTTGTAGCATGCAATGTGGTGGCTGAAGTCATGATGATGGTGTAGCTTTGTGTGTACGTGTATGTTTCTTTCTCTTCCCCCATCCTCTCTCTCTCTCTCTCCCCCCCCCCGCACCCTCTTTCATTGTTTTGGGTTGAAACGCCATTGCACCCACCTTGTCTTTGGAAGACGGGAAGAAAAAATACACAAAGAAGAAAGAGAAATCACGAATTTACAAATTTTGTGCGATGAGTTCATTTTTAAAAAAAAAAAATTATTGTTTGCTCCTGCAAAGAAAGGCTAAGACTAGGTGGAACTTGGGGGTGCCTGGGCTCCATAGTGACTTCGAGAGAGAGAGAGAGAGAGAATGTTTTAATAACAACAGTAATCCTTGCATCTGATAACAGCACCTCATCACGTCTTCGAGACGTCTGAAAGCGCTTCACAGAATAAATGGATCTGACACGGATTGAAATAACTTCTTAATAGCTGGAATTATTATCCTGTCTTCCCTCCCTCCTCGCTGCTCTCCATTCCTCTCTCCCCCACCCCCCCCACAACCTGTAATTAATTACTGCTTTTGCATCCTATGGTACCTGTGTATGTGCTTTTCAAGCAATGTGGTCGCGAGAGAAAGATTGAATGCGTGAACAATAAATAAATAAGCATGGAACGTGACGTTTATAGATCTTTATGTTTTTTTAATTAATCATAATAATTATCCTCGACTTTGATACAGCACCTCATCGCCTCGGGAGGATGTCTCGAAGCGCTTCACCTGATTTTTAACTGTAAAGTGAAGTGACTTGTGTGTTCTGTGGGCGTACCCAGTGCGTCCAATAAATACTTTAAATGTACTGAAACCTTCCCTCCCTTGTCCCCTCATTTTTGTTTCGCAAACTGCGTTAGACCATGATACGCTGTGTTATCTTGTACTGTGGAACCAGAGGACACGGCCTGCGATTGATTGAAGTTGGGTGGGGTGGGGTCGGGGGGGTAAATCCAGAACCAGACAGACAGACAGATGGTGGAAGCACAAAGTGTCGTTTGTTTCAAGAACAAGTTAGATAGATTTCTGTTAGAAAATAATATCTGGGGATAGTTTGGGACACGACATGTCCAGCGACGGCCAGGAATGCTGAAAGGCCAACTGGATGGACCTTGGTTTTCTTTCGCCAGCAAATTCTTATGTAAACTTTTGAATGAAGAAAACTTTTGTTTATGATTGGCCATCACTTACTAACTCACTCTCTCCGGTGGTTGATGTGTTTTTTTTGGGGGGGGAACGGGCCATTGACTGTATTGTTGACACCCAGCACTTGTTACAGCTACACTTTGGGGGGAACTTGACTAAATGAATATTAATACACCCAAATACAACCTAAAGTATTGTGTTTTCTCTCTGTTGGAGTCTTGGAGGTTGATGTTGAACTGCGAGATGGTAAGCCTTTCTTTGTTTGGCCGTGTACGTGGGGGGGTGGGGGGCGGGAGAGTGAAGGGGTGGGTGTTCTGGAAGGATGTTCTTCATCCAAACTCGTCTTGTGAGTCAATTTTTCTCTTGATTCCTTGACTCTTCTGTCCATTCGTTGATATTGGAAATTTTCTTTTGCATTTGGGGAGGATAAGTTTGCAGGGCTACGGGGAGTGGGATCGATAGCTCTTTTCAAAGACCGGGCACAGACTTCTGTGCTCTACGATTCTATAATATAATAATAACAATCCTTGCATTTGATATCGCATCTTTTCACGTCCTTCTAAACGCCTCAAAGCGCTTCACAGAATATATTGTGAAGTGCATTGACTGTACACTTGTGGGCCGTTTGCATGTGGAGGGGAGGGGCGTGAGGGCCTTGGACTTGGACAAAATCCATCATCTCTTTTATAAAGAGGAATTGATGAAGGTTGCAGAAAGAAATGCAAGGATTATTATTATTATTATGTACACCTCACCCCCAAGACCTGACCTTGCTTGTTGTCCAGAGGTGCCTCACCACAGGTAGCCACTAGGTGGCAGATTGGGCACACGAGTGCCAAGTCCCTTTCTCCCCCCCCACCCCCACCCCCATCACTGCCAAATCCTTCTGCGTTGCCTTTCAATTCCAAGCAGCGGGAAAGTTTGCCAGACAGTGCTCTCGATGGCAAGCTGTGCGGTTTTAGCTGGTTAAGACTCCAGCAACTTTCCCCCAACGCACCCTCTGTCCCCCCCCCCCCCCCCCAAGTCTTGGCTCTTGCCACCCCATACCTAATACTTGCCGTAATTAGGTAAACAAGGTGCGTACGTCCAGAGACAGAGAGAGAGCACAGTCCATTCCAACAATCGATTGCTGGGATTTCCACGTGTAAATGGAAATCTCAGTTTGGTTTGGAGGCTCCTCAACAACGCTGATGGGTTTCCGCGTGTGTCAGACGGACACCCGGCTGACAAAAAAAGAAATGATGCCAAATGCAATTTGTTGTTGTGTTGAGTGCAGAATCCTGATGTTATCTCGTGCTGGACAAGGGCAGGTGTATAGCGACGGGCGGTTAGCGACGAGGACCTTCCGAACGGCAGCGGATTTGAGTTAATTTATCAAACGAACATTGAGGTAATCACAACGTGGGAATTAAGTTCTCCTTTTATACAGTTGCGCTCGCCGAATCCGACTAATCCTGTGATTGCTCAGTGACTCTGCGGTTTGGCTGAGCGAATGTGTGTGGGGGTCGGGGGGTGGGCTGGGGAGCAGGCTTGCCAGCAAACGCACAGTCACTACACTCATCAGCGATATCTTCCCAACGCGAACCAGAGTTCTGTGCAGCGTTCCTCTGATGTCAAAAAGTCTTCCGATCCTGTGACCGAGTGGGACATTTGTCCCGTTAGAGTAGTTAGTGCGCTCGCCTCGCAAAGCGAGGGGACCCGGGTTCGATTCCCGGGCAGGAAGAAACCTCTGGCAAGTTTCCTTACTCTCCGCGCGCGCCTCTGTTTACCTAGCAGTAAGTCAATTGGCGGATCGCTTTCCGGGGGTAATAGTCCCTCACCCCCCAAAAAAAGGTAATAAATGGGTCGCTCGATTCACGCTGCTGTGCGCAATTGGCTGCTGCGTTTCGCCCACAAATGACACAAGTCAATCCACTTTACGGTGTGTTCTGTGAAGCGCTTCGAGGCGCCTCAACGAGATGTTTAAGGCGCTGTATCAAATGCACGTCTGTCGAGGCTGCTGCTGGGGGAAGGCTGCACGGCCAGCAGTGCTGCCCTTCGGACGAGACTTGCCCCGTTGAAGTCGACGTTAAAGATCCCTTGCGGAGGGAGGAAGCGAGTATCTTTCCTGCTCGCCTGGTTGATGGTTCCCCCTCCCTCCTCCCTTCCCAAATCAGTCATTCGCTTCATTGGCAAAACTGTTCGCAAACGTTTCCTGCGAAGAGATTTGACGGTCGCTTTCTCCAACAGGACGCGCAGTGACTGCACTTCAGAGCGCAAGCCCTGTTTCCCAATACGTTTGCGGGGAGAGATGCAAGACAGAAGTCCACCTGCACTAATTTGCCATGTAGCTTAAAGGGATAAGGTTTCCATGGCGACGGAGATCGCAAGACACATTACGCAGCTCATGCGATGAAATTATTCCACGCTCTGTCTGGGCCAGCAATGTGCTTGTTTTGTTCTGAGATGCCATGCGAACGCAGCGCATTCTGAAGGGATGCTGTTCATAATAATAATGGTAATAATCCTCACATTTGATGCAGCGCCTTATCACGTCGTCGAGACATCTCTAAGCGCTTCACAGAATATGACTGTAAAGTGAATTTGTTCCTTTGCCAATTAGCTTAAATCTGTGTTCTCTGGTTCCCGACCCACTCACCCACCAGAGGAAACGGTTTCTCCCCATCTACTCTTATCAAAACCCCTCATAACGCCTATTAAGCGAACCCTCAACCTTCTCTGCTCCAAGGAGAGCAATCCCCGGGTCTCTCTCGTCTCTCTCTCTCTCTCCGCCAAATTCAAGTCTCTCATCCCTGATGTTTATGTTTGCGTTGGGTCCCGTGAATTGTAGACCGCAGTGTGGACACGCTGCACATTTCAGACGGCAGGCACAGAGCTGATTGCCGTACCAGATAGCAACATGAATAAAGACTTCGCAAAACCACATTAGCATTCGACTTGGCAGGAAGCCAGACTCTGGGCTGTACCAGTCTTGGATTCATAACTCAATTAACTGGGTGACGTTAAGTGCTACACATTACTTGTGGCCAGGCTGTTAGCCCGACAGTGCGACTGCTAAATCCTTGCATTTCTATCCGTGCCGCCTTTTTCTTTTCTTTTAACAGTAAGAGCATTCGCCTTTGAGGCCGCGCCTTATCATTGCCGTCGAGACATCTCAACCACCGCAAATTATAATAATAATAATAATAACAAAAGTAAATCGTGTATTTTGTGGGCAAAAACCCATGCGTTTGTAAATTGCATTTGCTACTGGATGATTGGGATTCTAATAATAATAATAATAATAATCTTTGCAGTTGATATAGCGCTTTTCACGTCTTCTAGACGTCCCAAAGCCCTTCACAGAATATAATGGTTCTCATGGTTTGGAGACTCTTAAGCAGCACGGGGATAGGTTGCTGCATGCGTCAAAGAATTCGAAAATAATTTGACATTTTCTTAAAAAAAAGATATCACCCAAACACACAAGTCTCTTATCTGATCAATCGATCTGTTATCTGATCAATCGATCTGTCTCTTATTTGATCGATCTATTTATCTGTCTGTCTTATCTATCACCTAATCTATCCATCTACTCACCTACCACTTTCTCTCTCTACCTCTTCATCTCCATCTCTGTATCTCTATTTTGACAAAACGTTAAAAAAAATTAAATGAAGAAAGAAAACCATCTCTGTAATATTTCCCTTTTAAGAAGGCAGTGAACTCGTCCTGTGGGTGTTGGTGACGTGTTGGTGATTGGTAGGGATTTGTAAATCTATCCCTCCCTCTTCCTTCAGTCAGTGTAGAGTGGAGCTGCCCAACACAACACAACACAACACGACCCAACGCAACCCATCTCCACTCCTCTTCCCTCCTCGCTCTCCATCACCCCAAACCCCCAACCCTTCCCTGGTGTCTGTCTCCCTCACTCTCCGGCACCCTGAAGTATCTGACTGTCCTGCTCGGGGCAGGGATGCTTGCCTTCCTGGGTGCAATCATCTGCATCATCGCAAGCATCGCCCCAGCCTCCACGGGAACTCTCCAAGGTGCTGAGGGAGACCCGGGCGCTGCCAATGCTGTGGTTGGGGTTGGAGGAGATGGCCAGGGCTCTGTGCCAGGCACTGCACCCAGCACAGGCACAGCCACAGGTATGGACACTCAAGCAGCCAAGGCATCTGTATTGGACGCCCATCTGGGCCAAGGATCCCCTCTGGGCTCTGGTGTCCACCTAGGCAGCACCAGTAGGTTCCTCTGCTTGCCCCTGACCCAGGACTGTCCCTCCAGCTCGGCCAGAGAGGACCTGCTCCTGCTCAGGACCACCGCTGACCACCTGAGCCAGATGGTCACCCAGCAGAAAGACCAGATCTTCAGCGACCAGGAGATCATCAAGGAGCTGACTGGGAAACTGAGTCAATGTGAGAACGGGCTGGAACCTGGCTACTTCCAGGGGAATCAAGAGGAATATGCTTGGGATGCAGGCAGAGACAACCTAGACCATCTAGCTGATGATGACGATGGTGGTGAGGATGATGAAGATGAGTCTGGGAGGACAGTCCAGGAACTGGAACAAGCCATACACACCTTGAGGGACAGGATTGAGAAATTGGAGGTAGGGTTTGCTTGCTATTCTTGCTGTACTGTATTTTTTGTTCTATTGTAATGGTTAGTGGGTAGTGGGAGAGGGTCAGTCAGTTAGCAACAGTGGGGTGGGTTGGTAGGGGTGTGTGGGGGTCGGGGTGAGGAGATAGATAGAGAAATAGAGAGAGAGATAGGTAGATAGAGAGAGGTAGAATATTGAATGATTGATTGATTAGACAATATAAACATAAGAAATGCTGCACGAAAAAAACCCGAGATCCATCTCGTTCGCCTTCCACCTTCCTGGCAGTCGCTTGCACATATGTCCCAAACTACCTATGTACTATATCCCATAATGTTATTTACTGAAAGAAAACTATCTAATCTGTGTTTGAAAGAGATAAGAAATAGATGGAGAGAGGGGGAGAGAGTGAGAGATAGCGTGGGAGAGGGCGAGAGAGAGAGAGCTAGAGTGGGAGGGGGGGGGAGAGAGAGATACAGGGAGGGAGATGAATAGATAGAGAGATAGATAGATTGATTAGAAGACAGACAAGCAGATAGATAGATCAACAGCTGGATAGACAGACAGATAGTGTGAAAGATTGTTCATTGCTGTCCATTTTATTGGGGGGGAGGGGGGGGAAGGGACCAAATAACAAATAACCTGTTGCTGTGAGCAAACTGTTTGCTGTGTTTCACCCTCCAAATACACAGTCACTACACCCTACAGTGTATTTTGTGAAGTGCTTTGAGATGTCTCAACGGTGTGATGAGGCGCTGTATCAAATGCAAGAATTATTATGATGATGATTGTCCTTATTCTCAATGGCACAGAATTCCATCTTAAAAAGGCAGTTTCGAGGCTCGTTCATTTATCGCAAAATTCTGTTCTTCAATTTATTCTCATTGAATAAATTTATTACACCTTTTTTGGCGTAAGTCAATCGGTAAGAACTGATTCCTGACCCTAATTTGATTTCTTTTGTTCAACAAAATGGGCCAGGGAGTGTGGGTCAATCTCGTTGCTCTCCTTCTGCACTGCCTCTTGGCACTGAGCAACCCTGTTAATTCACGGTGGACCAGAAGTGGACGCAGAATGACCATTCTGTCCCGCCTCTCCGCCTCTCTCTCTCTCTCTCTCTCTCTCTCTGACCCTGCCGGCTCTGAGCAGAGTATCTAGACTTCAAAAGCAAAGGCTTCCATCAACATTGCCCTTTGAAGACGAGCTCCTGCTATGAAACCAAATGTCATCTGGATGGAATGCAGATGGATTGTGCTTCCCTGGAGATGTTGGAATGAAGCCCTTCACACTTAACAAAAAGCGGTAGTGTAGTGGATAGTGCGTTTGCCTCGCAAGTGAGAGGACCTGGGTTCGATTCCCGGGGCAGGGCGAAACCTTAGGTATGATTCCTTGTTCCACTCTCCTCTTCCTTAAGGAGGAACCTGGCTGTCAGTCGATTGGCGGGTCACTTTCCGGCGGTAATAATCCCTTCAAAAAAATAATAATGATAATTTGGTCACTCAATTCATGACTGTTTGTGGGACGCCGCTGTGCGCAATCCGCTGCTGCGTTTCGCCCACAAAATATACAGTCAATTCACTTTACAGTATATCCTGTGAAGCGTTTTGAGACGTCTCAATAACGTGATAAGGCACTATGTGAAATGTAAGGATTATTATTAAGCAATTGCACGCTGTCCCTGTGTTACCAAGTCCAATAAACTCAAATCTCTCTCTATAACAATGGCGCTGGAACAAAATGGCTGCCTATCAGCATATCCAGTTTGACAAGACACCAGTAACATCACTTCCGGCCTGGGTGTGGGTCACAGGAAGCTAGAGGTGCGGATGTACCGCGCTATAAATGGACTGCGTAGGAGTGTCAGCCTAGACGACGTGTGATGACTAATCTCCCCAATATGGTGGCTTGAACCCAGGACCTTCTGGCTGAGAGGCGAGAGCGTGAACACTGAGCCAGGCTGACACCGAGCCAACAGGAGGAACCTGTGCGAAAACCTCATCCCGTTGCGCAAATTAGAGATTATGCTGTGCCCAGCCGGGTTACTGCCGTCTCTGGTGTAAGACAAGTCGCCTTGTACTGTAGATACCTGGATTAGGACTGAGGGGAATCTTGAGCATTCAAGTTGGGGGAATGTGGACCATTATGTGTCACTATGTACAAAGCTCCCAGCCTTGACGTCTCAGTTTCTTCCTGTTTTCCTGAAAACGTTTCCCATCGCGTTGGATTAAAGGTGGGGATGCAGAGAGATATGCAAAGCAACATGGTGGCTTGGTACCGGTGATGTGGCAAGTGACAGATTAGCAGTTGTCTCTCTCTCTCCCTCTGTGACTTGAAGCAGATGGTCAGGAAGAAGCAACACATCGAGGTTCCTCATTGGGGAGGCAGGGGGGAGTGAGAAGAGGAGGTCAACTTCATAGTGAGTAACACAGCAGACACAGAGAGAGAGAGACTGGGGGTAACTGCACAGTCCCATCAAACAAGCCACTGGAGGATACCAAGGAGAAGGGATCTCACTACAAACATCCTTCACCTGACAGTAAGACAACAACATCAACAACAACACACTGACCACAGAGACAACATGGAACTAACTGCTTTGTGGCTACAGTCTGGGAAGGACCAATGTGATGACTTGATGACTGCGATTGCTTTGGGAGGAGGGTGTGGATGTGGAGTGGCGGGTGTTGGTGTTGTGGATCAACCTACTTCCCCCCTGACTCTGGGTGTGTGTGTGTGTGTGTGTGTGTGTGTTTATGATGGAGGGGGGGGGCGGGTTCAGGTGCTCTGGGAAGCTTGAGATGACAATTCCCACCCCCAGCTTTTGATGTCTCCTCTTCCTGTTTTCCAGATGGAATGATGGTGAGCTTCATTCTGTGAAACCCCTTCTCCCACCCCTTCTGTCCCCGCTCTCCCCTACTCCTTCCCCTCCCCCTCCCTCCCATTGGAGGTTCCTATAAGGGAGGGGAGGCATTTGCCTTCAGGCTCTCAATGCTATCAATTGTCTCTCGCTTGTCACATTAACATTGGGGAGTGGTGGGAACAGTGTTCCATTGTGCCTTCCTCTTCTTCCGCTTTCCCTCGGCAATCTTCATCGTCGTTATCATTATTCTCCTCCTTCGGACATGAAGACATCGTCTTGTGAGGAGGCAGCTTTGGCTTGGGAATTGGATGGTTCAAGAGTGAAACCAGAAGAGTTTGAGTTCTCTAAGGAGGAGTGAGGGGGAGGAAGGAGGCTTCGTGAATGTGCTGAACTGACTTGTGGAGGGAGGGGTGTAAATTGGACATTGTGGACATTGTGCATTTCAGTGTTTTACTGCCATCTGTACTTTCCTGGTCTAAGTATGGGCCGTGCCGTGTCAAACTGTGAGTGTCTTAATGTTCTTGACGTCGTAAAAGTTTCTGAGAGCCTTTGTGATCCGTTGTGAAGTGAGTAAACTTCCAATAAAGTAATTACTGCCATCAACGTGCGACCCAGAGTCGTTTAATTCTCACGTGTTTCTCAAACCTTGCAGTTGCTTCAGCGCCTTATCGCGTCTTCGAAACATCTCAAAGCGCTTCACAGAATATACTGTAACGTGGATTGTCTGTGTATTTTGTGGGCCAAACACGGCAGGTGACAGTAAGCACGGTCGAAAAGGATGGCTTTCAGGCGGGACTTGAAAAGGGGGAGAGGGGGACAAGGCGGAGGGATTGAGGGAGACTGCTCCAGAGATTCAGGGCGTAGTGGCTGAATGATTGACCTCCATTGATGGAGCGGAAGGCGCGAGGGACAAGCAAGAGGCTTGTGGTTTTGTCTCCAGGTTCACTCCCAGGACATCCGCTGGGCTCAGTCGAAGGCAGACACACACACACACACACACTCTCTGAGAGACAAGTGCTGTGGGTTCAAACTCCACGTCGTAATTGTTTTTATTTTGGGTCTGACACATGAGGAAACCCATCACCGTTGCTTAAGAGTCTCCAAATCAAGCTGAGAATTCCATGCATCCCGTGGAATCCCAGAGATAGATTGCTGGAAAGGAATGCACATTCTCTCTCTCTCTCTCTCTCTCTAGCTTACCTAATTCTGGAAAGTATTAGGCGCAGGTTAGCAAGTGCCAAGGCTTGGGGACTTTTGTGTTGCGCTAACTGCTGGAGTCCAGCCAGCTAAAACCATTGCTTGCCATTGATAAAACTGTCTGGCAAGCTTTCCTGCTGCTTGTCCGTTATAGTTATAGTGGTATAATAATAATACCTTTGCATTTTCGCCCACAAAATACACAGTCAGTCCACTTTACAGTATATCCTGTGAAGCGCTTCGAGACGTCTCAAAGACTTGATAAGGCGCTGTATCAAATGCAAGGATTATTATTATTATCAAAGCCAAGAGTACGAGAGATTTTGAGTTCCCCACTCACGATCTCCATACATTTATCTGGTGACAAATAATTATGTTCCTTATTTTTAATCTGACCTAATTTCCACACTTGGATGAGTAGCCAGGGACAGCTCCAATTATATATTTAACACCTGCAGCTCGGTGCTATATTTAAGCTTCCTTGAGGATGTAGCAGAGACTTAGTGTGATCTGTCCTTACCCCATTTAATACACAATGTTCTAGTATTAAGTTTAATTGTCACGAACCAAACACGGTCTTGAATTTATTAGCGTAATCGTTCTGGAAGGCTCCTGGCACCTGGAGAGCTCGGAGTCACGTAGCATAGTGGTTGGAGCACTCACTTCCCTCGTAAGTGAGAGGACCTGGGATCTGTTCCTGGGCGGGCAGGGCGAAATGTTAGGCAAGTTTCCTTACTCCGCACACACGCCTCCGTTTACCAGCAGTAAGTAGGAACCCGGTTGTTAGTTGATTGGCGGATCGCTTTTCTTTGGGTAATAATCCCTTCAATAATATATATTTAAGAAATTAGGTCACTCAATCCACAACTGTTTGTGGGACACTGATGTGCGCAATTGGCTGCTGCGGTTTGCCCACAATCTATACCGTCAATCCACTTTATGGTATGTTCACTGAAGCACTAGATCAAAGGATTATTATTATTAATAATTAATAAAAATCATCCTTGCGTTTGGTACAGGGCCTTTCATGTCCAAAGTGCTTCACGTGATTTCACTGTAAAGTGGAGTGACTGTCATTATGTTTCTTAATTTAACCTCTAGCTTAACCCCTTAACTTAACCCTAAAATTAATCTAATTTAACCCCTCCTGATCCCAATCCCCAGCAAGTCAGGTGCAAATCTTTGACTGTCCAGCGCTTTGGGATGTCCTCCCGACGTGAAAGGCGCTGTGTAAGTGTAATTTGTTGATGTTGTTTCCTCTTTGACCGTAGTTCCTCCTAAATTCCCCTACATAAAAAAAAACCCTACTTCAGTGAGCGAGTAATAAATGTGTGGAACAGGCTTCCGAGGGAAAGCAGAAAATGTTGTTTGCTTCAATGACAAATTAGATAGATTTCTGTTAGGAAATAATGTCTGGGGGATACAGTATATAGTTTGGGACACGACATTTCAAGCGACTGCCAGGATGGTAATTGAACTTCAGTTACAGATCAGTCATGATCTTATTGAATGGCAGAACAGGATCGAGGGGCTGAATGGCCTACTCCTGTTTCTATGTTCCTATGGTGGAAGGCAAACTGGGTGGACCTTGGTCTTCTTTCGCACAGCAAATTCTTCTTTGCTTATGTTCTCTCTAACACCCTGTGGAACAATCTCTATCTAAAGGTCCAGGAGTTGGAGGTTCAGTTGCTCTCCCGGTTGGCGGAGCTGGAGAGAGACCGGCTTCTGTTGCAGAATGAGAGCTCCCACCAACGGCAACACCTGGAGTCTCAGCTCAACACCCTTCACCACCGCGTCACCGGACTGGAGAAAGGTACCTTTGTTACCTGTCAGCTTTATCTACATAGTAGGTGTGTGGGGAGGAGAGGGGAGAGAAGGGGGAAGGGCGATTTGACTATGGAGGGCATCATAGTACACTTTTCCGGGGATGATAATCTCTTCAAAAGGGGAAAATTCCCTTGGAAATACAAAGGGTTGGGTGACTTCCAATCCGTAGCTCAGTGGTTAGAGCCCTCGCCTCGCAAGCGAGAGGACCTGGGTTTGATTACCAGGCGGGGCAAAACCTTCGGCAAGTTTCCTTACTTCACATACACGCCGCTGTTTACCAGCAGTAAGTAGGAACCCGGTTGTTAGTCGATTGGCGTATCGTTTTCTGGGGGTAAAAAAAATTGGTCGCTCAATTCACGACTGTTTGTGGGACACTGCTGTCTGCAATTGGCTGCTGTGTTTCGCCCACAAAATATACTGTCAATTCACTTTGCTGTATATCCTGTAGGACCTCGGTTTAACCTCTCATCCGAAGGACGGTGTCTCTGACAATGGAACGTTAGGGTAGATCAGGGTATAAAGGGATATGGGGCAAAGGCGGGTAATTGGAGGTGAGGTACAGATCAGCCATGGTCTTACACAGTGGTGGAACAGGCTCGAGGAGCTGAATGGCCTCCTCCTGGTACCTATTATTAATAAAACTGGACTCTCCCATTCTCCCCAACAGATGCTGCGGTGTATAAATTGGCAGAGGGATATAAGATTGTGTTTCCAGTGCGCACTAACTACATGTATGCCCGGCTGACCAGGAGCCTGCCTGAGATGTATTCCTTCACTATCTGCCTGTGGTTGAAGTCCGATGCCTCTATGAGGATTGGGACACCATTTTCTTATGCTGTCCCAGGTCAGACCAACGAGATTGTCCTGCTAGAGTGGGGCAACAACCCCATTGAACTGCTCGTCAACGCCAAAGTAAGTGACTTCGGGAGTCTCTTGTTTTATTTTGTATTTTTTTTGAGTCAGTCCGGTGTCTGACACACGCGGAAACCCATCACCGTGTTTAAGGGTTATGTAAATGGGAAATGGATTCATCAAAATGTCTCTCTATTTAAGAAACGTTAGGCAAGTTTCCTCACTCCACACACACGCCTCTGTTTACGCAGCAGTAAGTAGGAACCCGGTTGTTAGTCAACGGATTAATAATAATTTGGTCAATCAATCCACAACTGTTTGTGGGACGCTGCTATGCGCAATTGGCTACTGTGGTTCGCCCACAAAATATACAGTAAATTCACTTTATAGTACATTCTGTGAAGCGCTTTGAGACGTCTCGAAGACGTGATAAGGCGCTATATCAAATGCAAGAATTTTTATTAATTATTATGTCTCTCTGTAGGTGGCACAGCTACCCTTACGGGTTAAGGATGGACGCTGGCATCACGTGTGTGTGACCTGGACGACTAGAGATGGCACATGGGAAGCATATCAGGATGGTACACGATGGGGTACTGGAGACAACCTGGCGCCTTGGCATGCAATCAAACCAGGGGGCATCTTGATATTTGGGCAGGAACAGGTATGTGTCTGGGGTGCAGGCTAGTGGGGAGGAGAAGAGGGGAAGAAATGGCGTGAGCAATGATTAGACAAGTTAGGGCTCTTCAGCCTTGAAAGGAGACTTCACTCAAGTGGTCCTCTATGTAGATTTTAAATGGGACTGAGAGAGGCAGCTCAGAAATGGATAGACCAAGGCAGAAACCAGGAAGTGTTTCTTTGCACAGAGGGGAGAAATAACGACAGGACATTGTGATCAACTGGGTCCAAGGGTGTTCTTTACTTGGATATCTCTCTCCCTCGTGATCTTTTGAAACCCACAACGTCTTACACAGAGACGAGAATCCTACACGGGTCCCGATGGGAGCTTTGGGTGCAGTCACTGCTGTGTCTGTCCACAAAAATACAAAAATAAAGTCTGTTCGAGGGACAGATAGCGTGGGTGTAAAGCAGGTTAACTTAAGATTGCGATCACAGAATGTGGAGAAGAGATTTCCACTAAAAAGCCGTAACTCTTAATTCTTAATGTACGTGAATGACTAATTGATTGAGAACACGACTGAAAACCATAATGATAGGTATCATCAGAGATAATTAAATCAAGTGCGTTCCTGCCTTTGGGACCCTGTTAAGGTACAGTCAATGAGTTGCCTTTATTTGGAGCTCCAGAGATCTGAAATTCCACCTACTTTTAGCTTGCAAGACCCATTTTGACTCAACGTGTAAGAAATATTTACCTTGGGAATACAAGGGGTGACTTCCAATGTTTTAGTCCTGTAGCGTAGTGGTTAGTGCACTCGCCTCGCAAGCGAGAGGGTTCAATTCCCGGGCAGGGCGGGGTGAAACCTTAGGCAAGTTTCCTTACTCCACATCCCTCTGTTTGCCTGTTTGGTATATAGGAATCCAGGTGTTAAGTCAATTGGCCAATTGCTTTCTCGAGGTAATAATCCCTCAAAAAAATGTTGTGACTCAATCCACGACTGTTTGTGGGACACTGCTGTGCGCAACTGGTTGCCGCCCACAAATACACCGTCAAGTCACTGATTTGTACCTCAACTCCATCGACTGTGTATTTTGTGGGCGAAATGCAGCAAATTATTATTATTTTTAACAATAATGGGTGGCTTTTTCACACCAGAAGCTCGATGGAACCGAGTGGCATCTTTCTTTTGACATAAGCTTCATGTCTTTTTTCCTTCCGATCACGCAGGACACTCTAGGGGGACGTTTTGATGCAACACAGGCCTTCGTTGGTGAGCTGGCACAGTTTAACGTGTGGGACCGTGTCCTCACCTCCGCGGAGATCATCAGCATTGCCAACTGTTCAGCGGGCACAGCGGGCAACGTCCTGCCCTGGGAGGATCAGGGCCTCGAGGTGTTTGGTGGAGTGACCAAATGGCCTTTGGAGAGTTGCGATGAGAGGAGAAGGTTAGGGAGTGACTGACGGGGGGATTGGGGATCAGGGAGGCCGTCTGCACTTTACGTCAACATGCATGGACCAGGCATGAGCAAAAAAAAATCCCTAGCTTTCGCACTGAGATCATCCCGCAGTGTGTGTGTGTGTGTGTGGGGGAGGTGGTGGGGGTAACCCTCAGGCTGCCAGCACAACCCTTGCCGTGTCTCTGATGCTCAATTAATCCTTTTGCCAACCTATTAATATTAATAATCCTTGCCTTATCACGTCATTGAGACATCCCAAAGCCCTTCACAGCATAGGCTGTAAAAACTGTATTCTTTATGGGCGAAACGCGGCAGCCAAATTGCGCACAGCAGCGTCCCACAAACAGTCGTGGATTGATTGACCACATTATCATTATTTATGCCTATTATTATTAATATTTATGACCCAATGCTGGATGGGAGGGGAAATGTCCTTCAGCGCCCAGAAGCATTTGATTCCCAGGGTTATTGAGACACCGATCGCTTGTGCCCCTGTAGACACCAGAAGGTCATTAACAGAACGATTCACCTGGTCACAAAGCACTCACTGTTTGGCCCAATGAACTGTATTTTGCAGAGATCCATCGATCCCTACATCCACACATACCAGTCGACCTCACCTTCCCCCATTGTGTTGTTACCGTCACATTACCTAACTAGATGTTCGGACAAATTCTGTGTATCAGTCTCTAGCTTGTACCACACGTGTTGGTTGTGCCATGTCTTTGAGGGGAGGAAAGGAGGGGGAACTTTTATTTTTAACCTTAGATATAAGTTTGCAAGGAAGTACTCCAGGATCAAATGGCCAACACCAATTTACATGGCGCCCATCACAAGCGATAGCATCTCGGAGTGCTTAGAAGACCTCATTGACTATGGGCCGTGGGAGCAAGGCACCATTGCCCATATCTTTGTTGTCATCTGACGCTATTCTAACCTCCCCTCCTTTGTGGTTAAGATGTTTGAAGACAGGGATCTAGTGTTGCAGACTGCAAAACTGTGAATTGTCTTGTTGGCGGTAGACTTTCTCTCCTGGAGTGAGGTGAGGCTTCAATATCTGTCTTGTTTGCAGCACGTGCTGTGCTGTTCTGTTCTGTTGTGTCCAGTGTTCCTCGTGACAATGATAACATTATTTCGCACCGGACGTAACGTAATGTTCTTCTTGGGCTGTCTGAGCACGTACAGCCAGCGCACAGCATGTCGTCAGTCTTTGTTCATCGCCTCCTTCGAGACCAAGGTGCTCTCTGTCCCCGTGTGTTTCGAGGTAGAGGCACCTGGTCATCATGTGTGGTCTTTTTGATATGGTTCTGGTTACTTGGTGAACGATTAAAACAAGACTGAGGTACAAGTTGGTGGCAATTGTTCAATTTATTTGCTAATTTTTCTGAATACAAACCTCGATTTAACCGTATTTAATCCAAATCCCCGACTGTCCAGCGCCTTGGGACGTTCTCCCGAGGTGAAAGGCGCTGTGTAAATGTCATTTTGAGTTGTATTTGGCTGTTGCGTTTGCCTACAAAACACACACATGATGGTAAAATCCTGTGACATCCTTCTGATGGGAAAGAAGCTGCGTCAGATGCAAGGATTATTATTATTTGTGAGTGTCTGTGATGGCTTTCTTGAACAGTTCTGCATTGAACCCCACTCTCTTCCCCTCCCCTCCTCACACATCCCCCTTTTTATATTTCTGTTTTTGAAATATTTGTCTGAATCCCTCACAAAAGCGATTAAAGCCGTATTTACTCAAATCTAAGGCGCCTCCTGAAGCCGCAGGAACTTTAATCAGACGTCAAAACGTGAGTGAATTTTTATAAGTGAATGTTTAGTTTCCTCTCTCTGGCTCTCACACATACAAGGAGCTCTCTGACTTAGCTTCCGGCCTGTGTTTAAGTGCTATTGAGGTGTTGTTAACTGTCTTGTCACCTACGTGTCATTCATTCTCTGGGCTCGTGGGAGTTAGCAGCTTGCCACAGTGGGAAATCAGGATGCATCTCGGATAACTGAGGAACTGGGTGGTGAACACACTGACAGAGAGAACAGGGCAATTGGGCACAGTGTTATCCAGTGCAGTGTTGGTTTGAAGGATGTAAAGGCAGGTAATTCTTGAACAAAAGGCAAATTACTGCAGACGCTGGAAATCTGAAATAAAAACAGAAGTCGCTGGGAACACGCAGCAGGTCAGGCAGCGTCTCTGGAGAGAGGAAAATAAAAATAATAATCCTTGCATTTGACATCTCAAAGCGCTTCACAAATATACTGTAAAGTGAATTGACTATATGTTGAAAAATGAATCAACGCTTCAGGTCAATAACATTTCATCGACTACAGTGTACTTGAGAGAGACTTTAGTGGGAGCTTCTCTTCCCCCACCCACCCATCCTCCTCTCACCCGTTCCCCCCGCCACCGCCGCTGCCTCTCAGAGGGAGGGGAAGCATAAGAGAAAGTCATTTCTCGTCACCGCTCATGTACAATAACCAGGGGCTGAATGATGGGGGAACAACAGATGCCAGGAACAGATGGCTAGGCTGTGCACTGAGCTGGAAACGGTGCTTTTCTGTAACCAGCCAAGAATAAAAATATCTTGTATAGTGGAGTCCTGTAGCTCAGTGGTTGGAGCGTGGGTTTGATTCCCGGGCAGGGTGAAACGTTGACCAAGTTTCCTTACTCCACGCACCTCTGGTTACCTCGCAGTGAGTAGGAACCTGGGTGTCAGTCGATTGGTAGATCGCTTTCCCAGTGCTAATAAAAAATAATAATAATAATTTGGTCACTCAGTCATACTGTGTCCTGACTGATCACCCCATCCCCACTCTTTGCTCTCTCACACAATATCCCCAACAACCCAGCCCTACACACAGAACACTTCCCACTCGCACATCCTGCGATGCATCCCTAAAGCCTTTCAAACACACGTCAGCCGACTGACGAATCATCTGCATAATATTCCCTTTCATGTCTAACTCAGACCCGTTCACACGCAGCTTCCTTGATGTCTGATGTGCGTCTGTACAACCAACTCATCCACTGCGGACTTGCCAAAATCAATCGTGGCTTGTTGCAGAGAGAGGGAGAGAGAGAGATTAGCCTCTGTATCGTGGTTGAATGAGGTATCTTTTAACTCTGTCCAGGGAGTATAACCTTAGAGTATAGGGGCAGTTTGGGCACAGACACCCAGGCAATAATAATACATAATAACCCTTGCATTTGGTATAGCACCTTATTATGGCTTGGAAACGTCTCAAAGGGCTTCGCAGAATATACTGTGAAGTGTAGTGACTGTGTATTTTGTGGGCGAAACCGGCAACGCGCATGGCTCAAGGGCTGAATGGCTTACTCCTATTCGTACGTTCCTTTACATACAGAATATATATATATATATTACCTTTTAAGAGGTTTTGACATTGAAGGTACTCCCTCAAACACCAAGTATTTCTTACTTTTATGCCGTGTGTACTCTCAGTCTCGCACTCCTGTCCCCTGTGTTAATGCCACAAAGAGAGAAAGCAGGTGAGCGTTGCTGTGTTCAACCTTACAAGGAGATAATGCAGTTCTTTCGATTGTTATTGGAGTCGGTGACAGGCTGGCTCAGTACAGAACCATGCTAAGAGTTTGCAAACGCCATTCAGATTTGCTTGAGGCCCACTTCAAACCCCGCAAATACGACTCGCTGTCAGATTCGATCCAAAAACAAGACAAAAAAAAATCATGCGTTTGATAGCTGGCAATGCAGTGGATCGCGTTGTGAGAGTATTAAAATAAAGGCATCAAAGCAAAACTCCTCAAAAGTTTAAAACGTCCTTCGGGTGAGACGTTAAACCTCACTCAATCCCCATCTGCCTGTTCAGGGACATGTTGAAGACCTCCCACGGTGCTATTCAAAAAGGGAAGGGGGTTTCTCCCCCTCTCTCCCCCGGTGTCCTGGCCAACAATTCCCCCAAAATAAAAGAGCGGTCGCTCACTCTGTCCCTGTTTGTGGGATGTTGCTGTGCTGTGCGCAACTGGCTGCCGCATTTCGCCCCCAATAGTTACAGTCACTCCAATTTGAGACGTCCTAACGACGTGATAAGGCGTTAGATCAAATCCACGGATTATTATTTATTATTATTATTAATCCAGTGTTAATTAACAGTGTCGAAACTGGCTCTTACTTGATGGATCGGCCAATTGTAGGCAAAATGATTGGAATCGGGTGTTGCGGTGCAACAAATTCCTCTCTCACGCACACGCACTCCATCTCCAGCACTGAATTATTCATTCAGCCGCCGATTGAGATTTTCGCACCTCTCACATCACATTAGGCAAGACTGTCGTCATTCACGCACCCTGCTTGTTGTTGTTCATCACAGACTGATTCGTGCGATGCTAGAATTTTACAGCGCATCGGGAGGGCAATAGAACTGTTGTGTTTACGTAGATTCACACAGTCTATATAGCGTGGAAACAGTCCACTCGCCTCCACCAGTACGTGCCGGTGTTTATGCTCAACATAAGTCTCCCTCCCCTCCCACTCCTTACTCCCTCCCTCCCCTTCTCTTCCCGTCTCGCTCTGTCATGTGTGATATATAGCTTCCTCTTAAAAGCATCTACATTATTAATAATAATCATAATAATCTTTGTCTGCTTCAACTACCGCTTCGGGCAGCGAGTTCCCCATTCTCTGCATGAAGTCGTTCTTCCTAAATTCTCATTGAGATCCACTGGTCGCTACCTTATAATAATATAATAATGTGGTCACTCAATCCACGTCTGTTTGTGGGACACATCTGTGTGCAATTGGCTGCTATGTTTCACCCACTGAACATACAGTTAATTCAACCGTACTGTATATTCTGTGAAGCCCTTTGAGACATCAAACCCAAGGATTATTATTAAAGACGTGATAAGGCGCTATATCAAATCCAAGGATTATTATTGTTATACTTGTGCCTTTCGACTGAGCCAAGCTGAAACCTAAGTAGATGAAGAGGAAACAAACATGCAATAGCTGCTTTGAGAACAAATCCGTCAATCTCTGTGGCTTATTTTGCTGCATTCTGCCTGAAATATGCAGAAACCCATCACTGTGCTTAAGGGTATTCAAAGCAAACTGAGAATTCCATTCGTGCATCCTCTCAAAGTACCAAACTGACAACTACAGCATTTCCAAAACCTTACTCAGCTCTTCTCAAGACCGTTAGCAGTCACGGTGAGCTCATAAAAAACGCGATACAGTTTCAAAGAGGCCATTTAATTTTATACTTTTATTTTATTTTATAAGGGTTATTTATAAGGCTGAAATTAATTGCATGTACTAATTAGCCCACAATGAATGATCCAACCCAACACATTAACAATCCGTGTTATATTTTCTACTTGCTGGAGCGCAGGTTATTATTGCTGTCTGGCAGCTGTATATATCTTGTGTAATTGTACATATGCCACATGCATACAATGTGCAAACTAACTACAGTATTCCCTGCCCCACCATCAGCAGTTGGGCCTTCAGCTTCTCTGCCTCCATCCTTTGGAACACCATCCCACAGTCCCTCTGCCTCGCCCCCTCGTTTGCCTCCTTCAAGGCCCGACTTAAGACCCTCCTCTTCGTCCCTGCTTTGGTTGCCCTCCTACCCATAAGCTCCCTGCCCTTCACCCCTCCTGAACCCAACCCCCAGCTCAAGTCCAACTGCCTGGCTGTCCAGCGCCTTGGGACGTCCTCCCAATGTGAAAGGCGCTGCATAAATGTAATTTGTTGTTGTTGTGTTGTAGCTATTATCACAGTTATTCGATGCCATCAAAGCAGTTATAATGCACCAGCTATAATGTGCTATGTGTACTGTCCAGGGCAATGGGGCTCAAGCCCTCCATCCCTGTGGTTAAACCCTCTCCCGACAGCGTGGAGAGAGCAGAAAGCTGTGCTCTCTGCCGTGTGGGCTAACCCGTGTTTATAGGGTTAAACTGCTTTCAGTCAGGCTTCATTTCCAAGCTCAGAACAAATTTTTATATTTTATTCATAAATGACTCCTGGGCGAAGGGAACGGTGGTATAAACAAATGGCAATACAGTCTGCCTACCTTTCTAATCCGCCTGCGCAGATTACATTTAGCTCTACCCCACATTAAACATTTGCAACACGCAGTTAAAACAAACAGGTCTGGAAAGAGGGGAAAACATTTTTTAGGCAATAAAGAATAAAAAATCTCTGACGTTTTTAACCCTCTCCTTGTTCCGCGGAATTTTCATACATTTGAGGTAGGAATTTCCCAGGGGAAGTTTGGAGAGGGCCTTTCATTCTTAACGTGCAATGCACCTGTTCTGCTATCCTGCTATCATATTAAACAGCTGTACGTGTGGGAGTGCTCTCTTAAACCTGTCTCTTAATAATAATAATCCTTGCATTTGATATTGCGCCTTATCATGTCTTCTAGACGCCTCAAAGCGCTTCACAGAATATACTATAAAGTGAATTGTCTGTAACTTTTGTGGTCGAAAGAATATTTTGTGCAGCCAAACGCACACAGCAGCATCCCATGTAATTTAATGGGTCCAGCAAGCCCAGTGTGTGACACTATTTTGCAACTTATGGGGGTGGGTGCGGTGAAAAGGGGGCAGGAGGCTGGGAGGGAAATGAGACGGGGAGGGGCTTTAATTAAATGAAAGCATCAAAATTGATCTTTTTTGTCTCATTTCGGCCGAACAATTTATCCCACCGTCAATCGCTCCCCTTTCTTCCGCCCGGCGTGGAGGGCGCTATATAAATCCAAGTTGTTGTTGTTGTTCTTGCAGTAGCTGAGCGAGATTTTCCCTGGACACCTCGTGAACAGAGTAAGTGGAGAGTGAATTTAATAGAGTAATCCAATCTCGGCTATGTTAGATTACAAACCAAACCGCTTCCTTTTTTTTCTTCTATTTCTCTTGATTGGATTAATTCCTCTACCATCATCTCCAAATCCTCCTTTTTTTTGAAAAAAAAAGGTCAAGTCAAATGAACAACAACAACAAATCACATTTTTCTTGTTGGTCGGCCGGGTGTCCTGACGTACACGGAAACCCATCACCCGTTGCTTAAGAGTCTCCAAACCAAACTGAGAACTTCCATGGGTCCCACCTACACACGGCAATCCCCGAGACTGACTGTCGGAATGGAATGCGCTCTCCCTCCCTCCCTCCCTCCCTCGGTCACCTAATTCCGGAGAGTATTAAGCGCAGGTTGGCGAGCGCCAAGGATTGGGACGGTGGGTGGGTGGGAGGGGGGGGAGACGGTGGTCTGGGGGGTTAGGTGAGGGGAGCCCAGTGGGCGCGTTGGGGCAACTGCTGGAGTCTGACCGCCCAAACCCGCGCGCGGCTCGGCCATCGAGAGCCCCGTCCGGCCAAGCTTTCCCGCTGCCTGTCCAGCTCGGGCCCCCGACAGCGAGGGCTTTGGCTTCTTGAAGGGGGTCGACCGGAGCCGAAGGGGGGAGGACTCCCCGGCCCCGAGAGGGCGCGGAGACGGGGCTCGGCGGAGGGGTGAAGGGTCGCCATCGCCCCCCCCCCCCCCCCCCCATGTCGACGCGGTCGCTCCAACCCCCACGGCTGACGGTGGGGGATGTCATCACGACGACGATGAAGAAGATGATGATGGAGATGACGATGAAGATGATGATCATTTAAGGGGGCGGATGTGGCTCTGAGCACGGCCGTGACGTCACTTCCGTCTGTGCCCCGTTGCTAGGGACAGCTCCTTAGCAACCAGCCGCAAACAAAGACTTCCCCTCCCCTCCTCCTCACCTCAAAACAAGGCCCCTCGAACGCCGCAATTCCCAACCAGGGGAGGCCGTACCCCTCACCCCGCGCCACCGCCCCGCCCCGTCTCTCTCCGGCTAACGTTTTTTTTAAAAGGGGAAGTCCCGCAGGCGCGGGGGCGGGCAGCCCGGCCCGCGGGCCGCAGCGACTGACAGGGCACACGGGCCAATCGGCTGCTGCGATCGGCCCAGCAGGGCGGGGCTGAGGCTGGGGATACGCCTACCTCGTCGATTGACGTAGCGACGGACCAATCCGGGACGGGCAGGGCGGTGGCGATCGACCAATTGGCTGCGCGGGGAGGCGGGAGCTGGTGGCGAGGACCCCCATGGAGACGCTGACAACAAGAGCGGCGGCTTCTCGTCCCGCCTGAATGGCTGACAGACAGACAGAGTGACCGACCGACTCCCCTCCCCTCCCCTCCCCGGCCTGACAGACACTCACACACCCCAGGCCCAGGCCCGGAGCCTCCCCCCTCCCCAACCGGTCACTCTCACAGGGCTGCACTCCCCCCCCACACACACACACACACAGCTCCACCCTCCCGGGGCCCATGTACCGCCTCCGCCCGTCGCGGCCCATCAGAGCAGCAGCTTAAGGTAACAATATACACTCCACAGTCAGTTTATATGCAGATATATATATATATGTGTGTGTTGTGTGTGTGTGTGTGTTGTGTGCACGTGTGTGTGTGTGTTGTGTGTATTGTGTGTGCGTGTGTGTGTGTTGTGTGTGTTGTGTGTGTGCATTGTGTGTGTGTGTTGTGTGTGTGTGTTGTGTGTGTGTGTTGTGTGTGTGTGTGTTGTATGCACGTGTGTGTGTGTTGTGTGTGCATTGTGTGTGTGTGTTGTATGCACGTGTGTGTGTGTATTGTGTGCGTGTGTTGTGTGTATTGTGTACACATGTGTGTGTTGTGTGTATTGTGTGCGCGTGTGTGTGTGGAGTAAGGAAACTCGCGTAAGGTTTCACCTCAACCTGCCCGGGAATTGAACCCCGGATCCTCTTGCTTGCGAGGCGAGTGCGCTCACCACTGTGCCATAGTACTCCACTACATACAGTGTATGTATATATATATATATATTTATATGTTTATATAGTTATATAATAATTCTTGCATTTAACCCGGTGCCTTATCACATCGCCGTGACTCCCTCAGAATGCTTCCCGGGATTTCGCTGCCCAGTGAGGCGACTGTGTGCACGGTGTGTGATCGCGAGTTGCGCATGCATGTGCACAGTCACTACACTTGACTCACGGTCACTTCCGCGTGCAGCGCTTTGAAACTTTTTGACGTTCTACCCGCTGTACCCAATGCAAGGGCTACGTTACTTCTTCAAATGTTTCTGTTTCTCTCTTTCTCTCTGTACCTCCCTCACTCCCTCCCTCCCTCCCAGGGCTAGAGTTCCTGTGTGATGGCCGACCCGAACGAGACAAAGAAGGAGGAGACCGATGCCAGGCGACTACAAACCTTTCCCATCTGCAGGGTGAGTTTCTGAGCCTGTGAACCTTCAACCCCCAGGGGTTACAAAAGGTCGTTGAGTGCGAGGACTGTCTCATATGGTTTAGATGGTTTCCCAAATTGGAGGGGATTGTGGGGTGGCTGTGTTTCACACCTCACTGGCTCCACTATAATAATCCTTGTATTTGATACAGCGCCTTATCACGTCTTCCAGACGTCTCAAAGCGCTTCACAGAATACACTGTAAAGTGAATTGACTGCATATTTTGTGGGCGAAAAGGGTATTAAGCCTTTACAAGACGGAGTTGTCCAGCCTCTGCTTTGTTCATCAGCACTCTGATATGACGGAGGAAATGAAAGTGGAAACGATGGAATTGTGCGTCACCGCTTGTGAGAAATTTTCTACCAACAATGAGGTGAGCCCACGTGCTCTCCGTGTGTGATGAGGTGTGGGTGGGGGGGTGGAGGCGCTACGAGTGAGGTTGTGCTTGTAGCTAGCTCGATGGGGAGGGATTAAGGAGAAGCTTTCTTCCTGTCTGTTAGCAGCCCAGCGCGCCTGAGGATCCAATGGGAGGAAAGATATCATGAGTAGAAACTCTGGTGAAATTCCACTCGGTAACATTAACTCGTGGGCACTAAGACCAGCTGTGTCCCGCACCACCACCATCCCAGCTGAGATCAACAACAACAACTTATAAGCGTCCAGGAGTACTTCCAGACCAGGCTGCAAACCTGTTGCCCTCAGCGTTCAGGTGTCTTTGAAACTCCCATCACACAGTCCCTCCGCCTCGCCCTCCTCCCTCGCCTCCTTCAAGACCCGTCTCAAGACCCTTTTGTTCGGCCGCGCCTTTGGTCACACTCCTACCCTTACCCTCCCTGCCCTCCACCCATGCTGATCGCAACCACCAGCGGATCCCCGACTGTCCAGCGCCTTGGGACGTTCTTCTGAAGTGAAAGGCGCCGTGTAAATGTCAACAGTTGTTGTTGTTGTCTTCTCATTTGATTGCGCCGTTGGCTGACCTATCGCTGGGTTTCCTCTCTCCCCGCAGACAGCAGCCAAAATGATCAAGGAAACGATGGACAAGAAGTTCGGCTCCTCGTGGCACGTGGTGGTGGGCGAGGGCTTCGGGTTCGAGGTGACCCACGAGACCAAAAACATGCTCTACATGTTCTTCGGAGGCAACGTGGCCATTTGCGTCTGGAAGTGCACGTGAAGCCCCATCGCCTGCCCCCCTTTTTGAGACGCTATGAGTTTAAACGTTTTTTTTTACTCCTAATAATTTTGTGTTCGTTTTCAGCGTTGTGAGTTCTTCAATAACAGAGTCTGGTTTAGTTTAACCCGCTCCATGTTTCTGTTGTTTTTAACATAACCCCCTCAACCCCCGCGAAGGTCATTCCACATATAAATCTCTGTCGGGGGTGGGGTGGGGGTTGTGGCTGTGTCGCATGTGTCCGGTGCCTCAAAGCTTCATCTTTGCGGTGGATCAATGACGTTGAACTCGTCGCTTTGGGGTTAAAAGTGGCAGACAGCAGAGGATCCATATTGTGGAGAGGCTGTGTGTGTGTGCACGTATGTGTGTTTTGAGGAATGTGTCGTTAGTGTGTTTGGGGGAGTATGTGGGGGGGGGTGGTGTGGAGGGTGGGTGTATTTGGGTGTGCGTATGGGATATGCATGGTAAAGAGGAGGAAGGACACAATGGGAGGTTTGGAAGTAAATGTGTCACTCGCAACCTCACTGAATACATAGAGGTTCAGCCCTTGGCTATGCAGACCTGAATGGGGCGATGGATTGGCTCATGGTGTGGCACTCATCAGGTTGGCTTTCTAATCCATCTCACTTCAGTTTTCATCTCCCCTGCGGACAGCAGCGGGAGAGGGAAACGGACCATCACGAGCCTTCAACCGTTTACTAATAAACTTTGTATTTTTCATCAGAGAAACTCGCTTCACTTGATCTAAAATGTTGTTTATTATTGTTGTTATGTTCTTAAACGGGCGAGAAGGGAGCTGTTTTCTTTCATGTTTCTCAACACGTTTTATTTCTTTTAAAAACGGAATTTTGTATGATAGAATGTGTGTGTGTAATAATAAACCCCATTCCCTTAGAAATAATAATAATCTTGCATTTGATATAGCGCCTTATCATGTCTTTGAAACTTTTCAGAATGCTTCATAGGATATACTGTAAAGTGTAGTGACTGTGTATTTTGTGGAAGAAATATATTCTGAGATATTATTTCCTATCTCCATTCCTAGGGTAAGGATTGATTCACAGTGCTGACAGATCACTAACCAGCGATCATTCCGCTTCACCCCAACTGCTGGGAGGTGCATGGGTGTGTGTGACTGTTGCATGAGGACAGCATTGCTTATGATACCTCATATCTCCACTCGTTTACTCTCCCTGGGAAGCCACTGACACAGTGCAGGAGGCTGCCAGCTGTCTGGAGCTGTTACCCAGCGAGGAGCCTGTAGCTGCAGGAGAGGAGGGGGAGGTGACAGCAGGAAGCTTTTGGAGGAGAAAACTAATTACAACGAGAAATGCCATCAACAGGCTTCGTAAATTCCTACAGTATAGACTCCTTGAACAGAACAACAGTGGCCCCTCGTGGCGAGGAGGCGGCTATTTCAGACTTGTTAAGAAAAATATCCTGTCCCTGTGCAAGTCCATAGCATCATTCAATTGTGCTTTTCTCCACATCCTTTGATATCATTACGTAACAATTATCTACCTCTCTGTCTGCGATGCTTCAATTGACTTTCTATAACTTTGTATAGCCTTTCCCCTTCCTTTCCCATCTTCAGATCATGCCTGAAGACCTTTCTCTTCGACCGTGCCTCCGGTCACCTCCCCCGGTTCTGCGTTGTGCTCCACCACTGTCAATCGCTCTGGGACCTACCTGTGCGAGGGGGCGCTGTGTAAATGCAAGTGTTGTTGAGACAATTCTATCAGTCATTTATTGGTGGGTTGGTGCAGTAGTAATAATAATAATAATCCTTGCATTTGACCCAGCGTCTTATCGCGTCGTCAAGACGTCTCAGAGCGCTTCATGGGATACGTTGTAAAGTGAATTGACTCTATTTTGTGGGCAAAGAAGGAGTAACGGCAGGCTCGCAGTTCACAAATTGAGATGGCTGGCATTTAGTGCTCAAATATTCAAAGGTTTTCTCTCTGTCAGAACCTGCCTTGGATGCCAAAGGCACCTCGGAGGTTGCTCATGGCAACAGTTGCTTGGATATGCTTGGATGCTGGAGCTGAGAGAGGAAATTAATAACAGCTGTTGCTTTGGGATTTAAAGCATAAATGTGTCGGGGCTTGTAAACAGTATGCCGGGGAGACTGATGTATGATGTTAGCTATTGCAGCTACAAGAGCATTTGCAGAGACGGCCTTTTCCCCCAGAGACTTGAAAAGTCATCAGTTTTTAATCCAATGTTTAATTGCATTCCTTTGTTGCACATCCACCCTGACTTGCTGTGTCCAGCGGTGGCGTCTTTGCTATTCCTGAGCGGTCTCCTCGCTCTTTATGGCTTACTGGGAAACGCAGATTGTTCACATTGCACATTGATTGAAACTCGCATTCGGTGTAATTTACATTTGATAGAGTGTCTACAACATCAAGATGTCTCGAGGTGCTTCAGAAGTGATTAGTGTTAAGATTAGTGGCTTGTTTTTATAAGCAGCTCAGTCAGATCTCACACAGCAACCGTGAAGTGAATGGTCAATTTATCGGTTGGATCATTGAGAGGAACTCTCTTTTCAAACAGGGGATCTTTAATGTCACCTGATTGATTTCTAGTCCACTCTTGGAGGTGGCTTGAAGCTTGAGATCAACCCACCCAGGTTTTATGAATACCTTTCATCAATTTTGCGCAGAGAGAGAGAAAAAACCCTTTTCTTTTCGAATAGTTCCATGGGATCTTTAACATCCGCCTAAACAGGCAGACAGGGAGCTCAGTTTAACGTCTCATTCAAAGGATGGTGCCTCCCAACAACGCAGCACACCCCCAGCACTGCATTGGAGCGTCAGCTTGAGTTCCTAGTTCCTAGTGGGGCTTGAACCCACAACCTCCTGACTCAGAGAGGCGAGAGTGCGGGCCACTGAGCCGGGTTGACACACTCTTAACATAAAAAATATTCTTCTAAATAATTTTCTCTGAATGCAGATCGAGAGTTCCGACTGCGACGATCCACTCTCTCGCTACGCCCTCACGTTGTATGTTTAAAAGGACTGTGCAATGTTGCGATGGGGCTCGACAGACCCTTCGGGTCCAATTCCAAGGTATTAAACCACCGGGAAACGGGCCGAGGCGCTGAGGTACTGATGGAATTGAGTGAAGAAGCCGTCGATGTCTCCAGGATGTGGTGCTCTGATGGCAGAGCTCTGCCGAGAACGTGCGGTGGGTGTCGGAGCTTCTGCTTTGTCTGAAGGACACCCACACACAGAGCCTCTGTCTGTCTGCCCAGCAATGGGGGGTCAGACAACAGGGCCCCATCTCAGCGCCTGGAACCCACACTGTCCCCTACAGTACCCCCTTTGGCCGCACAGTGTCGCTGCAGTATCGAGTGACTGCAGTACCCCTATGGCCGCGCAGTACCGCTGTGGTATCGAGCGGCCGCAGTACCCCCTATGGCCGCAGTGCCGCTGTAGTATCGAGTGACTACAGTACCCCCTATGGCCGCAGTGCCGCTGTAGTATCGAGTGACTGCAGTACCCCCGAGTGGCCGCAGTGTCGCTGTAGTATCGAGCGGCCGCAGTACCCCCTATGGCCGCAGTGCCGCTGTGGTATCGAGCGGCCGCAGTACCGCGTCTGACCGTCGGGCGTCGCTGTCGTCGACTTTCCCCGGGAGTCGCCGCCGCCATTTTGTGAGTGGTCCCCCACTGCCGCGTCCGCTTCTCTCTCTCTCTCTCTCTCTCTGTGTCTGTGTCTCTGTGACTGTGTCCCTCACCAGCGGAGCCGGAGGCCTCTCTGTGTCGGTAAGTGTCCTCCCGCCCCCCCCCCCCCCACTCTCTCTCTCCCGACCCCGCGGCTCCTCGGGGGCTGAGAGGCCGCGGCCTGGGCCTCGGCCTCGGGGGGGAGCGGAACCAGGAAAGGCCGAGGCTTTGCGGCCTAGTCCCCGGGGCCTGGAGGTGGCGGTTGGGGGAAGGGGGGGTTAATGGGGCCCTGAGGGGGAGGGGATGGGGCTGAGGGGGTAAAGGGGGGAGAGAAGTGGTTTTGTTCAGGGGGTTGAGGCTGTGGGGGGGGGTCTTTGTTTACCCCTCTCTCCCCCCTCTCTCCCCCCTCCCCCCCAAGGCAAGGAGACCGCCCGCGCGGTGAGGATCTGTGACTGACCCCCTCAACACCCCCCACCCCAACCCCCCGATCGCCCCGTCCACTCGCCCTGCGATGGGGGGACATAACCGGTCTCCCCCTTCCTCTCCCTTCACCGCGGGGGCGGGTGGGGGAGGAGGGGAGGGGGTTGTGGTGGTGGTGGTGGTGGTGGGGGAACGACAGCCAATCCGCCCCCCACTGCATCGCCGAGCGCTCCGGGGTCAGCCGGTACCCGGCGACTGCTTTAGGGACCTCCCTTTTTCCCCGTGACCCCCCCCCTCAGCTCGGAGCCACAAGGATCGGGGTAACCTCCCCCCACCCCCCCCACCCCCCTCCCATAAACACACACACGCGCTCGCGATGGGCGTTGGAACCCGTTGACAGGAGGAGACGGACCGTCCGGCCCCGCCTGACCCAACGCCGCCGTCCATCCTCCCCGTCGATGGCGGCTTTACACTTTGGCCGCGATCGTTTGATGTTCAGCGTCTGAGTGACCGACCGTGGATAGTCACCCCCCCCTCCCCCCCCCCCCCCCCTCCCTCCCCGCCCCCCCCCTCCCCCTCGTTAATCAGCCTTCACCATCTGCACAGTGGAGTTGTGTTCGCTGGAAGATTGGCGATGTGTTGGGGACTGGTGTCGCGCTGTGGCCATCCTCCCAACTCCCCAGGGATCGGACGCGTCTGACCTGCGGCTCGGTCCCGCTCTCCGCTGACCCTCTGACACTCCGTATCAGCGGCTCGTGCCGGCGCTGGACCTTGGAGAAAGGGCTGGGAGCGCGTCGAGGAGAAGTGAGGAGTCCTGTGATTAGGAGCTTCCCGTCGGCCACTTCACACGTGCAGTGAAAGTCTGAGCACTAATACTCCATTGTTCTCCTGGAGCTCAGCTGAGATGTGGCTCAGATATGAACACACAGTCAGAGGCCGATCGCCGCCTCTGTCATAGGAAACTCGAGAGGTGCCACAGTCTACGAGTTCGCGTCCAGTGCTGAGTGGGATCACTTAAGTGGGGTCTGGTTCACTGGCAGTAATTGACGAGGAGTGTGTTCACCAGTGGTAACTAGTGATGAGCGTGTGTACTCGCACTGACTAGCGCTGAGTGTTTTTACCAGCGGCGATTAGTGATCAACGTGCGCGTACAGACAGTGACTAGCGATGTGTGTGTGTGTTTACAAACAGTGACTTGCGGTGGGTCCGTTTACTAGCGGTGACTAGTGCTGAGTGTATTTACTAGCGGTGATGAGTGTGTTTACTAGTGGTGATTAGTGATGAGAGTGTTTACCAGTTTGTGCTCCTCTGGGTTCTGACCATTTTGGCCTCATTTACACACACATATAGATATACACACAGACAAACACACACACACACACACACACTGTGACCAGCCATTCATACCCACAGCACCTTGCTTGACCAAGTCACCCTCGGTGCAGACAGACGGCTGACCCACCACCGCTGGTCACTGTACGGTAGCCCCCACATGCCTGTGATCGAGTCCCGAGCTGTGCGTGGTTCCAGCCGAGCCGGGGAACGGGCAGCGGGGTCCCACACATTTCCTTCCATTGATGGTGCCGGTGTGGAAAGTTGGCACGTGCATTTCCCCCTGAGCCCCCCCCACCTCATCCCCCCCACCTCACCCCCCTCCCCACCACCCGGCTGTCCAGCTCAGCCTCACTCTCTGTTCTGTAGCAGTTGCTGAAGCTGTAGAATAATAATAATAATAATAATAATAATAATAATAAACCTTGCTATTGATACTTTTGCCTTGAGACGTCTCAAAAGTCCTCCACGGGATACAATGTAAAGTGTAGTGACTGTATATTTTGTGGGCGAAGCTATCCCCTGGGCACTGCGCCAACTCAGCTTGAGGTCAGGTTGGCAGTTAGCAGTGCCAGGCCGGGAGGGGAAGGAAGTGCACGGTTTAATGTTTGATGGGGGGGTGTAGCGCCCCGGGCTCCCCCTGCCTCCCCTGGCTGACCCGTTGCGCTCGGCTGGGTCGAGTTGAGTGCTAAGTCCCAGGCTGGGGGTTTACTGAGGGATCGAGAATCATTGGTTCAGAGACGTCACCCCAGCTCGTGTCTGCCACCCATCGATCTGTGTGCTGCTGCGGGCAGGGTTCGGCTGCCTTTAACTCGGCCACACGTGCGCGGTGTCGGGGCCGCGTCGATGGCCTGTGGTTCCTCCTGTGTCGTTCACATCGGTTGTTTTCCTGACCTGAACTTTTCCTGGGCTGGTGCTGTCCCATGTCACAGCGATCGCTGTTGAGAAGCACTGTGAAATCCGTCGGCTCTCCCGAGATCATTAGATGAACCTCTGCCCCTTCTGATATCATCCACGAGGTTCCATCTCTCTCTTTATCTCTGTCTCTCGTTGGCAGTAATGATTATCCTCAGCACCGTGAGCCTATGTACCAACTAACCTTCCACCTCGCGGCTTGAGCTGCCTGATTTAATTCCCCTTGTACATGAGGGAAGGAACTGTTCAGTATTGGAGCGTGAGCGATGCCACATTCAAATAACAGTCAGCCTTGTGTTAACGTCACTCTTAACGTCAGTCAGACTCAAAGTGCTTCACGGTGTAGTGCCGAGTGTCGTGACTGTAGTTCCAGGCAAGCGTAGCACACACTTTTGAGCTCAGGAGAGCCCTCACGCAGGGCAGTAAAGCGAGCGAGCGACGTGCGGTATGTGGTGGGTTGTTGGCCGGGAAACTGGGAGATGCTCAGGATCGACTTCTTTATGTATAAAGAAGGGTGGACGGGATCAGACGTGCAGCTCAGGATGGTCAGGGAGCTCCGTGGCTGGTTGGAGAGGAGGGAAGCTTGTCAGTGTGGGAGGAAGCAGAGCTGCGCGTGTGTGTGCGCGCGGAGCAGTGTGTGTGTGTGTTTCAGTCCGTGTGTGTTAGTTTGTGTGAGTATATTAGTGTGTGTGAGAACGTTGGGTGTGTGGGGTGTAAGTTTTCGATTGGGAAGGTTTCCTTGAAATACTTCATCTTTTTAATAGCAATTTGGTCACTCAGTCCACGACTGCTTGTGGGACGCTGCTGTGTGCAGTTGGGCCGCCGCTTGTCGCCCACAAAACATACACAGTCGGTTCATTTTACGGTTTATCCTGTGAAGTGCTTTGAGGCGTCTCGAAGACGTGATGAGGCGCTGTGTCAGACGCAAATGTTGTTATCGTTGTGCGCGCGTGTACATCTCCAAACGTGTGGAGGATCGCTCAGCTTGCTTTGGCTGCTCTTGTGGACGGCGGTGGGTTTCCAGGGCGTTGGACACCTGGCCGACCGACGTGAAACAGCGCGTGGGGATCGGGAAGTGACTCCGGTTATCGTGCAGCACTCACAGTGCGTGTTAGTGCTTTGCTTTATGTTTGCGATCGTCATGCTCGGCGTTGCCAGGTGGTGAAAGGTATCTGACTGTATTTCCTCTCTCTCTGTCTGTTTTACAGCGCACTGGAGCATGGTGTTAAGGCACTGACTGTTCGCTCAGTCATGGCTGATAAAAGGAAATTGCAAGGTAGGAGACCCGCAGCGCACTTTGGGTTGTGTGTTTTTTTTAAACTCTGGGAAATGAAATGAATGCTTTCCTCTCCCCCTTTCTGTCACGTTCAATGCGATGCACTTAGCTTGTCTGGTGCTGCACGAGGTAAGGTGACACAGGCTTGAAATTCCACGGAGTCTTTATCTGTCGGCACATTCCGTCTTCCAAATCTTAAGGTTGTGCAGAACTAATCTGAAATTCAGAAAAGACACCGTCTTTCAAATAAAGGCTGCGTTTAGGAAATTTCTACAGGTTGTCCACACAGTCCCATTACCCCCATGTTATTTTCCCCCCACAGCGCACTGACCAACAACTGAAACATGATGTGGAAGAATGATGATAATTGAACTTAGAAGTTACTTTTAATTGTATTCAGTTTAAGTTTTTAACTGTATTTAGACGTCCGGAGGATTGGTGTGTGTGTGCTGTGTGTGTGGTGTGTGAGTGAGTGTTTGAGTGTATGAGTGAGTGTGTGTGTGTCAGTGTATGTGTGAGTGAGTGTGTGTATGAGTGTGTGTGTGAGTGTGTGTATGAGTGAGTGTGTGAGTGTATGTGTGAGTGTGAGTGAGTGTGTGTGTATATGAATGTGTGTGAGTGAGTGTGTGAGTGTGTGTGTGTGTGTGAATGAGTGTATGTGTGTGTGAGTAAATGTGTGTGAGTGTGTGTGTTTACGCCATCATTTTCATGGTAGATAATGATCCTTCGCCATATTCGGTGCCGTAACATGAGTGGAGTGAGGAGGGCCAAATGCGTCTCTGACAACTTGTTGCACCTCCTCCATAGTCTCATGTCGCTGTTTTGTAAGGTGGGCTGAGGTGTAACAGGACTTTGTGGACACCCTGTACTATGGACACCCAAGCAGTCTATAGTGTTGAGGCAAGATGGTCTTATAGGCTGAGACGTGAGAGGTCCGAGGTGGCTGTGAAGCGTGAAGGCTGTGGCTGGGCTGATATCTGGGCAACCAAACTTTCCTCAAACTTGTGTCCCAGTTCGGGCCGGGACTCTCCTGCTTTGATGGGTCTGAAGAGCGAAGCACCTCAACAGCTCGCAAACAGCAGCTAAACTCCAACTCCCTCTCCCATCACTGCCTTTCTCAGCTCTCTCACCACACCATGCCTCGCTCCGCTCCCCAGCGTCTCACACTAGGGGTGGGGGGGAGAACGGGGAGTAGGGAGACAGACAAATTTATACCCTGTGAACTCGCTGTCTGTAAAGCAGGTGCAGTCGGCCCTCGCCTTGTTTATAGTGCGGGGAGGGGAGTTTGTGGACGTCACACTGTAGAATATTCACATCTACGTGTGAGCGCAAAGCGACATCAGAGGGCGGCTTGAGATAGCTGCTGTTTTCAGAGTGAAATTGAAGCCGTGCTTATGTCTGTGCAGCTTCATGACATTCGCCGCAAAACTTTTGAACGCCAGTCGAGGAGACAACAACAACAAATGGACATTTACGCCTTTCACGTCAGGAACATGTCCCAAAGAGCCGGACAGTGGGGGATTTGTACCCAATCTGGGGGTTGTGATCTGGAGGGAGGGTAGGGTAGGAGGGTGACCGAAGACGAGGTCCGTTTCGACCATACGTATTGTTACCTCCCCCGCCCCCCCCCCAGCTCGGAGTCGGGCTCCGCCACTGTTAAGAGCTCTGAGGCACTACCCTGTGTGGAGGGCGCTATATAAGTGCAAGTTGTTGTTGTTAATCGCCGCTTGTATCTGTTGTCCTACAGGAGAGATTGACCGGTGTCTGAAGAAAGTCAGTGAAGGTGTAGAAACCTTTGAAGACATCTGGCAAAAGGTAGAGGTACTCGACATCCACATCTGGCTTCCTAGCGATTTCCTAACCGAATTTTGTAACTTTATATTCTGTAAAGCGCTTTGAGACGTCTCTAAAGACGTGATAAGGCGCTATATTAAATGCACGTTTTATTATTATTGTTATTTATAATGTTTGCATTCGATACGGCACCTTTCACATCAGGAGGATGTGTCAGAGCACTGAGGAATAGGGGGGAGGCCATTCAGCCCCTTGAGCCTGTGTTCTGTCATTCTATTGGATCTGTACCACAACTCCCAATTTCACAGGATTTACAGCAAAGTGCAGTGACTGTGTGTTGTCGGCGTGAGTCGTTCGGGAGAATGAGTGCGGTCGTTCTGTGCTGAGCCAGGCTGAGTTGAGAGGAGGCTGTTGTCGGTGGTTTTGCCTCTGATCCCGGCTGATGCGCGAACGGTTGCGGAGTTGTGAACTGGAGGTTGGACTCCGGCAGTCAGACAGACAGACCGACCGACACTTGCGGCTGCGCTGGCTGTGCGCTTGTCGTTTTGCATCAGAGCAGAGGGTGGTCAACACCTCGCGGCGAGTGAGTGGGACACATTGGTCAGGAGAGGAAACCGAAAACCCTAATCTCAAACTCGAATTGTGCCCGTGTGTATATCCACTTTCTCACTCTGTGGCGATCCAGTGTCACACGAGAGAGAGGAGAGAGAGAGAGAGGGCCACGTTGCCTTTGTTTGGCCTCTCTAAGACTTCTTTTTTCACCCTTTTCTCCTCTCACTCCATCCGATGCCCCCTTAAGTGCTTTTTTTCCCCCCTCTTTCCTCCTCCCCTCCTTCGCTGCGGCCGTTGTGTTGCCAGCGACGGGCGGGCGGGCGGGCGGGGCGGGGGGGGCGGTGCGGGGGGTGGAGGGAGGGAGGGAGGGAGCACTGAGAGCCCGAGAGGAACAAAGAGAGAAAATTGCTTTTGAAGACCAATCCTATTGGTTTGCCTCTTGCGGCTGTGGGACCTTTGAGCCGCCGGGAGTGCCTCCCCCCGGCAGGCGGCGCCGACACACGCCGGGGGATCCTTCCCCCTTCCGCCCGCGGCGGGGATGCATTCACTCCCACTCTCCACCTGGTGGCGGCGCCGCTGCGCCGCTTGAAACGGCCTCGGCTCGCTAGCGCCGCCGGGAGGCGATTGGCGCCGCTGCGACAACACCGGTTAAGGTCCCCCCCCCCTCCCCCTCTCCAAGGAAAATAATAATAATAATAATAATTGTCATTATTATTGTTTTGGTCGCTGGATCCGCGACTGTTTGTGGGGGCGCCGCTGCGCGCATCTGGCTGCTGCGCGTCGCCCGCAAAATACACAGTCACTCCGCTTTACTCTCTTTTAGACGCCTCGGAAGACCTGATAAGGCGCTGCAGCAAATGTGAAAGGTGCCGTTTCAGTGCAAGTTTGTTACTGTAGAGGGGATGGAGGTGTCAACAGTGCCCACGGGCTGCGTAATCGTGGGCTTGGGATAAACGTTCCTTTTCCTCCTCCCTCCCTCCCTCCCTCCCTCCCTCCCTCCTTTCCCCGCTCCCTGAAGAACCCTCTCTAAGGTCTTGCCCACAGCGCTGATGTGAGAGTAGAGTAACGAGAGCGCTAGTTAATCCGTGTCTCTGTGATCAGGTTCACAGCGCAGCGAACGCGAATCAGAAGGAAAAGTATGAAGCTGACCTGAAGAAAGAGATCAAGAAACTACAGGTGAGAGAGAGTGTGAGGACCAGAGCGATGGCGTTTACCTCTCACGCCACGTAGCTGCCTTTTTGTCGCGTCTCGCAGAGTTGCATTGTTTGATTGAAACCTTCAGTGGCCTCACGGCTGGAGCTCGGAATCCCTCGCTCCCATCCCTCCCTGTCCCCATCCCTCTCCCAATCCCTGGCCCAGGCACGTGAGCTTTGGTTTCACTCTTTGGTTGTGTCTGAGGGATTTCACAGCCCAAACCAATTTTCCAATTCGCTTGTGGGGGGTGTGTATGTTTGTGTGTGTGTGTGTGTGTGTGTGTGTGTGAGCTGCCGCTTCGCGATCTGGGGAACAGCACAGGGGATAGACTGTACCCCTCTTGGGGAGAGGGGGAACAGATTGAGCAGGTTGCTTTGTCTGATCAAAGAATCGTAGAAAGTTACAGCGCGGAAGAAGGCATTTGGCTCATTTTCCAGTAAGTCTGTGTTAAGAGTATGGGGTGAACGGCTTCTGTTAAGATGTGCCTTAAAGGCATGTCAGGCGGCAGATTGGGATGGCCAGCGTTGACTGGGGAAGCTTGATGGTGAGCAGGAGCCCTGGTTTGTGCGTTACAGGTGTGTTGGTGGGTCTGGCGGGGGCTCAGGGGCCTGAACTTTGCTCTTATGGCCTGTGATCACATCAGAATGCTTCAATTGTGACAGTGTGCAACACATTCCAGCTGCCCTGGGTTCTCAGGCTCGGGAGTGGGGGCGGGTAGGGGGGGAGGGGGGTGCTGAGCCTGGGGCGAGAGGCGCTGGTTGCTGACTCCAGTGCCATTTCCTGTGTCGTGGGCGGGGTGGGGGGTCGCTCGTCCTGGCCAAGGGCGTGAGCACGAGAAGCCGCTGATTGAGAGACAGACGACAAACGGATCGCTGGGAAGGTTTTGGATAAATGGTTTGTGCCAGCCAAGAGCCAGCTGATACTCTGTGTGGCTTTGTGAGGTTAGCCTGGCTGTTTCGCTTTCACACTGCTTTGTGTGGAGGGGAGTTAACACGTGGAGCAGTTTGTACGGACAGCGTTGGCTGTTTCATAAGCGCGTTGAATGGGATCTTGGCAGAGAGGGGAAGTGTGTGTTTGAGTGAGTGTGTGTAGCTGTGTGAAACTGTCACAGGCCCAAACAGATACACACACACACAAGTGCACACACAGACACTTACACACAGATACACACACACTAACGCACACAGCAAAGCACGATCAGGGAAAGACATAGCCGTTGGGAACCGTCAGAAGCAAAATAACCTCATCGGACTCTCTTGTTAAATGTGAGTCGGAATCTTTGCTGTGTGGAGTCCATGTGGTTTTATGTATGTCTCCCCCCCCACCCCACCCCACCCATATCAAGTCACGGAGTGAGAGGGGAACTGCTCTGAGAAGAGCGAGGTGTCCCATCGACTCGCTGGTCTTAACTCTCTTGCGTTGTGTTTGCAGAGGTTGCGAGACCAAATAAAAACATGGGTGGCCTCCAACGAAATCAAGGACAAGAGGCAACTTCAGGAGAACAGGAAGCTGATTGAGACGGTAATGATCCGCGCTTCATCCCACCTCCCCCTCCCCTCACTTCGTCCCGCCTCCCCTCACTCTGTGCGATCGCTGGCCGCTGCCTGCTGCTCCTTCCGCACACCTACGCAGGGTAGTGTCCCAGAGCGCTTAAATGCGATTGCAAATCGATGGTTGTGGTCATGTAGTTTTAGTTCATTAGAGGTTAACTATTCTGACTTTCCCCCCACCCACGTGAAGCAAATGGAAAGGTTCAAGATCGTGGAAAGAGAAACAAAGACCAAAGCTTACTCTAAAGAAGGATTGGGGTCAGCGACCAAGGTGGACCCCGCACAGAAAGAGAAGGAAGAAATCTGCCAATGGCTGACGGTAGGTGCCCTCTCCAACCTCCTCTGGTACCCTCTATGCGCTCTCTCACCCTCGCACTCCTCCATTGCTTTGATAAAAAGCCCACAAAACACACAGTCAACCCACCTTACAATCTATTTAATATCTGGAAGGCACTGCCTGAAAGGGTGGTGGAAGCAGATTGAATAGTAACTTTCAAGAGGGAATTGGATAGGTACTTGAAAAGAAAAAAAATGTGCGGCGCTACTGGGAAAGAGCGGGGGAGTGGGACTAGTTGGTAGCTCTTTCAAAGAGCTGGCACAGGGCACGATGGGCCGAATGGCCTCCTTCTGTGCTGTAAGATTCTGTGAAGCACTTTGAGACGTCTCAACGAGGTGATAAGACGCGATAGCAAATGCAAGGATTATTATTAATATTATTGAAAACCTCTTGAGGACTGTGAATTGAAAGAATAACAGTAACATCAGCTGATGTTTCCCACAGCCTCTGACCTGTGTGCTTTCCTTTACAGAATACAATAGACACTTTAAACATGCAGGTGAGTGACCACAGAGTGACTTTTCCCCGCGCGCTGACACCCCCACCCGTAAGCGCTCCTGGACGCTACCCCTCGTGAAGGGCGCGAGCTGATAAATACAAGTTGTTGTTGTTGATGGGCAAGGAGAGTAACTCCGTACTGTTCCCCAGGTCGACCTCTTCGAAAGTGAAATGGAAACGTTATCAGCCGTGACGAGGAAAAAAAAGGGGGAAAAGGAGGTACGAGTGCAACTGCCGTGTGTCTTAGTGGAGTCCCCGTAGTGTAGTGGTTAGAGCTCTCGCCTCGCGAGGGGACCTGAGTTCGATTCCCGGGCAGGGCAGGGCGAAACCATAGGAAAAATTTCATTCAGCGGATCGCTTTTCCGGGGGTAATAATTCCCCCACCCCCCAAAAAATATTGGTCACTCAAATCAGCGACTGTAGGTGAGGCGCTGCTGTGCGCAATTGGCTGCCGGGTTTCGCCCACAACATACACAGTTGGTTCCACTTTACGGTATATACAGCATAAGCGCTTTGAGAAGTCTGAACGACATGATAAGTCGCTCTATCAAACGTCAAGATTATTATTGATTATTACCCATTGACCAGACGAGTGCGAATGAGAGATGGTGTGTGTGGAGGGGGGGGGGAAGAGAGGGGGTGTGGGGGGGGAAGGGAAGTGGAAGAACATTCAGTACGATGGAGTTAGTCCTCACTGCCCATTTCCCCTTGTTGCAGAAACAAGACCGCTTGGAGGAACTAAAACAGCACATTGAGAGGCACAGGTACCACGTTAAAATGCTGGAAACGCTGCTCCGCATGTTAGACAACAGTACCATAGAAGTGGACCAGATAAAGAAAATCAAAGACGACGTGGAGTACTATGTTGATTCCTCCCAAGATCCCGACTTTAAAGAGAATGAGTTTTTATACGATGACCTTGATTTGGAGGATATAGGTAAGAGTTGTGTTTTCTCTCTTTTCCTCCTCACATTCCTGAGCATATTTAACCCCACGTTCAACCCTTTTATTTGTTTTGCCTACAAAATGCACAGTCAATTCACTTTACAGTATATTCTGTGAAGTACTTTTGAGACGTCTTGAAGACGTGATAAGGCGCAATATCAAAGGCAGGAATTATTATTATTATTATCTATCTGTGAGCCCCTTCCCTTGCCTCTTTCTGCGCCTTTGGTCATCCTCCTACCCCACCCTCCCTGCCCTGCCCTGCACCCCTTCTGATCCTAACCCCCCGCTCAGGTGCAAACGATTGCCTGTCCAGCGCCTCGGGACGTGTTCTCGATGTAGACGGCGCTGTGTAAATGTAATGTATCGTTTACTCCTCTCCTCCCCCTTCGTTTACCCCACTATTTCTCATCCCCCTTCGCCCCCCAATCTCATTGTTCCCTTTCCCGCCAGTTGATAGAAGCAGACTCTTAATTGCCTCGGCTTACTGAGAGTCAGTCAGTCAGGGGAGCGAGAGCTGAGGTTCAGCTGGTCTGGCAGTGGAGGACAAGTGGCTAATTGACCAAACGAGCCATTGCTGCTGATTTTCCAGCCCCGGCCCTCCTCAGCGTGAAGGCAGCCAATGAGAGCAGCTGCCGTGGCTCCATTGAGGTGCCGTCAGGTGGGGCTGTCTTGTCCCTCCTTCAGCAGTCAGAGCTCAGGGTGTTGGGGGAGGATGGGGAGAGGAAGCCCCTTCTCCTCTAGGATGGGAGCCTTCGCCTGTTGGGTGAGGGAGGTGATGCCGGCCGCTCGCTGCCTCGGGTGTTAATGGGATCCGCTCCGTGTTTGCAGCACAAACGTCGATAATGGCCACCTCGCCGGCCAGCAACAGCAACAGCAATGTGGAGGACGAGCTATTTATCCCGTGTAACAGTACGCCCACCTCCACAACCTCCAGCTCGCCCGTGCCGCTCAGTCCTGCCAACCCGTTAGTGGTGAGTTGGGGTGTACACAGCCTTGGGGTGTCCAGGTGGGGGGAGGGGAGAGTCTGCTTTACATCCATTGCCTGCTCTTTGCGTGTGCGGAGAAGCTGCTGCGTGTTGTACTGTTGAGGCAGAGCCCGTCAGATTGTTTTGAAAGTGGGGGAACGTCCCTCCTTTGAGCTTAAATGCCTCGAGACCTTAACTGGAAGGGTAAGTGTCAGGGTTTGGAACTTGTCTCAACTGCCTGTTGAGGCCGGGGCTATAGGAAGGAGAGCTGGATAAGCACCTGGGAAGCGGAGGTGTTATAGGATGTGGGGGAAGGGGTAATGAAAGGGTAGCACAGACATAATGTACAAAATACCTCCCCCCACCCCCCTGCCACAGTGCAGAAACATCCTCTGTTGCTGATGAGCAGCAGCTCAGCAGAGTCGGGGCTGATTGTACAGAGATGCTGTGAGCTCGGGAGGGGGGGCAAGCTGTTCTGAAGCTGGCTGGGTCCTGTTACAGTGTCATTGTGTTGGCTTTTGGTGTGGGGGGGTGGGTTACAGGTGTGTGGGAGCCATTGACTGCCCTTGGCCTGAGCGCTGGGGGCTGTAGTGAGCCAGTGAGCGAGCGACAGTCAGTGCATTAACACCTGCTGTTTCTCTGCAGGAAAACCACGAGGATGAAAGGAAACGGAGCCGATCGGACAGTGAAATGAGCATGGTCAGTGGGGGGGTGTGGGTGGCCAGTGGGGGGGTGTGGGTGGCCAGTGGGGGGTGTGGGTGGCCAGTGGGGGTGTGGGTGGCCAGTGGGGGGTGTGGGTGGCCAGTGGGGGGTGTGGGTGGCCAGTGGGGGGGTGTGGGTGGCCAGTGGGGGGTGTGGGTGGCCAGTGGGGGGTGTGGGTGGCCAGTGGGGGGTGTGGGTGGCCAGTGGGGGGGTGTGGGTGGCCAGTGGGGGGGTGTGGGTGGCCAGTGGGGGGGTGTGGGTGGCCAGTGGGGGGTGTGGGTGGCCAGTGGGGGTGTGGGTGGCCAGTGGGGGGTTGTGGGTGGCCAGTGGGGGTGTGGGTGGCCAGTGGGGGGTGTTGGCCAGGGTGTGAAGGGTGTGTGTGATGTGATATTTAGTGTAACGTTTTGTTATAAGCAGTTGAACCTTTCTTCCCCCCCACCCCCACCCCCCCCCCCAGTCCCTCTGTGTGCACTCTCTCCTGTTGCTGCTCAGTAACTGGTGGTCGGTCGCTGCTGACCGGTGAAAGGCGCTGTACAAACAAATGCAGTTTGTTGTTGTCTTCCCTCCCTCTAGTTGTATGAGCGAGAGGCTGACTTTGGCCTGGGGCCTTGCTGGTGATCTGGCCGGGCCCCAGAGGATGGTGTGCGTGTTTGTGTGCTGGGGGTGGGGGGTAATCACTGGAATAAGTAACCTGTCCTGATGCCTTCGCATTCTGCGTGAGCTGAACGTTTCCACCTTCACCCATTCCCTGACGTGTGTCGAGTACCGCCTCTCTGCTTCTCTTCCCTCCAGTCTCCAGCGAAGGTGATTGGCAGTAAACCTCACCACAGCAACAACCTTCCGCCATCCATCGCTATCTCACAGAGCTCCCAGGTGCTGAGCAGCACGAGGCCGCCTGCGTTGCCCCCCAACGGCTCCAGCAATGGGGGCAGCAAACTGCTGCAGGCCAGCAAGAGCTACTCGGCGTGAGTATCCCCCCTCCTCCTCCTCCTCGCCCCCTACAATTGGTGGTTGGAGCACTCGCCTCACAGGCGAGAGGACCTGGGTTCGATTCCCGGCCGGTAATCATCCTTTTTCTTAGAAAAAAAAAGTTTTAAAATAATACTTGGGTCACTTCAATCCACGACTGTTTGTGGGACGTCACTGTGCGCAATCGGCTGCCGCGTTTCGCCCACAAAATATACAGTCGCTACACTTCAGTACTCTGGCACTGTCCAGCGCTCTGGGCCTCTCTACTCTGCGTGAGGTGGGCGGGTGGAGCGCTGTGTAAATACAAGTTGTTGTTGTTGCCTGGCTCCGCTCTCCCTGTAACCGAGTCTCCTCTCTTCCTCCTCGTCCAGGACTCAGGCCCCCATCTCTGTGTCAGCCTACGCGGCGGCTGTGGCCACGGGCACCACCACCATCAGCAGCAGCAGCGTGGGCAGCATCAGCAGCAGCTCGTTCCAGGCCAGGCCGGCCAACGCCGTGCCCATCCCTGCCACCAAACAGCAGAACGGCACCGCAAGTACGTGCCCGGCCCTTCTTCCCCCCCACCCCCACCCGGGCTCCGTGTTCTCAACGCGCCCCCACCCCACCGCTCTGCTCCAGTGCCTTGCCTCGCTGCCCCCGGCTGCTAGACCAAGATTTAAAAACAGCCCCTGTTAACTCTGCAAACCAAAGCCCTAACAGGTAGGGTTGTTCCTCACCGGGCAAGCAGCGGGAAAGCTTGCCAGGCAGGGCTCTCGCTATATGGGCAAGCTAGGTAGTTTTAGCTGGTTAGACCCCAGCAGTTGCTCTTGCCAACCTGCGCCTCTCCATATTTAGGGAAGCAGGATCCTCCAGTGAGGGGTCAGTAGACGGCTCGCTTCAGTCTGTGTATGTTGCTCCCCCTGTGTTTGGTGGCTGGCCCCTTCCGAGCGGGTGTGTTCTGCCTCCATGTGACCCCCACCCCTCCCAACCACCTCTCCTCTCCTCCCCAGGTTACAGTGCCGTGGTGGCTGAGAACAGCGTGGAGCAGCCGAACAGCTACAGTCTTCCTTCCAGTACAAACAGCCAGCCGAGCAGCACGACGCCCGTACAGAACAGCGTGTAAGTAGCGCGAGATGCACAGGCGCACTTTCCCTGTGCTCCCGGGTTGCCGAACTCTCAGTCTAACTCGATTGATTCTTCTCCCGTAGGAAAGAGCCCGTCAGCGTGTCTGTAGCCAACACGACGAACATCATCCCCGTGCTCGCCGCCAGCCAGGTCAACACACAAGCCTCCAACTTCACTGATCTGAAGCCCAGCACGGCCATGATGAACGGACCCTTGCCTTTCGTCTCACAGGAACTGAAGGTGAGTGCTAACGTCTCCGTCCAGCTCACTGCCCTCAGAGGCAGTGAGTTTCAGACAGAAACTCCAGTGAGTTTCAGCAGCTCTTGGGGCTGGAGGAAAGAAAGGTCGTGATAGAACGGGCTCGGAGAGGCTATAAAGCTAAATTTGTCTCCTGCAGCCCCTCCGTTTTTCCTCCTTTAAAACCTCCCTTCCCAGAGGCGTGAAGACTTTCTGAGTTCAGCTCCACGGGAGGAGAGTCAGCCTCTGAGTGACCCACGTCCAAGAGCTGTCAGTCTTTGTACGTGAAGTGAGATGGTCGGAGTCGACACTGTGTTTGGGGTGTGGGTGGGTGGGGGAGAGGGACGGGGGACTGAGCAGTGTCTTGACACCTGTGACGGCTCCTGAGTATCATTAGGTCCTGCGCTTGTTATCGAGGCTGCATTTGTTTTCAAAGGCAGGAAAGCCCCCTTTTCCTTTGTAAGTAAATGGGTTTGAGTTTGACAGCTGCTGTCTCTGGGGTGGGGAAGGGAGGCGGGGAGAGGGGTGAACGTGCCTGTCTGTCCCTTGCTGTGGGGGTGGGGGGGGGGTTGTTGTTTGAAAGAATGGGAACTGTTGATTAGAACGTTCGGAGACTTCGCTCACAATCCGTCTTCTGTCTGGAAGTTGGGGTTTGAAGGTAAACTCCAGACTGCAATGAATTCAGAGGCAATTTCGGTGGGGGGGGTGGGGGGATGGTGGGGGAGGCTGAGGGAGGTCGGGGGGGAGGCTGAGGGAGGTCGGGGGGGAGCCTGTGTAGTCTGTTACAGCAATGTCCTCCTCTCCTTTGCTGTATGTCTGACAGCACTCACACAGAGGAACTTCGCCAAAGGTAAATTCGCTGTCCCTCGGGTGTGAACAAACTCTCTGTGGGTGGAGGCCGTTGTGCTTGTGAAGCATCCTCAGGACGTGAACGGGGAGCCTGGCGGAGAGGCTGGGGCTCTTGGCTTCCGTCTCCCGGGCGGGTGGGCATGACTCTGAGGCTAACTCTGCCTTTCACTCTGCCCCCAGCAAGCTCCTGAGACCCTGAGCTCTTTAAAAAGCATGGCGGAGCGGGCGGCTGTCAGTGCCGGGCTGGAGGAACAAATCCAGTCTTTGCACCTGAATGAGAGGGGTGAGTGCCTGCCGGAGATCCCAGCGAGCGCGGTGCTATTCGTCTGTCTTCAGGGTAATGCGCTCTGAGACGTCTCAACAAAGACTTGTGTATAGCGCTGCTCGTGCAGAGTAGCGTCCCAGAGCTTAGCAGCAACGTGATGAGGCGCTAAATCAAACTCAAGGATGATGATTATTCGGGTGATCAGTGCGCTGTGTCCACTCAAGTCTCTGTGAGTTTATTCAGTTTAGTTCTGTTGCAAAGCGCCCCTCAGCCTTTCCCACCTTCAGGGGACAATGTTAAGGGGCTGATATGTCCACACCTCAGTGCACACCTCACACGTGTGTTAATGCTTCACTTCAGCGATTATATTGACAGTATATTCCATGAAGCGCTTTGAGACGTCTCAGGGACATGCCAGAGCAGTGCATCAAATGCAAGTATTATTATTATTATATTGTGTCGTACAATGTACAAGTAACAAGGCAGAAAGCGCAAGTTTTGAAGTCTGGAGCGCTGTAAGGTGACTGTTCTCTCCTTCCCCCCTCCCTCCCGCAGATCTCTTCAGCACACCGCCCACCCAGAACAACTCCATGCCCCCCAGCGTCCCACAGACAACTGAAGTTCACCTGCAGCCAGTGCTCGGCGTGTGCCCGCTCAGCCCAGTGCATCTTTCCAAGGACCAAGAATACCAGCTGCACATGGTGGAATCAGCCTGGCTCCACATGCCTCACCCCTCAGACTCTGAGAGGATACGGTCAGTCTCCACTCACTCACTCACAAACACCGGGGGGGGAGAGGGAGGGAGGGAGCAATAAGACGGGGATTTACATCAGGATAGGTGGCAGGGCGTGTTAGTCAGTCGGGAACTCCCTCAGCTTGGGGTTAGATGTTGTTTGGGAACGCGCTGTATTGTGTGAGGCGATAACCGTCCACAGGAGCTGTTGGGAACATGAGAATTTGCTGGACGAAAGAAGACCAAGGTCCATCCAGTTCGCTTTCCACCCATCCTGGCAATCGCTTGACCTGTCGCGTCCCCAGATAAGATTTCTGTTGAGAAATACTATCTCATTTGTTCTTGAAAGAATCAACACTTTCACTTCCACCGCCTGTCTGTCTCCCTCCCTCCCTCTCTCCCCAGGGAGCCAGTCCTATACGCTTCCTATTCGCTCACTGAAGTGTTTCTGCAAAACCACGTGTGAGAAGGGAGTTTCCCCCAATACATTGCTCGTTCATCTCATGGTTGTTTTGGGGGATTTTGCTGTGAACAAAAAGGCCTCTCACAGACCCAACTCCCAAAGCAATTCTAGGAAAGATAAAACACAGCGCCTTTCAACTTCAACAACAGCAGCAAAATTACATTTGTATAGCGCCTTTCACGTCAGGAGGACTCATAGGATGTCTGCCCCGCTCTCTGCATCTCCGTCCCCAAGGCCCTCCAACTTCTTCCCTCCCTCCCTCGCCTTCTTCAAGGTATATCTCAAGCCCTACCTCTTGACTGTGTTTTCAGTCATCTGTTCTCTTCCTCCTCCTGCTCCCATCGTCGTTAAGCACTTTGGGACATCCCCCTGCCATGAAAGGCGCTCGGTAAATGTCAGTGTGTGTATTGTGTTGTATAACGTCTTGAAGTGCTTCACGGGGACTGAGCAAGGTGGAGAAGGTTGGGGAGTGGGTGAGGGTTTGGGTTGTGGGGGTGGGTGAGTAGTAATTGAAGCTGCCTGTGACTGACAGGAACGGAGTATGGTTTGACCTCTTCTCTGTGTGTTTCAGACACTACCTCCCGCGCAATCCGTGTCCGACACCGCCTTACCATCACCAGATTCCTCCGGTCCACTCTGACACCCTGGAATTCTACCAGCGATTGTCCACAGAAACTCTCTTTTTCATCTTTTATTACCTGGAGGTGGGTGCTGACCGCAGCAGCTTTTACTGACTCGTTGATGTCAGGGTCTGGGGCGGAGGGGAGGGGGTTTTGGGGTGGAGGGAGAGAGATGGGAGGTCAGGCCGAGTGTTCATTGGTGTCTTACAACGAGCCGGAAGTTTGTGACCTGGTCACTTCAACCGTGCCTACAATCACCTCCACCCCCACTCGGTGTCGTGCTCCGTCACTGTCAGACGCTCTAGGGCGCTACCCTGCGTGAGGGGCGCTGTGTAAATACATGTTGTTGCTGTTCATCCCCTGTCCAAATCCATCAGAAAAGAGATTAATAACTTACCTCATCGTGGGGGTGGGCGGATACTTCCAGCAGTCTAGTGGGCACGTTTGTCTTCATAACCACAGTCACTACACTTGGTGTGAAGCCGGTGAGCTGGCTTGTCGTGTTGACGTGCTGTGTTAACCTCCCCATGTTAACGCTGGTTTGCTCTCTGCCCCTTTGTGTAAAACAGGGGACCAAGTCCCAATATTTAGCTGCAAAAGCACTGAAGAAGCAGTCATGGAGATTCCACACCAAGTACATGATGTGGTTCCAGAGGCACGAAGAGCCAAAAACAATCACCGATGAATATGAACAGGTATCCTGCCTCTGTCTCTCTTTCTGTGCCTCCCTCTCTCTGTGGTCTCTCTCCGCGGCCCCCACCCCCTCCCCATTTAGTAAAATGCAGTCTAGACAGTCGCCCTCTAGGACTGCTGCAATGTCCTGCCAATGGGACTCAGTTGCGCTGAGCCAATGCGCTGTTACCTTTGAAAACTTTATGCCGACCCCCATGTGCAATCCGGGCCGGGTGGGGGGTTGGGGGGACACAGGAGGTGGAGAAGAGAGGTCCTCACAGTCTAGACTGCATTTCAGGGCAGTGGGAGGGTGTTTGTGAGGGGTGGAAGAGGAGAGGGAGAGTGTTGCATTTTTCACTCAGCGAGTTGTTGGGATCTGGAATGCATTGCCTGAAAGGGTGGCGGCAGCCGATTCGATAACAACTTTTAAGAGATAATCATTTGGGGGAGGACAGGTTTGCAGGGCTATGAGGAGAACGCGGGGCGTGGGATTGAACTGGGCAACACTTTTCATAGAGCCGGCACAGACAGACACGATGGGCCGAATGGCCTCCTTCTGTGCTGCATAATTCTACGCTTCTATGATTGTCCTTCGCACGAGATGTGTAAAGCTGCCCCTCATCCTGTTTGTAACCCACTGGCTTTGCTCTCTGACCTGCAGGGAACATATATTTACTTTGACTACGAGAAGTGGGGCCAGCGCAAAAAGGAAGGCTTCACATTTGAATACAGGTACTTGGAGGACAGAGATCTGCAGTAACCAGGAGGTGTGCCCTGCTGTGTGTGTGGCTGGGTTCTGCCCCCTCCCTCAAGTGCTGCTCATTGAACCCTTTATACCCGAATTATCAGGCTTACAGTCTGAAAGGGAAGGAGAAAATGTTCTTAGAAGAGAACTCTTTTTTGTTTAAGAGACCTTGTACAATTTGCAACAAGAGAGAGACAAAAAAAAGGCGAGAAAATGTTGTACATCATGTATTTTGTTCTAACCTGTGCATAAGATATTGTATTGGAAAATACTTTGTCAGGGTTCTGTACAGTTCTGCGTTTAAAAGAAAAAAAAATAAGCAGCTAGTGCTTGTATGAAAAAAATAAAACATTTTTCATGTAACGCTGGCCTGCTCATTCAGCCCAGAGAGAGAGCGAGAGGGAGAGAGGCAGGTAAGTCCATGGTCTCACAGACTGGCTCGCCAGACCAGCCACCTCCACAGATATTCACAGACAGAAGGAAGGTGTACAGCCCCATCGTGTCTGTGTTGGGCTCTTTTTCTTACCCTCTCTACCCTTCCATTTGGGAGCTTGCTGTAGCCCAGTGCGCAGCGATGTGACGAGAAGCCAATCCACCGCCAAGTGAGGTCCTGCCGACCATTTTGCCCAGTGTCCTCTCGGTTGCTGGGCCAGTTTGGAGGCACTCGATATCGACCCATCTGTCTTGCAGGTAAGTGTTGTGAAGTCAAGTGACTGTTTGTTGTGTCTGCTTCCAATGACTCCACCACCCGGGATTGTTGGCTTTGGTATCAGGTGATGGGAGAAACAACCTAAGAGAGAAGGCAGAGAAAGGCAGAGTGGCACTCCACACTCTCGTCTGTGAGACCTGCCTCTCTCGGATTGTAAACCCTCCCCAGAGTTGAAAGTTGGATTTGAGAAACCGATACACACAGGAGGGGAAAGGGAATGAAGGGAATAGAGTTGGGGGGGGTGGGAGAGAGAGGAGGGTTGGGGGCCTGTGTGGATTATAAACACGGCCTGTGCAGACCAGTTGTTCCAATGGCCCGTTTCTATGCCCTCTTCTCTACACAACACTCCCAAAACTTGCTTAAGAGTCTGACTTAACAGCAGGAGGTCTGGGCTTTGAGCAGAGAAGACTAAAGGGAGGCCTTTAACAAAGGGATGGACAATAATAATGGGAAGCCATTGAGAGCTGGGGCTGTCGGAAACAGTGCATGGGTTTGAGACGGAAGTTTATACTGTAATAATAAATATTCCTTGCATTTGATAGAGCGCCTTATCACATCGTCCAGTTTGTGCACAGCTCCAGAAACAGTCGTGGAATGAGTTACCAATTTTATGTGGAGGAGAGAAAACTCTCCTTTTAGAATAGTGCCAACAACAGGCAGGCGGGACCTTGGTTTAACGTCTCATCCGAAGGACAGCTCCTCCGATAATGGAGCACATTCCCAGCACTGCATTGGAGCGTCACCTTAGACTGTGCTTCCAAGACCCAACATGGTGGGAGATTGAACCCACAATTTTCTGACTCGGAGGTGAGAAAGCTACCACTGCGCCAGGCTGGAATGAGAGAGAAGGGGGTGTTTGCAACTAAACATGTTTTTACTCTCGTGCCAGTTTTAGTTGAGTAACAATTTCAGTAAAACTTACAGCTTTGTTACTGCTGCCGCGTGTGTATTTTTACTCTGTTCCAACGAATGACGTTTAATGACTGTCTCCGGTGGCTTTGAGAAGCCAAGTACGATGGCTGTTCCTTTTGGTTTTGGTCGGCTGACACGCACGGAAACTCTCCCGTGTGTGTTGCTCACGTGGGCAGTTTCTGTCTTGTATATGGTTGACTATTGAGTTCTGACCTTTCTTTTGATCTGCGATGTGTGATCGCAAGGTGATACTTTCTCTCCTCCTGGGAATGAAAACAACCTGTGGCTTTCAAGTAAGGTTGAAATCACAATAATCCTCACCCTTGATGCAGTCCCCTATCACGTATGAGGCATCTCAAAGCCCTTCAAAGGAATTTCCTGCAAAGTTCAGTGTTTGTAGGTGACCGCAGCAAGCATTTGCATATGACTTCCTCGTATATAGATAGAGAAGCGAAGCGAGACATTGTTGATGATAGTCCTTACATTTGAATAGCGCCTTATCACGGCTTCGAGACGCATCTCAAAGTGCTTCACAGCACACACTGTAAAGCGGATTGACTGTAGAATTTGTGGACCGCAGTGTCCTACAAACTCGTGGATTGAAGTGACCAAGTTATTATTTTTATTTTTTGGAAGGGATTATCACCCCCGGAAAAGCGATCTGCCAGCCGACTAACAACCGGGCTCGGCTCCTACTTACTGTAGATAAGCAGAGAGTGTGTGGAATAAGGAAACTTGCTTAAGGTTTCTCCCCACCCGGGAATCAAACCCGGGATCCTCTTGCTTGCGAGGCGAGCGCACTAACCACTAAGCTACAGGACTCCGGTGGGGGTGGGGGGAGGGCCGTGTGTAATTGTCGGCTTGGGACACTCGGTAACATCTCGGAGCGCTTCGCGGCGATGGAGCGGAACTGGAGGTGGGTGGGGGGAGTGCGGTTGGGAGGGTAGGACAGGTAAGGCTTCTGAAAGCGGAGACAAGTCAGACAGGTGATGGTTTCGGATGTGCTGAGGATTATGAGGTGTTGGTGGAATTCTCCCTGAGCTGAATGTTCCGGGTTGTGACTCAGGATGGTGGAAGGCCACCGAACCAGTTATGGCTTTTGTCCTCCTTGATGTTTACCCACAGGGTTTGGGGCGGACACACTGGCTCCCTCACTCTGATATCAACCCTGTGCATCTCACTGAAAGCAGATCTCTCTGCAGATATGCCAGTCACCATGACGCAAGTGTCAAGACCGATCTCTGACCGCACTTTCGATCATCTTCCAACGCGCACACGCACAGGCTCACATTCCCCCTCCCTGCCTTCCACAGCCCCTTGTCTACCCATTGCCCCGTCCCCACCTCATCCGGAATTTAGTAATTTAGTAATAATAATAATAATACTTGCATTTGCTATTGCAATATCAGGTCGTCGAGATGTCTCAAAGTGCCTCACAGGAGATACTGCAAAGGGATTGACTGTTTTGTGGCCAAAATGCTGCAGCAAATTGTGCACAGCAATGTCCCACAAACTGTCGTGGGTGGAGTGACCATATTATTATTTTTGAGGGATTATTACCCCCAGAAAGCGATCCACCAATCGGCTAACAACCAGGTTCCTACTTACTGCTGGGTAAACGGGCATGTGGGTGAGTAAGGAAACTTGCCTAAGGTTTCACCTTGCCCGGGAATTGAACCCAGTCCTCTCGCTTGTGAGGCGAGTGCTCTAACCACTAAACACTCCCGTTCCCCCTCCCCACCTTCCTCGGCCCCTTTCATACCCTTTGCCCTCTCTTCCCCACCTCAGGAGGAATTTAATCCTAAATGATTACAGCAGATTGGTAGAAAAGTTAAGTGACTTTTGTTGAGATGTGCGTAAAGGCAGATTAAGTCTGACTACACTGCTCTGACCCAATCTGCAGAAACACGGTTGATGAAAGGAGATCAGCCGGGAGTGTATCGCACACCGTGTTATCCTGAAATCGGGAGCAGCTGGAGCTCAGGCGGATCCGACATCTTTCTGGGAATTATTAGAGATGTGCGTGAGGTCTAACAGCCTGAGAGCGTTCGACATTGAGCAACGAGACTGAGACAAGCACAGGGACAGGACCCTGGGAGCTTCACTGATGCAGGTGGGAAGGAGGTTCAGGTTGCACTGTGTGGGGGGGGTACAACAACTTGCATTTACACAGCGTCCCTCGCACAGGGTAGTGTCCCAGAGCGCTTGACAGTGGCCGAGGAGGCTCCCGAGCCGGGTGGAGGTAACCGTAGGCACGGTCGAAGAGGAAGGTCTTCAGGCGCGACTTGACGATGGGGAAGGAAGGGGGCAAGGCAGAGGGATTGAGGGAGGGAGTTTCAGGGCGGAATGGCTGAAAGTGCAGCCACTGATGGTGGAACAGAGGGCATGAGTGCCAAGCAGGAAGCCAGAGCCAGAAGAGCGGAGGCAGCGGGTAGTGGTTTGTGGGGTAAGCAGCTCAGAGAGATGGGCAAGTGCCAGGGAGTGAAGGGATTTGAAGATGAGTGAACAGCTGGCGGGCAGAAAACTGAAGGGGTTTGCGTTGTTCCACCATTACCTATGTATTGGAGCGCAAGATTCAGCAAATTAATTTGGAATGTGGTTGACTTATTATGTAAGAAATCACGGCACGCAATCTGCTAGCAATACACCCCCACCCGCACACCCCCACCCGCACGCACACCCACTCGCACACACCCACACGCACGTACATAGCAACGAGATGAGTTGCTAATTGTTTTTCTTTTAGTGCAGTTTCGGAGTTTCGTCGAGAAAGGAATGTTGGCACGAGCCCAGGAAACAACTCGCTGGCATTCTTCCAGACAGTGTGACTACCACTCGGGTGGGAGAGAAAGGGCGAGAGAGACCCGCTCCAGATTCTTATCTGAAGGGAAAGATGAGGCGTGAAGACCAACCTTCCGAAGGGGTGAGAGTCTGCCCTAAGCCCGCCTCTGATAACACCACGAAAATTGAAGTGCGTCCACAAAATATGCAGTCAATTCACTCTTAGGTTGTATCCTGTGACGACGTTTCTGGGACGCTGCCCTGGGTGAGGGGCGCTATATACATGCAAGTTGTTTCAATGGCGTGCTGAGGCGTTGTATCAAATACGAGGATTATTGTTAATAATCTTCTGAAGGTTTGTTGTGCTCTGTGAATCCTACACATTACGGGACAGGGTGAAACCTTGGAAGGGGCTGGGGATGGCGGGGAGGAGGAATGTGAGCCTGTGTGTGCGCGTGCGTGTGTTGGAAGATGATCGAAAGCACGGTCAGAGATTTATGTCATGGTGACTGGCGCATCCGCAGAGAGATCTTTTGGATTCCTGTAGCTCAGTGGTTAGAGCACTCGCTTTGCAAGCGAGACACCTGGATTCAATTCCAGGCAGAGGGCGAAACCTCGGGCAAGTTTCCTTACTCCACACAGAGCCTAATAATAATCCCTCCAAAACAAAATAATAACAAATTGGTCATTTTCAATCCACGGCTGTTTGTGAGACGCTGCTGTGTGCAATCACCTGTCCTACCCTCCCAACCGCGCAACCCTCACCCACCTCCAGTTCCGCTCCATCCCCGTGAAGCCCTCCGAGATATTACCGAGTGTCCCAAGCCGACAATCCCTCTCTACCCCCCGGGAGTCCTATAGCTCAGTGGTTAGAGCACTCGCGAGAGGACCAGGTTTGATTCCCAGGCAGTTTCCTTGCTCCACACACTACCCACTACCGGGTTTCACCCACAAAATACAGACACTCCACTGGACAGTATACTCTGTGAAGCGCTTTGAGACATCTTGAAGACGCGATAAGGCTCTACATCAAATGCAAGGGTTATTATTATTACAGTGGCTTTTGCATTGACACACAATGCCTTTTACCTTGAGGGGATGTCTTAATGAGCCTGACCTTGAGCTTGAGTGTGTGTGTGCGCACGTCTGTTTTGAGTCACACCTTGAAATGGGAGGCAGGGAGGGAGGGAGACTGCTGTATGGTTGCTTTCAGTTAATTTTGACTGATTTCACCTCCCAAACTGAATTATATGATTGCAGCCCAACCCAGGGAAGGGCGAGCAATAAAAACTCGGTATGGAATGTGCTGTAATAAATGATAGCACCACCTGTGTTTTGGGGTGACAGCAACGTCCAGTTGGGAAGAGTTGGGGCAGGAAAAAAAATGTTTTGACTCGGTCAATCTACGAGTGTTTGTGGGGCACTGCTGTGCGCAATTGGCTACTCGTTTCACCCACAAAACACAGTGACTCCACTTCAGTTTGTTTTGTAAAGCACTTTGAGAAGTCTCAATGATGTGATAAAGCGCTATATCAAATGCAAGGATAATAATAATTATTATTATTTTGCTTTGTTCCATATTCTAAAACAAATTTACTTTTTGCAACAGGAAAGTTGCAACAGAAGTAAGGACAAAAGCATTTGCTCGCTTAAAAACATTTTTAATGTTAAATTTCAGTCTGAATGAATTGTACAAACACTGGTATTAAAACTCTGGTACAGACAGATTATATCAAAAGTCACAGGAATGCACGGCATATACAGTTATACATCAATTACTAACAAGTGCAGTGACAGAAAGAGAGGAAGGAGGTTTCTGAAGGCAATTTATGTCGTTCTTTAGCTCTGAACTCCATCACCTTCAGCGTTTAGATACATTCATTATAGCATGAGTGCTGATATGTACAAGGGGATCTAACTTGCGATCTTTCTTAAATAAGAAATCCATTTCTTAATCAGGACAACTCCCGCACTCAAAGCCAATCTCTTGTCTGGGAATCTAAGGTCCCTCTGTGATGTGCTGATGGCCTTCCAGTGAGCAGAACAAGGACCGTCTTCATTGCTTAAGAACCATCGCAAATTACATCCGCCATAAACCCCATGGGCTGTAAACGGTTTATTTGTGATAATTAAGTCCTTGCATGCAAAAATATAATGTGTGTATGTATATATATATATATGCTCATACTCTCCAGTGCAGCTGAGACTTGGCGGATTTCATGTGGGACACAGGCAGCTCTTGAATGGGTTAATGGCACAAGGTTTGTGTGGGGGTGTACGGGTGATCAGAGAGATGCACATCCCCTGCCAGGCACCGAATCACTGGCTGACCACTCCTTTCAGTCGCTCACTCCCAACGTGGGCAACGTGACAGAGGACATGAGGCCGAGCCAGGCATGTTTCGTGTTGGGGAGGGAGTCCAGCTGTTGATCTCCTCGGGGCTCTGCAGCGTAAGCCTCGTTCCACTCTGCAATCCATCCCGCTCGCTGTCGAGAGGGCTCGTTTAATAGATGGGTCGGGTCTGCGGTCTGGGGATGGTGAAGTCACCCGGGGTACCCTGAAATACACAAGGAAAGGACAAACGGGTTAATACAATACAATTTACCTTCGTACAACACAACAACGAATGACATTTTACACAGCGCCTTTCACCTCGAGAGGACGTCCCAAAGCCCTGGACAGTCAGCGATTTGTACCCGAGCTGGGGGTTGGGATCAGGAGGGGTGCAGGGAGGGTGGGGGTAGGAGGGTGATCAAAGGCACGGTCGAAGAGGAGAGTCTTGAGACGGGCCTTGAAGGAGGCAAAGGGAGAGAGGGAGGGGGTGAGGCGGAGGGACTGAGGGATGGAGTTCCAAAGGGCAAAAATCAAACAAAAATACAGTACGTGGGAAAAAAACCTGTAGTGCCTTTCAAGTCAGGTGGACGTCCCAAAGCATTTAGTGAGAGAGCGAGACTGGCAACAAATCATTGTATTCCCCCATGTGTCCCCCCCACCCCCCAAATCAATTGCTCATTCAACCTTCTTTCATTCAAAGAATTTGCGCTTGATGTCGTGGGCTGTTTTAGGAGAGCCTTTCTGTGTAGTGTACATTGAGAGTCCTTATCGCTCAGTTCTCACTCACCGGGATGGTGTTGCTGTACATTGCGTTTGGAATCTGGAAACTGGGGTTGGTCCCGTTGGCTGCGGGCAATGGGGAGGGAGAGAGAGAAAAAAATACATTAACAAATATACAAATGGAGTCCCGTAGCGTAGTGGTAAGTGCGCTCGCCTCGCAAGCAAGAGGACACGAGTTTGATTCCTGGGCGAGGAGTAAGGGAACCTTAGGCAAGTTTCCTTACTCCTCACACATGTCTCTGTTTACCTAACAGCAAGTAAAGAACCTGGTTGTTAAGTCTGTTGGCGGATCCCTTTCCGGGGGTAATAAAAAAAACAATGAAGTCAAAGACTTTCACAGATGGAAAGGATGAAGGTCAAGGCGAGACACCGCTGTGCGCAATTGTGTTGCTGCATTTCGCCAACAAAAAATACAATGACGTGATAAGGCTCTATATCAAATGCAAGGATTATTATTATTATGAAGGTAACATTAGTGAATGACTGAGTTTACCAGTCTCTGAGGTTTCGAGGAGGGAGGTTTCATTGCAAACCTGGCTCCAGGCAATTTCCCACCCGTCAGGTCCCGTCAGGTGGAGCATTGAAGATCATGAGTCACCACTTTACAGCAAAACCCTGTGAAGTGCTTGAAGGCAATTGCGGTTGTGTTTGGTTCCTTTCGCTGTTTTTTTTGAACATTGCTGTGCGAAATTGGCTGCCGTGTTTCGCCCACAAAGTACACAGTCGCTCCACTTTACAGGGTATCCTGTGAAGCGCTTTGAGACGTCTCGATGTGATAAGGCGTTATATCATACGCAAGGATTATTATTATGAAGGTTTGGAGTCGGGAGGACGTCTCAAAGCGCTTCGCAGCATTTCCCTGTACAGTGTGGTGGCTCATGGTCTTCGGTTGTGATCTAGAAGAGGGGAGGGAGGGCGCGAGGTGGAAGGATTGAGGGAGAGAGTTCCAAAGCGTAGGAGCGTAGTGACTGAAAGCATGGCCGCTGATGGTGGAGTGGCGGGAGGCGACAAGGAACAAGCAGGTGGTCGGAGCCAGTTGAGCAATGGGGAGGGTGAGAGAGGTCAGAAAGGTAGGGGGGTGAGAGGGCGTGAAGGAGATTTGTAGTCGAGTGAGATCTTGAAATGGAAGTGCATTCACCTTGGTTGGATTGCTCCATGATGAACATCTGGTTGTCTACTCCTTTCGGCTGCTTGCCTTTAGGTCCCTGTTCCTCTGGCCCTTCGTCAGGCTTGGCCGGGCAGGTGAGGTGTCGTAGTTCAGGGCAGACGTAGAAGAAGATGAAGACCCAGCCATTGGCGACCAGGGCAATGCTCAAGGTCGGGTCGTCCCATACTGGTCTTTTGTTTAGCAGGTCGATCCCCCGCACGAACATGACAATCCACACCACCCAGATGCAGATGGAGAGGAGCAGGGTGACGAAAATGTATGCCCCGTGCTTCTTCCACTTGCTGTAGCGTCCGCAGAAGCCACAGATGGAAAGGATGAAGGTCAAGGCCATAAGGAACATTACGTAGATCAGCAGCATGACAAAGACGTCGGGGCTGTACTGGCAAGGCTGGCTGTTTCGCTCTATGGTCAAAACCAGCCATATAATCGCAATGATGACTTGAACCAGGGTCAACCCTACCACCAAGCCAAGCAAACACCACACAGAGAGACCCGATTTGCCACGCACCAGCCTCAACACCCTAAAGGCGTGGGCCAGCAGGCAGGAGAAGCACAGGGCGAACAACACCCCCCAGAGGAAGATCCTGGTGGGACACGTCCTGTGGTCCAGCTTGATGATGAAGGCGAAGGTCAAGCTAAAGATTCCCAAGGTGCCGATGAGGAAGATGAACTGGATGGGGAGGGTGGACCTCTTCCTGGGATTGGAGACGTGGGGGATCAGGAACAGGAACAGTACCATCAGGGCGATGGTCACCACAATCCCTGCAGCTGCCACGGCCTCCAACACAATCCCCCACACGGCGTCCAGGTCACACAGGTTGGTGTAAAGTGAGGGCACGTTGGAGCCACAGCCCAGACTCGAGACCAAGTCACACAGAGACAACAGGAGGAGAAAGCCCAGTGATGGGATTACCCTCAGCCTCATCATCCTGCAGGGAGAGAATATTCAGGAGTGTGAAATAGACGCTTTTCAAATGCAATCAACCTTGTAATTCCAGGTCTGTCGATTGTTTGGTCAATCAAAGTTTGTGGGCCGTCGCTGTGGACAATTGGCTCCCGCGTTTCGCCCACAAAATACACAGTCACTGCACTTTACAATATATTCTGCAAAGCGCTTTGAGATGTCTCAACGACGTGAAATGCAAGGATTATTATTATTATTAAAAAAAAATTGCTCAATCCCCACCCAGCCATTTTTGCCAGTCACCCAACAAAAGTCTACAGTCGCTGTGCTCGGAGGGAGGTTTGTTTCCAAATTGCAATCTGTAGCCGTGTTGGGATTTGGTTTGGCATCCACTGGACTGACCGGGGATCAGAGCTCAGGACTTGTGTGTGTGTGTGTGTGTGTGTAGAGGTGGGAGGGAGACAGCAATGTTCTGAGTAAATCACTTTACCATTGCTGGTTAAGGCGCTTTATGCAATAACATGAAATAATTTGTTTTGTTTCCTAAAGGGATTGGGGAGCAACAGAGAGAGAGAGAGAGAGAGAGAGATCAGAGGCGATTTATTCCTGGTCTTAACCTCAGCATCGGAATTTGATCCTTCGCATTTCTCTAATGCCCGGTAATAAACTCTTGATCTCCTTTCCTTTAATCACCGATTATGGGCTTTTTTTTTTGGTGGTGAGGGGAGGGCGGGAGGGAAAAAGTCTCTTTGCAAATACTTAATACCTTACACATTCTGCTATTCTCCAACCCTGAACACTATCAGGTAGGGTTCTCTCTGCTTAACACTAATAATAGTAATTCTTGCATTTAATACAGTGTCTTATCACATCTTCGAGATGTCTCAAAGCCCTTCACGGAATATACGGTAAAGTGAATTGACTGTATTATTTTGTGGATGAAAATGCAGCAGCCAATTGCGCACAGCGGCGTCCCACTAACAGTCCTGGATTGAGTGACCAAATTTTTTATTTTAAAGTGTTTTTTTGTAGGGATTATTACCCCTGAATGCGATCCGCCAATCGACTAACAACCGGGTTCCAACTTACTGCCGGTAAACAGCAGTATGTGTGTGGAGTAAGGAAACTTGCCCAATGTTTCGCCCTGCCCGGGAATCAGACCCAGGTCCTCTCATTTGCGAGACGAGCGCTCCAACTACTCAGCTAAAGGATTTATACAGCGTCTCAGAGTACTTAATCAATTGAGTCCATGCAGTTCTGAAATTATAATAACTAAGAAAAATAATGTTACCGTAAAGTTTGTACACTATATATGAGAGAGAAAGGGTTGTTAGATTGTACCGTACCTGCTTTTTCGGTTAAATATTCCCGGTCAGCAATGCTTTCTTGGACTTTTGTTCGCTGCAAGTTCGAGAGTTGCTAATCTGTGGTGAATTTCAGTTGAGTTTTGTGGCGTTACAGTTATTGACTGGCACTACCTCTCTTTGGGTCTCTCTCAAGCACCTTCTATTGATCCTCCCCATAAACTGGGCTCATTTTATACCAATCTTAAAGGTGTGCCTGCAGCTTGCGTCAGACAGCCTTTGGGTGAAATTCCAAAAGTGATTGACTATGTAAAGATAAACTGATTGTTTCCGCGTCTCTCTCTCTCTCTCTCTCTCTCGGCGGTGAGTGTTTATCACATGTTACTCTTGACACTGTGGGTGTTGCTTTTAAAAGTCACGAATGAGCTCTTAAACGTTTATGACCTTGCATTTCTAGTTCCCAGTAAAGGGGAAGTATTATTGTCGGCATTTTGTTCCCAAGGTGAGAGATTTAATTACACAGGAAGATTATCTGGGGACAAATTGTACAACCTCTTGTGTTTATGCGGCTTTAGGTTAAGGAGATTGACACTCCCTGGGATGCTAACGTGCGCGAAGGCGTTAGATAAATGCAAGTTGTTGATATTTTTCTTGCCCATCCACAGAGGACATCAGTTGCAACGTGTAAAAATAAATGGAAATATAGAGAAGAGATAAATTTAACACAGCGCCTTTCCCGTTGGGAGGACGTCTCAAAGCGCTTTCACTGTTTAGTGTAGTGACTGTGTGTTTTGCAGGCGAAGGGGCCAGCCAATTTGCGCCAGCGAAGTCCCCACAAACAGCCGTGAAGTGAGCGAGCGATTTTATTTGGGGGGAAGTGTGGGGGAGAAGGATCGTCAGCCAGAACGTTGGAAGAGAGAAACTCTCCTTCCTCTTTTTTACAGGGACTTGAGCTCGCAGTTCAGGCTCAAGCTCTTACACTGGGAGAGAGAACTGGTCACGGTATTTTGCAGTGCACATAAAGGCTGTGTCATTTGCCTAAAATACAGTCACTACACGCCCCTCGAGACATTTCGATCTGCAAAGCGCATTGTTAAAATGTTACTGCACTGCCTGGTGTGATATTACTGGGAAATGAGGTCGCGTTTGCGTGCGATTTAAGGGACAGGTTGGTATGAGGAAGAAACAAATACTTAGGAAATAAGACTGAAGCGAGTGGAAACGCCAGTTAAATAATGCCGTGATAATAGTCCTTGCATTTGATACAGCTCCTTACCACGTCGTTGTTACCACTCTCGGCACAGAGTACACTGTAAAGGGGAGTGACTGTGTATTTTTTTGGGCGAAACGCGTAAGCCAATTGCGCACATCAGTGTCGCACAAACAGTCATGGATTGAGTGATCAAACTATTATTTTTTGGAGGGATTATTACCCCCGGGAAAAGTAATCCCACAATCGACTAACAATGGGGTTCCTAGGTAAACAGAGGCGTGCGTGGAGTAAGGAAACTGCCTAAGGTTTCGCCCCGTCTGGGAATCGAACCCGGGATCCTCCTGCTTGTGGGAAGCGAAAGAGACCTGAACGTGTGACACATGAGCACGTGTATCGAGAGGGGAATTATTCACCTCTCGTGTAAAAGTGGGTGTGATGGTAAAGAGAGGCTTTATTTAGATCAGGAACCAAACCCTTTGTCACCTTGTCGCTGTCGCAACAGTCCTGTTGACTCACGTCCCTGTTTGTTGTGACGTTTGTCACTTGGAGATCGGTGGGGGGTGGGGGGGAACACGTGAAACGGTGGGAGACTTTTACCAGACACTTCCCTGTCACCCGAGCCCCAAATAATCGCGTTGGAGTGGGAGAGATTTGCCTGACAGAATTGGGCGAATTGGCTGCCATGTTTGCCTACAATACACACAGTCACTACACTTTATACTGTATCCTGTCGAGGGCTTTGAGACATCCATCCCACAGTGTGATAAGAGGGAGATCAGTATTATTAGTGTTTATTGTAAGGTCACGCTGTGTGATTGAACTTAATCAGATCAGATTGCACTTAAAGGCTTTCCTCTTCAACTGTGCCTATTGTCACCTCCCCCCCTCTCCCCATCCCAGGCTCGGTGTCAGGCTCCAACACTGTCCGAGACACTGCCCTGCGTGCAGGGTGCTGTGTAAACAGTTGTTGTTGTTGAAGTTCATTGACATCCCTGAGTTGTCTTGTCTGGTCAGAGTGCTCGTGACTTGGGGACATTAACGTCCTGATGTGACTGCCCGCTCCATCCACCACCTATCTGTCCAGCCCTCCCTTCCTCACCTCTTTCAAGGTCCATCTCAAGACCTTCCTCTTTGACCGTCTTGGCCATCTTTCCCCACCCCCACTCGGCTCCCACCCACAGCTCGGGTGCCCAGCCTGGACTGTGATACCCTCCTGACATGACAGGCGTTGTGTCAATATGTGTTTATGTGTTTTAAAACATCGTGTGTTTTAGCTCCAGGGTGACAGGATTACATGTGATGACCAACCCTCTTGCACAGAGCTGCACTGATTGTAATGCTCAGTCTGACTCAGAGGGTGGGTTCTCAGGTCCCACAGAGGGTTGGGAAGCACAAACCGGGAAAAATTCCTTCCTCACTTGTTGTGACCACACGTATCCAGGTGACGTAGCTCCAGTGAAGAGGATCGTGGTCAAAGTGCCAACAGAACCAGCTCAGTGTTGCTAAACCAGTAGTACCAGTGAGCCCGCCAGACACACCTCATCTGATCCTTCTTCATTCAGTGGGTGTTATGATCGCCTTTCAGATTTTGGGCTTAAGATCAAGTGTAGCGTCTGTCCTTGTGAAGGAGCCCTGTAGCATGTTGGTTAGAGCCCTCGCCTCGGAGGATCTGGGTTCGATTCCCGGGCAGGACGCAACACTGGGCAAGTTTCCTTACACACACGCCTCTGCTTACCCAGCAGTCAGCAGGGACCCGGTTGTTGGTTGATTGGTGGATTGCTTTCCGGGAATAATAATCTCTTCACGAAAAAAATGTTCTTGTTATTCACTAAATCCATGACTGTTTGTGGGTCTGTGCGAGATCGGCATTCAACTGCAAGAAAGCCGATCAATTGTGGGCAGAGTACATGTACCCACAATTGATGTACTTTCACGCAGTGGAATGCAGACGAGGGTAAAGGTAGGATTTTGAGTAGTGACTGAACAATACACCCTATGCTTGCGTTATCAGAACTGATTATGGAAACATACAGCGCCTTATTTCATCAGAATGTCTCAGGATTTTACTGTAAACTGTTTGCCCTTTGATAGTGGGCGCCTCTATCAGAGGACAATGGGAACAGTGTCGCAATCGAACCCAGGTCCTGTTGCTTGCGAGGCGAGCGGGCGAACCACTACGCCACAGGACTCCACAGAGGTGGAGAGGCGCAGGTCATTATTTACCCCTCCCTCCCAGAAGTGGGGCGGGGGGCGGGGGGGGGGGGTAGAACTCAGGAGAGTGAGTTCAGCTGAAGTCACCTTGCTCCCTCTTCACATAACAGGGTTTCCGACAGGTGTGATGACACAGATTGCACACCTGTGCGGTGAGATAAATGGCTATATTTACCCATGGAAACAGTATAAATAGGATTAATTCATGCAAAACACGGGGGATCTGGCCTGGACAGGCCTGGTAAATGGGTCACACGCGATGTGCAGTTGGTGGATTGGGTAATTATCCAACCGTGTGTGTGACCTTCCAACCAGTGCCTTGACCCGTTGGGTTCCTGAACGGTGACAGCTTGGTGACTGCCGATGAAATCACAATTACCTTTATTATTAAAGGTAATGGCCAACTCTCCCTCCGCTCAGCAAGCTCCGGCCTGATGGGGAACTCTGAGGTGTCTGCTGGGGACTTCCTAGGAGCTGGGGAAAATCGGCTTTCCCCTGACACAAATGGCGCTGCGGCAATGTAAACTGGTTGCTATTGATATATATGGTATAATTATATATTGATATATCAAGACGTGATAAGACGCTATATCAAATGTAAGGATTATTATTATTGTTGTTCATCCTCGCGTTTCATTTATCCCGTTGTCGAGACGCCTCTAAGCGCTTCACAGGAATTTACAATGAAGCATAGTGACTGTTTTTTCTGGGCGAATGTGCTATTCTTTGTGGTGTCCAGGGCACTTTTGCACTAGCCCTAGTGCTAAGCTTTGCAGAGGGGGTTCACATAGCGTGAATGAATGTAGTCTCGTCTAGTCCAGTCCTGCCAGGTACTGGCTGGCTCGTGTGTAGAGGGCACCCTCACACAGCGCTGGGTGGAAGGAGGGAGCTCTCTCTCTCTCTACCTGATGGTCACAGAAGCCACCCTTTGCCGGCTGTGTCTGTAGTGTAAACAGGACAAGCTGTGATCTAAGCCAAACCCATTGCTGCCAGCAAGGGGGTTGGTGTAATTGGGGCCGGTGTGTTGGGTCGCAGTCTCCTCCTTGTGCAGCCCAAAGGGTATATAAAGTGGAAGGAATCACCTCATAGATAACATCGTGTTCCTCTCTGACTTGCTGCTGCTTCAGGCTGCGAAGACCACGAGGGTGAGTTAATCCTCACGTCCGATACAGCGTCTCTCACCTCGAGACAGACGTCCCAATGCTCTTCATGGGGTTTTACTGCTCCTCTGGGACGTTACCTTGCGTGAGGAGCGCTATGTAAATGCAAGTTGTTGTACTGTAAAAGACTGTAGTGACTGTGTATTTTGTAGGCGAACGCAACAATTTGCAATCTGCGCACAGCGACATCCCCACAAACAGTTGTGAAATGAGCGACTGGTTTTATTAGGTGAGGGAGGGGGAGGATTGTCAGCCAGGACACCAGGAGAGAGAAACCTCCTTCTCTTTTTGGGCTGCAAAGAGCAGAGGCTTAGCTGTCGTGTGTGTGTGTATTGTAACCCCATCTTCAGGTGGTACCTGAAGACCTTCCTCTTCGATGGTGCTACGGTCACCTCCCCTCTCCCTCACTCCCGGCTCAGCGTCATGCTCTGCCACTGTCAAGCGCTCTGGGACGCCACCCTGCGTGAGGGGGCGCGGTGTAAGTGTAAAGGTTGTGTGTGTGTGTGTGTGTTGAGGAACATCTGCCCAGTGCAGACTCCAATGACTTGCATCACCTTCATTCTCCCACAGATTTCCAATGGGGATCACAGACTACCTGGATGCTGGCGATGTGGCTGCTGCTTTAGCCCAGTGCAAGGGTAAAGTATTCCATCTCGTCCTGTAAGGCTCCCCCGAGAGCTCCGGGACACTGCAGGGTGCCATGTAAATGCAATTTGTTGTTGTCGTTTATCGTTTCTTGGTCAGCTGGATTTCCGCACGTGTCAGACACTCGGCTGACCACACCCACACGCCCCCCCCCCACCACCCCTTGTAAATGCCTTGTAGATCCATGAAAATGCATTGACCAAATGCCTGGTCAGAAAGAGAGGTGTTCAGGTGTAATTTGAGGGAGGGAGGGATGGACGAAGGGAGGGAGAGAGAGAAGGGGGTACACGGAGGAGGGAGATTCAGGGACATAGTTGCCGAAGGCTGATGGTGGCAGGGAGGAGCCAGACCAGAGTTGAAGTGTAGCGTAGTGACAGTGTATTTTGTGGCGGGCAGTTTGTGCACAGCAACGTGCTCTTGCAATCAATTGTGAAGTGTGCGAGCGAGGGGTTTCATTTGGGCTTATCTCGCGGTAACGTAACATTTGATTTGATTGCAGCCGCAGACTCCTTCAGCTTCAAGCAGTTCTGTGCAACGTCCGGTTTGGCGAAGAAATCTTCCGATACAGTCAACAAAATCTTTAACATCATTGACGAAGATGGCAGTGGTTACATCGAGGCCAAGGAGCTCAAGTAAGAATAATCACCCGGCTCCACTGGCTCCCCTCCCACAGAGGATAGAGTTGAAAATCCTCGTCCTCGCCTTCAAAGCCCTCCATGGCCTTACCCCTCCCTACCTCTGTGACCTGCTAACCTCCATGCAGACCTGTCCGGTCCCTCCACTCAGTGGCTCCGGCCTGCTCCTTGTCCCCCTTCCTGCCCGTCCCACTATCAGTGATCGGGTCTTCAGCCCCCTTTGGAGCTCCATCCTCGAGTGCCTACGCCTCCCCCCCCCCTCCCTTGCCTTCCCCGTGAGTGTCAGCTTAGACTGTATGATTCTGAGTCCCGATTTGGGGGTTTGAACCCATAACCTTTTGACTCAAGAGGCGAGAGCGCCACCACTTGGCCAGGCTGACACACGCACCTGTATATCGCGCTCTTCACACGGGGTGGCATCTCAGAGCGTGTAAGGTGGGTGTTGTGTGGTGCCAGGGGCTAGTGACACGTGGCGCTGAGTTGCCAGAGTTCGGTGATTGACGTGTGCTCTTGGTTTCAGGTTCTTCCTTCAGAATTTCTCCTCCGACGCCAGGGAGCTGGGCGACTCCGAGATCAAGACTGTCCTCTCGGCCATGGGCATGAGCGACGATGGGAAAATGAATGCCACCGGTGGGTGGGCTTAACCGCTTGTACATCTCAGGTCACCTGCTCTCTGCGCTGCCACGATTCGCTTGCCGTAGGCTTAAGGCTAGTTAAGCGCTACCCTACCCGAAGGCCGCTGTGTTGATGGAGGCTGTTGTTGTGGATCCAGGAGCTCAGATAATAATATGTATATAATATTATATATATATAATTATATAATATTGAGAATAATATAATGAGAATAATCCTTGCATTTGATAAGGCACCTTATCATGTTGTCGAGATGGTTAGGGTAAAGCGATGGAACCGTGTGTATTTTGCGCGAGAACGCGGCAGCCAATTTGCACACAGTGCCGTCCCCACAAGTCCCTGACAAGGGGCGGGCAGTGTGGCTCTGACCCACAATCTTTTTTGACTCAGAGGCAAGAGTGTGACTGAATGAGCTATAGGCTGACAGGATACACTGTCAAGTTTTATAACTGTATGCTTTGTTCACCCGCGTATATACAGTACCGCACAGCTCACAAGCTACAGGCTGACAAAACCTCTTCTCAATCCAGTCTTTATAATAATAATAATATTAATAATCTTGCATTTGATACAGTGTTATCATGTCTTTGAGACGTCTCAAAGCGCTTCACAGGATATACTATTAAAGTGAATGGACTGTATATTTTGTGGGCGAAACGCGGCAGTCAATTGGGCAAAGCAGCGCCCCACAAACCGTCGTGGATTGAGTGACCAATTTATTATTATTTTATTACTCTTTGCTTTGTGTTTGCAGAATTCCAGAAACTGGTATCCGCGTAGAGAAAAACGGGAGCCGCGGACACCCACATCGCGTTGGCTCAGAACCTTGCGGAAGAAACAGTTAGTTATTTGCGAACTATCTCACCCACACTGTCCTCGTAACCAATGCAGCAAATCTTCCTCCCCCCTCCCCTCCACTGACATGATCTTTGTCAGAGAGTATCCTGCCGAGGGTACATTGTTTTACTGAGGTATCATGACATCAAGGAACAAGAGGTGTGAGTGTTGTAATACCAATAAAAAAAAATCCGATGAGAAATGAGATTGTTATTGACTGCACATGCGATCCCGATTATTTGCAACAGGAAAGCAATTGAGAAAGAATTATTCTATTATACTGTTAATAATAGTGAGCCTCGCATTTGATAGAGCCCCTCACCACATTGTTGAGACGTGCAAGCGATATCAATGGCAAGCTGTGCGGTTTTAGCTGGTTAGACTCCCGCAGTTACCCCAACGCACCATCTGGGCTCCCACCAAGCCTTGGCTCTGGCCAACCCGCGCCTAAAACTCTCCGGAATTAGGTAAGCAGGGTGCGTCCCTCCGGGGAGCGAGAGAGAGAGAGTGCGCATCCCATCCCAACAATCTATCTCTGGAATTTCCGTGTGTAGGTTGAGCAGGTGGAATTCTCGGCTTGGGTTTGGATACGCCCAAACACGGCGATGGGTTTCCGTGTGTGTCAGACACCCGCCTGACAACAACAAGGTATAATCCCACTTTGCGTCTTTTTTCTTTTGGCTCTCAAAAAATAAACACCCGGCGTACAAAACTTCCATATATAAAAACAATCATCAAGAGTTACCAGACGGGCAGCAGGCAGGGAGCTCCGGCCATATTAATGTCAATAATGATCGTGGTTGCAGTTGGTATAAAGCGCCTTATATGTCGTTGCGCTTCACTGTAAAGTGGGGGGACTGTAAAGCGTCTTGTCAAGCGCTCTGGGACGCTACACTGGTCAAGGGGCGCGATACAAACGCAAGTTGTTGTTTGTTGTTGTTGACTGTATTTGGGGAGTGGGGGGTGGGGGGGGGAGTGGCAAAAAGGCTGTGCGGGTTTAACCCTAACTTGCGTGAAGTGCGCTATATGAATGCGAGTTGTTGTTGAATCGCTCTCCTCGGTGCTGTATATAGCGCTGACGTTCAATGATCTCAGAATCACCGCTATACTTTATTCCAGGAACTATCAGGGTCCTTCGCCTCTTTCTCTATCATCGGTGATTGAATATAGGCCCCAGTCAGAGCGATCTCAAGAACTAGTCACAACACTTTACTTATCGTTTGTAAATTTTTATTCAACAAGTGATATTCTACAAGCGGATCTTTCCCGACACGGCGCATGCGCATGGAGGCAAAACAAAAAGAACTTTTGCCCAACAAGCAATCTTATACTTTTTAAGAACTGCTCAACAAACGGAGAGCACCTGGGAATTACGCCTCTATCAGTTCCCAACACATACCTCAAGTCTCTTTCCCAAATGCCCTGATTCTCTCCTGTTCTCTACCGTTTATCCCTAACTTGTTCCTTATTCTTGAGGCTGCAAATGCATCATTCTTATCATGACTTCTGTCTTTGTTCCATCCGTTTATCTGTTGTTCATCCCTTGTCAACGTATCTTAAACTTGCATGTTAACCACATCCCCTCTTTTATTACTGGAGCTATCTCCCAAACCATTGGTGGATCACTTTTCCGGAGGGAATAATTCCTTCCAAAAAAAATGTGATAAATTGGTCACTCAACCCACGACTGTTTTTGGGACACTGCTGTGCGCAATTGGCTGCCATGTTTCACCCACCAAATATACAGTATATCCTGTGAAGCGTTTTGGGACGTCCTCCTGACGTGAAAGGCGCTTTATAAATGGAATCTTGTTGTTGTTGTTGTTTGAGACGTCTGGAAGACGTGATAAGGTGCTGGTATTAAATGCAAGGATTATTAATACATCACACGGCCAACCAGTCGCCCGCGGGTCAGAAGTGGTCCACAGGTCCATCAAGAGGTGGTCCCCCAAACCTTTGCATAAATGTAGGTAAGTCCGTATTTGATCCATAGTGTATTTTTCTGTTTTTTGTTGAATATTTCCTGATTTATGGCATATTTCAATTGAGAAAATGTCCATAAAGGATGTCGACCACTGGTCTATATTGCTAAAATCATAACAAATTTATATTTCTTTCTGGCAAAGCTCAGCAATAATATATATTTATACATCTATGTGTGTATGTTCCTATGATGCATTATTCTTATGCCAACTCACCCATGATTATTCCGTGGGCAGTGCTGGGGATTGGAAAAGCTGAATGGAACAGGACATGGATGTAGGGTTTAAGGGGCAGTTGGGCGTTGAATAAGATACCGAGTTTCTGCACTGGTTCCAAGAGGTTGAGTGTGCGTCCATGTCGATTGATGCTGTCAGGCCTGAGGTGAGAAGGCTCTGATGGGAGCCTGAACTTCCATATAACATTAGAACATAAGAATTAGGAGCAGGAGTCGGCCATTCAGCCCTTCGTGCCTGCTCCGCCATTCAATAAGATCATGGCTGATCTTCTCACCTAACTCTGATCATCTGCCCTATCCCCATATCCCCTAATCCCTCTATTTTTAAAAAATCTATCAGTCTCAGCCTTGAAGATGTTGAAGGACTGACATCTACAGCCCTTCTGGGGGAGTGGATTCCATAAATTCACTGCCCTCTGAGTGAAGAAATGTTTCCTCAACTCTGTTCTAAAAGGCTGACCCTTAATTTTCAGACTGTGACCCCCGGTTATAGATTCTCCTACTGGGGAAACAGACCCTCAGTGTCTACTTTATCAGCCCTTTAAGAATCTTATATGTTTCAATAAGATCCCCCCTAATTCATCTGTACTCTGGAGAATACAGCCCCAGTTTATTCAGACTATCCTCATAGGTCAGTCCCCTCATCCCAGGAACTAACCGAGTGAATTACAGCACAGAAACAGGCCATTTGCCCCAATCAATCTATGCCAGTGTTCGTAGCCTACACCCGCCCCCATCCCAACCTGAATCTTACTTTAATATTATTGGATTATTTCTTGTAGCTAAAATATTGCGCAAATATGCTTAGAAGAATGGAATGATTTATTAATATTATGATGATGATTTCTGTCCTGTAAATGATGCTCATTTCTATTAGGTCCCTTCTTATAACCATTTCTGCTCTTGGCAACAAATTATCATTCCCTCCTTCACTCCGTCCCTTCTCTTAATCGAGGAATAATTCATAGACATAAACCTCCCCGTCGGTCTGGGTCACTATCAGGTTGTCGTCTTCATCGACTGTTATGGCGCGAGGCTTTTTTATCCCATCCTTAGCAGCCAGCATTTCCCGTTTGAATATCCCCGTGGGAGAGAATGAGATGATGCAGCCTGGCTCGCTTACGTAGATATTGTCGTATTTGTCAACGCAAACGCCAAAAGGATTCAGGCATCGAGGCACCCCTTGCATCAAGATCTCGTCACAAACCCTTAAGACATCCCCACTCCTCGTAAAGATAACCAGGCATTTCTTGCCGACGTCAGACACGATGAAATTCTCTTGGCTGCTCACCGCGACGAAGAGAAAGCGGTTACCTTGATACCCTCGTGGCTTCACTCGGTCAATGGCTTGACCATCGAGGTTGTAGAGAGACAGCGAACACAACGTCCCCTCGCTGACCACCAAATACTCGTCTTTGTAAGCGGTGATGGGGTAACTGGGTTCCGAACCTTTGAGCAAAAGCTGTTTCACGAGATCACCGTTGAGTTCTACGATATAAAGCTGGCCATCCGCAGAGTAAGCGATCTGGTCACCGCACACCGTGACGCTGCACGGATCCTTGTCTGTGTCGGCCACTGAGAACCACATCCGGAAAGACCCATCAATCGAGTAACTCTTCAGAGTGCCGTTGGCTTCATCCACCAAAATGATGTCTCCCTTCCTCAGCATGCTGACGCCGGTCAGCTTAGGAGTATAGGAGTCTCGATGGAGCTCAGTGTTGAAACTGCAGCGAAGAGTTGGTCGTTGCCAAACCTTTGTCACAAGCTTGAGAGCATCACAGCTGGTGGCAGAGAGCATCAGCACCCTGTGGTGGTGCTGTGAGAGAGTTGAGAGGTGCTTATTTGTGCAGAGCTGACACATGAAACTGGGGCAGTCAAGGCACTCGGTGACCGCGGGTCTATCGTGCCGCCATTTTGGTGGGCAAACGTTACACATCTTGTCAATCTTCTCATTGAGTTGCAAAGCGTTGAGAAGGTCGTTGATGTAGAAGTTTGTCCTCAGGTTGCTGATGCCTCCTTTACTCAGGATGACTTCCTCTCTGCATTCCGGGCACTGAAAGACTTTGGTTTTGTGTGGCACCAGCTTCCTCAGACACTCCTCACAGTAAGTGTGGAGGCACGGCAGGGCCTTGGGGTTATAGTATTTCTCAAAGCAGAGTTTGCAATTGAGAAAATCTTTCTTAATGATCTCTGCAAAGGAGGAGGATGTTGCCATGGCAATGGGATGCTGAGACAATCTGCAATGACACACAGCATCGGGTTAATGCATTACTTTGCTTGCTCACTCTCTTGCTCAGTCACTGCCGTCCAGAGCAAAGGAAGATGGCCTAAAATAAGTACCCACACATAGATTCACAATTTTTCCAGGTTAATAATGTGATTTAAATGAAATATAGTGACAATTTGAATTAACGGGAGTAAAGACAGCCTATGGCTCAGTGGGAAGCACTCGCGAGTCAGAAGGTTGGAGGTTCCAGCCCCTAAGTTGGGGACTCTGGCGCTATTCGAAAAGAGAAGGTAGTTTCTCAACCCAGGTATCCTGGCCAACATTCCCCCCCCCCCCCCCCCGCACCCGATAAAATCACTCATTTACCCCAGCCCTGTTTGTGGGAATGTCGCTGCTCAAATTTGGCTGTTGCATTCGCCTACAAAATACACAGTCACTGCAATTCACAACAGAATCCCTGTGAATAGCTTTGACAGTGTGTAAAGGCACTGTTTCAAATGAAAGGGTTATTGATTGTCAAGAAGTAAAAAGTGGCATTAACAAACAACAGTGATTTGTTGGCACTGATGTCATATGTGGACGTGTCTGTTATTTGGAAAAGAAACCTAATTTGCAGAATAGAAAGTGAAACTTAAAACGTCTCGAGTGTCCTTCTGTACACTTACGTCAGGATGCGCTTATGGGCTACCCACGGTTGTGCCGGAACGGCTTCTGCTGGGGTCGGGCGCTACCCGGCCTTTGAGCCGCAATTCAGCTTGTCCCTCAGTATATATCGGGAGGAATCCTGAGGTGACAGCCAGCGACATCTGGCAAAATGCCTTGTCGTTGGCTCTGACTAAACATGGCTGGCGATTAAAAAGGCTCTGGACCTCCCGGCTTTCGTGTACGGTCGCGGTCTGGGCCAGTCAGCCCGTTGCCCTCGGGCCGCTGCAGGGGCCAGGAGACCGTGGACAACCTCTTCTGGGAGTTAACCTTTGTGTACCTGAAAGGTACAAGGTGCAGACTGAAATAGCAGTGGGAATTTGATCCTTGCCTGGATAAGTAAGCTGACTCCCCAATTTATCATACATGCAACAAACAGTCTTAGCTTCGTTGTGGATCAGGGGCAAATAGGTAAAGCAGTAATTCCCCCTCCCCGCCCCACCCACCCACCTCAACACTGAAGCTGGAGAGGCGATCTGGAGTTATCAAAATCATACTCACTTTTACAGCAGGAGCTGATGTTGATCTTCAGACTGCAGGGCGTGAACTGTCAAAACTCCTCTGTTCACAGCGTCTAAGCTCACAAACTGTGCTGCGATTGGGCAGCTCCAGGCTCCACCTCACTGCCTGTTCGGTTGTCTTGGTTCCGGGAAAACTGACATTCAATTATCTCTGAATCACTAATGTTTGACCAATCAATAAAAATCGTTGGCTTTGACACAACAACAACAAGATCTCATTTATAGAGCGCCTTTCACGTCGGGAGGACGTCCCAAGGCGCTGGACAGTTGGGTTGGCACTCGAGCATTGGGGGGGAAATGGTCAGGGTGAGGGGAGGGAGCGAGGAGGGGGTAGAGAGTCGAGAGTGCTTTTCATTGCTGGGAGGACATCTCAAAGCGCTTCACAGGATTTTACTGTCAAGTGTAGCGACTGTATTTTGTAGGCGAACACTATAAGCTCTGAATGCAAAAGATTACTATTATTAAACATTGATATTCTCATGTTTGACTATTATTAAACAATCCGATTACTTAATTCTCCGCAGATCTACAATTCCACTTTCTGTGTTGGTCTATTTTTAAAAAAAGACACCTTTTTATAAAACCTTTCGTGCGAAAAAAATTTATAAAATAAAAGTTATTGGAAGTTACTTTTCTCTACGAAAAAGATCAGACGGGGACAGAGGCTAATGCAGAGCCTCTGCAGTGAGGATGGGTTCAATCTACGGGACATTGTGCTCAATTGGCCGCCGCGTTCGCCCACAAATGTACAGTCAATTCAGTTTACAGTATATTCTGCGAAGCGCTTTGGGACGTCTGGAAGACGTGAAAAGCGCTACATCAAATGCGAGGATTATTAAGCGAAGGGCGGGGTCGGAGGAAAGACTACAACTCCCAGGATGCCACGCGGGGGCCGCGCAAGCGCACTCAACTGGTACCGGTGAGGGGGACGGAGGTCACGTGAGGGGGAGGGAGGTCACGTGGGGCGGAGGGTGGTCAGCGCGGGCAATATGGCGGCGTGTGAGAAGGCGGTTGCAGAAGCTGAAGAGAAACCGGAGCCGGCGACTTTCCGAGAGCTGGTAATAGCCCGGGGTGGGGTGGGGGGGGGTGACTGGAGGCGGCGGCGGGGAGGGAAGAGAAGAGAAGAGCCAGGCCCGGGGTGGGGGGGGGGCGCCGTAACCGTTGTCGTCCGCGGTCTGTTCCAGAAGCTTCTGTGCTGCACGTGCGCCCCCTCCCCCTCGGCTCCCCTCACACTGAGATGGCGGTCAGTCGGGGAGGAGGGCGTCTCCGGCATTATTAGCGTCAGCACCAATAATAATAACCGCAACGATCATCATCGTTGCCGTTGGGATAGAGCGCCTCATCGCGACGTTGCGCTTCGCTGTGAAGTGTGTGGGAGGGGGGGGCGGGGGTGGGGCTGTAAAGCGTCTCGTCAGGCGCTCTGGGACGCTACCCTGCTCAAGGGGGCGCCATGTAAACGCAAGTTGTTGTTTGTTGTTGACAGTTTGGGGGGTGGCAGGAAGGCTGTGCTGGTTTGGCCGGTCAACCTCCCCACCGTAAAGCGCTCCGGGACGCGACCTTGCGTGAAGGGCGCTGTATAAATGCAAGTTGTTGTTCTCTTCCCCCCTTCCTCCCCACCCCCCAACATACACACACACACACACATACACACACCCACCCACTGGGGTCTTTTCTTCCACCCACGTATTCCCCAACCGGCGGAGTTTGGTTTCGTCTGCGAGCAAAGCAGAGGATGCAGTTTGCATCAGCGCTTTGGGACGTCCTCCTGATGTGAAGTGCAGTTTGTTGTTGTTTCGCTCTCCTCGGTGCTGCATTTAGCGCTGATGTTCATTGATCTCAGAATCACCGCTGTACTTTATTCTAGGAACTGTCAGGGTCCTTCACTTCTTTTCCTATCATCGGTGAACATAGGCCCAGTCAGAGCAATCTCAAGAACTAGTCGCAACACTTTATTTATTATCACATATAAACCATTCTATTTTATTCAACAAGTAATATTCTACAAACAGAACTTTCCGGATAGGGCGCATTGAGAGAAAAACAAAAGAACTGTTGCTCAACAAATAATCTTACACTTTTAAGAACTGCTGTTAGGTCCCCTCTTAACCATCTCTTCTCTTTAAAGCAAATTGTTACGTAGAATATACCTCACCACTCCCAATCATCCTCGCTTGTTCCCTCGTTCGTTTCTGTTGATAATTCAAAGACATAAACCTCCCCGTCGGTCTGGGTCACTATCAGGTTGTCGTCTTCATCCACTGTTAGAGCGCGTGGCATGTTTATCCCATCAAGCGAAGCCAGCACTTCTTGCTTGAATATCCCTTCAGGGGAGAATGAGATAATGCAGCCTGGCTCGCCTACGTAGATATCATCATAACTATCAACACACACGCCGAAAGGATTCAGGGATCGAGGCACCCCTTGCATCCAGATCTCATCGCAAATATTTATGACGTCCTCATTCCTCCTGAAGATAACCAGGCATTTCTTGCCGATGTCAGACACGATGAAATTCTCTTGACTGCTCACCGCAACGAAGAGAAAGCGGATACCTTGGTACCCTTGTGGCTTCACGCGGTCAACGACTTGACCATCGAGGCCGTAGAGAGACAGTGAACACATCGATCCCTCACTAACCACTACGTACTGGTCTTCGTAAGCGGTGATGGGGTAACTGGATTCTGAGCCTCTGAGCAAAAGCTGTCTCACGCGATCACCGTCGTAATCTAGGAAATAAAGCTTGCTCTCTGCAGTGCAAGCGATCAAGTCACCGCACACTGCAACGCTGCATGGATCTTTGCCTGTATCTCCAATAGCGATCTGCCTCCTGAAATCCCCATCGATTGAATAACACTTCAGAATACCGTTGGCTTCGTCTGCCACAATGATGTCCCCATTGTTCAACATGCTGACGCCGGTCAGCTTCGAATTGCACTCTGCATAGCACTCAGTCGTGAAGTTGCAGCGACGGGCTGGTCTTAGCCAATTGCCTGCCACGTTTTCATAAGGGGACTGCACTGGAGGCAGCTCCGGACTGGAAAAGCGAGCAAATTCTTGCCAATGCTCCGGAGCTTGATCAGGAACTGGAGGGATTTTCTGCATTGCTGCTTCTTGACCAAGTTCAATCCTGAACAGATCCATTTGAGACATGTAATCCTTGGTCACCACCAGCTTGGGGATGTCCTCCTTCATACTGGGTGGCTGGTACGCCAGCAGTGTCCTCACTTGCTCTCCGAGAATCTTCTCCAAACAGACTATGCTGCCGTTCTGGCCAGCCCTCAAGACTCTCTCTGAGTAATCTCTGGTGCTCTCTGCACTCTTCGTCTGTCTCTGCAGGTCTGCCTTGGCCGTCTCATACAGTGCTTCCTGTTGCTTGACAAAATCGGACATTTTCTTCCTGATGTCGTCCCTCTGCTTAAAAAGGGCACTCTGCACCTGTGCCACTGCGTCCACCATTTTGGACTCTATGGACCTTTCTGCAGCCTTCAGCTTTTCCAGCGCCGCATTCAGGTCGTCTTGGCTTCTGGTCAAAGACTGGACCTTGGTGCTGAGTTTCCCGACGAGCTCCCTCACAGCTGGTGTGCTGGACTCTGCGGCTTTGGACATCGACAGCGCTTCGTGGCGGGAATGAGAATTGACGAGGCAAGTGTCACATATCGAGGCATTGCACGGTCTGCAGAAATAGCCGCCTTCCTTCTTCGGGTGGGCAGCGCAGTAAATCTTCTTCCTCACGTGGATCTCAGCGTCACAGCTGGTGTCAGAGAGCCTCAACACCTTGTGTTGGTGTTGTGAGGGAATCGAGAGGTGATCGTCTGTGCAGAGCTGACACATGAAACTGGGGCAGTCAAAGCACTGGGTGACCGCGGGTCTATCGTGCTGCCCTTTTGATGGGCAAACGCTACACATCTTGCCAATAGTCTCATTGAGTGGCAAAATATTGAGAAGGCTGTTGATGAAGAAGTTTGTCTTCAGGTTGCTGATGCCTCCTTCATTCAGGGTGACTTCCTGTCTGCATTCTGGGCACTGAAAGACTTTGGTTTTGTGTGGCACCAGCTTCCTCAGACACTCCTCACAGTAAGTGTGGTGACACGGCAGGTACTTGGGGTTACGGTATTTCTCTAAGCAGATATTGCAATTGAGAAAATCATTCTCGATGATCTCTGCAAAGGAGGAGCATGTCGCCATGGCAATGGGACGCTGAGACAATCTGCAATGACACACAGCATCATGTTAATGCATTACTTTGCTCACTCACTGTCCAGAGCAAAGGAATATGGCCTAAAATAGGTATATTGATAGCATCATTAACAGTACTTCTGGCAAGCCTTTATGCTGCTTATCCAGCTTGGACCAGTTAGGTCTTTGGCTTGTGGGGTTAACAGGAGTGAGTGGGAGAATTCCCTCCCTGCCCCCAGTGACCTGGGAAGAAAGACGATACCCCTTAAAGGCAAAGGCTCCAACAAAAGTATGCTCTGTTCTCCAGAGCAGTAATTCTACCTTTCAATGCAATTCCTGCTATATCAAAGTTATACAAAGTAAATTTTTCCTGTATATGCGAGCTTGATTTTCTTAGGGTCACGAACCACACATAGACTCACAATTTTTCCAGGTTAACAATTTGATTTAAATGAAATATAATGACAATTTGAATCAACGGGTGTAAAAACAGCCTAGGGCTCAGTGATGTTGGAAAAAATGATCGAAGACTCGACAAATACCAAACATGGCGCGACACACCTTTGAATGCTTTATTTCGATACCCAACAGGTAATATCAATCATACAATACAAAGAAAAGTAAATGATCCAATATGCAGTACTGGAATACAATGATTATGTCAAAGTATAATGATTATACTTGACTATTTATATTAAAAACGCATTGGTTACATGCAGTTAAGAAATACTCATACTACCAGTTTAAAGGAGTCAGTAGCTTCAGGTCTTCGTCTTCCCTCTCTTGAGCCCGAGCAGCTTAGTGATTATACTCACAAACTAACGGTGTCCCTTTGATCTCTGCTCCCGGACTGACTATCTCCCTCTTGAGTCATCTTGCTCTTCTAACTGTTCTCACCTAGAGGTGGGCTAGTTATACCCTTTCTCCAAGTGTTCTTTTCCTAGGGCCCCTCTACCCACTTCTGATACTGTCGCTTACTCAGGTTAATCAACCATTTGGCTTGGTGCCTGACTGAGTCTCCACAAGGTCTTCCCTTTGTCCTGTCTAAGCCAAGAGATTGATCAGTTTAGGGCTGTATCTGGTGCTTGTTATTTTGTTATGTGGGATCGTTAGTACATTCCTTTTAAGTGAATGGTTATTTCTTATCAGTATCCTGGGATGGTACCAAAATCCTCCAGTTTAAACAACTTGCTCGTTGTTGCTATTCTTGAGGGTTGCCTTCTGTTTCTTGGCAGGCCCAGTCAGAATCTAGAGACTTATTACTAAGCTGAGATTCTGTGTCGACCGGAACCTTGGACTCTGTGGCTTGTTGTTATCTACTGATAAGTGGTGACCTCCTGCCCTTTTCCAAGGCTGTCTTGTTATTCCTTACGAAAAAGAGAAAACCAGATGTGTCCTATCCCATGACCGTCAGTACTTTCTCCCTTCTACATTTGTTTAATGTTTCATTATTATTAGACTACAACTTCTATAATCAAACAGTGAGAAGCACTCGCGAGTCAAAAGGTTGTAGTTTCCAGACCCCAAGTTGGGGACGGTGGCGCTATCCGAAAAGAGAAGGGAGTTTCTTAGCCAAGTATCCTGGCTAAAAAAACAACAGTGACTTGTTGGCACTGACGTCATATCTGTTATTTGGAAAAGAAAGCTCAATTGTGGAATAGAAAGTGAAACTTAAAAAGATATTTGGTCGGAGGATTCTTCCGGTTTTTTTGATTGAAACAAGACTCGGAAGCGTTCACAATTAATCATTTGCCAACAAAATACACAGTCCCTACACTTTACAGGAATACTATTTGATGGACGTTTCATGAAATATCATTGCTGTTTGTGGGAATGTCGCTGTGTGAAAAATGGCTGGTATTTGATGTGTTGGTACATCAAAGCACCGCTAAGGTGCAGACTGAAATAGCAGCGGGAATTTGATCCTTGCCTGGATAAGTAAGCTGAGTCCCCAATTTATCATACATGCAACAAACAGTCTTAGCTTCGTTGTGGATCAGGGGCAAATAGGTAAAGCAGTAAATCCCCCTCCCCGACCCACCCACCCACCTCAACACCTGAAGCCGGAGAGGTGATCTGGAGTTTTTCAAATCATACTCACTTTTAAGGCAGGAGTTAATGTTGATCTTCAGACTGCAGACTATCAAAACTCCTCTGTTCACAGCGTCTAAACTCACAAAGTGTGCTGCAATTGGGCAACTCCAGGTTCCACCTACCTGCCTTTTCTGTTGTCATGATTGACTCCTGTCAGCGCCCCCGCACTGACAGCATCACCATTGAAGGATCCACCCTCCACCTCATCAAGCTAGTCTGGAACCTTGGCGTCTTGTTTGACTCTCAACTGTCCTTTTTACCCCACGTATCCATGTTATGACCCACTTTGCTTTACCCCACCTCCGCAACATCGCCCGGCTCCGCCACTGTCTCACACCGCAGGCTACCGAGACCCTCATACAAGCATTCATGACATCCAGGCTCGATCACGCAAACTCCCTGTGTAAGGTTTTGTTAAATTCATGACCCTGCAGTGAAGTAAGGAATGACACCAATGTTCTACAATTAATCAAGGTTCATTAATTCAGATTAATAATGGTTATAAGTAATTAAAAGAATATATCACAATAATGCTTACGTATCCACCTACAGTTCACAACAATATAGTTGATGAAACCAAATGCTGCGGAAGAGATAGAGGAGCAATGTCCAATTTAATGTCCATTTTAATGTGGCCTTTTTAATGTCCATCAAAAGGTATCCCAGTATTGTACAGTTCCCAGTTTGATCACTCCAAAATATCTAATTATTATTGTGCGTTTCCCAGTTCGATCAACTGTTTCTTCTGATTCTCTTTTCGAATCGATCTCTGTTTATCCAGTTGGGTAGGTGACCTTTCACCTGTTGTCTTTTGCAAGATGGTTCCTTTGCAAAAAAAACTGCAACACAATTCTCTCCCATGTTAAAACAGCTGCAGACTATTTTTCCATGGGAAAATGATTGATAAGGAATAAAAACAGTTTGTTGTTTATAATCAGTCTTTTGTTTCTCAACCTTGAGAAAGAATCTTCTGCGAACCTAGTCACAACCGGCTCCCATCGTATCTTATAAGACTGATTATAAGTCTCAAAAATATAAACATTGCAAATATAATTTGAGATATTATTTAATACATTAACTACAGAATCCTACACCTGATTGTCAGCCTTCCCAACTCCTCCCTCCATAGGTTGGAGATCATCCAGAACTCTGCAGCCCGTGTCCTCTCTCGCACCAGGCTCTGCGACTCTATCAACCCCATCCTTGCCCGACTCCACTGGCTTCCCATCACACAGAGGATACAGTTCAATATCCTGATCCTTTCAAAGCCCTCCATGGCTTTGCTCCCCCCTCGGGTCTGTGACCTCCTAACCCCCTATCAAGCTGCCCGCTTCCTCCGCTCAGCAGGTTTCCGGCCTCCTTCACGTCTCCCGCCTCACTTGCCCCACCATTGGCGGGCGGGCCTTCAGTCACTCTGCCCCCACCCTCTGGAACTCCATCCCGCAGTCCCTCTACCTCGCCCCCTCACTTGCCTCCTTCAAGACCCATCTCAAGACCCTCCTTCGACCATGCCTTCGGTCACCCTCCTTCCTCTCCTGCCCTCCACCCTTCCCGATCCAGACCCCAGCTCGGGTTCGAAACACTGGTTCTCAACGCCTCAGGACGTCCTACTGACATGAAAGGTGCTATACAAATGTAATTTTGTTGTTGTTGTCTAGGTTAAGGATCAGTATCTCTCTCTAGCACTGACAGTTACTCTGAGTCACTGCTGTACTTTAAGAACTTATGTTGGACGATCAATAAAAATCATTGGCTTTGATACAGCACCTTTCATTGCTGGGGGGATGTCTCAAAGCGCTTCGTAAGATTTTACTGTCAAGTGTAGCGACTATTTTGTAGGTGAACATTATAAGCTCTGGAAAGGCGCTGTACAAATCTAAGTTGTTGTTATTGGATCAAATATGGAAGGATTATTAAACAATCTTTTGCATATTTATTTTTTATGAAATAATCAGATACTTAATTCCCTGCATATCTACAATTCCGCTTTCTAAAAAAAAGTTTTTTTCTTTGCTTTCGAAAGTTGTTATAAAACCTATCGTACGAAAAAAAATAAAACGAAAAAGCTTCCGAAAGTTACTTTTCTCTGTGTGAGCTCCTACAATGCTGGGGTGGGGGTGAAAAACTACAACTCCCAGGATGCCCCGGGGACCCGCGCAAGCGCAGTGCCAGCGAGGCAGGTCACGTGGCGGGGACGGAACCGGCAACATGGCGGCGTGTGAGACGCCGGTGGTGGAAGCTGAAGAGAAACCGGAGGCGGCGACCTTCCGAGAGCTGGTAATAGCCAACAGCGCGGGGGAGGAGGAGGGGGAGGGGATGGGGCGACTGTCGGCGGGCGGAGAGGGAGAGCCAGGCCGAGAGCGCCGTCGCCCGGGGGGTGGGAGGTCTTCCAGAAGCTACACGTGGGCCCCGCGCGCTGCTCTGGGCCGGACGCGCGCCTCTTGTCAACGTTAATAATACTTGGTACCGTTCCTCGGCTCGACGCCGGAGTGGGGAGAATGGTCTCGTGGGGTCCCCGAAAGAAAACTTTTTTTTTTTTTGCCCTTTTTTTTAAAAAAAAGTGTTCACGACAACGCCTTGCGTTTGTGTCTGTGTCCCTCTCATCCAAATAGGAAGTCAGGGACCCAAAGGACAGCGCTATAACAGTCCTCGCGTTGGGGGCACAGCTCCTCATCACGTCTTCGAGACGGCTCGATAGCGCTTCACGGAATACAGGAGTAATAGCGAAAGTCCTGGCGTTTGATAGAATTCCCTGTCACTCTATCCTCGTTACCACTCTCGGCACTTAGCAGAAGGTGCTGCAAAGTGCAGTGACTGTACATGTTGTGGGCGGAATGTGGCATCCAATCGCGCACGGCGGCATCCCCACAAACAGCCGTGGATGGAGTGACCAAATTATTATTTCTTTTCTTGAGGGATTATGGTCACGCAGGTGGAATAAGGAAACTTACCCAAGGCTTCACACTGCCGGGAATCAAACCCAGGTCACGCCTCTCGCTTGTGGGGCGAGTGCTTTAACCACTGAGCTACAGGACTCCATGGTTACCATAGCCAATATTATGCTGTTATGCTCACATATAGCGTGTCGTATATACTGTAGTTTATAAATCTTAAAAGTTTATAAGCAGCAGAAAGACCTCTTGCTTGGGAACGTTGATAACGGTAAAGCGTTCAGTCTCTTGCAGTTCTGTTCTTGTCCCGTCAAAGTCTTCTTCCGATATTACTGGTACCTTGGACAGTGATGTGCTTGAGACAGGTGGAAACGTTAACTTCCTGGAGAAGCAAAACAACAACTTGCATTTATATAGCGCTCCTCAGGCAGGGTTGAGTCCCAGAGCACTGTTTAAAAAAACACTCACTTTCTCACCAACTCAAACTGACAAAAGGCTGATTAAGGCAATACAGGATCAGGATATCAACAATTAATACAAACTACAGCCAATCGCTTCTTATCTCTTAGCCAGTTTAACTCTTCATAATACAGGGCACAATATACTGACATTTTCTAACCGTAACATTCCAGTGCTGGGAGGGCATTATCACAGGTGATTCCTGCTCAGGTGGACGTTAAAGATCCTGTGATACTATCAGGGGAGTTTCTCCTGGTGTCCTGGCCAACAATGCGCTCAAGATTAAAAAATAGTAAATGGTTGTTTGCAAATTTGGTTGTTGCGTTTACCTATAAATGCACACCCACTACATCTTGCAGAAATACTCTGAAGTGCTTCAAGACTTTTTAATGTGCTGTATCAAATGCAAAGATTATTATTAATAGAAAGACTTACACTGGTGTGCTTTGTGTTTCAGGGTGTGACCGAGGTACTCTGTGAGGCCTGTGAGCAGTTAGGATGGAAAGAGCCAACTAAAATCCAGAAGGAAGCCCTGCCGGTAGGACTAGAAGGTGAGCAACTGGTTTCAGTGAGTTCCACAGCAGTGGGAATATTCCTGCTCTGTTTGGTTACAGGTATAAGTTATGTAATTTGGGGGGAGAGAGTAAAGTTTGATGGCCTGAAAATCTGTGTAACCGTCTCTCGTTTCAATGGCCCCTTTTCTGTTTCAGGGCGGGACATTATTGGCTTGGCTGAGACTGGCTCGGGGAAGACTGGTGCCTTTGCAATCCCCATCTTGCAAGCCTTGCTGGAGAATCCACAGCGATTGTTTGCTCTTGTGTTGACTCCGACCCGCGAGCTGGCTTTTCAGATTTCCGAACAGTTTGAAGCCCTGGGTTCTTCCATTGGAGTTAAGTCTGGTGAGTAAACGATAGTTTTTGTGCAGTGGGACATAGTGAAGGCATGGACTCTTAATTTCAATCTCGCTTGCTCTCTTGTGCACCATCTCCATGTTAACTGGGATATCCTCCTGAATGTAAATCCTTTCACGTCATCGATGTGAATCGATGGTAACCTCATAAACTTGCCACGGTGGGAAAGTGTTGATTTGGGGTCTGTTTAATATGGTCTTCTCTTTAAAATCCCAAATCTTTGTAACCAAGGATATTCTGTGAAGTGCTTTGAGATGTCTCAAAGATGTGATAACACTATATGAAATGTAAGGATTATTGTTATTATAAATCAATGTACTGGACCAGGCTCTTCAACTTCAGTCAGAAGACTGTTTAGTTTTCCTGCAAATGCATAGCCGAGGCACTTTACAGTAAATCCTGTGAAGCACTTTGAAACATTTCGGCAAAGTAATAAGCTGTTATATCAAATTCAAGGATTATTATTTTCATCCTCTAGTGATGAAAAATGTTCTGCAGTTCTGACTGTCTGCCACAGGAGGTCGATAGGCTGCTTCATAAAATTTGATTGCAGTTGATTTCTCCGGGTTGACTCAAAACATTCAGACTGATCTTTCTCTTTAGGTGGGACAATCACATAAAGATTAACCTGAAGGAGGCAGAGATCACGTACTTAAGCCCTCGAGGATCTTAGTTTTGTCTGGGAGAGGGAAGGGGAATGAATGCATTTGCGTGTCACCAAGAATGGTGGGTTCGTTAGTTTTCCTGAACATTGCCCCTTCCTTCTCCATCTTCAGATCACACCTGAAGATCTTCCTCTTTGACCATGCCTATGGTCCCCCCCGTCCCCCGGCTTGGCGTCGTGCTCTGCCACAGACAAGCACTCTGGGACGCTACCCTGCGTGAGGAGCGCTATATAAATGAACATCAATGAACAAAATTGTGTTTGAGAGGATCTTTCATACTCCGACATGTGGACAATCTTATTAACTTGTGCATCTTCATTTGACCTTTTTAGCTGTCATCGTGGGTGGAATTGACATGATGTCACAGTCCCTGGCTCTGGCCAAGAAACCTCATATTGTGATAGGTGAGTTGAATCCTTGTGAGGCAATGAGGGAGAGTCAGTCAGGGAGAGGAATACAGTGCAGAAAAGTGCTGGTGAGCTAGCTCTTCAGCTGCGCTTTCAGTCACCTTTCTCTCCCCACCACCAGCCTCCTTAGCTCCCTTCCCCTTTCCCCCGGAAAAAAAAGCTTGGGTTCCCAATCAGCGGTGTGAAGTGCTGTATAAATATAGAAAATAATTAGATGTTCATTTTCACATCAGGTGCACATAACAACTAAGTCACCAGAGTGCAGTGTTTCACTTCTGGATCGATTGAATTCCATGGGGCTAACGGATGGTTTGTTGCTGTTGTAAATATGTATCTGTTTTATCCATCAGCAACCCCAGGCCGACTGATTGACCACCTGGAGAACACAAAGGGCTTTAATCTTCGTGCTATCAAATACCTGGTGATGGATGAAGCTGACAGAATTCTAAACATGGATTTTGAAACCGAGGTGTGTTAACTAACGGTAGTGGCTTCGATTACTCTTGTGTGCGTGCGTGTTTTGTGAGTTCAGAAGATAGTGAATGGAATGAGAAAGGCCTTCCCCAGAATGTCACCTCTCTACATGGAGACTCCCTGACTTTTGCCAAAGAAAATCTTGTAGTTTAATGTCATATTAAATTGTTCTGATTGAGTAAATGCTTTGGGTGACTATGATAAACTTGTTTGTCTGTTAAGCGCTCCATGACTCTGACCAGCGTGAAGGGCATTATATGAATGCAAATTGTTGTTGTTTGTTCCGTTGAAGACACTTTTAATTTATTTCTCAGGTTGATAAAATCCTCAAGGTGATTCCACGAGATCGGAAAACATACCTCTTTTCAGCGACGATGACAAAGAAGGTATTGGATTAGTTTGTAACTGTAGTAAATTCATGTGCGATGCTCAGTGGCGCACTCAAGGCAAATCTTTGATTATTTGTTATTGCAGTACAATGCCAATTTACATTTACAGGGTCTTTCGCATTGGAAGGACGGCCCAAGCACTTGACAGTGCTAGCTTGAGTGAGGGTGGAGGGGAGGAAGCACAGTCTAAGAGGTTGGTCTTGAGACTGACCTTGAGGGAGCGAGTCTGAGGGACACCTGGATGGAGTTCCAGAAAGTGGAGACAGATGGTCTGAAAGCCCGACCACGATGGTGGGATGTTTGGGGCAGGGGACTTGAGGCAAGCTGATGCACAGGGAGCAGCTGTCTTGCTTCACTAATTGGCAGGATAGTGACTCATAGTGCTAGGAAGAGGCGTATGTCAAAATTATAACAAAAAGTACATATTTTTTGTGTCGCTTAAAGTGTGTCCTTCTTTCATAGGTACAAAAACTGCAGCGAGTGGCATTGAAGGACCCGGTGAAATGTGCTGTCTCAACCAAATACCAGACTGTGGAAAAACTGCAGCAGTATTATGTGTTCATCCCCTCTAAATTCAAGGTAATAACTAACAGAGTTTATTCTCTTTCAAGCTGCGTGCCCCAGTATAATCTTTGTCATCTTTATAGTCCCAAGAACCTGACTAGTAATGATCAGGACGGTGGAACTGAATGGACGTGTGCAGAAACCTTTGAAGCCATGAAGATTAAGGTCCCTTGACTTCAACATCGATAGCCTTAGAAAACGCAAATAACAATTATAGACTGACCAATTCAAGCTTACTTTACACTATTTCAGTAAATAGCGGAATTTTCTTACGCTATTCCAGTAAACGTGCTAGAGTGGGAATGTATCAATATCTAAGTTGAGGTTTATTTTCTTGCTTGTTTCCCCAGGACTGTTACCTGGTTTACATTCTGAACGAGCTCGCTGGCAATTCTTTCATCATCTTTTGCAGCACCTGTAACAACACGCAGCGGACAGCACTCCTCCTTCGCAACCTGGGGTTCACTGCCATTCCCCTACATGGACAGATGAACCAGGTTTGTGGGGGTCTTCACTCTTCAACAGGAAAATTGGTCTTTAGATCAGTTTGTGTATGAACATAGGAACAGGAGTAGGCCATTCATCCCACCCCGAGCCTGTTCTTTTGCAGCACCTGTAACATTCAATAAGATCACAGCTGACGTTACCTCAACTCCAATCACCTGCCTTTACCCTATATCCCTTGATACCCCGACCTAACAAATATCTATTCACCTCAGTCTTGATAATTTCAAGGGATCCACAGCCTTTTGGGGGAGGGAGAGAATTCTAGATTTCCACTAGCCTTTGTGTGGATTTTTTTAAAAAAATGTGTTTTTCTCTCTCTCTCTCGATTACCGTGGAATATTAATCCTTTCCATTTTTTTAATATAATTTTTAGCATAAACGATTGGGGGCTTTGAATAAATTCAAGGCAAAGAACAGATCCATCTTACTCGCCACAGATGTCGCCAGCCGAGGCCTGGATATTCCGCATGTAGACGTGGTTATTAATTTTGACATTCCCACCCATTCCAAGGTAACTTCCCAGCTTTACAATAAGAGCCTTGCATTTGATATATCGCTTTATCGTGTCTTCGAGGCGTCTTAAAGCGATTCACAGAATATACTGTAAAGTGAATTAACTGTATAGTTTGTGGGCAAAACGCGGCGGCTAATTGCGCGCAGCATTATGTAGCCTTGGTGTCAAACTACAGGAATAAAAGATGGTGTGTCCTCACTCTGTTCCTCTTCTGCCCAGATTTAATAATAATAATACTTGCATTTGCTACAGCGCTTTATCACGTCGTTGAGACATCTAAAGTATCAATTTACAGGATATATTGTAAAGTGCATTGACTGTATTTTGTGGTGAAATAAACACATAAACTCAAATTAAATATCCAAACAAAGAAATAAAAAAAAACAGTTTAAAGCCATTCATTGTTTATTTCACAGGATTACATCCACCGAGTTGGGAGGACAGCCAGAGCAGGACGCTCGGGAAAATCTGTTACCTTTGTTACACAGTGAGTACCTTTTTCTTCTCCCGCCCCTTCCTCCCTTTCCCTTTCAGCCTCTATGCCTCTCAGTAACTTCCACCTTAAATCGTCTTTGCCAGTTTCCTTAAATTTCCCACTTTCCTGATCGGGGATGAAACCCTTTCAAGATTGTCATCCTGCTTGAAAGGCACTGTGTGTGTGCAAGTGGCTGATTTCCAGGATAGTGAATGACTAATTTTATTAAATGATTCTCCTGGACTATGATCTTGTAGGCAGAAAATCTTGCATTTGATACAGCGCCTTATCACGTTTTTGAGACATCTCAAAGCGCTTCACAGAATATACTGTAAAGTGAATTGACTATATCTTGTGGGCAAAATGCGGCAGCCAATTGCGACCAGCGTCGTCCCACAAACAGTCGTGGATTGAAAGACCAAATTATTATTATTATGATTCCAACACTTCCCAAAAAGATGGTTCTTGAAAAGTTTGTGTGTTTCAAAGCGCCGGCTGTAGGAAAAGGTGGGAAGTATGATTCTACTTTGAACCAATAACTAGGCACTAAAAATGAATCGTGGCACACTTAACACCAGACAGAGTGCTTGTAAACATTGTGGTCCAGGCTTGTTTGTGACATTGCAAATTTGATCCATGTTGAACATTTCACTTGTGGTCGATCTCTTCCAAGTGTTTACAACATGTTGAGTTGAAAGAGCAATTGGGAAGAATGCTGGTAGAGAGTCCAGCTGGGACGAATCAAAGAGCGGCGATAATGGCCCATATTTGTGGGTCTCTCTACAACTCCTTGTTCTTTTTTTTCCCATCCCTGGTTGCAGAATTGGAGTATTTCTTAGAATGTAATGCATTAAATAAGGCACGTTATTGTGGTGGTGGGCTTGGAGGGGGGCATAGCAGAAGAGTGTGTTCAAGAGGCAAACTCTGCAGCTCCCACCCCGCTGATTCCCTCATGTTAAGATTGGGTTTAGCTCCATTGAATACAATACTTATTCTTTCTTACCTGCTACACTTGCTGCAAGACAGATTTCCTTTAGGTTCAGTGTTGTCATCTGCTAAATGGCTTCTAAGATTGTTAAAGGATTAACCTCTTGCTCTCGCTGCTCTCTGGATACCAATTACTGCTTTGATCTTACAATAGAGTAGGAGCCTCGTGATGAGGATTCCCTGCAGTGAGCGAAAAGTTTCCTTTGTCCAGAATTTCTATGGATCAATGTGCAAAATGTACGGAAACTTTGTTGGCGCCTGAGCAAATGCTTTAGTGATTAAGGATTACCAGGTTTCTAATGTACCTGTGGTCTGGTATTAGAAGATTAAAGGAACAGTCGGGATACAGCTACCTGTGGAGCTAGAACAAGGATGTTGTGTAACTGGGGAGGGGAAATGTGGGGCAGGTGGACAAAATGTGATCACTTTAAGATGAAGAAACAACATGTGCTTTTTTTGTTGAAGGGACGCTTCACTCAGCAACTTGCATTTACATCGTGCCCCTCACGCAGGGTAGTGTCCCAGAGCGCTTGACAGTGACAGAGCACAACAGCAACAAATGACACTTGTAAAGCGCCCTTCATGTCGGAAAGACGTCCCAGGGTGCTGGACAGTCAGAGGTTTTTGGACCTGAGTTGGGGGTCAGGAGGGGTGGGCGTGGGAGGGTGGCCGAAGGCTCGCCCGAGGAGGAAAGTCTTTAGATGGGAGTTGAAGGAAGCAAGAGGGGTGAGGCGAGGATTGCAGAATAGAGTTCCAGAGTGTGGGAGCAGAGATGCTGTATGCCTGACCGCCAATGGTGGCACGACGCCGAGCTGGAGTTTTCCTGCCCCACTTAAGTGTTGCATTGTAAAATTGTACAGCGTAGGGATTGTCCCAAAAACTTGTGTCACTTTGTCTTTACCCTGATTGGTTTCAATTTACAAGAGTTGTCAATTTTTGGGGGAGGGGGGTGGGGGAACGAGGGTGGGAAAAAAGGAAAAATCTGCTTCGACCTTTTGCTAAAATAAACGGCGCTACGTTAGCAGAGACTCTGTCCTTCAGGTGAGGGGTTATACTGAGGCTCTGTCTGCCTGTTTAGTATTGTCTGTTCTGGGGAAGGCAAGCAGAGAGGAAATCTAAAACCTATTTCTCTCTCTGCCTGTGGCTCTGTCTCTCTCTCTCTCTCTCTCTCTCTCTCGGCTTTGGTTCCTGACTAACGTCAAATAATTTGCAGGTACGATGTGGAACTTTTCCAGCGGATCGAGCACTTGATCGGGAAGAAGCTCCCGGCGTTCCAAACGGAGGAGGATGAGGTGATGGTGCTGGCCGAACGCGTGACAGAAGCGCAGCGATTTGCACGGATGGTAAGTAGGTCCCAATTCACCAGAGTCACGGAATCCCTGAAGCTGGGAATGGGAAGCTCCATTCGCTTCCAAAATAGACAAGTGTATTGGATCTGCCCGGTAGAAGTTTTGGAGCCATCACTTGCTAGAAAAGTATAGTACCAGTTGCGTTCCTGTCTGTGCTCTTCCCCCTCCTCCCCTCTTGAGTGCAGGTGTTTGAAGGTTGGGAAGGAGAGGTATTGGAGAGTGGGATACGACAGGGTGTTGCAGAGAGGCAGGGTTGACCAGTCTTCTCTTGTTCCCTGTCCAGGGTTGCGAGAGAGGCACTGGAAGAACACTCAGGATATCCAAACCATAGGCAAACTTGGGCTCTATAGAGGGATTACTATTAAGATGTTGCTGATGTAATCGGGGATCAAATCAGGATGGAACAGTACTGATGTAGGAGGCTCTTGACTCCAGACAGACGAGGAGCCTTATACCTCCTGATGCTCTTTCTCCAGACTAAAGGTCACTGTGATTTCTGCTTGCTGAGAGGGTTCATATTGAGCTATTGGCTAACATAATATATCCGTTATGTAATCGGGATTTGGCATAAAATGGGACCACGGGATGGGAACCCTGCTTGTGATTTTTTTTTCCTTTTATTAAAACATTCCCTGTGTTGATTATGGTAGGTCGCAGACAATGTCCAATTGTTTCCTTCAAATTAATTTATATCTTCGCAGAACTGTTCCTGTGCCAAGTACTTGTAGGTAGTTAAAGATCTTGCTTTTGTATACGACTTGTTATTAATTCTGCTGCACTGCAGGAAGTCGTAGACTTTCCAGTCCTTTTGGGTTACAGTGCCTTTTTTTTAAAACTTAATTACTTATAAGTGAAGTGCATTGTTCTGCTTTCACTGCTGTGTATGCCACATTCCGAGTTTACTTTGAATGTGGTGTGAACTGGGGGATATTTTAGCATCATTGCTCATATTTCTTCTCCGCAACCCCATAAGTTATCTGATCCCCTTCCCCCCCCCTTTTTGTGTTCTCCTCTGTGACTGTCAGTGATATTTTCCACGTCTGTTCAGGAGGCTTGAGCGCCGATAATGGCCCATTTTTGTGGGTCCCTCTAAAACTCCTTGGCTCAGTCGGTCTGCCTCACCCCCTCTCTGCCTGGCTTGAGATCACATCTGAAGACTTGCCTCTTCGACCGTGCCATCCTCACCTCCCATTTTTCACTGGCTTGGCATCAAACCACACCAATGTTAAGTGTTTCAAGGTGCTACCCTGCAAGAAGGGTGCTAATAAATGCGAGGTGCTGTTATTTGTGTATAGACTGCACGGCTGTGTGATTGTCAGTATGAGGTAGTTAGACCAGGTCTTAACGAGCAGTCCAGTGGGCAGGTGTGTGACTGTTATGTACCTGAGACATTTTGTTTGGCGTCTGGTCTGTGCTTGGAGCGTGCAAGGACCACTGAACCTCTGTACTCTCTACAGCAACTGCGGGAGCTGGGGGACAAGAGGAAGCGGCCACACGAGGAGGTTGAAGACGACTCGGAGCAATCGCTCGGGATCAGGAACAAAGTATCAGGAGGCAGAATGAGGAGAAAGGTGCGATAAGACAGAACTGCCAGAAACATTGATTGGGAAAATGGTTGGGACGTGGATTTTTATAGGTACCCAAAATCAGGCTGTATCACTTCGGTCCAGTCCACCACTTGGGTGTGTCTGTTGTGGAGGCTTTGTACCTCCTTGTGACAGATGAGCATCATGAAGAACTTGGCTCTTTTTGGAATAGAGACCACTGGCATCGTTGTCACCAGGATGGAAGAGTGCTTCACCCAGAGCATTGCTGTGTTTGTCCACACTGACCCTTCTCTACAACTTTTTCTCACAATAACACGTGCAACGTTTAATCTCTGTGTTTATATAAAAAAAATTCTTTAAACCATACACAATTTTGGACATCCTGTGGAGGACTGAAATCACTCTATTCTTTCACTAAACTCTTAAAATAAATTCGACCAAGTCTTTATAGTGGAAAGCATCTAAGCTTCTGAAGTGGCTTCGGAAGATGCACGTCGGATAAGATCTTTCATCTCACTTGTGAAACCAACCAAATCCTGTAACATACAGAGTGGGTCTAAACAGCAACAAAAACAACACATGCTAAACTGAGGTCTGGCATACGCACAAATAGATGACATCCTTTCAAAACCACAGCAAAATTAGTCTGATTCATTTCTAGACAACAGTAATGACTTTATTTTTCCCTTTCCAGTTTTCTCTCCGCTTTTCTGATTCTCGCTGCGATAGGATTCCGGAGATACTCTGCAGTGCTGTATACACAGCCCTTATTGACTGCTTAGCTCTTCCTGTCCTCACTCGGTATCTACTTCTGGCAGAAGATATTGGATACCAACTGGGAGCACAAACCCTGTCTTAGATTGCCCCCACACTCCCTAGTCTGAGGGACGCTGAGGTCAATGTTGGCACGCCTATTATTACTCTGCCTGAGATCAGCTAACTTAGAACAGGCTGAGATTGACTGAGAATTCAGACATGGCACCTTTCTGCTCTGTATAGACTAGTTTCATACTGGGCACTGGATTTTCTTCATGAGCAATTGGAGCTTTTAACTAAACTTGAATTAGTTACTTTGGGCCTCCTGTTTGTTGATTCTGGTGAGGAATTTGTTTATTTAGCTGTGAATTTTCTGCAGCTTTAAAGGGACTTAGCTACAGTGAGCTTCTTCTGAAACACTTGCTACCAATATAATCGTGGACTGGTGGTGCAGCCCATAATCTCAGTGCTGCTCCCTTCAATTCCAAATCTTCTCTTTTGAATGCTGGAATCTGGTTGAATTTCTTAATAATAATGGTCCTGACATTTGATTTGTCTGCCTTTTACATCAGCGGGTCGTCTCAAAGCATCTCGTAGGATACGCTGTAAAGTAAGACTCTGTGTGTATGTTGTAGGCGAACGCAGCAGCCAATTTGCGCACAGCGATATCTCCACGAACAGAATTAATAACTAGAACTTACTGGATCCAGGCACTAAAGTTAGTGGTGTGTTGAGGAAGGGGGAGATTATCTCAGCTGTTTGCTGTTTCTGAATGATAACCTCGGCAGATTGAGGAAGGTATAAGGTTGATGATTGACATTCAGCTTTGCACAGTTGGTTGTCCTGACTGACCGAAACGTGGCGAGAGAATACACACACACACATGCATCCAATCTTTGCTCAGTTTCTCCCAAGTAGATGCAGTATATTTGTTGCTGAATCGGCAGCGGGCCTGGATACACTATACATTTACTGCCAACCACTGAGATCAGCACCAGGCGTTGGCTGCACTTTATACGCTCGATCATCATAAAGTGCTAACTCTCATTAGGCTTTGGAGAGCTAACCAGTTGACCACTGCCTGAAACAAGCCCTAGGACATTCGAGCCTCTTGCCTCGTGATATTGTGGCACCAGGATTAAAAAAATGTCCGTTTGTCCTGAATTTAAAAAAATTGAAAAGGATTTGAATCCTCGGAACTCTCCTCTGTCTGCTTTTTACCCTGATTTAGACCCCAAATGGTGTACCTCGTAAAAGGTTTGTTCACTGAATGTCCGCACGCATATTGTTCCCCCTGAGAAAATAAGAGGAGCAAATAAGGCGATTCCCGGTAGCAGCAATCCGGAGTTACGAGAAACGGTTTGGGAAATTTGACCTTGTTGCCTTTGGAAAGGCGATATTTCTGAGGTGTCGCAATTGAAGATTTCTGAAGGGGATCAACAGGGCGGAGACAAAGAAATGGTTCACTTGTAGGCGCGGGATTGAATCGCCCGCCCACCGCAGGGGAGGGTGGGTGGGATAAATTGTGTACGCGGACGGAAGTTGGTTTGAGCTTTCGTTACTTGAAAGATTTTGGGTTGTTGAATAAACAAGGAAAACCACTGAAATGAATGAACTCTGTTGTATAAATGGATTTAATTTCAGGCATTTCTTGAGGGAGAAGAGATTGAGGGCACAAATAACGTAGGAGGGACTCGTTACTAACTGCTTCGATTTCTGCTTAAAGTTTTTTCCTGAAAAACTGAGTAAAGATTTTTACAGCAGTTTCCTGACACATTGCACCTTGCATACACTGTGTACAGACAGACTGTGGGAGATATCTCCTTACCAATCATGCAGGGTAAACCACAGGCATCGCTGCATCCGCAGCATAGTGTGCTTGTGAGGATAAGAAGTCACAGACTTTTGAAGAACAGAGATGGGGCATTTGGGCTTTCACTCTGCGCTGGTGTTTCTCTCTACATCCTCTCATCCTCTCTGCAGTGCGAACTCCCTATAGCCTTAATATTCCTCTTGTTCAAGCATCTGATTAACTTTTAAAAGAGCACTTCTATTTTATTTGTATGCGGTGTGGGTTGGCTGTGTGTGACATTCAGGGGAGTGTGAGTGTGAGCGAGGGTTGGTGTCTGCAGTTTGTGCACGTGTGTGTGTGTGTTGCTGTGGGAAGAAAGGACGAGAAATAATCTGATACAAGAGAAAAAATAGTATACATTTGGTGTACGATTCTCTCTCATCCCTGGGTCTAGATCAAATCCATTAACTATTTTAGTTTTTTTTAATCACTGACAGAAAACCGACTTCAATCTTAAGAATGGATTCAACAAGTTCTGGTCGCTCTAAAATGCTACATAAATATTCAGGCTAGAGCCAGGTGGAATGCGGAGTGAAAGATACTGCACAGAGTTTAGAGTTTCAAGGTAAAGTGCGAGTCAAACTTATCCAAATAGAGCCTGGTTCTGTTCAATTTTTTTTATTATATTCATGAAATACAGACTTTCAGAAGCTGCGTTTTTTTTTAGCTTTCCCACCCCCCCCTCCAAAAAAAAAACATACAGAAACAAGTTGACATTTTGACAAAAAGCAAAATCTCTTCAGCAGAAGCAAGTCTGTGACACGTGTGTATGTGTTTGTGTCGTGTGAGAGATACCAATTTTCGACTTTTGCTGAGGACTCTTCCTCTCTCTTAGGGCTTATTTATTTCAGCACAACCTCAAAGCTGCTGTAAGGGGAATGTTTAGAAGACTGATACGTCGGGCGTTCGAGAAGTTTTATGGGGTATTTATTTTTAACGATTAAGCCTCTTGGGATGTTCTCCCGAAGTGAAAGGCGCTAAATAAAGGTCATTTGTTGTTGTATTGGTGAAAGCGCGAAGCTGGGAAGGGGGGTGGAGAATGGAAAAGCTGACCAAATGTGCAGTTGAGAAGAAAGGTCAGGTCTTAAGGCCGGTTTTAAGGTGGGGAGGGAGATTGATTAAAGAAGCGTTTGTTTTCTCTGAAGGCTGCTGGCGTGTGATGTCGTGTGGCACCTCCAAGTCATCCGCTTTGTGATCCCAGATCGCTGCTTGAACACTTTATCCCGTGAATTTGACATTGTGTGTAGTGTTGTGAAGGGCTGCCTAATAATAGTCCCCGAAGTACTGTCTGTAGGCATTTCTGTATCCAATGCGATTTGCCAGTATATCGCAGGGGTAGTAAGACTCGCAGCTCTCCTTGCGCCTCTCGTACGGTGTCTTGTAGTACTGTTCACGGAGCCTGGAAGCGGGATTGATTCCACATTAGATTTGCATGTTGTTTGCTGCTCAAAGGCTTAGAGTTATGGAGCTAACTTTCATACCCTTCTGAAACGCAGTGCTGCCAAACCCTTAGCCAAGGGCCTCCTCCCAGCTTGGCGTGGACAAGCACCTTATGAGTGAAACAATTGTTGCTGAGCTAATAGTGAAAGCCTCTGGCAGAGAGAGAGGCTGAATGTGAATTCAAGTCTTGAAGATAATAATTCGTCCTCTCTCCGATCAATCTGGGATTGACTTTTTTTTAAAACACTGATTTACCTAAATAAAATTCTTGAGACCTAAATGATTCTTGAGACCATCAAACCCCTTAACAAGCACAAATGCTCTGCCCAGTGCTTGAATGCCTAGCAGCACGGACTAAAGTGGGTTCAACACACAATACGTTCATTCCAACATTGAAACAGCTGGCTGTCCTTAGTTCCTCTGACTGAACCGATCAGAACCCTTTTGTTTTTGACACGTTTCACAGTTTTGAGTCTGTTCTATCTCTACGTTGTTATCTGTGAGCTACGGGGAGGAAACTAACCACGACTGAAACGGTGGTAGATAGAATGAAACTTGGGAGTTCTTTAACACTTGAACAACTGGAGCTACTGGAGCTGAACGTGGGTCAAGGCCATTGGGTGAAGTGCTTTGACACATCTCAAAGAGTGATAAGGTGCTATATCAAATGAAAGGATTATTATTGTTGAGCTTGGCCACGGTGTCAAAATCACCGCTCAGCCTGACAGTGAACAGGAACTGCATTAACATTGACAGATAAGTAGCAGTAACCCGCTATGATCTTTTCAGACTAACGGTGGAGGTCAAGGTTAGGCTCTTTAAGATCTCCCCCCACCGATGACACTGTTGGGGATTAATAGATCTAAGGGGTAATAAAAGACGAGAGAAGAAAAGACATGTCACAGTTAATTCTGCGGCTTTTAGTTTCCCATCCAGCCCGATATTGTGACATCTAAATTGCTGCATGTTTTTGTTGGAGAATTATCTTGAAACATTGCCATTCCAACATTATAATCTTTCCCAAATAGCTGCCTGTTTCGTGCCAAGCTATGGCGCATTGTATTTTCAAGTTTTAAAACTCACACTCGCGTCCCCTGTTGGCTCTGGGACAGTAACACCCACTGAGAACAGTAATGTGGCACATTGTGGCCAGCGAGGGCTTATCGAAGCCCTGAGCAACATTCTGGGAGATGTGGCATGCTTGTTGGGATGCCATCAAAAGCATTCCTCAGCCTTGTTTATTTTGATTGCTCAGCCAACAAAAGCATAGCACGAAAGACCACATTCCAGGTGCTCGCGCCGAAGCTCTATGTGTGCGTGTGTTGTGTGTGTTTTACTCTGTAGCCGCTTCCTGACACCACAATGTAGACACTGAGCAGAAAGGGCCAATGGCACTGATACCCAGCGCGGAGCCAAGTAAACCGAGAGGGTTAAGAAATTAATTTCAGATCCTGAACTAGAAAAGGGAGCATTCCTGTCGCTCATTATCTTTTTACAATGTGGGATGATGCCCGCTAACAGAGACTAATCTTAGTTACTTGCATGCACAGAGAGATGCCAAAGGCATTTCAAACTGTTGTGTTTTTGTACTCAAAGCCAGAGACACTTGCTTTCGTAACTTGCAATTCGTATCTACCCTGCAATGCTCCATGTCTTTCTGGACAATCACTTCCAGTGTCTTAAGGACTTTGACCATCTCAGGTCGATGCCTTCAGCGTGTGGAGCGTAAAATATTAGGACATGACCCTGCCATGTGCAGTGCCCGTTGCCTCTCGAGAGCTTAGAAACATGAGATTTGTGTGGCGCAAAAAGCACTGCTCTCCTCGACGCTGCCTGTGTTTGTAACCTCGGATTAGAAACACAGTGTGAACAGTTCTTAAAAAGACTTTGCAAATAGCGGGCTGACCTTTCGTAGTAATTAGGGTATTCTCTTTTGTGTCTCTTCATCATAGAGTTGGCCTTTGTTTTCTCAAGGAATGGGCCTGAAAAAGGCATAAATAGAGCCAATTTAACACAGTGTTCTATGATGCTTTCAGAGGTAGAGGGTATCTGCCCTCGAGTTAGATTAAGTTAGCCGACAGCACACAATAACCCTGCTTTTTAAGTGTTTTATATACATAGATATTCAAAATAAATAATTTGATCACTCAATCCACGACTGTTTGCGGGACACTGCTGTGCGCAATTGGCTGCCGCGTTTTGCCCACAAAGTATACATTCAATCCACTTTACAGAATACTTTGTGAAGTGCTTTGAGATGTCTTAACTACATGATACGGCGCTATATCAAATGCAAGGATTATTTATTACATACAAACTCATAAGATTCAAAAGTTACCGACCATTTTTGACGTTGCGTGTCACTTGCGCAGAGGCTGGAAAAGGAAGTTGATGGTTAGTCGGACAAGTTTAAGCCCATCTCCAGTTGGTGTATACAAAGCCATAGTGATTGACCATCTGAACAAATTGATCACGAGCCAAGAGAGATTTCCCTCCAGACTAAAGTTTAAATTATGCTGCAAAAACATGTGTCCTGGTCTAGCCTTGTGATGAATAGCTTCACTTTTTCCTCTTGCAGTAACTTGCCCCATTTTGATGCGCTTTCTTTCACTCTGTTGACTTTACGTGTGAGAGATAGCTATGGTGACCACTACAGATGGGAGCCAGATGCTTTCTCTCCGAGGGCGAACAATCCCACCAAACAAAATCGCTCATTCGCTGCTTGGATGTTTGCGGGGACGTTGCTGTGCACAAATTGGTTGCTGCGTTCACCCGCAAAACACATAGTCACTGTACTATACAGTGTATTTTGTGAAGCCCTTTGGGACGTGAAAGGCGCAATGCCAAATGTGAGGATTACAAATAATACGAATAATAATAAAACAAATTAGAGAAAGAGGTTAGATTGGTGTTTTGCGCGAATGAATCGGGCCATCCCTATGCTGAAATTGCATATTAATGACTAAAAAGATGAGGGAAGCGCTGATCAAATAGAGAATCATAAAACTATCAGTGTCTTTACCTGAGTCGTCAGAGTGGGTCTCATTTTCTGTGGAATCTAAAATAGAACAGAATTGACAAGAGTGTGTTTTCATCCAATGATACTGAACATGTTTCATTAAAAACAAATCAGTCCTTTTCTGACAATGCACCCCACGCTACAGTAAACCCTGTGAGGCGCTCTGAGACAGGATATCCCACCAACGTGATGCGGAACTGTATCAAATGCGAGGATCACTAATAATTATGTTTGAAGCAGTTTCAAGTGACGCAATGAGAATAATCTGATCGGTCTCCAGACTAAACGTGGAGGAAGAAAGTCATAACCCTTATTGTATCAATGCCATCCCAACCCCTATGATTTAATCTGGACTAGCCTGTGGTTGATTAGTAAAATCATCCGCCTGTTTACCTGCAACATCAGAGTTATTCTCCACAGAATCTGAAACAGAAAATACAACATCAGTTATGGTTAAAGACTACACGACTCACTTTTTATCTAACGTAGAAAGAAGCAGCTCGATGCTGCTCGTCCAGCTAAAATCACCTAGGAAACTAAATAAGCTACAGTAAGGATCGCCCAAGATTAACGGATGCAAAAGTTTTCAATCTTCCCCAGATGGGTATACTACAACAACAACAACAACAACAACAAATTAGATTTCTATGGCGCCTTTCACGTCAGGAGGAGGTCCCAAAGCGCTGGACAGCCAGGGATCCGCACCTGAGCTGGTGGTTAGGATCAGGAGGAATGGAGAGGGTAGGGATAGGAGGGTGACCAAAGGCATACTTGTAGGTACAGTATTTTGTCCTTTTGTTTCACACTGTAACAACGAATACAAGAACTGCCTCACCAACGCCTCTGGAGGTGCACAAGGTTCCCAGCCCCAGGAGAATGAGCAGGAGTAGGCACTTCATCTTAAACACTTGTCCTTCTCTGAGATGCCGCCCGTCAGTATCCTGAGAGCGCTGCTGTGATTGTGGTGGGCTGAAGGCAGCTCTCCCTATATATATACACATGCTCACCATTCTCACTGACAGTCTAGAGGTCCCACATGATGCTGTCTGTGGTGAGAACATCTGCTCATAGGAAGGAAGGACCAGGGCAACCACCCATCCATATCATTTCCAAAGAAACATCCAGATTATACTCATGATTTATGCAGGGGACCTTGATCATGGGGGGAAGAGTACAAACCAGGATAAATAAAAAGAGTGTGGCCAAGGCTGTTTGCATAACATATTTCTGACAGATCCCAGGGGTGATGTGATAAGAATTTTGGAAATCCTGTGTTTTTTTGTTCTCTCTGAAATTAATTAGTCTGTTTATTTGGTTCTGCCTTCCACCCCTTAGGTTCCAAACACTCTTCATGCAGCCTTTCTGCACACTCGCTGTTGTTGTCCTCTCATCGTATTGTCGTGGAGTCCTGTAGCTCAGTGGTTAGAGCACTCGCTTTGCAAGCGAGAGACCTGAGTTCAATCCCAGGCAGAGGGCGAAACCTTGGGCAAGTTTCCTTACTCCACACAGAGCCTAATAATAATCCCTCCAAAACAAAAAACAATAATAAATTGGTCATTTTCAATCTACGACTGTTTGTGGGACATTGCTGTGCGCAATTGGCTGCCGCGTTCGCCCACAAATATACAGTCAATTCACTTTACAGTGTGTTCTGTGAAGCGCTTTGGGACGTCCTCCCGACGTGAAAAGCGCTATATCAAATGCAAGGATTATTATTATTATTATTGTTGTGCGAGGAGTTGTCGACAACTCCTCGCACAACAATGTGATGAGAGGACAATTTGGTGGCTAAAGTTACTGTTAACGATAATGTTGATACTTTATCAGGCTTCCTCTAAGATCAACGTGGGAGAGCATTGGTGCCTGGTAAAGGAGAAGTGCATGGAGATTGTCAATCATTTCCAAGGGGGTTGACAGCGCCCCTGACCACATAGTGGACAGACTTGCAGCTTACCGACCAGGTAGGGAGGTTGAGGGTTGATGATCAGTTCGAATCCTGGTCCATGCGGAGTTTGCCAGTCTTGATCGGGCACTGCATCTAAGGATTTATTGCTTCTGGGCCACTTGCAGAGTTAGGAGGCGAAAAACAGCCAGGGTTCCTGCCCCTGGCTCTTCTTCAGCCCTCTCTACTGCTGGTAGTGTGTAATAATAATCCTTGCATTTGATACAGTGCCTTATCACATCATTGAGATGTCTCAAAGCATTTCACAGCATATATTGTAAAGTGTAGTGACTGTGTGTATTTGTGGCAGCCGGATAGGGCAAGGTCAGGTTCTGTTGTGACTTGGCCCGAGTGGTCTTGAGGCTTGCACATGAAGAATGGTCACTGTATGTGTGTGTGCATATAGGGAGGGGAAGGGGGTGAACTAGAAGGCAAAAGGACCTGTGGAACAGCACCCCAGCAAGAGAGGAGGAGGAGGGGCGGAACAAATACCGAAGGAACAAAAATTCCTGGAGCACAGAATTTATCCTTAAAGGAAAATAGTGATGTGTTTTTCCCAGTCCAGGACAGGTAGTGTGTGGGTGGAAGGACAATTCTTGTAGCGTGGTAATGCAAGTGATTTGGTGGTTTTCCTCCCTGCAGAATAACCATACGATTAGTCACTGGTTTGTGGGTTCAGACACAAAGAACTTTTGTACAGTGTGTGTTTGTGTATATATATATATATATATAGAACATAATTGCAGCCCTTTTCACGGGACCACAATAAGTTGACACTAAACCACTGCTGTTAATCAGTCCTTTGACAAGATGAACTCCAAAGAAACCAGGGCAACACACACTCTTTTCTCAATAGTCCTCTTTGGTTTTTCTCTAGATATATTTTAGATTTCTGCTTGTACCCCACTGCACTAAACCTCCCCCCCTCTCACTGGTGTGGTATTCTCTGCCCCACCATTGGCAGCCAAGACTTCAGCCATCCAGTCCTCACCTCTGGAACCCCCTGCTTCAACCCTCCGCTTCACCCCCCTCTATCTTTAAATTCCTCCTTTTAACACTTGCCTCATCACTTGCTGGATCCCCACAGCCAACAGCTGTTGCTTTGTGCCCAATGGGCTATTAGTGTGCTGCAAGTAAGGGGTAAAATGTGTGCTATTCCTTAAAGCATTCCTTAACTTTTGTGAGGAGCACCAGGTGGCACTCCTCAGGGTCCCCTTGCCTCAGAGGCCGTGTTCGGACACTACCGACCGCGCAGAACTCCACCTGGACTGTGCTCAAGCCCTGATATTGGGAATGGGTTCTTGAACCCACAAGCTTTTAGCCCATAAGCCCGACTGAGCCAGACCGACACTGCTTCAGAGGGTGGTCTCAGCACTTGGGGTTAAGAGGTGTTCAGTCTATGTTGTGGGACCCTGATTTACTGGCTACAGAAAACATTTTGCCTTCCGTGTGTGACTGACTGGAACGAGAGTTCAGCCAAGTTAGTCTCTGGTGTGTGGGACTGGGATCTGGATGAAGGTTCTCCGTTAGTGTCCTGCAGAGCAGCACGATCTGTCCGCAGATTGAAACCATAGGAGCCCTCTTTTCTGTTTTTAAACACAAACAAAAAAACCTTCCACAATGGACTCAAATAAACAGTAATTGCTTCCTCCCTCAAAATGTTCCTCTCCTACAGTTGGGAACATCTGCTTTTAATCCTCACTCAAGAAAGAGCATCAGAGATATAGGAGAATCTTTACATTTGCCACAGTGCCTTGTCACATCGCACAGGCGTCCCAAAGCGCTTCACAGTAAAGTGTAGTGACTGTGCGTTTTGTAGGTGGATGCAGCAGCCAATTTGCGCGCAGCAATTTCTCCGCAATCAGCCATTGAAGTGAGTGACTTGTTTTTTTTTAGAGTTTATTTGGGTGAGGGACAACTATTAGGTGTCAGTTGGTAGCACTCTTGCCTCTGAGTCAGAAAATTGTGGGTTCAAGTCCCACATCGGGGAGTTTGAGCTCACAGTCAAGGCTGGCAACCCAGCGCACTGCTGGGGGTGGGGGAGCACTGCATTCGTTCAAATGAGACTTTAAACTCAGAAACATTCTTGCATCCCATAATGTTATTGAAAAAGAGAAGGGAGTGACAAAATACAGTCACTACACTTGACAGCAACAGCCTGAAGAACTTTGAGACGTCTCAATGATGTTACAAGGCGCTGTGTAAAATTATGAATCATTAATGCAATTGCAGAGCTATTAAAATTTGGGAAATACAGGACTGAGGGTGACAATGGTTGCCGCATTTCGCCCACAAATATATACAGTCAATTCACTTTACAGTCTATTCTGTGAGGCGCTTTGATACGTCGAGAAGACGTGAAAAGCGCTGTATCAAAAAGCAAGGATTAATATTACTATTATTAAAAGAACTGAGCGCTTGGAACCACAGTCGAATCTCACAAGAAATGAGCAAACTAGAGAAGCTTTCTTTATTTCTTTACTATGTATTTATATAAATGTACATTTCAGTTACACACTGCGTATATAGTTGGGGTTGTAAAGCTTTGGATAGAGAACAAGAAGGTGTAGTAAATGGTTGTTATAATTACAGCTGTGGGGTAGCGCTGGTAATAACATGCGTTGAGCTGTCTTGTGCTCAGCTGATATATTTCAAGCTGCTTTTAAGTGGAACTACGTGCAAGGGGAGTATTGTTACCGAATACACAGGCCACCAAGGTCTCCTGATGTGCGGATAGTTCAGAGATGGGACAGTAAACAAGTCACAGACAGCTACCCAATGTTTTTTGCTATCGCTGTGTTTAGCAAACTATAGAATCGGATCGTTGGCAACGCAGAGGGAGGCCATTCAGTCTTAACAGACCACGTTCTGCTTGGCCACCGAGAGCAAGGGACGTTTCAGCTCAGTGCTGCTTGCTGATTTGCCTGTTGATCGTTGTCCTGGCCTATTGTTGTACGTGGTGGTTTACGTGCATTGGGGAGAGGGGGATGTGGGGAGCACGGGGAAAGGATTCTTTGTGGGAAGGGAAGTGTCAGGGTGTTGCGAAGAGCTGAGTTGTGGGGATGGATAAATATCCTGACAACCTTTGGGAATCTGTGCCAATTTGAGTTGAAATCTCTGAAGAGAAACTTGGCTCAAATCAGCCAGAGCCCAAACCATTAGTGTGGACTGAGAGATGAGTTGGTATCAGAGAGCGATTTGATTGATCGTGCAACATGAAGCGTTTTGGGAGTGTCGCGGAGTGTGGGGGGAGCTTGCAAATAGCAGCGCGATCAATTAATTCACTTTAGATTCAACAGAAAGCCGCGGCATTGCTGCTCTGTTTTGAATGGGGATAGTTTTTGTGCTGGAACTCAACTGGCATTTGGTCACTGGTAGCAACAGCCTCCCAATGGCCGATGTTGCCTGTGTGTGAGGACCACGTGTGTGTCAGTGTCAGAACCGGCGCCTGCGGTTGCGATTGTTTTTCCGCAGCCTCCTGTTGCGGCCGGCCCTCAGCCTCCGGTAACCACTGAACCGCTGCCTCCCCGACCTGAAGAACTTGCCGATGGCTCGCTTCAGCCCCACCTGCCTCGCCAGGCGGTCGCACGGCCTGTACTCCTCACACCGCTCCCTGTTCCTTTCACGAAGAGTCTTGAATCGGTCTCTGGAACTGAAATGTTAACGAACATTTGTTTACGAACATCTGGATTTTTATTCTTATCAGCTCCCTTCACCCTCCCTCTCCCCTCGATTATGTAGCTCATAGTGGGGGTATCTGTGCCTTTACCCACTACCTATTCTCTCCCCTGCCAGCGCTCCCAGACATTACACTATGGGACCAATGCTGTGTAAATCCAAGTTCTTGATGTACGAATGTTAGTGGGTTAATTTGATTACAGAGGGCATCGCAGCCAAACAGGCCTTGTCCTCCCAAAACGTCCACACGTTTGCACCTTGTAGCAGGCTGTCGCTGGATAGCAAGTGGGAGATAAGAGTGCTCTCTCCATATCCCCCCAAACGGATTGGAGGGGGCGGCTCAGTACAGTTGTAGTGATTTTATCACTGCCCCCCCCCCCACACGCTGTTATCGTCTGACTCAGTACAGAGCAGGGACCAAACCAGCTTCCGATCACCAGTGCAATAATCAATAATCAATCCTTAGCAAAGCCGGTGTTATTCAGCTTAAGTGATCAAACTAACAAACCTTTCCCACGGCGAATGCCTTTTGGCTTGTCTCACGAAAGAGTTTGCGTCTCTCCTTTTGATAAACAAAGCTGGAGGGTGAAAGGAAACATTGGGTCAGTTCATTGCCGTAAATGGCGCACAAACGCTTAACTTTCTGATATTTACATTTTTTTTTAGAATAATAATCCTGGCATTTGATGCAGTGTGTTATCATGTCATCGAGACATCTCAAAGCGCCTCACAGGACGTACTGTAAGGTGATGTCACTGTATTTTGTGGGCGAACGCAGGGGTCAATTTGTGCACAGTGACATCCCGCAATTAGCCTTGAGGGGAGGTCATGGAGGGATTGTCGGCCAGGATCGTGCGAGAGGGAAACTCTCTTCTCGTTTCAAACGCTACTTGGAATTTACACAGGAATTACACAAAACAACACAGCACTGGAAACGGTGCCGTCTATAATCCAGTCATCATCTTTGCGTTTGATATGACGCCTTTCACGTCAGAAGGATGTCTCCCATCACTTCACAGTAAAGTGTAGTAACTGTATATATCACAGGCAAACACAGCTACCACAATCCACACAAGTATAACTAAGGCTGTGTTTAACAAATTGGCAGGATGCGGACACTGAAAAGCTAAGAAAATTGAGTAAATCTGGAGCTGGCTGTTAACGTTAATCTCAACCTCAAGAATTTATTATTCTCGCTTCTGTCCCTAGATCATAAACAGAGAATTCAACCCACCTTCGTCTATCTCGTTGGATTCCGAGGAGTCTGAAAGCGGAGGAGAGTTGGAGTTAACAAAGACAATAGTCAGTGAACTTTCAATGAATAAATTGGATCAAAATTCAAAAGGTAAGATCATACGGTAAAATAATTGGATTTGATATCTCCATACAGTTGTGTTGACGGAAGAGAGTGGGATTGTGTTGAGGGAGGGGATAATATTCCTTACTATAATCCTTGCATTTGATATAGCGCCTTATCACGTCTTTGAGATGTGTCATAGTGCTTCATAGAATAATAATAATAATAATAATCCTTGCATTTGATATAGCGCTTTTCACGTCGGGAGGACGTCCCAAAGCGCTTCACAGAACACACTGTAAAGTGAATTGACTGTATATTTGTGGGCGAACGCGGCAGCCAATTGCGCACAGCAATGTCCCACAAACAGTCGCAGATTGAAATGACCAATTTATTATTGTTTTTGGTTTTGGAGGGAATATTATTAGGCTCTGTGTGGAGTAAGGAAACTTGCCCAAGGTTTGGCCCTCTGCCTGGAATTGAACTCAGGTCTCTCACTTGCAAAGCGAGTGCTCTAACCACTGAGCTACAGGACTCCACGAATATACTATAAAGTGGAGCGACTATAATAATAATAATAATAATAATAATCCTTGCATTTGATACAGCGTTTTTCACGTCCTCTAGACGTCTCAAAGCGCTTCACAGGATAGACTAAAGTGAATTGACTGTATATTTGTGGGTGAAACGCAGCCAATTGCGCACAGCAGTCGTGGATTTAGTGACCAGATTATTATAATGAGATTCGGGTTGTGTTGAGAGTGTGTGTGTGTGGGGGCGGGGGGCGTTGCATCATATCTTGGCAATTACTCTGTCTCGTTGCTGATAGCAAGACCACACTGAGGGTAGCGGGGGCTCCTTGCACTGGGGCTTTCCAGGGAACCATTACCTGAAACAAGAATGAGCCTCATCCCAGGCCCTCTGGCTGGACCTAGAGATAGTCAAGCACCTAACCAATGGCCCTAACCAATGTTGACTCTCTTAGCAGTCCACACATGCCATGCCACCAGTGGTCTCCTCAAATCAACTCTCACCTCCTGAGTGAAGCCTCTCATCCCCCCCGGTATAAGTTGCATTGGCGCACAGGTACACTACATCAGCAGTCCGCCCCCAGCCTTCAACTGATATCCATACCTAGGCAGTTGTTGTCAGAGAGCACTGACTAGAGACCACAGCACCCACATGACATCTCGTGTCAGCCTGGGAGACCATTTTGCCTTCCGAGTTTTAACGTGCTGCAGATTCTTGTAATATTTCTTCATTTCAGTCCTAAATCCTTTCCTAATTTGGCTTTCTGCAAGATCTTGGCTTCTAAATTAGGACTAGATTTGAGGACTTTCTTGCCAAGCTGCGCTAATCTTATCTCTAGGTCTAAATTAGGACTGGATTTGAGGACTTTCTTGCCAAGCTGCGCTAATCTTATCTCTAGGTCTAAATTAGGACTAGATTTGAGGACTTTCTTGCCAAGCTGCGCTAATCTTATCTCTAGGCATGCTGGTTAATGAACTCTTGCTGTCTAGCTCAGTGGTACCGAGACCACAAGTATCACGGCCCCAGCAGAAACCTGACCTAACTCTCCGCAGGGCAGTGCCTCCACCCACAGAGGCACTGGACAAGCCTGAAAAATCTGCCCTGTGAATACCTTCCAACTTCCTCCTAACCCTTTGCCTGCCTTAAAGGCGAGCCATTGATTCAGGGCCCGTTCGACTCTCCTACATCAAGCAATGGACATTCCGTCCAAACACAGTCGCTCACTCACTACATGGCTGCTCCTTCTGTCACTCCCTGCCTCAATCCCTCCCTATGCCTTGGCCCCCTCCCCTCTTTGCCCATCTTCAAGTCACACCTGAAGACTTTCCTCTTTCACCTCCCCCCCCTCTTCCCGTCAAACTATGTCACTGATAAGCACTCCGAGATCCCCTCACCCACCGTGAAGGGTGCTGCGTATATGCAAGTTGTTGTTATTGGCTGTTTGCGGGAATGTGTGCGCAAAGGAGCTGCTGCGTTTGAGTACAAAACTAAATGATCCCTCCACTTGACAGTAAAATGAAGCTCTTTAAGTCGCCCTCCTGACCTGAACAGCATTGTGTCGGCTGTAAGGATTACATGGTTATTTATAATCCTCGATAATTCCTGCCCATTACATCGGGGAGCTTTGATTTAGCAACTTTAAATATTTTTTTCCCCGATGGCAGCTTTTCTGTGAGCACAAGCCAGTCTTACCTGCCACGCAGATAGCCGTGAGCACGGAGAGCATCAGTAACAGCAGGATTCTCATTTTGCCTGAGTCGTTCAGTGTGACATTAAAATCAGCAAAGCCGGTGTTTCTGAGGGAGACTGGGGAACGGGGGATTAATATACTATGGCAGTATTTACATAGCAAAGCCCAATGTTGTAGCATGGCTCAGGATGATGGGTGTGGGTTCTCTGGCAAAACATCCTTCTGGACAGAAGGTTCATTATGACCTAAGCTGAGTTGGCCATGAGCCAAACTAACTACTTGGCAATATTTTTTTTCTTTTAACCTTATGTCATTTTTTTTGTTGCTGATTTTGTTCCAAGTTATGGCAGCAGTCAGGATGGTTTGATGCACTGGGTGGGGTTGGTGGTGGGGGGGGGGGGGGCGCTGCCTGTTGTGATGGGTCGCGAGCATTGGGTGGGGCAGGGGGAGGTGAAGTGTTTTGAGATACTCTGCATGAGAGGCATTCAGTCTCTAAGCACAAGATGTGTTGTTGTCAAATGCTTTCACTGGTCCCTTTCTGCCAACTGGGTAGCAGACAACGGAGTCTTAATGATATAATAGTGATCCTTGCATTTGATGCACCATCTTATCACATCGTCGAGACGTCTCTGGGACATCTTTTCAATGTGAAGGGCTCTGTAATTTGTTGTTGTTGTCTAAAAGCACTTCACAGGATTTCGCTGTGAAGTGCAGTGACTGTTTTTGTAGGCAAATGTGGCAGCCAATTTGGCCACAGTGACAGTGAATGAATTAAAACGGGAGATAAACAATTTCTCGAGAGCTGCCAACAAGTCTCTTGTCCTTCAATGTTGAGTCCCGTGTTCGGTTCTCAGTCACATTGTCGCTGGCCCACAAGTGATGGATTACTGGAGACTGCATATTCATCAAAGCGCTGGTCAGTAATTTGCAAATCACAACTGTTTGTGTTTCTTTCCCCAGAGAAAACAAACAGCTGTGCTGTGCACCACAGAGGTCTCTGGTTCAGTGTGTGGTGAGTTAGACCAGCGGTGCCAGGGCACTTGTAAAGGGAAAACAATCAGCCTCAGTGCCCCAAGGCTGGAGAGGGGAGGGAGAAGGCACCTGGCTGCCACATGCTCCTGATCACTAGCCATTGACCCTCTGCTGATCGTGTGAGTGTGTGGAGGACGCCTGGTGAGAATATCAAGCCTCATTACTTGTGCGACCTGAAGATGGGGAAGGAAGAAGAGGGCAAGGCAGAGCGATTGAAGGGGATTGAACCCGAGCCTATTGAGAAGTTAGCAGAATTGTGTAGCCCTAATGGTGTCGTGGATAGAGCTTCCACTTAGCAGACCAGCAGCATGCTGCTCGAATCCTGGTCCGTGCTGAGTTGGGGGGTGGGCTATAAATTGGCCCCAGCCTTCCCAGTCTCAGGGGTGGGAAGTTCAGACAGGTTTCTGCCCCCGGTCCCTCTACTGTTGTGGGTCAGATTTACTGCCAAGGCTCACAGCTGAACAATGGTCACTGCAGGGGATGGGGAGGGAGTGGAGGGCAACCAGCGGATGTGGAACCACATCTTAGAAATACGGGGGCCAGATCAGGCGCAGATGAAGTGGGGAAAAAAGCTTATTAATAATTGGAAAGACTGAAATAATATGAGAAAAATACACTCAGCGTGTTTCTGGTTGTGCTCCTCCACATTGCTGAAATGTTCCTCTTTCTTATGGTCAGAGAATTCGTCAGCCGTGATCTCATGGTGAGATAATAATCTGCAGTAATCTGCAACTCATTAGATATGATAGATCTTGTTTATAGCTAGCTGCGTGCGGTTGAAATCTTTACAGAAACGAACGGGGTTTTGGGTGAAATCTGTGCGTTAGATAACAGCGGTCTATTAGTGCGTGTATTCGGGCAAGCTTTTGGCTCCAAGGCTCTCACACCGACTCGTGCGGGGACGTACTTTGAAGTGAAGTGACTGCTATAGTGTAGTCATGCAACAGGGCAAGTTGGCCACACAGCAGTGGACATACAAGCTGTATTCTGAGCTCGATGCCCTTTCAAGGCAAATAAACAGGCCACCCAGAGCGGGAGCGAGATTGCCTTTAGGGGATCTTAACATGACGTTGTGTCAGGATGTGGAAGCACGGGGGTATTTTGAGATAATGTCAGCACTGATTTTCTATTTTGAGGATTTTTGGGGGGAGTTCAGAAAGGTTTTGAAAGGCGTCTCAGTGTTTTGTAGAAAACCAAGCTTTGAGATGAACAAGTATTTTTTCTAATTAACCTGCATTAAAAAAAGGTACATTCTGTGCTGTTCAGCAACACAAATACCATTTCACAGCAACCCTGAACATTGTCAATAAGGCAAACCAACTTCAGATGGCCTCAAGTCTCCCTTTCGATTTTGAGCTCACAATCTAGCAGCGCTGGGGTGGGGGTGGGTGGGGGTTGTTGGGGAGCATTGCATGTCTCTTCGGATGAGACGTTAAGATCCCGAGCTCCATTCGATGCGTTCTGTTCAGGAGGATGCTAAAGATCTTTACCCAAGGCACTGTTGGAAAAGAGAATGGAGTTTCTCTCCTTTTCTCCTTAGTATCTTGGCCAACAATTCTCCAGATAAAAACTCCTCGCTCACTTCACGGCTGTTTGTGCAGAAATTGCTGTGCAAAATTGGCTGCTGTGCTTGGCTGCAAACCACAGTCATACGCAGACATAAGAAGGTCTCATCGACGTGAAAGAATACTGCATGAAATGCAAGGTTTTTTTTATACATTATAAAAAGCCTGTGGAAGGTTGGGTGTGGGTGGGGGGGGGGGGGGTCTATATCCCGGATCTGGGGGATGAGAGAATGGCATGCCAACAAAGTCGGATGTTATTTATGAAGCTTTTTTTTGGATTATTATACAGTATATATAAAAATAACCGCATTGAACGCTCCCTCATCCTGTTCTGTAATAAGGAAACGCTTCCCTCCTCCAGTTCCCTCAGACACAGCTCATACTTCCCACTGACTGTCGGGATGTAAAGCCTTTATTTCCAGTGAGTTCACCTCGCCGTCTACTGTTACTCTGGCATCTGCTACACACTTGCTGGATGAAAAGGGGGAGAGAGTGAAAAACTCATCCAGATGTTCCTGATTTCTTCCAGCATTCGGGAACGCTCAATGGATCAGGCATCTCGTCTGAATGAAATACAGTCCAGAGCTTGTGTAGCTCTGCGTAGCTTGTGTGGGCCCTGTGTGCTCCATTGCCTATCTAACGCTAACAGTAAGACTAATAGTTGTTGTGCTAGCACTTGATACAGCGCCCGTGAAACATTTCAAAGCTCTTCGTAGGATTTCACAGTGAAGTCTCAAGACCTACTTCTTTGACTGCACTTTCGTTAATTTTTTCCCCTCCTTCCGCTCCCCTGGCCTCCCACCTCCAGCTCAGGTGCCAAGCCAGGACTGTTAAGCACCTTGGGATGTCCTCCCATTACGAAAGGACGTTGCATAAATGTAACTTCGTATTATCTTGTGCTCGATAAGTGAAGAGACAGGACAGCAGATACCCTGCCCATTCACCTATCCCGGGGATTTTCTGCTGTGCAACATACTGGAAAGAGAGCGCGTAGGCATATAGAATAACATTTGGACCCGGCATAGCTCACTGATGAAGTCATGGTCTTAACATCAGCACTAAAGCATTGCCCTGTTTATTCTGTGCTGGTTGGTCTGAGGGCATCTGGTTCCAGACACGGTCCTGTAATGATGGGCGGTTTAGTTAGTTTGCGGCTTCGAAGATATGATCTTCCCGGGTCCCCGTAAAAACTTACCCTGGTAAACAGTGCTGCGAGTTGCTGGTCAATATTTATGCTGAGTGCTTAACGCTATCTGTGGCAGAGGCCAGAGGAGCATGTGGGTTAGTTACCAAATGTTAGACTTTTTCTGCCAGGGTTTGGTGGGCTCGGAGTCTGAGTGGGGGATGGAATGGGAATGACGGCATTTTGCTATCAAGTCAGGTTATCAAGATTGTTATCATCTTCATTCTGAGAGGGGATAGTAATAACCCTTGAATTTGATATAGTTCCTTATGAAGTTTTCAAGACGTCTCAAAGCGCTTCAAGGAATGCACAGTAAAGTGAATTGTATATTTTGTGGGCGAAATGCACCAACCAATTGCACACGGCAGCGTCTCACAAACAGTCATGGATTAAGTGACCAAATTCTTCTTTTTTTTAAAGGAATTACTACCCCCTTTTACAATAAATCGAGACGTCCTGCTAACATAAAAGGCGCTGGAAAATCGAGGATTGTTATTTCGCTTTGAGATTTGAACAAACAGGTTCACTAATGGTGAGATCAGCGGCATAGCCTGAAATGTTTGGACAATGAGGACATGGTGTGAGAGAGAGACAGACAGAGAGAGAGAGAGAGAGAGAGAGAGAGAGAAAGTTAGCTAAGAGAGGCGGCTGCCAGGACAGAACTGGTTTAACGCATTCAGTCATTTGACGAGATAACATCTGGATTTTCCATGTGTTTGAAATAAACTCAACAGAGTGGGACTGATGGACTCATAAATCACAATGCTGGGCAGTAAAGTGTATAACTCTCGCCCTCAAAAGTACACCACAGTCACTAAATCCTGTGAGGTGTTTTGACACGTCCCCCCGTCATGAAAGGTACTCAATCCCCACCTCTCTCCCTCCGCTCCACCATCGGAGGTCAGCCGCTATGCCCTGAATCTCTGGAACACTTTCCCTCAATCCCTCCGTCCTCCCCCTCCGCTTTTTCAAGTCCCGCCCTGAAAACCTTCCTTTTCGACCGTCGCCTCCGATCACCTTTCCCCCCCCCCCCCCCCCACCCCGGCTCGGAGTCAGGCGCTGCTACTGTTAAGCGCTCTGAGACTCTGCCCTGGGTGGAGGGCACTATATAAGTGCAAGTTGTTGTTGTTAGGGAATCTGAGCTCAATGTCTTGCTTGATGCTCCAGTGCAGTGCTGGAGAGGGGGAGCACCACATTGTTGGAGCTGTCATCCTTTGGATGAGACGTTAAACCGAGCTCCCACCCACCCCTGTTCAGGTGGACATTAAAGATCACGGCGAGGTATCGGTAACTGGAAAGGAGTTTCTCTATCCTGGTGTCCTGGCCGACAATTCCCTTCCACCTCCTCACTGCATGCCTGTTTGTGGGGATATTGCTGCATGTAAATGGCTAAATGCG